GATTCGAACGTCGTTTTTTTGAAGAGCCCGAGAAAGCAGTCGCAAATTTGCAAGTGAAAGCTGCTCAGAAGCCTGTTTATCTCAAGGATGTTCAGCGTGAAAACATTCTGTCTGGAAAGGTGTTTCAAAACGAGGAAGAGGAAGCCGAAGAGGATAAAAGAACATACGTCCAACAGCAGCGCGAGGACAAGTCACAGCTTTTGAGTGAAATCAAAGGCGCCTTTAGCGACGATGAATCAGATGGTGAGGACAACTTCTTGCAGCAGAAAAGCAAGCCCGTTTCTACTGACGACATGGTGAAGCTGCCCAATCCTGAGGTTGATGGAGCCGGCTTTCTAGAAGCTTACGTCAACTCAAAAGCATGGATTTCTGAGAAAGACGAACCAGTTCAGCTTGAGGAAGATGACGATGAATTTGAGGAGGCAGCTGAGAAGTTTGAGAACGCGTACAACTTTAGATACGAGGATGCCAACAGTGCAGAGATCATCTCCTATGCCAGAAACCAGGCCACGATGAGACGCTCAGAGACTAATTCGCGTAAGAAGCAAAGAGACCGCAAGAAGGAAGAGGTTGTCAAAGAAAAGCAAGCTGTTGAACAAGAAATTAGTCGCAAGAAGTTGAAGAAGGTGAACACTGTCACTGACCGTCTAGCCAAGATCAAGGAGGCCATTGGCGAGGATGTCGACTCCAAGGTAGTTGAAAAAGTTTTTGGAGACTCACTATTGGCAGATGACTTCAACGATGCTGATTGGGATGCGAAGATGAGCGAGATCTTCAACCAGCAGTATTATGAAGGCGACGATGCAAAACCCACCTGGTCTGATTCTGAGGCGGAAGGTGAAGCAGTCGAAGAAGAACCTGCCGAATCATCCAAAGTTTCCAAGAAGAAACAGAAAAAACAGGAGAAGCACGAGTCAAAAAAATCTAAGTCTTCGTTGAAAACTTTAGCCGAGAAGATCGTCGAGTCCAACGTTGAAACCATTCGTGACGAGGTTGAGGAGGAAAGAGGCAGATCCAAAAATGAGATCAAGTTCAGATACAGAGAAGTTTCACCAGACTCATTTGGTCTCAATGTGCGGGATATTCTGATGGCTGATGACAAACAATTAAACGACTTCATCAAGCTGAAGAAGTTTGCACCTTTCAAACCCCGCGAGCAGAGAGCCAAGGATAAGCGTAAGTATGCAAAGAAGAAGAGACTCAGAGAGTGGAGAAAAGAAGTTTTTAATGATGAGGAGGGTCCAAAAATTGGTGAAGAGGGTATTCCAATTCCACAGGAGCCTGAGAGGAAGAGAAGGAGGCATTAAGAGGACCACGAATAGATAAAATAGCATATTTGAGATGATTCAAAGAATGAGAAGGTCATGCAGTATTATGCAAGCAGCATCTAATGATTTATGCAGCAAGCGGACTTTATCTTTGAAATATCATACAAGGATTCAGATAGGAAAATTAAATTTTTTTGAATTAGTGATTAATATCAGTAACATTAAAAAAGGAAGCCCCAATACTCAAAATTATACTATTTAACAAGCGATGTCACGATATCTGTGGTTAAACAAATCGCACATCTAAATCAATAATTATATCTCGTGTACTTTGAGGGCAAACTCAACACACTCTTTGCCTGTTTTGGCTTGCTGAAAGGCCTCAGACCAAAAGACTTCATGGACCTGCCCTGGGAAGGTATTCCAAAACCTTTGTTATCCACTGTACGGCGCAACCAAAGACTTGCAAAAGTAGCCATAAAAAGTACCACAAAGATGATGAATCCCACAATTCCAAAGAACCACGCATATGTCTCGATATCCTGGCCAGGAACGTGAACGTTCATTCCAAAAAGACCTGTTACCAGGTTTAAGGGTACCAGAATGGTACCGATAAGTGTCACTTTAGATAGCATCTCCGTGACTTTGTTATTGGAATTAAAGGATTCGACCTGCAGTTGTGCCAAATAATTCGCGTGAGACCGAGAAAAAATCTTTTCGTAGGACAACAGGGACTGGAACATGGTGATAATATGATCCTGGATATCGCCAAGATAGAGTGCTATATCGCCTCTTGGCTGGGCTCCATTCAACTGCGCGAGGTTCCCATGCGAAACGCTGGCGTTCGGCAGATTACCCACACCGGCCTCATCCTGGCACCGCTTAGCAAACATCTTGATCACATCAGCCTTTCCCGAAAGGAGTCGCATCAGCGTCATGACCTTTCTGCGCGAATCTCCAATCCTTTGAAGCATGTTACCAAAATCGACATCGCGGGTCACAAACACAGAATCTTCAATGGCATCTGCTTCGTACTCGATGGCGTGGATCACAGGGGCGAATCCATCGGTAATGTCATCGATTAGCGCATAACAAAGCCAGTCAGCGGAAACGGTGACATAATCACGAAGCTGGCGCACACGTCTTCTCACGTTTGCTGGATGAGCTATTGGTGAGAAATGGAACGTCAAAATTCCGTAGCGGAAAACGACAATGTAGGTGTTGATTGGCTCAAGGAAGTCCTCTGACTCGTTATCGGTCTCGAACGTATGGAAACATACAAAGTAGTATGATTTGAATAGTTCCACCTTCTCACGTGTCTCTTGCATTCTGATATCTTCAGCCGTCAAAGGATGGATACCAAACGCTTTGGCAAGCATCTTCATCTCGTTATCTGTAGGGCAAGTACAGTCAAGCCACCAAGTAGCATCGTCGCCGTAGAAAAGCTCTTGGATTGGCTGACCAGGCTTGACAAGCGAAGGAAAGTCAGCAGCATGAATAGTTTCCTCGTTTTCAGAAGAGAAGAAGCTGAAACGGTCGGGTGGTGCTGAAAATTGGTCCGTAGTAGACTTCTCAAACGTGACACCTTCTTTTTCGCAATCTTCCTCTTCTGTAGAGCTTTTAGACCCAAATTTCATCTCGGCATAGTAAGGGTCGCTAGAACGATTGGTGTGAAGAGACGAGTCATCCTCAACCTTCTTTTTGAACTTCGGAGTGTATTTCAAAGCTGCACTGCTGAACTTCTTGGAGCTTGTAGTTGTTGATCCAGAAAAGTTTTCAGGCTGGTCGATGTACTTCTCCTTTAGCTGACCTTCGCGACGAAGAATCGTTTCAGTTTCCTCGTTCTGCTCCTTGATGAAGTCTTCAATTTCGCCAAAATCAATACCCTTCACTCTTGCACGAGTGGGCTCTGGAAGCATCGGGAAACAAACATCCTCTTCAGTCTCCTGGGAGTCACGCGAACCATGTGAATCTGCGTCCGAGTCGATTGCCTTCTCATTGGCACGTTTCTTTCGTTCGACACTAGCTGTGGACCGTGCAGAGGTGCGCGAAATCTGTCTTGTGAGATGATCATCCTTGTGAAGTAGAATTCCAGTCTTTGGAGTATGACCCGACGAACGTGATCTAGGTCTCGTGAGCAGTGAGGCGGCAGTCAGACGGCGTTTGTCAAAACCGCCGATCCTGTTGGCAGCAAATCGAATCCCATACTCCTCATCCGTCTCGGATTCGCTATCTGCAACCACCATCTTGGAGCGCAAATCAGTGGATCCCAATCTGGTAGGTGCAGCTACGGCATCTTCCTCGGGGATGGCTTGCGGAACAGGAATAGGGCCTCCTTCCAGCTCCTCCAGAACCTTTCTCGAATCGGTTTTGACGGGCAAAGACATACTTTGATGGCGGTGATCATTCAGCTCCGAGGCATCACTCAGCTCCGAGTGGATGGACTCGTGGGTCGATGTAACCGAGAGCGAGCTTATGGATTCAGCTTCACTCATGTTTGCAGCGCGTAGGGCAACTTATGGAGGTTCTTTGGCGGCCAGTGAGGTGAAGGCTTGTGGCCTCAGCAAGGAAAATAAGTTGAAGGAAATCAGGTTGGAAGAGTGCGGTCTCAGCGCAATACGATGCGGAAATTAGATTCACTTTAGGGCAGTGAAGCTGGTGGGGCAACAGTAGTTGGTGTTGTAAGGTTTGAAACTAGCAGAAATAATCTAGACGGCCCCGTGGCTTGGTGGTACACGCACTTATTATACTCTGCGGCGATCCCTCGGAGGGGAGAAAGAGAGCAATGCAGTTTTTTTTGTTTTTAGGTTTGTAGTTTGTTCTTTTATTTGGAATCTAATACCAGAATAGACATAGCATTGGGCTTTTTCAGTTTTTTTCCAAATATTTTAATAACTTTCTGTTCCCTTTTGAATTCCCCTTAACGGTTATAAATCAAATTTCAGCCGCATTGGACGTGCGCTCACCAAATTTCACCAATCTTTGCAGGGGCCTCCAAAACTGATTGTTTGGGGGGATCAACAAGATAGCGTTAATTCAGCCATTACCTACTGATTTCAAGCTACAGAAACTGCAAAATTGCTAATTGCTTTCATGGCGACTTATCGCAATATGGAGGAGTCTGTCTCCGGCACAGACCTCGCACATCAGAGAACGCGACTGCGCAGCCACAGCATTGATCTCGTCAACACATCGGAATTCGACGCGGGCCATTCGCCAGATTCGTATTACAAGGCCAGATTGTCGCCCCAGAGATATCGACTGAGACAGCTATTGCTGCCATTGGTGCGGGCCGAAACAGCTGTCCTTGCACGAATCCAGGCCGAGATGCGCTCTCCTTTTGGCGACATATACTTCCCCTGGACAGCCAATCTGGGCTCTCACACGTTCTATGTGCTGATACTACCGTTTCCACTGTGGTTTGGATACTTGGCGCTTGCTCGTGATCTGGTGTTTGTTCTGGGGCTCGGAATCTACTTCTCTGGGTTAGTCAAGGATTACCTGTGCTTGCCTAGACCCGAATCTCCGCCCCTCCATCGGATCACAATGTCGAAATATACCACTCAGGAGTACGGATGTCCTTCTTCACATAGTGCAAATGCTGCTGGGCTCGTTCTGGTGATTTCAAAGCATCTTTGGGCGGAGTGGACTGGTTCTTTGGTGAATTACGCTCTCGTTCTCGTTCTGGTTTTGTATTACACATCGCTAGTAAGTGGTCGTGTGTACTGCGGAATGCATGGATTTGTGGATATTTCTGTGGGGACTATAATTGGAGTTTTTGTGGTTATATTGAGGCTGGTGCTGGGACAGGTTTGGGATGCAGCTGCCTACAGCGGGTCTCTGGCATTTCCGCTGTTCATCTTATTTGCCTATTATTTGTCTATAGCCTGGCACCCAGTGCCGTTGGATGCTTGTCCCTGTTTTGATGATAGTGTCGCGTTCGTGGGCGTTCTCGTGGGTTTGGAACTGGCCCATTGGTCAAAAGCCTTGATTACCGGCGATGCGACTATACCTTACTCCTTTGCTGAGCTTGGAATCTTCCGTTCCATTTTGCGTCTTGGTTTGGGCGTTCTATGCGTGGTTGTCTGGAAAGAGCTAGTCTCAAAGCCTGTCTTAACTGTTTTGTACCGCCCAATCTTCCGTGCGTTCCCCAAACTAGACCACTCCGAAGCAGACAAGACGCAAGCTTGTGGTGCAATGAAATCGCGCTTCAGCTTGGAGATTTTGGTGAGGGTTTCGGCCTATGCAGGAGTTTCTGCTATTGTCGTTGCCAGTTATATAGTTATGGACCTGTGCGGCTGCGGTGTGCAGTAACCAAGATCAACAATACAATTTACGTGTAAACCTCAAAATATATACGTGCGCTACCCAAATAAGTCAAAAAAGACAGTCACAATGCTCATCCCCAATACGGTAATCAGGCTCAGATCGATGGACACACGTAGGCTTTCGAAAGTTTCACCGGCAAGTACAAAAGGGAAAAGAAAAAAGATGATGGAAAACTAAGTAACACACGACTGAAATTCTCTCTCACTGTGTCCATAGATTGGGCTTTTTTCCTAATCCTCTTCTCAAAGGTTTAAACATACCACAAATACATCTATCAAAATGGAAAACGACAAAGGTGAACTCGTATGTGACAGAAATATAGAGATACTGGGAATTTATTAGTCGCGTTTGCGAGGGATAAGACTCAGTTTTCACAGTGTGATCCTAGGAACATTATACTAACACCAACAGGTTGAACTCTACATCCCAAGAAAGTGCTCTGCCACCAACAGAATCATCAAGGCTAAGGACCACTCCTCTGTCCAGATCAACATTGCCAATGTTGATGAGGAAGGTGTTTTGATTCCTAACGATGTGACCACCTACGCTTTGTGCGGATACATTAGACAGAGAGGTGAGGCCGACGACTCTCTCAACAGACTCGCCCAACAGGACGGTTTGTTGAAGAACGTCTGGACCTACTCCCGTTAAGCCACTAACGAACAAGTGGACATGGGTGAGATCTATAATTAAGGTAATAAAACATTAGTTTTGAGAGAATAGTAGTCATTACTGTGATAATGCTAGCAATGGCATGGCTAGTATGGTTTGTACTGTAGGGCTACATGCGAAGGGCCACTCACATTAAGGCCTCCTGGCTGACGAACTCATATTCTGCCTACCTCCACCATCCCTTCTGCAAAACACATAAAATTTTGCAATCACTTATATAAATACTGCAAGATTCAATTCATTGAATTATTTTTCTTTGCTTCCAAGCTTGACCCGCAAATACCCGTGCTCCCCAGCATTCTTTTCAGATCCACCCCTTTCGCCGGGTAACCCTCTGAAATATCAAGAGGCAAAAAAAATTTGAACAGAACGCTGATTTCCAACCCTTCCTCTCCTTTCTTCGAACATCCCTAACCCCATTTTTTTATAGGTTAATCCATTGAACCTATATCTAAATACAGACCCTTGTTAAAGTCATCTTTCAACGGGCCCCGCTTTCAGATTTGAAACAACACTCCAGAAGCACTCTTCTACCCCTTTTTCAAGCGACGCAATCATGGCTTCCGACGGAATCACCGAAGTTGACTCTTCCCTCATCGAGACTAACTACGACAATGTTGTCTCAACCTTTGACGAGATGAACCTCAAGCCCGAAATTTTGAGAGGTGTCTACGGTTCTGGTTACGAGGCCCCTTCTGCCATTCAGCAGAGAGCCATCGTCCCTATCACTGAGGGACGCGACGTTTTGGCCCAGGCCCAGTCTGGTACCGGTAAAACCGCTACCTTCACTATTTCTGCATTACAAAGAATTGACCCTTCGCTTAAGGCCACCCAGGCGCTGATCTTGGCCCCAACTAGAGAGTTGGCTCTCCAGATCCAGAAGGTTGTCTTGACCATTGGTCTCCACCTTAACGTGTCTGTCCACGCCTCCATCGGTGGTACTTCCACCATTGACGACATCGAGGCTTTCAAGTCTGGTGTCCAGGTCGTTGTTGGTACCCCAGGTAGAGTGTACGACATGATCGAGCGTGGTGCTTTCAGCACCAAGAACCTCAAGATGTTCATCATGGATGAGGCCGATGAGATGCTTTCTGCCGGTTTCAAGCAACAAATCTACAACGTTTTCCGTTACCTTCCAGAGACCACCCAGGTTGTGCTGCTTTCGGCCACCATGCCCCAGGATGTGCTGGAGGTTACTGCGCAATTCATGACCAACCCAGTCAGAATCTTGGTCAAGAAGGATGAGCTTACCCTTGAAGGTATCAAGCAGTTCTTCATCAACGTTGACGAGGAGAAGTGGAAGTTTGACTGTCTGTGTGATCTGTACGACTCGATCTCCGTGACCCAGGCTGTCATCTTTTGCAACACCAGAAGAAAGGTTGAGTACCTGACCCAGAAGCTCCAGGAGAACAAGTTCACCGTTTCTGCTATCCACTCCGACCTGACTCAACAGGAGAGAGACACCATCATGTCCGAGTTCAGAACCGGTTCCTCTAGAATTCTCATTGCCACTGACCTGTTGGCCAGAGGTATTGATATCCAACAGGTTTCCCTGGTCATCAACTACGACTTGCCCCTCAACAAGGAGAACTACATCCACAGAATTGGTAGAGGTGGTCGTTTCGGTAGAAAGGGTGTTTCCATAAATCTGGTTACTGACAAGGATGTGGCGATGATGAGAGAGATTGAGATGTTCTACTCCACTCAGATCACCGAGATGCCTTCCGACCTCAACGAGCTGTTCACCTAGATGCCAGTCTCAAACAAAAGTTTCATCATCACCCCCTGTTTAGTTTTAGCGTAGCGAGTTTGTGTTTTTTTATTACTATTATACGGTCCGTTTTGGCCCCTCCTAGCCTAGCTTTCATCTGAGACGCCCTACTGGTTAGCATATAAACCCGGTAATAGAACAACTTTGGATCTTAAAAAACGCTAAGTATAAATTTTGCTATACAATTATGTTATTTGGCTAAGTTTGTTAGGTGTCAAGTCCCTAATACTCTATGTAGTTGTGCCGACGCAACATTAAACCTGTGGTGGTCGATTATGTAGTTCCAGCGCGGTCCTTTGCACTAATCGCTATTGAGAGCATGCAAATAGTTAAAAAAAAATTGCCTTTGGTCAACGAACGGTTTTGAAATAAATAATTTGCCCTAAAGCTCAGGGAATGCTTGGTAATTTCTGTTTCAGGTCCCATCTTTCATGGATGGCATGTAGACTGTCAGTAGGAATTTCCAGAACTGCACTAAAGGTCGAACTATGGTAGTGCGAAAACAGTAGAATTCGTTCCAATAATGTCAAAGTATTTTTTCAAGCCCATTTAAAGCTGTTCATGACCAGAGTATTCCATACTTTTGCCAATTCACTATTCTCGCCGAGGTCCATGTACCTACAACGCATTCCTAATGAAACGAACTTTTTATGTAAATGTGTATGGATAATTTATATCTTTGAGTTATATTCATGCCTTTGCCCTCTCTTTCTGCTCCTGCTCAACACTCTTGGAATCCGACTTCTCCAACCCGTCACGGATCTCCTTCTGGGGCGCTTCGATTTCAGCTGCAACTGATTCGGCTTCATTTTCTTTCACTTGTTCTTGGTTTGGCTGTTCCTCTTGGCTTTTGTCTTGGCTTTTGTCTTGCTGCTGCTCCTGCTCCTGCTCCTGTTCTTCGTAGTCGCTCAGCTTGATGTCGTCCTTCACGAGATATCTTCCACTTTCAGTAATCTTGCGGTTCTGCTGCTCTTCTTCCTTGATCAGCATATCTTGTTCCTTGAGAATGTTGAGCTTGAGCTTGGAATCTTCGTTTGCAAGCTCCAGTTTGGCCATGTTGTAAACTTCATCTGGGATAGACGAAAGCACTGCGAACAACGCGTCATAGTAGCTCTCCATATCATCGGCATGCTCACCATAAGTGAATGTCGAAGACAAAATGAGCAGAGTGGATGGAATCTTTTGGCGAAGGCGCAAATCCAGCCAGATGTTCAGATCATCACGCAGTCTCGCTGGGGAAGCACCAAAGGTCTTGATACCACGCGAAGCGCATGCACTCTGGAGCTCCTGAATAGATAGACTCTCAACACCCTCGTAGTCAATGGCCCGGTCGTCTTTCATCACCTGAAGAAGCTTGTATCTGATCTGGTAACGCAACATCTCGTCAGTTCCAAACGGCGTCAGATTCATATACTTCGCCATGGCAACTAGCTGTGGTCTGGACAAGTTGTCCAAAACCTGATCATTCTTGAAGTATCTTGCGATACGAATCAACTGCTCGTGAGTGGGCTTCTCGCCGTTTCGCACGAGACGGAAAAACTCCACAAAATTCGTTTTCTCAGATTCCGTGGCATTTTTGGGCAAGTTCAACCCACTCTCTTGCACGGTGCGCTGGATAAACTCGGATGTCACCTGTCTCGTCTTGATCAACGTCTTGGTCTTCTTCTTTTTGTCGGATTTGGACTCATATGTGGACGGCAGCATGTTTGGAAACAATTTCAGAGCAACAGGCAACAGCAACTCCGCAAATGGTATCAGAACAAACATCGAAAAAGGGATTAACCTCATGATATCTGTGATGGTGCGGGTAAGTTGCGTGGTCTCTCTACGGGTCAATTCGTAGCCAGCGGCCATCTTCAGAAGCAATTTGCTGGAGACTTTGACCTCATATCCAAGCAACTTGGTTCCGTCCCAGTAGTGCTGGGCCTCGTGCTTGACACGGTCCCAGAGCGGTTGTTTCACAACGGCGGTTTCTGGGACTTTCGGGGCCGTCTCGGAGGCCTTTTGAATCGCTTCGACTGGTTTCTTAGTAGATTCAGTCTTGGGACCTGACTCAGTAGAGGCGAGCCTCAACCCCAATAGACTCTGATGGCGGCCAGTATTCACTCCCAACATGGTATTTGTCCGAGCTACACGGAGCCCCGCTTGCAGGCTTCTTTGCACCGATCTCGACAGCATATGAGAGATGGGGAATTGGGCCCGGGTGGTTCAATTGCAACTAGCAGCAAAGCGGCAGGCCGGTAACGAAGGCAGGTATCTAAAAGCAAACTGTGCTCAACGGTACACACGAATTGGAAATTCACGGTACGAAAAGCGGCAAACTAGGAAGAATCAAAGAGAGAAAGCTGGCAGAGCGCCTTCGTCATGAAGAGCCAACGGCCAAAACTTCCTGTTGGCCGAAATGGGAGATGTGGGGCTGGCACGACTGTTGGGACTCGGAGATTGAGACAAAGCTGGAGCGGTTTTAGTGCAAAAAAATAGCAAAAAAATTCAGAAGATGAAGGTTATTTGGGTTATTTAGGTTGGTTATAGTTGTTCCGGAAAACGACCAATGGACAGGTTTTGGGTAGAGCATGGGGAGGGTTGAAGAAGCCTACCAGGTTGTGATGAGAAGTCATTACCTGTTAGTGTAGGCATAATAGTAAGCACAATAGTGGCTCAGTGGTTCCAGAAAGGGAGAGAGAATAATCACCCAATTTAAAAAAGCAAAGTCCGTGGATGCTATTGCACTTAATACGAACATTTTCAAGTATTAAAATACAAAAAAATGAATTTTGAAAGTGACGAGAGCAGCTCGTTATTGTAGGTAAAGAAAAGCCATACTAGATCACTGGCTATATAGTGGCCATAATGGCACGTCGGCCATAATGGCAGTTTGACGTATCAACCTTGCGCTAATATCAGCAGGTTCATGCTTCAATACCTTTCTCAAGATTGTTTGGCAAACTTTCAATGATTAAGATATTATTACTTTCTCACTGTTTTCTTCAAGTTTCATACAATTTTCAAATTTCCCCAAATTGTCACAATTCTTGCTTCTCACTCCTCCGGGTGGCACTGCCACATACCCTAGCCACATCATCATCTTATCAAACAGCCACACGCCCCTCAAGTCTTACCGCGATCCTTCTCTGTTACTTTATGAATAACCCAATATATACCATGCCTGGGGCGTTCCCGGCCCCGTATACTTATGGAGTGAATTCTGGGGATGATGGGTCCATGGACCAAGTTAATGTGATGAAGGTGCGCAAATCGCGACAGATGCGGTACAGAAAGCTATTCACTGACCAGCTGACCTTGATCATTCTGATCCAACTGGTCGTGGGTTATTTCCTCGACACCTCATTTTTCAAGTTGATTTGCGGAGTAGCGGTGGAGCTGGTGCTTTCAAACTGGGAGAGTTTGTCTGAATGGATAGTTGAGGCCGAGCTGATCCAGGCAAGGGCTGCTGCTGAGTCTCGTGAATCATCCGCACAGCCAGATATTGATGACGATTCAAGCTCAGCGCGAAGACGGATCTGCGAGCATGCACACAAGAGCTTGGGGGTTTATAGACTCGGGATTCTGTTCGAAATTGTACTTCTGTACGCGATATCACTACTGGACCACATCCTTTGGGGCGTGCCATATATTACTGATACCCCAAAGAAGGATGCAGGAACACTGGTAACCATATCATGGTCCTGGGACTGGCTTAGTGCCTTGTTTTTGAGGCTTAGGGATTCCTACAACGAATCGAGTGCGCAATCATCTCGTCACCGCGAAGACGCCAAGTATCTCCACGGATCTTTGTTTGTGTCTTTGGTAGGCCAATTGCCCGTGTCAGGACTCCTATACGTTCTGGTGCTTGATTCGGTGGTTTTTTTGCTACAATTGGTGCAATACCAATGCGTATTTGGTGAGGAAGCTGTTCATGACCATGATGACGGCCACCGGCTGGGTGACACACAGCCACTATTGTCCGAAGAACTCGACGACGGGTTTCAAGGCTCCCTGACGATAATAAAACTGGAGATGTTTCCACGAATTTCGTGGCGTTGGCTCAAGGAGGCGATGTTCAAGCCGCAGGACCCAGAGCCCCAGGTCGAAGAGCCAGAGCAAAGGCTAGGTTTAGCGTGATATGAGTAATGACTGTAAAGTGAAGATTATTTTCCTTGTAAGTATGAAGTAATGGCCGAAGAGTCCATTATTCTGTCAAAGTTCCAGCAATATTTCAACCAATTACGGTTCTCCACGATTTCGCTCCAATCCTACTCAAAATAGCAAATCAAGCGAAAAGCCTCATCCCCACGACCCTGGTGATGAGCTGGGTCACGCCGCCATCAAATCTCCGTGTCGTGGTCCCATATAAGCGCTCTTTGTTGAATAGGGTAAGTTTCAAAGATACAAAGACCAAATTTGGTGTATTTGATGGGGTCAATCTGGTGAATTTTGTACATATTATTTGATTTTTTGAAAAGGGCTTTTAGAACCTGAATAGTTCACACCAACGGAACTCCTTGTGACAACTGGACCTCTGAACCCTCCGCCTGGACTTGATCCGGACCGTGAACTTGGCTAAGATTGCATCAAATTAAGTCAATTATAAAAGGTTGGGATATAGCATTTCACTTTGACCGCCACAATGAGCCAACGACCTGCTATCTCAAGAAACTCGTCTGGCGATAATGAGACCGTCTTCTCCGGACTCACAGGTTTCAGTGGATACACCACCAGCTCCGCCTCCACCTACTCAGTACAGATGCCGAAGCCAGCAACGGGAATTTTGCCATCTTCAGACCCGAGATCTCCATATCACTTGCCATTTCCATCCAATCCCAAGCCCGCAGATGAGCTCGCCAAGCGGTTTGCTGTGTGGAAAACTATTATCAAACAGCTGATTTTCTATTTCCGCGAGGTGTCGCTTTTGAGAAAGCACTACTACGATCTCAACGTCCAAATGCTCAAGAATGTGCAGTTTTTGAATCGCCAACAGGGCAGAACCACCAGCAGTGGACCGGGGATGTACAACCTGTTGAACAACACGAGCTCCACAAACGTTCATGCCTCCGTTGATCCGCCCGTATCGGAGCCAGTTACGGGTTCTGCCGAAGAGCGGTTTATTCAGAGTGCCTTTTTACCTCCCGGAGACTCTTCTGTTAAAGGTATTCCATCGGTACTGCACAACTACCACAAGGCTTTGTCTGAAAAAGAGCTCATCACATACAATAAGTTGACACTTAAGATCATACCAAGACTGGAGAATCTCAAGAGTGCCCTCAATGCGAAGATCAAAGAGATTTTGGCTCTCAAGTCAGATTTCAAGATCAATAGGCTCAAGAATGAGATTGCCATAACTGGCCAGTTGCTGAACGATTACGTTGCTGCAGTTGAGCTTTTGCAGACGGGTAAAACAGTGACCTCGCTTGGTACTACGAAGTTTTTGAAAGACGAGGTAAAAGCATTGAGCCCTAAGCATGATCCCTACATTTTGAGGCTCAAATTGGATCTCCAGCTGAAAAAACAGCTGCTTGAAGAGAATGTCTTCAAAGAGTCTTTCTTCAATATCCAGAATGCTGGTTGGCAACTAGAGAACATCGTTTATGGCGAAGTGCAGAATTCTGTTCGAATGTTTTGCGATTTGGTCAACGCCGAGGTTGACGCTGTGAAAGTCAACTTGATTGACGATTTGACCCAGGGGTTCCTGAGGTCAGAACAAAACGTGGATTGGGACTATTTCATTTCCAATGAAAACGAAAACTTTTTGAGCATAATGTCTGATCAACTCAAAGCCGGCGAAAAACCCCCTATGCGCAAATTGTCCCAGGTATCATATCCGTACCAGCAAAGACTAGTTTCCAGGAGCATTCGGTCAGGGTACCTGGATAAGAAGTCGAAAGTATTGAGAAGCTACAGCAGAGCCTTTTTCGTGCTGACGCTGAATTTTCTTCACGAATTCAAGACCGGTGACCGAAAGAAGGAGCCCAACCCTGTAGCATCGATTTTCCTGAGTGATTGCAGTGTTCAAGACTCAGATGGACGCAAGCTGGTTTTGAGAGTGAGCTCAAAAGATGCTTCTGGCGAGGAAAAGGCCAAGATATCACTAAAGTGTGCCGATCCAGGTGAGCTGAAAAAATGGTACACGGACCTCAGCGAATTGTGTTCTCTGAAGAACATCATTGACCGAAACGCTTTGATGGAGTCCAAGTACGAATCCACGATGTATGTTGCTCCAAGTTTGGAAACGAGAACGGTTGACAGTTCTTTTCAGGATTTGCCATCCCAGACTCAACACCAAGGACCATTCTTGCATCCGCAATTCAATGCCTCCGGCTCTTCGATTCATCTGCCTTCGTTCCAGCATGCTAGAGGCCATGTTCACAGTCATTCAAATTCTTCCATCAAGTTGACTGATGAATTAAACAGGGGAAGAGTAGCTGGCCTTACTATGAACAGTGCCAACAGTTCGCCGTTGAACTCTCCGCCAGCAGCAGAATTTACCATTGGTTCAGATTCTTCGACTCCACACAGTGCCCCAGCCACAATTGTTCCTCCCGCTGGAGCTGGTGGAGGAGGCACAGGGACGTCTGCGCGTGCCACAACAGCATCAGGACCTCCCTCCGACTCTTCAGGCTCTGGTGGCTTGCAGCAACCCGCACCAGACTATTTCACTCTTGCGACTTCCCCGGCACCGAGAGCTTCAACACCAGAGTTTGTTGTATCAGAGGCTTCTCCTCCAAGAGAAAGAGGACGTCTTTCAAGACCATTGTCGCCCATCCAGTCCCCTTCTCCTTCCCCTTCTCCTTCTCCGTCTGCCTTTGGGCATAGAAATGGCGCATTTTCACCAAGCCTACATATTCAACCACCGCAACCACCTCTCAGCCCAGGATTGTCTCAGCAAGACATCATCGTTCAACAGCAGCAGTTCCAGCTTCAGCAGCAGCAACAGATTCGCCAGCTCCAATCGCAGCTACAACAGCAGCAGAGGCAACAGACTAGAGCAAAGTTGAATACTCAGGAGTCATCGCTTTCGTCACGCAAAAATGCTCCTGCCCATCGGATCAAACTCCCGGCACCATCGAGCTTGAACGAAGTGCTTGCACAGACACCTATCCAGACTCCTGGAAAGTTACCTGAGACCAGTGTGTTTGACATGATTGAGGGGTTTGATGGCGTTACAGGAACACAGACAGACTCGAATACGTCTAGTCCTGCGTAGGGTGGAAAGCAAGCAGTTGGTGATAGATTATAGGAGCAGAGCGGGCCCCTAAGGGAATGAGCAAGTCTCGGAAAAAACATCACTCATAGAATTTGAAAAGAATATATGACTCATCCGACTTATAAGACTTATATATTTTTATACAACTTATAAATCTTAAACGACTTACGGAATCAGACCTTGAAGAGCAAATGGCTCTGGGTCTAGTAAGTGAAGAGCTTACGTAGGCTAATCAGTTTGATCTCCCCACGGAGATTACCAAGCTTACAGAGCTAAAAGGGCTTTAACAGCTCCGATAAGTATAATTAACAGATTACTTTGACTAATTTATAACGTGAGAAAATGCCAGATTTAGCACACAATCAATGTCCACACCCGTTAGTTGGTACCAGTGCTTCCAAATCCACCTTCACCACGGTCAGTCACGTCCAACTCCTCTTGGGTAATTTCTAAGACAGGAGCATTCACGATCTTCTCGAGAATCAGTTGAGCAATACGATCGCCAGCCTCAACCTTGAAATCAGCAGCGTCGTGGTTGAAGAGTAGCACTCTGACCTCTCCTCTATAGTCGGCATCAATGACACCCGCGCCGGTAGAAATTCCATGTTTCACGGCGAGTCCTGAGCGAGGAGCAACACGACCATATGTTCCCTCGGGAATCACGAGGGTAACGTCTGTTGAAACGAGACCGCGTCCGTTCCCTGGAATGACTGCTGGGGCAGAAGCATACAGGTCATAGCCAGCAGCCAGGCTAGATCCCCTTGTGGGTAATTTGGCACTAGATGAGCGCAACAGCACCTTGAGCATTGGTTCGAGCTTTGATCTCTTGATTGGCGGTTCGGCAGTCATTGTTGGTGGAGAAAGGCGCGGAAGAAGATGAAGAATGACGCGTCTGAGTGGAAAAATCGAGGCGCGAGTGGTTCATTAGACTGACACTTTGAGTAGCACACTTCTCATATGCGTGCAACGTGCGTATACGTACGGCGAGGCCATGCAAGCCGGTCAAAGAGCTGTCTAGACAACCGCGAATAAATTCTGAAGACATGCTTTTGATACCAGGCTTCATCTAGCGGAAAATTTCAATCTAAGAACAGATTAGACTTCAAAACTAGCAAAGACCTTTAAAATTTACGTGCTGAAAAGGAGATTTTGAGGCCTTTTTACGGCATCATTTCCTCAAAGAGGTATTCTCAGTTTCCATCTACAAAATAACTGAGCCAAAGATTCGTTCAATTCGTAACAGACAATGAAAAGTAGATAAAAACATGTCATTATGACAGTAGATTTGTGCTTTCGCCTTAGAAGCGGGCAAGACCCGTCTTCTCGTAAGTTCCCAGCTTGAACTGAGGAACTTCCATGGCAAGATCGTCTCCAGAGTATCCGAGGTCCTCGGCAACCAAAGTGGCAATCTTCTCACCAATCAACAAAGCAGTGGTGTAAGTGTTGCATCCAACATTGTCGGGACACACGGACAAGTCACCAACCTTGAGACCCTTAACACCATACACGTTAGCACGAGGGTCAAGAACACCACCGTGTGGGGCAATCTTTGAGCCTTCACGTGGAGCCATGGAGTTGGTTCCAAGACAATGCCACGTAGTCTCGGTGTGTTCCTTGATGTAGTTCTCAATGGCCAAGTCGTCTTCCTTGGTGTACTCGATCTCGGCGTGAAGTCCCACCTGGTTCGAGGTACAGTGGTCAGCGTTCTTGATGCTTGGCTTGCCAATTGGCTGAGACCAGGATCCGTGAGCAAGGTTAGCCGACAAGTGCAATGGACCACCGTAAGCCTTTGAAGTCTCGAGATCCATCTCCAAGGCACGGGCATCAGAGTCGTAAGGGAAGTATGGGTGGTGCGAAGTAACCTCACCTGCAAATGCATCCATACGACGTGCAGTCTCACGCGACTTCTTGTAAGCCCAGATCATTGGAGCCATGTCACGCTTGTCGTTCATGAAACCGGGGTCAAAGGTTGGAGCTGCGTAAGGGTCAGCAGACTTGATTTGAACGTATCCACGGGAGAATGGGTACTCCAAGAAGTGGAACATCGACATGTACTTGCCTGGGGCAATCTTGGTGTGGTCTCCAAAGAATCCGGAGATGACAGAGTAATGCATCACAGGCTTATCTGGCTTGTTTCTGAAGTATTCTTCGTATCCCTCTCTGAAATCAGAGTCCATAGCAGCAAGCTCCTCCTCGGTAGGACGAATCTTGACACCAGCCTCGATACCGTTGGTAGCCAAAGGACCAGTCCCGTTCGCATACCATTGGTCAAACACCTTCTTCTGGACATCCTTGTCACCACGGACAAAGTCATCAAACGACTCAAGGTGAGGCTTGATACGGTAAGGAGTGAAGAAACAGTAGTGATCCTGGAAGTTGCGGCCGACACCTGGAAGATTGACCAATGGCTTCACACCAGCTGCACGCAATTTCTGTGGGTCACCAAATCCAGATCTTTGCAACACCATTGGTGAAGAAACGGTTCCACAAGACAAAACAATCTGCTTGCGGGCACGGAAAGTACGTGTCTTTGGGTTTTTGGGGTCAAGTGGCTTGCTTGGAACGGTCTTCACTCCAACAGCACGTCCGTCCTCGACAATGATCTTGTCGATCTTGGTGGATGTCACCAGGAACAAATTGTCCTTGTTTCTCATAGTAGAATGGATGAAGGCATGAGCAGAGTCAGAACGACGACCAGTGTCACGGTTGATCCACTTTAGCCAGTGTTCAGCACCATGGGCCGTAACCAGGTCTTCCAAGTCGTCAACAACTGGAATTCCCTGAGACTCAGCAGCACGCAAGAAGTCCTGACAATTGTCGTAAGTGTAGTTTCCGAAGGAAACCTTGATTGGGCCCTCAAAACCGTGGATGTCACGGTTGTTACAGGCACGTTGATACGTCTCAGTCTTCTTCATCAATGGCAACAGGTCCTTGGTAGTCCAGCCCTCGGTCTCCCAGTCATCATAGTCAGAAGCAGAACCTCTGGTGTACATCATGAAGTTGATGGAAGAACCACCACCCAAAATGTTAGCACATGGAACAATCGCACGACGACCATTCAGGTGTGGAGATGGCTCCGCAGTGTAGAAGGTGGCAGTCTTCGAGTCCAGCTGCATGTTTCTAGGGTAGATACCTGGCAGGTAAACCCATGGGTTATTGAGGTTATTCTCACCAGCCTCAATCAGACACACCTTGAGTTCAGGATCCAGGTTGGCAAGACGGCCTGCAATACAGCAGCCGGCTGATCCACCACCGGCAACGATTATGTCAAATTCGTCTGGAATGGCCATTGTGAATGGAGTGGAAGCTTTTGGAAATTTGTCTTTTGCTTTTCGTGATTTATCAGGGGTAAGACTCCTTGATGCACGAACCAAATCAAATTATCCCAAAATTTAGAGGGTTGCAAAGAGTCTTTATATACTAGTAAATGGTTTCATGCTTATAACCCCAGATTACAGAGGCTATTTCCCGCACCGATTTCTCCACACCATGGGGAAAAAGGAAAAACCTGTTTGGAGGCGGAGACCGCAGAGGGGAAGAAGTGAGGGTACGGATATGCAAAAGGTACAAAATATGCAGAAGTAACCAAAGTCAGGCTCTAAAGGGTAGATTGAGAAAATAGTCTGCAGAGATAGTGGGAAATGCAGGAAGTAGTCGGAAATGGACCGGGGTACATGCTGAATGACTTCTCGACATTCTCGGAGAACGGCATAGTATTGGTAGAAAATTGATAACCGTACTTCGGAGCCCGAAACTACTACTCCTCACCAAGTCATCGTTCTGCAGGTTGCAAAATAAATCTCCAATGGCATACTGATAGCCGCCAGGGAGTTTGGAATGAAAATAGGCTTTGAAAGTTTGTGGGGAAGTAAGAGAGAAGTGGGAGTAACGAGTGAGGATTGAGTGAAAAATGTGAGGAAAAAACTGAAAGATTACTGGAAGGGTTTTGGAAGGTGTTGAGAACAATTATGCTGAAGCACTTTTGAACCATTTTTGAACCATTTCGGGGCGTACCATCGGATGTAATCTTGAAAATGTGTCAAACTGGTGCGACTTGGCCAAGTACAGAAAAAAGAGCACAGACAAAGACATTCCAAATAGTGGAATTAGAGTTTTGCTGGCGCTCTACGATTTTGATTTTAATTTTGAAATCGATTGTCCTAAATGCATTTGTCATTTCTGGACTCTTTCAGTTTTATATCCCATTACCTATCTATTGTCTCTTTCAAAAGCCATTCTGTTTTCCACTCTACTTCCTACTCTTCAAGGCGACCTCTTCTGCCTCTACGACCATTCATCCACCCCACTCTTCTCATGGGGTGAAGTCCTACTATACTCTCGGCGTAGCCTATCTTGGGCTTAAGCCAAACAAATTTTGCGGGAGTGGACCATATCAAAAGATATAGGCTATTTTCGGAGGCCGGGTGTGGGGTGCCGTATTGGCGGAGGTGTTGCCTCCATTGGTTTCTGAGTTGGATTGAAAACCAGACATATTGAGACAAATTACTGAATCAATAGTGCCGAATACAAGATAGCTGAGTACCAAAGATTTGATTTTGGGGTTGAAGCCTCGGTATAGAGCTCTAGGTTGCAGTTTTCTGCGAGTTGCTGTGACCTGATTCAAGCTTGTACTCCAGGTTTACGGGGAAATCCTTTATCAATTCCCTTATCTGTTCCACAAATTTTTTTTAATCATACACCAGTTTCATTTTTTTGTCAGCCACCTAGCTCCCACAATTTCTCTCGCTGCTCTATTCGAATTTTTCATCTTCCTCCGGTTGACTTCCCCGCCTTTGGTGCCTCGAGTAGTGCATCCAACACATGCAGGTGCGGCATTGCATCGATCAGCACACAACTATGTTGACATTTTACCTCATTGGGAATAACATATATCCAGGGGAAAGCATGAAGAAAACGGTGAATACAAGTAATAGAGGCGTTTTACCCGCAAATCTTCACAAAAGCTAAGCATATTATTACACACAAATAATGTGGTTGACCTGGGTTTTGTGGTTCAGATTGGCCAGTGCCCACTGGGATACGGTGTACAACCTGGCCAACCAGACCGTGTATATCCGACCCTCGAATTCCAATTCAACAGTTCTTCAGCTTCAGTTTGACGACGTGATTGAGACAAATCAAACACTGATCACGACAATCGCGTCCCCTCCTTCAGATGCCAAATTGGTATCAAATGTCGGTTTACATGACGGTCTTTTTGCAGTGTATCCAAATGAAGACTACACCCTAGAGATCCAATGGTACGATGCCGCACAAGATCTCTGGAAGAATCTTTCTCTCTCAGACACATTCGAATTTTATTCTGACTCCTCATATTTGACTGGTGATGATGAGTTCCTCTATGTTTACGGGGGTTCTTCTCTGCTAGACTCGTCGGTTTCAAACAGACTTCTCAAGATCGATCTGGCTTCTGGTGAGGTTTCGACAGCCAACACGACAGTCACTCCAGCAAACTTTTATGGCGCAGCATCTGTTCCTCTGGATGAGAGTACAACGCTTGTTGTTGGAGGAAAGTCCTCGAGTGGTTGGGTTGGATTAACCCAGCTGGCACTATGGGAATACTCGACTTGGGCCTTTAGAGAGGTATCATCGACCTCGACCATAAACTCGCGCATACTGCCACTTGTTCTGCCGGTCATGAAATTCCCCGATAATGATTCGATGAGCTTTGAAGCCGACTCTGTTCTAATGATTGGCGGAAATTTATCATCGTCATATTCGTCTCCCTCGTTTGCTTCTCTCACCTTATCCAACTGGTCATGGACTGATTTAGATACTACTGTTAGTGTCTCGAATTCTCTTGTGAACAATGAACAGGACTCTGAACTCTCTCTGGATTCCATCGTCGGAGCCGCAACAGTTTTTGAGACTCTTATCGTTGTACATAGCGAGTCTGGCTCATACGCCGCACATCTCTACAACGCTTCAACCCTGAGAACTGTCGATTCGATGGATTACCACGTCTCATCACACAGCCATTCGTCTAACAGATCCTTGGTGATTGTTCTCTCAGTTGTGATTCCAATTTTCGGGATTTTGCTAATTGCCGTTCTACTCCTATATCTCTACAGACGTCATAAGCACACACTGGCTGAACGCGAGAAAGAGCTCGAACTAAAGAATGCTCTTGAGTATTACAACCATATAGCTGAGAAGCACAGCATTGCCTCTATGGAATCAGATGCCAAACCGGATCAGGGTGAAGACGACGACTCGGGAGATGACTTCTCAATAGGCAGTTGGCGTCGTAAGCGTGAAGAGTATGATCGTGCTCATGTGCCGAGACACGCTCAACCAGAACAAGCTCACGTCGCAGAGACTGCTTCTTTCCTTAAAAGGAGTTTATCCTCTGTTTCCTCGAATGTTGGAAGACTGGGCCGCTCTTTTTCATACCAATCGTCAGTGAGGTCTGCACCTCAACCACCCCACGCTTCTCTACGCCCGGAAACTGGATCGACGTCTACACTATATTTAATTCCCGAGTCAGCAAGTGTACAGTCAGGACTTTCAAATGAGACCCGGGTTGCCGATAAGATAGGACATTCGCAAAAAGGAAGTGTGGATTTCGATGATGCAGATTATGACGTTCAGATTCTCGTCTCGTCCAAGCGCAAGTCGAAACTGAGAGTGGTCAACCCAGACCCTGAGACAAGGAGACGAAATGTTTCGGATGAGAAGCGCGAGGACGAGGATCTGTAATGCACAATATACCTACAAAATTTCGGTGCAAACCATACTTAAAATACGCAAAGATATGAAGTGTAGTGATCAAACTGGAGTTGACGTAGTTATCTGGTGATGAGTGAGTTCATGCAATTCTCACTTTTTCTAGCTGCCATGATGCAGGCGAAATCACACTTCTCCATCTACATCACTTTTTCTACGTTCCCCCAAATAAAAATGATTGCGGTAAAATTTTTCAAACCAAAGTGAAATTGCAAAGTTCATTGTGCAGTATATATAGTCTAGCTAGCTTCAGCTAGTTCAAGGTGCCCCCCATTCTAACTCAACTGACCAAAGGTGTACTCCCTCGACTTTTGTATCAGCAGAGCATCAGCGCAAACAAGCGCAGCCATAGCCTCAACAATTGGGATAGCTCTAGGAACGACGTTAGGATCGTGTCTTCCTCTAGCTTTGAGAACTCCGTCCTCACCCTCGTAAGAAGCTGTGCTCTGCGACTGAGAGATAGTGGCAGGAGGCTTGAAAGCAACGCTGAAGTAGACGGGCTCTCCGTTGGAAATTCCACCCTGAATTCCACCGGAGTTGTTAGTAGTGGTTCCAAGGGCGCCGTCTGCCTTGGCGTAGAAAGGATCATTGTGCTGAGAACCAGGGATCTTGGTTCCTTCGAATCCGGAACCGATTTCGAAGCCCTTGGTGGCTGGAATGGAAAGCATGGCATGAGCAAGCATGGCTTCCAACTTGTCAAAAGCTGGCTCTCCCAAACCAATTGGAAGATTACGAATGACACAAGTCACGACACCACCAATGGAGTCCTGGCTGTCCCTCAGCTGGGTGACAAGATCGGTCATCTTCTGGGAAACAGTAGAATCAGGGCATCTTATTGGCTCAAAAGAATCCACCTGTTCACGTGTGATGGTAGAAAGTAGCTTTTGGAATTCAGCAGAACGTGGGTCTCTGTCAATGGAAATCGTGCCAACCCCGCTGACGAACGCAACGATCTCAACACCGTGGCTCTGGGCCAAAAACTTCTCGGCAATTGCACCAGCTGCAACACGGCCAATTGTTTCTCTAGCAGACGATCTTCCACCACCAGAAGAGGCCTTCACACCGTATTTCTTGAGGTAGGTGTAATCGGCATGAGAAGGCCTGGGGAAGACGTCAGTCTCGGAGTAGTCCTTTGGACGGTGGTCTTCGTTGCGGACGATCATTGCAATTGGAGTTCCGAGAGTTTTTCCAAACTCAGTTCCCGACTGGATTTCGACCTTGTCCTTTTCGTTCCTCGGCGTGGAAAGCTTCGACTGGCCCGGCCTTCTTCTGGTGAGCTGAGGTTGGATGTCGGCTTCCTCGAGCGACATATTTGGTGGAACTCCGTCGACGATGCAGCCGACGGATTTGCAGTGACTTTCACCGTAGGTTGTGACCTTGAAAATGGTTCCAAATGAGGACATGGTTGAGTTTCTGTTCTATGTCTTGTTAAAGAGAGTTTGAATGACACCAGCGGTATGGAAAATCCGTTGAAAAAGTGGTGAGTCAACTGTCACGCATCGCAAGGGTGAATAATGCCAGAACATTGTGCTTATATCATGATTGATATCATTGATATATCACGCTTCAAAGAACTTTAAACCTCTTGGAAAGAACAAATATTCTATAAACAAGGCAGAATGTGACCCTGTTATTCTGGAATGTCCCTGTTCATGGAAGTATTGGTTTTGTTCTTGCAAAAATGCATAGCATACCTGGAAAGTGTCTGACGAAGCTTCGGCATTTGGTTACCTAAGCTTTGAAGAATGGTTACGCAGCATTGACACTTCATCGATAACTCTGACCATCTTGTTAGACCCAGATCAGATAGTACGACATTTCAACACCACCATCAGTTCTTATTTTAGGAGCTTTCAATATCCTTCATAATCTCCCTAAGATGGACTACATATACATCATAACGGCCCTTCTTGGATTGGTGATTCTGTTGGCCTGGGTGTTTCTATCCGGAAGAACTAGCTTCGGTACAGATAGTCCGACGTTTGCAATCGTTGGCCCCGTTGGAAGCGGAAAAACAGTGCTTTTTGAGCTTTTGACAAACCATGTACTACCGGTGGGAACAGTAATGTCGCAGGTGCCCACGATTGAACTAGCATATACGGTGCCATCTGCACCAGGGACTTTCACTTTGATCGATTACCCCGGCCATCCAAAGCTTCAACAGCTCTATTTGCATGCAAATCTGCGGGATCCCGCATTTGTTCGGAAACTCAAGGGTATCTTGTTTGTTGTTGACAGTGCTTCGTTTTCCAAGGAGTATTGTGAGCTCGCGGCCCGCCAAATGCTCGACATCTTCAAGGCAACCGAAGGCCGTCCAGACGGGGTGGACATGGTGGTATGCTGCAACCGTTGTGATCTTTTCACATCCAAGAAGCCTACAAGGATACGCACGATGCTTGAGGAAGAGATTGAGACTCAACGGAAGCTAGAGGCCAAGAGTCTGGGAAAGGTCTCCGATGGAGTGGAAGAACTGGACGATTTGATCGGCTCCCAACAGCGGTTCTCCTTCGCAAGTCTCGAGGGAAATGTTGATTTTGTTGAGGGCAATTGTTACAAGAATAATGTGGGAAAGTGGGAGGAGTGGGTGCAAGAGAGAGGAGTAAACTAAGTCCGAGAGTGAGTGAATAACGAGGCGCAGACTTGAAGAGGCCTGTATGTATAGCTTAAAAAATGAAGTATGATTAGTCTAGACTCTCTATTCTGTCTGGTTATCCCCAGGACTAACCCCAGGATCATTCGACTTATCGTCACCCTTATCAGCCTTCTCACCAGGAGATGGAAGAGAGCTTACGCTAGGGAAACTGGCTGGGTTCTGAAGAAACTTCTGGTGTTCTTTTTGCCGCTGACGTTCATGAAACTTCATTAAGCGTGCGCGATAAATTGCAGGGTCTAGCTGGTACCGCGTAAACCGCTTTTCCAGTGCTCTAAGTTCAGCAACTTTAAAGCTAAGTTCCTTCTTGACATCAACGATCTCCAATTTCGGGTCCTTGAGCTCCTTGGAAATGCTCTCTTTGGAATCGTCATCTTTCTTTTCTTCAACCGATGATTTGGTGAAGTATCCGACAACAGCATTCAACGTACTAGCAGCTGCCTTCTGCTTATCCTCGAGCCTGCGAAGACGTTTTTCTAGATTGGCAACCTCTGCTTGAATTGACAAGACTTCAGACTTCTTGTCAGCACCAACCGAGTCCTGACTGGGTGACTCTTCGATATACCGAATGGAGCAGAAATTGGAGTCACGAAGATGCGCCTCACACACATAGAAGAAGTCGGGGTCTTTAGAAGATGCATTCGGCAAGGAAACCAGCACCGAAACAGACGGCTTGTAGCACACAAAGCACGACCTTGCCGATGTGTCCGCCACTTTTCGCAGCTTGTAAATTGATGTGAACGGCACCTGCATTGGCAACGGTTGTGGTCAATACCCCGTATTGCTAAGGTTCGAGAAGCGTCTAGGAAAGGAGCACATGAGTCGTGTAAATTCCAGTTGTGGCCTTACCAATCATCGTATTAATCTTTGATTACACAGCACCCATTACCCTACTTGGATATGTATATGGTTCCGGCTTGAAGGCGATGAAGAGTTGAATATGCTTCAGTAATAAATATGATTTAGCATGGTTTAGAAGGGGCTTAAAATAAGATTCTCTAATCATATTAAGGAACATTCATGTTTTCTTGAGACTTGGCGGAAAAACCGAGATTTTGCAACGCTCAAACTTCCATTTACCCTGCGGCCAATCCACTGAGGCGCATTTGCCGTTAGGCGCATTGCCGATTCCACCCGTTTGATTTCAAGCGGCTCCTCGATCGAGCGGCAATTTGACAAAGAAGACTGAATTTGCATAACCGGGGGAGTCAAAACATCTCTCACTTGGTGATTAATAAAAACTTCAAGATCCACATCACACTAACCAATATTGCTACTTTTTAATAAGCAATATTTCTTTCTTTTCGTACATTTAAATCTAACCGTTCGGCCGCGCGCGTGCCGACTTATCTTTGACAAGCACACGACTCATTCCAGTATGGGCAAGGGACATTCGGCTGCATCATCAGGGTGAAAGCTTCTTTGTTCTGTTCTCAGACTCTTTGAAAATCGCCAATACTCTTCGAAAAGTCTCACGCTATGTCGGAGCAGACAGAGGTGATGGGCGATTCGCTGTCGTTTCTAAAACAGCCTATACGCTCCAGAATGACGTCGACGCACTCTGCCATATCGAATGTACAGCCTGACCACTCGACAACCGCCTCCCCCGAGGACTCCCGCGCTCAACAGCAGCAGAGTATCGTGAATAAATACCGAGGGGTAGTTATAGAAGAGGTTTCGGTCGATTTGGACTACGATGAACGAATCCGCGCGCCGAGGATGACGCTACAGCAACTGTTACCTGATACTACTGAAACACCACCATCCAGACCCCTATCCGGGAGTATTTCGAATACTTCTGGAACCGAGTCACGTACTGGATCTTCCGGATCCCAGGACACGAAAGTGTACTTGCCAGCAAGTTTTGATCTTCGTCGCAGATATTCCACCGAGAACTACTCGCCGAGACAGCAGCCGCAGTTGGCCCAGACGCTTGCGGCCTTGGAAACGAACCGCACAAGCGATGAGAGGGGAGAGCGGCACCAGCCAGCAAAATCAGACCCACGTGAGCGCATGAACGTTATGGGCCCTTTGAAGCAAATTAATGAGCCCAAAACTCCCAATTACGTTCCTGCTGTGTTAAGGCCGCCTACGAAGGCTAATTACACCATGTCATCCAGCCGCAGCCAGTCAATAGAGTGCGAGAGCGACGTAGACTCTAATGAGTTGCAGAGGTTTGTTACCACACTTTCACAGCGTTCTGCCGAGGCTGATAACGTCGAGCCCACTCATAATCATTGGGTTCCAAACGCTAAAAGGGTTTACTGCGGAGGATGCAGTGCGAAATTTTCAATTTTGGTTCGCAGACATCACTGCCGTCGTTGCGGCGAGATTTTCTGCTCGTCATGTCTGGGAACGCGCGCTGCTTTGAACCTGATGGCCAAATTCGATCTTGTCCACGGCGTGATGTGCCGAGTGTGTCCTGGGTGCTTCAGTAGTTGGGAGACTTTCCTCAAACGCAAGTACTCAGATGGTGATAGCGGAATAACGTATGAGGAGGAACCCATGATTGCAAACCTGCGGAGCGAAGAGCGTGCAAAAGAAGAAGCCAGAACAAGGATGAACAGTGTAGGAATGCCTACTGATTGGACCTGGAGCTCATTCTGAGCCCAAACGGGTCGTGTAAGGGAAGGGGAATTGTGGATATGGACCAACGGTTGAATTTGAATGTTTCTTTTAGTTGTTTCAATACGTTTTTTGGGTGTTAACTTTGTCTTGTGAGTTATAAGTAATTAGGCATTCCGCAGCGAGTCAAGCTGACATAAGCATCATAGATCCCGCGGATTAAGCGAAGATTACATAAAGCATTATGTAATGAGCATTCCACTTATTGCGTTGGGTAACCCGGCCGATTATGTGAGCAGAAACGGAATTGCCTTCCCAATTCGGGCAAGCAGTCCTTGTTCGGAATTTCGAGGGCTTGCTGCGCTCACTGGAGGGACGTTTGCAACGAGCTTCAGCGAGGTGCGGAATTTGGGGTACCAAATGGTGCAAGGTCCAAGATAACCGGGTCTTGTTATCTTTGTCAGATTAAGCGATGATGTATTAGATTACGGTATCGGGCTGACAAGCGAGATAAGGCACGTCGAAGCCTTTCAAATCCCCGCCTTACTGGGTAGCACATCGATCCCATCTTCAGTGTTTGCGATCAAACATGCCAATATTTTTGCAAAATATTATTCGAATAGATAGATCGAGAGCACTACTCCACTCTGCAGGAGTTTCACCGGAATTCCCCCGATGGTTGCCGTTTTGTAGCAGTCAAAAGCTTACAAGTATCTCCCCTTAGATAAGGACCCAAACTGCAGATAATGACCTTACGCCAATGCTGCTGTCTCCTGTCTTTTTACTTCTTTCGGTCATCAAGTGCACTTTTCAATGCCCTGGCATCGTGTATCTAGATTCAGGCCGAGGTTTGGAATCTAATCCCGGCGTGCTGACAGGCTGATCTGACAGTCTGAATGGTGGACCCTTTTGGGAAAGCTGGACGGTTACTCGGAATTTTTATTGCATTGGATAAGAGACTCGGTGCCGTTATTGATTTGTATTATTCTGCGTGTAATTTTCCTGTAGTTATTATAAACCACTTTCGTGCTCTATATATAACCTTGGAATCCACGTATTTGCGTTAGGGAAATTCTCGGCAAAAGTAGGATTGTCCAATCAGTTAGCTACTAGAATTAGGCCGCCATCTCGTGCACACACCTTCTGCAAAACTTTTCATCCGTCTTCTTTCAACCTTTTTTTTTCTTGGGAATTTTGACAACGCTCAACATTATCGCTCGATTTGACAATGAAAGACGTTGAACAGTTATCTCCTATCGTTACCACGGCCACGGGTGTTCAGCTCGACGGAGATGCTAAGGTTTTGGCTGGGTTGGGATACAAGCAGGAGTTTTCGAGAAACTACGGTTTCTTGTCCACTTTCTCGTTTGCACTCTCCATTTCTGGTCTGATGGGAACTATTGCCATCACCTACCTGTATCCTCTGTGGGCCGGTGGACCAGCTGCTGGAGTGTGGTGTTGGTTCGTGGGCTCTATTGGATGTCTGTGTATTGCCTGGTCCGTGGCCGAGATCACCTCGTGTTTCCCAACCTCGGGAGGAATGTACTACGTGTTAAAATACGTTGTTCCTCCAAAATACGTGCCCATAATGTGCTGGATCGACGGATGGCTTTTTATCCTCGGTGCTTTGACCGGAGCGTGCTCCACAGATTTTGGTGCTGCTACCCTGCTGCTTCAGACTGTGTCTATGTACTCTGACTACACTTACGTGCCAACCAGAGGCCACATTACTGCCGTATCCATCCTGGTGATGGCCACTCACGGTGCCATCAACTCTCTGCCTGGTTCAGTGCTTTCTTCGGTGACTAAGTACTACTGTATCGTGAACATCCTGTCCACCATCGCCCTCATTGTCACGATGTTGGTCAAGTGTCCAGAGATCAATTCTGCCCACTACACATTCGGCGTTGTTGTCAATTCTACTGGTTGGGATGCCAAGGGCTGGTCCTTCTTGTTTGGTTTCCTCAACGTCTCGTGGGTCATGACCTGTTACGATGCAAGTTCGCGTATGTCTGAGGAAGTCCACGAAGCCGCCTACACCACTCCTTTGGCCATTGCAACTGCTCTCACCACCACCGCCGTCATGGGCTGGGTCTTGGTTATTGTCTTCACTTTGTGTATGGGCACGGATCTTGAGGGAACTCTTGCTGCTTCTTCCGGTCAGCCAATTGTTGAAATTTTCAAGTACTCCATGGGCAAGACAGCAGCCACTGCCTACCTCTCGATCTGCTTTGTGGTTCTCTGGTTCTGTGGTGCCGTTGCCATCTGCTACGTTTCTCGTTCGCTTTGGTCTTTTGCCAGAGACAGAGGTCTTCCATACTCGGACTACTGGCACCACTTGGACAAGCGCACTGGAGCTCCTGTCAGATGCGTCTGGTTGATCACCTTCATCAACGCTTGTCTCTCGTGCATCAACCTCGGCTCCGTGACTGCCATGAATGCCATCTTTTCTGCGTGTGCCATTGCTACTGACTGGTCTTACATTATTGTCATTGCATTTTTTCTCCTCAATGCCGAGAGCATGGGGGTCAAGAAGGGTCCTTTCCACATGGGTCGTTTCTCCAAGCCTGTGATGGCCTACGCCTGTCTCTGGACCGTCTTTGTTTCTGTCGTGTTTGTGTTCCCTAACTACATGCCTGCCACCAAGGAGAACATGAACTACACTGTTGTGTTGCTCGGTTTCGTCTTCATTGGTGCTGGCGGCTGGTACTGGCTCGATGCTCACAAGTGGTATAAGGGACCAGTCAACAACGTTGACGAGGAGTACGACGAACTCATCGAGGCTGTCGCTGCCCCTACTGAAATCAACGAAACCAAGTCCGGTCTCAGCCACAGAGCCCAAGAGGTTTCCGAGAAGATCTCGAACCCAAGCTCGTAATTTTAGATTATATAGTATCTGCTTTCTTTCTTTCTTTTTAGCCCCTTGACATTTAATCCAGCTCATTTGAGCATACGCCTAATTGAAGTGATAGATATGGCATTTGAATTTAACTTTTGAATAAATCACGGTCTGCATTCTCATTGCAGATCGCACAAACGATCAACCGCTGAAAAACTTAACCGCCTGATCTAAGCGCCCAAAGAAAGATCAGCCGCTCTCCGTAGTGTACCACCCACAAGAGCCCTGGTGTGGGTTATAAGAGCTTCAATTTCATTTTCTACGTCCCTCTTTTCTCCTGTCCCTAATCGTTTGTTGAAAAATGGCACCTGAGACCATCCTTGGAGTTGTTCCCTTGTTTGGCGCATTTTGCCTGCTTTACGTGTGGAGCGACTCGGTGGTATTCAAACTGATCCCACGTCTCTTTGACACACCCGCTATAGAGATCGACCATCGCAAGCTCGGGCTCAAACACGCTTACGAAGACCTTTCAAAGCCATCAACCGGCTACACTCATGGTGTTGCATGGACAAGAGTTGTTCGTGTACTTTTTGCTTTCACTTTGTCGTGCAATGCGTTGGTGATAGTGTTGGTGCTACTGGAGATCCTTCAGCTGATGAACCATGATTCCAAGGTATTTGCCTGGCACGCTGTGGTTCCCACCCTTATTGTTTTATTGACATATGTCATTCCTGCTGCCTTCTTTGCCTCATGGATTCGCAAAATCTCGCTCAATGCCAAAATACAGGCGGTGATTACGGCAGTAGGGCTGCTAGCTTGGACCACTGTGCTCGGAACCTTGCGAGGAGCATTTGCCACTGAAGACATTGAATCGACAGACGATACTTATGTTTCTCGATCTCTTCGTCAATTGACTTTACTTGGGGTAGTTGCACTGGCATTTTTGTCTGGAATGGGTTCTATTTCTCAGCCTTTCTATTGTTTCTTACGCAGAGCCAAGCCTGTAAAGGAAACCGACATTGCCAACATGGCTGCTACTTTGAGGACAACAGACGAGCTCCTGAGTAGACGTCAGCATGATCTCGAGCTTGCAGAAGCAGCGGCGCCGGATGTGACACAGTCTTCTTCGTTTCGCGACAAGCTGTTTAGGGCTGGAGCCGGTTCTTCTTCGCAGACAGACCTGCGAAATGAGGTCAATGCTTTGATCCAGATGGAGCGCGCTATCTACCTTGATCTTGGAAGACTTACCACAGCTCATGAGGCCCAATTGCGAGGCTCCAGAATCGCTGGAAAGTTTGCTTCTGGTGGTCGAAGGGTATTTGCGGTCTACTGTTGTTACAAGGTGATATCCATTTTATGCCTGCGATTGCCTGTGATCCTTTACCACGAATATATATCGCCAGAAAAGGTCCTCGAAGGTCCCATTCCGGCCAATCAGGTGTCTCAGGATGCACTTGCCGTCACCCTGGCCAAGCTGGTCAAGTCGTGGAACCAGGGATTGGACGAGGATTCGCTTGTGATCGAGCTCAGTTTCATTCTTTCCGGTGCATTATTCTACTGTTCCTTTTCGAGTGTTCTTCTGACGTTTAACTCGCTCAAAAAGCTGCTTCCCGTCAAGATTCGCCCAGCCAGATCTGCCCCAGAAAATAGACTTTCCACGGTAAGGTCCCTTCTAACGGCCGAGCTCTCGGGGATTTACATTCTATCCACGACGATACTATTATTGGCAAATTTGCCTCATGCTCTTTCGGATAGTCTGGTGAGTGCGCTGGGTTATCCAGACCTGGAAGGCAAGCTTATCGAAAAACTGTTCGATAAGGTTTTTGCATTGAGTTGTGTCACCACATGTGTGGGGATCTTCATCAGTGAAAGCTTCCAGCGGTTCTACGAAGATGACGACGACATTTACGACGAGGAACTGATGCTCGAGACCAAGATCCTGAAGGACATCTGAAGGACATCTGATGCCCACACAAAGTAACGATATACCCCATACGATAAGATGCCACGCCACGAATTAATCATCTTGAACGTGTAGAATTCTCCGTAGTCTATTTTTGGTACTCCAATTGGTGTTTTTTTGTAATAAAAACTCGATATTTACACATTCAAACCCACGACCATACACACCAACTGAAAAATGTACCATCACGTGACCTCATTGAGATGTGGAGCGGTCGTGGCCGTGCCGAATTTCAGCTGCCAGCTTCACGGGAAGAAAAGCCACTTACAACAGTTAAATGTTCCTCTGAAGCCAGAACGTTTATCTCTTCAAACCGGTTTAAACTGGAGAATTGTTGAATAGCTCGTGTTGCCAACTGTAATTGACACGATGTCCGTTGCGGTAAGTTTGTTTTGACGCGGTTACATGAGACTAAGTACTAACCTCTTCTAGCCAGGCCAAGCAATTGCTCCTCCGAAACAGACGAGTTCTGTGAACACCGAAGTGAGTAGATCCGTTCAATTGTAAAGTTTTTGTACTCAATTATTTGATTGGAGACAAAAGCTCAGAAATGGTTCGAATTTTGCAATACTAACCCTCCCCAGGATGAAATCACCCAGTCAATGCAGACTGACAACCTGCCAAGCAAGTCCATTGACAAGGAGTCTTTGCAAAAGGCATTGGACAAAGAAGCTGCCAAAAGAAAACCTCACACTTCAGCTCATCGTGGTTGGAAGGAAGTTTCTGGCTGGGAAGAGCAGGATGTTTTGACGCCAGATGACGAGGTTACCGACATGCTGTCTAGAGCCACCTGGATCGATGACTATCTCCCAGATAAGTTCTACGGAGACTGGTACCATACTGTTGCGATTCTGATTCTGGCCTCGTTTCTGTGTTGGGTAGTTGGAAAGTTCAAGCTCAGCGTTGGCCCCGTGTTTCTGATCACTGTTCCCGCTGCCCTTTACTACCGTTCCTCCATACGCAAGTACAGATCGTTGTTAAGACTAGATGCCCAGAGAGAATTTTCTGTTCACCAGATTGAGAGTGACTTTGAGAGTATGGACTGGCTTAATACCTTTCTTGATAAGTTCTGGATCCTTTTGGAGCCTTCAATTTCCCAGATCGTCTGCGAGCAGGCTAACCCAATTTTGGCCGCATCTCCTGCTCCAGCATTTGTGAAGCAACTGTGGCTCGACACCTTCACCATGGGGACCAAGCCACCAAGAATTGACAAAGTGAAGACTCTTTCCAGAAGCGCTGACGATGTGGTGGTGATGGACTGGGTTGTTTCTATGACTCCCAATACGCTCGCCGATGCTACTGTCAAACAACTGAAGAATAAGGTCAACCAGACGGTCATCGTCAAGGCAAAACTGTTCGGTATCACTTTTCCAGTTGTTGTGTCAGATTTGGCATTCAAGGTCAATGTCCGTGTCCGTTTCAGAATGATGACGAAGTTCCCCCACATCAAGACCATCAACGTCTCTTTGGTAGAACCTCCTCAGTTCGACTTTGTGGCTAAACCATTTGGTGGAAACTCCATTTTCGCAAGTGAGGTTCTCTCTTTCCCCGGTCTTTATCCATTCATCAACGAAATGGTGAAGAAGTTTGTGGGCCCAATTGTTTTTGACCCTCTCTCGTTCCAACTCAACGTTGAACAGCTACTTGCTGGTAACGCCTTTGGCAGCGCCGTTGGAATTCTGGAGGTCACCGCCAAGTCTGCAACTGGCCTCAAGGGTGTTGATACTTTCGAAAATACGGTGGACCCATATCTGACTTTTGGATTTGGTAACACTGTTCTCGGCAAGACTAAGACTATAGACGATACGTACACTCCGGTGTGGAACGAGAAGGTCAATGTGATGCTCAAGACTGTTTCTGACCCTCTGTGGATTATGTGCTACGATGAGAATGATGGAAAGAAGGACAAACTCATTGGTGCTGTGTTATATGACATGGAGGATCTCATGGATAAGAACACTCTCAAGAACGTCAAGCTGCCTCTTTTGAGAAACAACAAGCCTGCTGGTGAGTTGACGGTTGACCTCAAGTTTATGCCTGCCCTGCAAGGTGCTACTTTGCCAGACGGATCCTACGATGCTCCCCCAGATCTCAACACTGGTGTTGCTCGTTTCGAGATCACCGAAGCTAGAGCCTTCTCTGAAGACGACGCGAAGCCGCTCAGTACTTTCGTCGAGCTTTATCTCAACGATGAGCTCAAGGCAACTTCTTCTGTCGTGAAGAAAACCGCAAACCCAACCTTCAGTGCTGTCCATGAAGACATCATTACCGACCGCAGCAAGGCCAAGGTGCGTGTCATTCTTCGCGATGATAAGAAGAAACTAGTTGGTTCAAGAACGCTCCGCCTTTCGGACATTATTGATGCAACAGTTGTGGACCAGCCATGGTTCCCAATGACCAAGGGCAAGGGAGAAATCAAGCTCAGTGGTGTGTGGAGCTCTGTGGCCATGACTGGAGTCGATGGCTCCATCGGATACACCGAGCCAATCGGAGTTGTCCGTGTGTACATCAAGAAGGCTACTGACCTTAGAAACTTGGATACCTTTGGAGATATGGACCCATATGTGCGTGTTTTGGTGAACAGTATCCCCAAGGCCCGTACTCCAGTGATCGAAAACACAACCAATGCTGTTTACGAGAATGCTCTTTGGATCCCCGTTTCCTCACCTAACCAGCGTCTCAAGATCGAGGCAATGGACTTTGAAAAGAACCAACAGGACAGAACTCTCGGTTCTTTCGATGTAAGGCTGAATGATTTCATTGAGAAAAGTGAGTCAGGTGATTATATCGAGACAGTTGGTGAACTTAAGGAGTCCAGATTGATCAGCAAAAAGGGTCCTAAGGGAACTATTACCTACTCACTGGCTTTCTACCCAACTATTCCAACCAGAAGCCAAGAGGAGATCCTGGAAGAGGCTGCTATTCGTGAGAAGAAGGCTGCCGCTGCCGAATCCGAGTCGGATCCCAAGGCTAAAAAGCAAGAGTCCTCTGAAGAGGATGACCTTGATGCTGACATCTATGGCCATAAGATCATCTTGCCTATTGAGAAGGTGACTGACTACCAACAAGGTGTGTTTGTGTTCAGTGTGTTTGACGGAAAGTTCTCGTCATCAGGTCATGTCCAGGCCTTTTTCGATGACCGTGGCTATGCCGATTATGTTTCTCCAGTTGTCAGTGCTGGACAGTCACGCATTGCTACTACCGGTGACTTTTTGGTGAAAGAGCTTGACTACTCCACGGTGACATTCCGCCTTACCGGAAAACCTGATAACCATATCAAGAAGGAGGCGTATGCAGAAGTGACAGTTCCAACTCTCCAGCTGCTCAGAAGATCCTATGAGAAACCAGTTTTGCTGGATCTGAGCAATAGCAACACCCTTCGTGTGCAATGTCGCTGGATTCCGGTCAATATGAAGGAGCTGCCAGCTTTGGACTCCATTCTCAATTCCGGTGAGCTGAAGGTGAGGATTCTGAGTGCCTCGGGCATTCCTGCTGGTGACAGCAACGGAAAGTCAGATCCTTTCATCAAAGCATACATTAACGGTGAGGAGGTTCATAAGACCAAGACCATCAAGAAGACACTTACACCAGTGTGGACTAATGAGGAATTCAGCATCACTTTGAGCAGCAGAGTGACATCAACTTTGCGGTTGAAGTGTAACGATTGGGATATTGGTATTGAGCAAGACGATAAGCTGTGTGAGGCCACTATCTCTCTTCAGGACATTGACCCCGTGACAAAGTCATGGGTTGAAAAAGAGATCCCATTGTTTGACGATGATAAGAATCCAGCTGGATCAGCCATCATCGAATATCAGTTTGAGCCACACTATGTCTTGAAGCTGACTGAGAACTCTGCTGGTATCAATCTGATCTCGGGTCCTAAGGCAGTTGGTGCTGCAGGAACAATGATCATCGGTGCCGGTGGAAAGGTTCTTGGAACTGGTGTTGGAGCCGGTGCCAAGGTTCTTGGTGGAGCAACTTCTCTGTTCAAGAAAAAAAAATGAGTTGAATTTTAAGGAAAATGTGTAACAATTATGACTGCTGAAAGCAAGAGTGAAAGTAAGCTGCTAAGGTGCATGTAGATACGTAAGTAGAAGTGGGAAATTTCACCGCGATAGTCGTCATCCCGAACGGTCTCAAAGCCAATTATAATACATTATATGATCTACAAATCAATTTGTGACTGAAAGTAATTCCCTGAAAGGCCATCCTATGATCACCATATAGTTATCAGTGCTTCTCGCTAACTGGTAGTTAAGCGGCTACGCACTCTACCGTCTATTCCCCAACTTCAACCATAACGTAATTGTCTTTCGTTACTTTAACTGAAAACTTCCCTGCGAGCCTGTATGACTCCGCATTCACCCTTAAACCCAAATATCCACCAATGAAAGTAAAAAAACGCCTGTGACGACCACTCACTGGTGATGATCGCTCTTGAAAATCTCCTCGTCTTCTTCGTCTTCCTCTTCGAAGTCACCATCACTCAAAACAATATCCACAACCTCAACTTTCCCTATTCCAGAAGTGTCACTGTAGCGACTGGAACTGTAACTTCTGGAAGCGGTGGGGGTATCTTCCTCATCGCTGTCGTCATCCTGATGAAGAAGTGCTCTCGCCTGCTGGTATTGCGATGCAAACAAGTCCTGGTTCCATATAAAGCCTTGAGACTCCCGTAAAGACATAGAGTAGCACGGAATACTGGTACCGCCAACAGACCGTAAAGAACTGGCGCCATAATAGTGTGAACTCATCTCATAGACCGAGTGTTTTTCATTGGACATCATGGAAGTTGACAAAAAGCTGCGACGTCTCGCCCATGGCGACGAGGCCGATGTAAAAGATGATGCCCTCCTCTTTTGAAGACCTATCTGGCCAGACGTACGCCTTTGAGACAGAGACTGGGCGTTATCGGGGCTTGCCCGGAAAGGTGTAGAGGACGAGAGCGGGGTGCTCTGAGACCCAGAGTCTTGTGACGACACGATGCTAAACCCGCCGTTAATCGTGATTGGTGTCGACATTTGCAAGATAATCGAAATTTTGGTTTGGTATGCTATTCAAGTGTTATAAATACAAAGCAGGAGTTACTTAAACTGGAACAAGACTAGGGATCTCGGGGCCGGGTGCATTTGGCAGCCCTGGCCCGCATAGGCGTGCATCCGTGTCAAAATTGCATTAACCGCATAAGCCTAAGAGAGGGGCATCATGTGCTACCAGAGGCTACCGCAACTTTTCTTTAGTAGCAGCTTCACCGGCATGTTGTTATCAGACCTGTGTTTGACTGTTGGTTTCCCGTTGCATGTATGACGATAGAAAGCCCAACATTTGCTTCTGCATCGACTTTGTTCCTTGCTTCGACCCTCTCATAATCTTTTATGCATGGCCAGCAACATATCGTCACTAGAGCACCGAATATTACTATGCCGACCGGTATCGCAAACACTATCCCGAGGATTATCCCGGCGAGTTGTGCCTCAGCATAAAAGTCAGTATCACCTCGTGATATTAACGCTGTCGCTCGCCATTTCGAATGCTGAGTCAATAGATGCAACTAATGTGAGGCTAAATGCTTTATCAAATAGCCGATACCACCAGAACAGAGTATAATATATAAACATTGCTTATTGGCTCAGGGCGTTTAACTGGACTTTCCCCAGATGATTTTTATTGCAGGTTTAGTTATTAGTGTAACAAACATAAAAAAAAGCTTAAGAGTCAAATGAGAGAGATACCTGAAAAATGCGGGGGATAGACCAAAAAGATGGTTTCGGGTGATTTGAGAAGCGGAAAAAAACCAAAAGATCGACAACAGATCATTCCCTCCAATCAAAGCACTTAATCCTTGGACTTCTTGGACTTCTTCTTCTTTGGACTTTCCTCGGAGTCTGTAGATCTCTTCTTCTCCTTCTTGTCCTTCTTCTCCTTTTTGTCTTTCTTTTCCTTCTTTTCCTTCTTGTCTTTCTTTTCCTTCTTCTCCTTCTTCTCCTTCTTGGAGTCAGCATCAACCATGCTCACATCTTCGTCGGAGTCAGAGTCATCGGCAACAGCATTGGCTCCATTCAAGGCAATGGCTTCCTTGATGGCATCCGCATTCTTCATTGGTGGAGCACCGGTGTCGTAAAAGTTCAATCTCTCCTCGACCTGCTTCTTCAAGATAAGACCAAACGTGTTGTTTGGATCGTCGGAATAGTTGTCGATTCTGGACGCTATTGAGCACTTGTTGGCCAAGTATCTGGAAATTCTACCCTTATTCTTGGCACTGGCCTTACCGATAAAGGAGGAATGGTAGATCAAACCGTACTTTGGGGTATTACCCTTGGTTTTCAGTGCTCTGAAAAGGGCCTTCTCGGCACCGAGAATTTGCACAGTAGAAGCGGCCTGCTTGGACAGGTTGGTCAGAGAACCCGCATGCGAGATTAACCTGGCTCCAACAACCTCACCAATCAGCTCGGTCAGGTTAGGAGCAACAGTGTGCATCTTGTCAGTCAAGTACTTGTACAAACCCTTACGGTAGTCCGATATAGAGACGGTACGCTCAGCAAATGTGATAACGTTGTCCATGTCCTGCTCGGATATGTCCTGACCCATGGAGATCATGGCTGTGTCAATGATCTTCTGTGCCAAACCAGCATCCTCGTTGACGATCGCGGCGATGTCGTGCAAGCTCTCGTCAGTCAGAGAAGACTTGTCCTTGATTTGCAAGGCCAAAGAGGCGTATGTGTAGTTGTCCGGGGTGAGCTTGGCCAGCTCTGGGAAGTGCCAACCGTACCACTCCTTGACTCTCATGGCGAAGGTGTTGATATCCTTGTCCAGCTGGTCCAAAAGCGCAATGGCCTGAATGATGTGATTGTCGTTCTTCTGAACAGAGAACTTAACCTTGGCACGGGAGTAGGCGTGAGACAGACCGAGCTGGGCTCTCTCGAGGTCTCCCTCAGAAAGCTCCTTCAACAGCTTGTAGGCGTGCAATCTGACACCACGCAGCAGATCCTGCACCACCTCATTGGACTGCGAGTCGATATATGGGAAAATTTCCTTGATGGAAGGACCAAGCAAACGGTCAGAGATACCGAGCTGGATCTTCTTCTTCTCGGAACCCTTTGGGATGTTCATCTCCAAAACAGCCTTCAAAAACTCGGAAACAATACCCTCACTGATTTCGTTGGCATTCTCAAGCGCCTGGGAAGCTCCCTTGAAAGGAGCAAACGATACAAGCTCGACAATCTTGGAGAACTTGGACAGGTCTTTGGTGGCCTCTTGAACCTCTTTGAGACGGGATCCGACGTCGTCTTGGGCCAGCTTGACCTTGAAGACGGCGTAACCCATGGCCTCTTCAAACAAGAGGTAATCTAAACCAGCCATCTTTGTATTGATAATGTGTTTAGCACCACAAAAAAACGCAAAGAAAGACGGGATTGGGAAGAGCTATCAGAGTTTTCAACAGTGTTAAGGCTGGAATTTTTTTTCTTTCCCTCCCAAACGGGAGCCCTTAGTGAAAATTTGAATTTTTTTTTGAGCTGTCCACGTCCGTAAATACGCCGCCGGGTAACCTACTGGCTTTGACCGCCGCACGCAACGATCCTGTCATGGACGAATATATGTCTACTTTCAGTACTTTAACGTGGTTTATTTCATGAGATCTCTCGTCTTCTTCTAAATCCTTACCTTGCCTCAGGCATTTGACTTCTTCACAACAGTGGCCGCAACCAACACACCTGGCAACTCCTCGCTGCCGCAACTGGCCAGGAGCTTGACTCCAGACACAAACAGGAACGTCAGCACCACACCAGTCCAGAGGAACAGATTGAATTCAACGGAGTAGTCTATTTTTTGACACGCAGCACCAGACCAGTTGGTAGTCTTGCTGTCTGTGGTGGTTGAGGAGCACACACAACTCCAGCAGTCTCCCGATTGCGAGCACGATCCGTGACCAGAGCAAGAAGATGTGGATGATTTGCACAATTCTATAGTTGAATAGCATGAGTCTGAAGAGGCAAAGACTTGCTCCTCTGCTCTTTTGGAAATTGGAGAAAATTCGGCTCTCTTGCGAAGAGGGGCGGAGATTTTGGTCAGTTGCTGCGACAATGGCAGGACCACCACTGTAGTTTCAAATGGACTCGACTGGCTGGAGTGTCTCATGATCAAGTCACCCATAATGCGTGTTGCAAGCTCGTAAGTTCTTGACTCTTTACCAGCCTTCTTCAAAATCGAAACCAGGGAATTCAGGTTGATCACCGTTGTTCTGGCTGGGTTTGGCTTATCAAAGAAATATTCCAATTGTGCCATTTCGTTGATGAAAAGTTCATCACTAATTAAATTGATGGATCTCTTGTGGTTGCGCTTTTCCTCGGGTGTTGAGGCTGAATCTTGCACCGAAAGGAGATAAAATGTGTCCTTGAGCGTCTCCCAAGTGTCGTCCAGAAACTTGTTAGCTTCTCTGTTCAACGATTTGTCAAAATGCTGGTGCCATAAGTGCACCAGAGAGTCTTCTGTGGTCTCAGATACCAACGAAATTTCTTCAGACAACCTCGTCAATGACAATTCGGGTTGAATGCGGGCAATGTCGCCTGGTAACTGCGACAAAAAGTCCAGAAGTCTATTGTCTTCCTCAGAGACTTCGAACAAAGGTTTTGCATTTTCAAACAAGCTATCAGGGTTCTCTACCCCGTTGACAACGAGTAACAACTGCGGATGCTGTGCAGATGGCACGCTGTTCTGGCCGATCTCAAGGGAGCGAGCATCCGTCAACTATAAATTGTTAGTAAATCGCCTAGTCATGAATCCAAAACCCGTCTAGCAATATAAATCACATACCTCCTCCAAATCATAAAAGCCTGAAACACCGAATCTGTCGGCAAGATTGAGCACAGCGTCAACTCCGTTGAGAACAGGTACCCTTCCTTTAGCGGCCGAATCAGACAACTGGAAGACAGCTGCATCGGATGCTGCCACTCCAACAGAGATGGATCCTAAAAGGACAGCAATAGGGCCCAAAAGCTTCATCTTTGCAATTAATTGATCAATTGACAGAGGGTTGTGAGGGTATTGGTATAAACTGTTGTAACTCGTGAAAGGGCCCTCGAGTTGGCTGCCTTTGCGGTCGTGTAACATCTATTGTTTGGTGCACGTAAATTATCTCTCGCCTTGTCTCTCTGATCAAACTACATGTTCTTAGCGATACTTTCATGCAATCTCTTTCAGCTGGTTCTTTATTTGGTCTCACAGGTTTCTAAATGGTTGGCCCAGAAGTTCCGGATGATATCAAGCAGATCAGACGAGTGAGACGGGAAACATCAGCACCTTCCAATGTGGACAAAATATCGCTGGTGGAACAGCACCAGAGAGACAACCAGTCTAACAAAAAGGATATCCTCTACAACTCACAACACGGACTGAACTCGGAAATACGACAGGAGATGATGAAGCGGTTGTCTAAACTGGACTCGAAGTTCGAGCAGTAAATGCAGCTTAATGTGTTTTTGGAGCACTTATTTATGTTTAATGAAATATACTGTACATTCAGTTTTAACAACTTATTCGAAAGCATCATCTGGTGCAACTCCTTTGATCTCAGACGCAATAAGCACTTTAGTATTGGTGATAAATTCGCTGTGTATGATCTTGGTGACTGTATTGGCGGTCTTGGGTGCCTTCAGCATTTGATCCGTAGTTGGGCCCTTTGGCAAACTCGCTTGAAATTCGGCCAATTCACTCCCAGTCACACCTGTTTGAGTCTCGGAGACATCCTCCTTCTTCACCACTATATCCTTCATTGTTTGGCTTTAGCTTCTGCTGCCTTAGCCTTAGCCTTTTCCTTTGCTGCTTTCTCGATCTCTCTTCTACTACCCTTCACCAATTCTAGATGACCGACTCTGCTCGCAATCAACTTTTCTGTGTTAGAGATTAGCGCTCCGTTATGCTGTTTCGACAACAGCTGCACTTTCTTCTCAGTAAGGTTCTTCTTCGCTCTGTAAACCTTAGGGGCAGCTGCCTTTGGATTCTGCTGTCTCTTGGTGAGCCTGGCGGGCTTCTTCTTGCTCAGCTTCAAATTACCTTGAGCCATGGATCTGTAACACCGAGCGCGATGATTATCGATTTAGAAGTCGCAAAGATGGCTTGGTAGTGGAAAAAGACTGATCCGTATTTATTAGAGTTGTCTTTTTTTTTTTCAGAGCCCCAGCCACACCCTTATCGCACAGCCATCGGTGTATTTGCGTACACACTACCTTGTGGCGCACGCCTTGCAGAGTCACCTTCATCAGACGAAAAATTTGGAGTAGGAGGGAGGAAGGAGAAAAAACGGTTCCTGCTATTGTTCACACCGTGGGTTTTTTCCTAAAGTTTTTCAGCTAGTATCTCTGATTCTGGTCCCACAACTACAGGTCTCTCTGCGAATCGGTGTACGACAAGTTGTTGCACCCATATCCGTGAGTTAGTCCTAAGAGTGCTTTTCAGATCTACCCAAGGCCATTGCCCTACAACTGAAGCATTATTACCACCGATATGTCTGGTTCCACATCCAATGCTGGTATGCTGGTGCTGCCCGGGCCTCAGGCTCTTTCAAGCTTCAGAGTCGCAAATCTCAGAAACGATATCAACAAGTTTGTGAATTCCTCGGTAGTCACCTCCATCAAGTCTTGTTATGTGCATTACGTGCACATAGATGACAAGTCCAAGGGCGTCTCTGACGATATTTTGGACAAGTTGAAAGTGCTACTTCGTTATGACAACGAGCTGGATGTTTCTGACGAACAAAACGCCAGATTGGTGAAGCTGGTGCAAGATGCTGCTGAGACCACAGAGCTTGGTGCAGACGAATATCTTGTGAGAATCCTTCCCCGTTCTGGTACGATATCGCCGTGGTCTTCAAAGGCCACCAACATCGTTGAGGTGTGTGGTCTTTCCGAACATGTTGGCAGAGTTGAAAGGGGATTGGCTGTTTTAATCTCAGTCAGACCCGGGTTCCCATTCCTGGAGTATCTCGAAAAGGACTACTTTGCCAGTCTGGTTTCGGTCTATGACAGAATGACCCAGACGGTGTTCTTGAACAGACATGCTCCTCAGTTTAACGATTTGTTCGAGGAACATGAGCCAAAGCCCCTGGTGTTTGTGGACCTGCTCTCTTCCAAGAACAACCTGGTCGATGCCAATAAGACCCTGGGTCTTGCTCTGGACAAGGGCGAGATCGACTACCTTGTTGATGCTTTCAAGGGCCAATTGGGCAGAAACCCCACCGATGTTGAGCTTTTCATGTTCGCCCAAGTCAACTCCGAGCACTGCAGACACAAAATCTTCAATGCGGATTGGACCATAGATGGCGATAAGAAGGACCTTTCTCTGTTCAAGATGATCAGAAACACAGACAAGGTCACACCACAATACACCATCAGTGCCTATAGTGACAATGCTGCGATTTACCAGGGAAACGAAGCCTATTTCTACGCCCCAGACTACAAAAACGGGAAGGTCTGGTCCTCCAAGAAAGAGGTCGTCCACACTTTGATTAAGGTGGAGACCCATAACCACCCCACTGCCGTTTCGCCCTTCCCCGGTGCTGCCACCGGTTCTGGTGGTGAGATCAGAGACGAAGGTGCCGTTGGAAGAGGTTCCAAGTCCAAGTGTGGTCTCTCTGGATTCAGTGTTTCGGATCTGTTGATCCCAGACTTGAAACAACCTTGGGAACTCGATGTTGGAAAGCCAGGCCACATTGCGTCTGCTTTAGACATCATGATCGAGGCTCCTCTTGGTTCTGCTGCTTTCAACAACGAGTTCGGCAGGCCGTGTATCAACGGCTACTTCAGAACCCTGACTACGAAAGTGACCAACGCCGACTCCAAAGAAGAGCTCAGAGGTTTCCACAAGCCAATCATGCTTGCTGGTGGAATGGGAGCTGTTAGACCTCAATTGGCCCTCAAGACGGACTTCAAGATCACTCCTGGCTCGGCCATCATCGTCCTCGGAGGACAGTCCATGTTGATTGGTCTCGGAGGAGGTGCCGCTTCTTCAGTGGCTTCTGGTGAAGGTTCTGCTGATTTGGACTTTGCTTCTGTTCAAAGAGGTAACCCAGAAATGCAGAGAAGAGCCCAGCAGGTTATCGACTCGTGTACTTCCCTCGGCTTAAGTAATCCGATTCAGTGCATACACGACGTTGGGGCAGGTGGTTTGTCCAACGCCCTTCCTGAACTTGTCCATGACAACGATTTGGGAGCCAAGTTCGAGCTCAGAGATATTCTCAGTCTCGAGCCTGGTATGTCTCCTATGGAGATTTGGTGTAATGAGTCTCAAGAGCGTTATGTTCTTGGTGTTGCCCAACAGGACCTGGAACTTTTCAGAGAAATCTGTGAAAGAGAGCGTGCTCCATATGCGGTTGTTGGGACTGCAACTTCTCAACAGAGATTGGTTCTGACCGACAAACTCATGAACACCACTCCGATTGATCTGGAGATGAGCGTATTGTTCGGAAAACCACCCAAGATGTCTCGTTCGGATGTTTCCAGACCACTGAAGTTGACCCCATTCACCTCACAAGGTCTGGAGTTCTCTGAGGCCCTCGAGAGAGTCTTGCAACTTCCTGCTGTGGGCTCAAAGTCTTTCCTAATCACAATTGGTGACAGAACTGTCACTGGTCTGATCGACAGAGACCAGATGGTTGGCCCATGGCAGGTGCCTGTTGCCGATGTTGGTGTCACTGCCACCTCTCTGGGTGAAAGTGTCGTCACCACCGGTGAGGCCTTGGCTATGGGAGAAAAACCAACCATTGCCCTAATTTCTCCTGCTGCTTCTGCCAAGATGTGTGTTGCTGAGTCTCTCATGAATTTGTTTGCGGCTGACGTCAAGTGCTTGGACATCGTCAAGCTCTCAGCCAACTGGATGGCGCCTGCTACTCAACCCGGTGAAGGTGCTGCTCTGTATGAGGCTGTTCAGGCTATTGGTCTGGATCTGTGTCCAGCTCTGGGAATTTCCATCCCAGTTGGTAAGGACTCCATGTCCATGAAGATGAAGTGGGAAGACAAAGAGGTAATTGCACCAATGTCGTTGGTGATCACTGCCTTTGCCAGTGTCAATTCAACCCTCAGTACTTGGACCCCTGTGCTTCAAAATAAGGAGGACACTGTGTTGGTCCTGGTGGACTTGGCTTCTGCGGTCACCAAGTCTCTGGGTGGCTCTGCGCTTGCCCAGGTTTACAACCAACTGGGCAACGATTGTCCTACCGTCCATGACTCTGCCATTTTCAAAGCTTATCTCAAGTCGGTGATGGCTCTTCACGACGGCTTTGACGTCTTGGCCTACCACGACAGATCCGAGGGAGGTTTGATCACCACCTTGCTGGAGATGTCTTTTGCCGCTAGATGCGGTCTCAAGATCAACGTCAACTCCGATTCTGAAGATGTGTTCACCAGCTTTTTCAACGAAGAGCTTGGTGCTGTTTTCCAGATCAAGCTTGCCGAGTTGGACGCTTTCACCGAGGTGTTTGCTAACAACGGAGTTCCAAAGGAGTTCATCTCCACTGTGGGAACCCCTGTTTTCGACAAGGAGCAGAACATTACTCTTTCTCACAACTGGACTCCATTTTATTCTGGCGAAAGAGGAAGGCTCCAGCAGCTGTGGACTACGACCTCGTATCATATACAGAGACTCAGAGACAACCCCCAAGCTGCCGACCAGGAGTTCCAGTCTATTCTGGATAACCAGGATCCAGGTCTTACTTACAAGCTCACTTTCGATGCTTCGGATGACTTGGGCGTTTCCAGTCTTTCTCCAAAGCCCAAGGTGGCCATTCTGAGAGAGCAGGGTGTTAACGGTCAACAGGAGATGGCTTGGTGTTTCCAACAGGCTGGCTTCGAGTCTGTGGATGTTCACATGACTGACATAATCAGTGGTCGGGTTACTCTTGACGACTTTGTTGGTGTAGCAGCCTGTGGTGGGTTTTCTTACGGAGACGTACTCGGAGCCGGTAATGGATGGGCCACTTCTGTGCTCTACAACGAGAGGGCCAGAGCTGAGTTCAGCAAATTCTTCCAGGAAAGAGAAGATACCTTTGCATTTGGTGCCTGTAACGGATGTCAATTCCTGTCCAAGATCAAGGCATTGATTCCTGGTACTGAAGACTGGCCTTCGTTCGAGAGGAACAAGTCTGAGCAGTACGAGGCCAGAGTTTGTACTTTGGAGGTTTCCGAAGACAACACTGATGCTCCAAAGAACATCTTCCTGTCGGGAATGAGAGGTTCTAGATTGCCTATCGCCGTTGCCCATGGAGAAGGAAGAGCAAACTTTACGTCTGATGCCCAGTTGGCCAGTTTCGTCAGCAAGGGCTTGACTGCAGCCAGATATGTTGACAATTACGGATTGCCAACGGAGAAGTACCCATTGAACCCTAACGGGTCTCCAAACGGTATTGCCGGAATTAGAACTCCAAACGGCAGAGTTCTGGCTATGATGCCCCATCCAGAGAGAGTGGTGCGCAAGGGCGCCAACTCGTACTACCCTCTTGACGAATCAGATTCCTGGGGTGAGTACGGACCATGGATCAGACTGTTCAGAAACGCCAGAAAATGGGTTGCTGAGAACGATAAATAGTCTGAATGATAGATTTATAGTATATTATTGTGCATGTTTAGCTTAGTATTGAGATTTAAGTGAGCCAACAAATAACATTTAAAGGTCTTTGCCGTTTACGGTTGGATTGAGCCGCACACATCACGTGCGGATGTTCCCCCAGATTCCGTTGCCTTTCAAAGGCATTTGTTCTTCTTCTTGTGGAACTCCTATAACTTAACTCGAAGAACATGGACCATGTCTATTGTGCCTTACAACAATGAAAACCTCAGTATAGTTCTGTAAGTGATATGAACACGTGAAATATCCGGGACGTCTACTAACACACGCCATCAGGAGAAGCCCGGAACTGGGCTCCATAGTTCTGTACAACAAAGCGACAAAATCGCTGGAGCTGGTGAATTTGGACTCTTCTGGTCATATTCCGGATGCTGAAGACTTTTATGACTCGAAAGGTAGAATGAAGCGATTGATTTCTAGTGAGTCCCTCGTAGACTCGGATCAAGCCGCCAACAGCTACTGTCCCCATTGCGGCCAGGAAATACCAAATGATGACAAAAGAAGACAAAGTAGCACTCAGACCAGAAATTTTGATTTGGAAAACTTTAGGAGTGCAGGTCCTTCCATGAGAAGTGATTACTTCAGATTGCTCGCTAGTGGAGGCGACTTTAGCAAGCAGGAGCTGTTCGATATCATAAAAAATAGAAGAAGAAATACTCTTCTCGAAGACACTGATCCGCATTTCGAAGATGATGGAGGGGATGAAAGCGTCATAGGGGAACGTTCTAATGGTGGAGACCTTTTCTCGGATGAGGATCTGGGAGACTTTCCGGCAACACTCTTCACCCAGGGTTATTTCAAGAAGTTCTTCAGAGTGAAGCAACGACTTGGAAACGGAAGCAACGGAACTGTTCTCAAAGTTGAACATGTTCTCCATAATCTGCCTTTGGGGGTTTTTGCCTTGAAGAAGATACCTATAGGGTCTCATCTGTCCAATCTTCCGGAGAGACTTAAAGAAGTGAAGCTTCTGTTCCAGCTCACAGAGGCAAGCGGGCTGGACACTGGCATAGAAGACTTGCTGGATGATGACGGGAACTCAATCGACGGAAAGGAAAGTCTCATAAAGTATAACCATGTGTGGTTGGAGATTGATCAGGTCAGTGATTTCTCACCAAGAGTTCCCTGTGTGTTCATTCTTTTTGAATACTGTGATGGCGGGAATCTAGAAGAGCTTGTGGAAAGTCTGAAACATCCCATTATAGATATCGAGAAGACAAAACTGTACAGAAGAGCGAGAAGAACTTCCTCTAATGAAGCAACCCCAATGGAGCAGCAACCCAGATTTCTGAATGCTTTCGAGATCTACAAAATATTCAGAGATATCGTTGTTGGTGTATCATATCTCCATAGATCGCATATCCTTCATCGTGACCTGAAGCCTGCGAATTGTTTATTGAAGCAACAATTCACTGATAACCTGAGGCAGAATCCTATTTGCAGCGTTTCGGATCTTCACTCTTTTCCATCTGTGACGGTAAGTGATTTTGGAGAAGGTATCATGGAAGGAATGAAGAGAGAGTCTACAGGAGCTACCGGAACAATTGAATTTTCTGCGCCTGAGTTGTTTTTCAGAGGACAGAACGGGGCGTTAAACGATTTTACGACCAGTTCAGACGTGTACTCGTTGGGGATGATACTATACTATCTGTGTTTCGGGGAATTGCCCTACACCAGCGATGACCCCGAAGATGTTCGCAAAACAATTGAACATAGCTACAAAAATGATGCAAACCTTTCCTCCTTTGGTGATGCAAAACGGCTCAAAGAACCTCTCATGGAGGATTGGCTGAAACTCATTAGCCGCATGCTTGAGCCTCAAAGTTACAAGAGACCCAATTGCTTGGAAATACTTGCAGACTTGGTGAAGATATTTCACAAATTGCAGACTCTGGATGATAAAAACACTACTGAGAATATGACTCTATTCAAATGGGAAAGGGCAAGCGAATCTCAGGAAACGTTAACCACATATGCTCCGATCAGCACTATAAGTGATGCGGTCTTACTGGAGGATAGAGATCCCCTGACTTATCCACCGGTAGCCAACACGATGTTGAACATGTCACAGTTGGTTACATTCGCTGTTTCTATCTCAAACTTTTTGATTTACAAATATGTTTCGTACCGTCTTTCGCAGTTGGTTCCGCAGAACGTGATGAAAAATCGGGAAACGGCATTCCTGCAGCGAGGCAAACTGCTGGAGTTATTCATATATGGAATATTCCTGTGTAGCGGGATACAGATAACTTCGCCAACTCCCATAAAGTTGAAGGTTTTCCTAGTTGAATTGTTGACACTCTTGGGTATTGAACTTGTCGGTGGTACGTGATACGAAGACTTCTTGAACTTTTCGAAGCAAATCTGTTTCGGTTTGTTAAAATAGGAAAGAAAAAAGATGAAAATGTCAACCGCAAGCACCAATTAATATATCTCCGTTCAAGCATCCAATGGCAGGATGTTTGGAACAGGTCCCAACGGAGTGATCGAGTGTGGGTTGATGGCGATGTGAGACTTGGTGTAATGGAACTTAATGTGATCAAAGTTGGTTGTCTCTTTAAAGCCAGGAACCTCCCAATACAGATGTCTCACCCACTTGTGAAGGTTGGGAAAGTCGAACCGGATCATTCCCAAATTACACTTAAAATGCTGAACATACACCGGGTCGAATCTGATGATCGTGGTAAAAAGTCTGATATCAGCCTCGGTCAATTGGTCTCCAACCAAGTACTTTGATCCCTTCTTGAACTGTTCTCCCAGAACTTTTTCCACCTTATCCAAATGCTCAAATAGGGCTTTCACGTTTGTCTCATATGGCTCCTGCTTCGTAGCAAATCCAGACTTGTAAACACCATTGTTGATGTTGTCGTAAATCCATGGATTGATTTCGTCAATCTTGGACTTGAGAGAATCTGGATAGAAAGTAAGACCTCTATATTTTTCGTCAATTATCGAATCAAACTCCTCGTTGAAGATTCTGATGATCTCAGAACTTTCGTTGTTGACAACGGTTTCAAGCTTGGTATCCCAGAGCACAGGAACAGTGAATCTGCCCTCATACTCGGGCTCAGCCTTGAAGTACAACTCCTTCAATCTCTGGACTCCGTATACCTGGTCTGAAGTAGCGCCCTCGCATGGATCATCCTTCGAAGCAAATCTCCATCCATTGGCATCCATGTGCCAATGAACCACCGAAACGGGAAGAATGTCTTGAAGTCCTTTCAGTTCTCTCACAATGAGAGTTCTGTGTGCCCAGGGACACGCATAGGACACGTAAAGGTGGTATCTGTTTTTTTCAGGTGCAAACTTGGCACCTGGTTCAGACGAGATGGAGTCTCTGAAAGAGCTCTATTATGGGGAATTAGTACAAACGGCTCAAACATGGCATACCAAATTCCGCTAAAAACGTCAACTTACTGGTCTTCTCTGATATTCGCCCTTTTCGTTGGCGAATTTAAGGATTTCAATCTTTTGTTGCTGGCTGATGTTAGCACCATGAATGCCTCGTCTGAACAATGTTGAGAACCAAGTACGTACCCCGGCCATTGTCAATTGTACCAACGATTAAATTTGATAGAGATTAGTAATATGGAATATCAAAACACAATTGAAAACAAAGTTGAATCAAAGAGTTTGATGTTAAGTCAGCTAAAAACCAAGAGAGACGGCTGAGAGGCATAAGGCGGTCTTTAAATATGGGTGGGGCATTTTGCTCTGGCCCTTTTGACAGGGCAAGTTTAGTAATTTCTTAGTGATGCGGATACGGCGGAAACATTTAGGGTGGGGGTTAGTAATAGGAACCGACGATAAAAATGGTCAAATAAGAACTTTAATAATCGGCTATTAAAAACTATCTGTAATTGACTAAGCATGACTCCAAATATCACTAAAGTTTTATTAGGTTTCGGGCTTTTTCGTGGTTTTCTTGATTTTTCACAGATTTGTTAGTGCTCGTTTAATAGGCATTGCAGATACACCTTGCAGAACGTGCACATCTATAAAGAACAAGAACATGGATCTTCCAATTTTCTCTACAAAAACCATCAGATTTTCGAACTCTTAAGACACTTTTATAACTATACACATTGTTTTCAATTAATAAAATGAAACAAAACAAAGTGAAGCATCAAACTGGCCAGTATGTAATCCCCCAAAGCCCTCTCTGGCGTTATGCTTCCGAAAATTTCGCCTTTCACATCCAGAGTTTGCAATCTCAATGAAACTGTCAAGACGAATTGACCAACAGTCGAACAGAATCCACCGAGGAATGCATTGAATGGAAAGTTCCCCACCAAAACGCAGAAAATGAACTGCAACACTCCCAATGCCACCAAAAACGCAAGAAACGCATCTATCAGTCTCAGTTTCTGGTTTTCGCTAAGATCTTTCTGGTACATCTTATAGGATGTGGAGATCGACTGGCTGAACTCGGCGAGCAACGACTTCGTCGCCTTGGTCGGGGCCAAAGGCGGTGCAGCAGCCACCACCGCTACCTTCTTATCCTTTTTCGCCATGCTGTGTGTTTGGAAGAGATAAAGGTAGACTATGCAATGTCCGGCTTCAAAATTGAGAAGATATTCAGAATTTATGGAGTTAGATACAGTTCGATTGAATACCTCCAAGCCTTCGCATACACCGTGTTCAGACTGAGAGTCTTGCGCGGTTGGATTTGCGTGGACACGATAATACCAATTGCTAGTGCACTACCCTAATTTGTAGGCTCCACAGTCCGGCCAACCAAGGGTCCTACATGCGAGTCAGGTTCGACTGTTGACTATTCTTCCCAACAAATTGGGGCTACCTTTTGTCGCGTGTGACATGACGGACACAGTGATGGCTCAGTCGCAGGAGGCAGGCATAGTAACCATCGACCAGCTGAAGAATGACTCCAAGGAGAACAATCCAGCGACTTCGATCGAGCTTGTTGATAACCCATCATTGCGGATCGTGCCGCCTCTCAACTTCTGTCCAGTTGAAAAGTCTTTGTATCGTTCAGGCCAACCTTCAACCATCAATCATTCATTTTTGAAGGAACTGAACCTGAAATCGATCATTTGGCTTGCTATTGAAGACCCTCAGGACAACTTCCTCAAGTTCATAGAGGACAACAACATCAACTTCTTCTACAATCTTGGATTTACCGGAATAGATAGCAATTCATGGGATGGACTATCAGAGGCATCTATCCGCGAAGCTTTGGAGATAATTTCCGACAAGAAACACTACCCTTTGTTGGTTTGTTGCGGTATGGGAAGACATCGTACAGGAACCATCATTGGATGCCTCCGCAAACTGCAGGGCTGGAATCTAGCAAGTGTTAGTGAGGAATACCGGAGATTCACTGGAGTGAGAGGAGGCCGGATTCTGGTGGAACTGTTGATCGAGGCTTTCGATGTCAGTGCCATAGACATCAATCCCGAGACGGCACCGGAATGGTTGATACGATGAGGCAACAGGCTAAAAGAGTTCGGTTTCGTTAAAGTCGTTTAGAAAGGTATATACAGTTAATTTTTCTCATAATATGCGCAGGAAGACTAGTCTTCTTTTCTGGACTTCTGTTCATAGACCTGTTTGGCGATCTGGGTGGTTTTGTTGCTTGTTCTTCTTAAAGAGTTACACTGTTCCCATCCAACGATGCTACCAATCCATAGACCACCAAAGGACCAGTTTATTGCCTTTGAAGGGTTCTTGTAGAAAATGAATATGACCGATCCAAACACTCCCATGGTAGCCAGCCCGGTCAAACCAGCGTCACGAAAACACGGGATTTGAACCAGATTCGTAAGCTTGAAATCATCCCAGGAAATGGTCTTCCACGCCTGTGACAGGTCTGCCTTGGTTGGCTTTTCCAGCTGAGGTTTGGGCGTGGTTGTCTCGCTAAACTTTGGAGGTAGTTCATCCAGATACTGCTGCTTTGAAGCAGTCTTCACAGGCTCGGCAGCAGCCGGACTTTTGCCTTCGCTATCTTTGGACTTTCCAGAAGGCCAGTACCAAGCCATGGATTTGGAGTTCGGAGGAAAATTGACAAACAACGAAGCAGAGTAATCATCCTTTCTTGTCTCCATGCAGAATGGGTTTGCGAAAAGTAGAAAAACAGATTATACCATACACGACCATTTCAAGCTTGGCTGAAACTGTTAGTGTGAGAGGTCAGGTGATCTCTTAACTGACTGTTTAGGGTCAAACACATCAACGTATCAGAAAAGATTATTGTAGCACTGGTTTCAGAATAGTGTCAGTATCAGATCCAATACCTTCATTTTGATATTGAATACATTTGGAAGGACACCCTCCCTCAGGTGCTATCTCTGGGTTTCCAATCTCCAGCGAATCGATTGGGCGGTATTGAAATTCGCTATCATATGCGGCGCATTAATGGTGAGTACACTATATTCTGATAGAGCCGTGTGATACGGACAGTTCACTCGTCCCGAGCTTGGACAAAGCAGCCTGATTCTGTTTTTCTACTGGTGTTATTTTACTCTCTTTGGTTTGCTGCTTCTCACCATGTCTAAGGGAAGTGCAGATACAAATAGCACATTCCCCGAATCCGGGTCTGTACGAAGTATTTCGAGACGTGGCTCTCCCATCCACACGGAGTCACACAGACGTGCTTCCATGGCCAAACTAGCAGCGTCTCCGCTGGCCGGATCGCCAGCATGGCAGAGTTTTGTGGCTCCAAATGCCTTCAAATCTCCAGCTGCTGGCTCTTATGCCAGTTCTGTTTCTGGAGACGATCGAATGAACGTGTTTGAAGCAGGGTCATCCACACCTAGGGGCAGAACTACACAGAAACAGGATAGGGGTTTTGGTAGCACTTTGAACGCCGCGGAGTCAGCATTGGACTCACGCTCAAATTCTGACTCTTCTGATACCAAGTCCAGGGCTCCAAGTGTTTTGTTGGCGAATAATGCATTGGCCGCCTCGCCTCTCGACGAAGCCACTATAATCAAGACTCTGAGCAAACATCTGGCCACGGACTCTCAAACTTCACTAAAGTTACCTGGGGGTGACATTACCAGAGATTTGTATGTTATTCCACACAGACAACACCGCAGGTCCAGGAGTTTGTCTGGTGCAGATGTTGAACGTGAAAGGCGCAGTTCGTCAGTCAATGAAATGAGACTGCCTGGTGGGTTCAGAAGAGAGTTCATACAACAAAAAAATGCCCAGCGTGAGAAGTTTGGGTACACAGTGGTGAAACCGACTGTTTTCACCAGAAACTTTCTAGAATTTTTGAGCATTTACGGTCATTTTGCAGGAGAAGACTTGGAAGACGAGGACTACATCGCATGCAATTATGAAGATGGGAAGCTTTTGACGGATGAAGAAACGCCATTATTGGTTGGAGATCAAGTTCAAAAGCCAGTAGGTGGAACGGCTTCAACAATGAAGAGTTTTTTTTTGTTGCTCAAGAGTTTCATTGGAACTGGTGTGCTGTTTCTGCCAAAGGCATTTGCCAACGGTGGACTGGTGTATTGCATACTAACATTGCTATTTTTCGGAGTTTTGTCGTACTGGTGCTATCTGATCTTAATATTCTCCAAAAACAGAACTGGGGTGTCTTCTTTTGGTGATATTGGTCTCAAGCTTTATGGGAAACCCATGAAGTTTCTCATTCTGATCTCCATCGTTCTGTCCCAGATAGGCTTCGTCGCTGCTTACATCGTGTTCACCGCTGAGAACCTGAGGGCTTTCGCAAGTGGGATGTTTGGCATTCATCTGTCCATAGGTTCCATTGTCATTTTCCAAGGCGTGATTCTTGGTCCAATGTCCCTCATCAGAAACATCACCAAATTATCGCTGGCCGCATTGGTATCGAACGTGTTCATCATGTTTGGATTAGTGACCATCGTCTATTACTCTGGTGTCCACTTAATTGAGAACGGAGTTCAGGATGTTCAAAGATTCAACAGGGATTCGTGGTCTCTTTTCATTGGTGTTGCAATCTTTGCATTTGAGGGTATCGGCTTGATCATTCCAGTGGAACAGTCTATGAAACACCCCGAACAATTCCCCAAAGTGTTGTTAGCTGTTATCTGTGTTTGTTCGTCTCTTTTCATTTGTATTGGCACGCTGTGCTACTCGAGTTACGGTTCTAAAGTTCAGACCGTGATCATCCTCAATCTACCACAGACTTCAGCTGCAGTCAAGTCAATCCAGCTGTTCTATGCTCTCGCCATCATGCTGTCGCAACCACTCCAATTGCTACCAGCGGTGAGAATAATCGAGTCTAGAGTCTTCAAGAAAAGACAGAGCGGCAAAGTGGATTATACGACGAAATGGCTCAAGAACGGATTCCGCATTTGCTGCGTAGTCCTCACCTGTCTCATAGCTTATTTCGGCTCCGACAACTTGGACCAGTTTGTTTCCTTTGTTGGAAGTTTTGCTTGCATTCCTCTGGTGTACATGTACCCACCAATGCTCCACTTCAAATGTTGTGCCAAGACATTTTGGATGAAATCGCTTGACGTTGCGCTGATACTACTGGGTGGTGTTGGCCTGGTGTACACGACGTACCAGATTTTGACCGCATAAAAGTATCAAACCCCAAACTGGGTCTCCAAAGATCCAGAATAGATGGCTTTGAATGGATATATAAGGATTTCGGGAAAATAAAATAGATTTCTACGTTGCAATTGCAGTTTCATTGAGCATTGATGGTGAGCCAAAATCAGTAGTCTTCCGTAGTGCACTACCCAATCCCTCTTCCAATCAACATCACCAAATCTGAAGATCAAGCGTTCCATACCAGCAAGCCAACAGAAGGGTCAATTTCTCACGGTTTTGCGATTTGATAAATATGGCACCTAAGAGAGTGTTCTACGAAGATGATGAGGATATTTTCCCCAAGCCAGGATCTACGGAGGAGATCTCGAAGGAGTTGAAGAAACAGGAGTCTCCGGACATGCACAACGCGAGCTTCCTTGATGGAATGATGATCAGAAGCTCGCCTGTACTGGAGAAATACACCACAAAGGCAAGATTGTACTTCCATGATCTACTCACCAAGACAGAGGCCGAAGTGGGGACGCTGACTTCGGCTACGCAGAACGAGCTCAACACGGTCAAGCAGACGTACCGCAGCATCGTCGAGGAGCCAGTCCTGCCCAATTCGATATACGTTCTTACCGGTCTTCTCTCGGGTTCAATTCTTGTGAACAGAAGGGCGCTTCCAATTAGATTCATCACGCCGATAGTGACGGGTTTGGTGTCATTCAGATATGCCATGCCCAAGACATTTGATAACTCCAAGAAGATCTTGCTTGATTATGAGAAGGAGAAGGTCCCCGAGATATATGAGCAACAGGCCGAGACTTTGAAATACATTGATGGGCTAAAGAAGGAATCGACATCGTTATTGAAGGAAGCAGAGGTTGGTCCTGTGAGCTATGTGCGCCGGGCCAGGCTGTATCTTGTGGAAATTCTTGGAATTGAGAAATAGGAACAAACAGGCAACCAAGATTAGAGCAATTACTACAAATAACTATTTCACCCAAAACGTTCAATGCATCAAGAAAGCGGAAAGTATAAAAATGAAGAGACCCAGAAGATGTGGGGACAGCAAGAGAAGCTAGCTCTCGTGCAGAACCCGCAAACATTCAGCGTGTATCCACTGCAAAGCTCAACTGCTAAACCTTTACTGTCACCACTTTAGTAGAGCTTCCTCTGTAGAGCATCCTCGAGAGCGTCCTCAGTAGCGACGAGACGCGTTCGGCATGTTGTTCAGTTCAACATACTCGTTGTAGTAGTCCAGATTGGAGTTGTTGTTGTTGGCACGAGTATTGGTATCGACTGTAGGATTTTCCCTGTTGTAGACCTGCGCATACTGCTTCTCCTCGAACGGATTCTCGTGACTGACTGGATTCACAGGCGCGTAATTTCTGGAAAATGCAGTCGGCTGAGGATACTGAGGAGGATACATATTGGGGTTGTCGTAAGGGTTGTGGTTGTCAGCATTCCTCATCATGACTGGCGGCTGACTATACTGCTGTTGTCTTCTAGGCGCACAGCAGAAACACATGCTAGCCATACATTCCAGTCCACAGCACAGACACCTCACTATCGTTGAAACCAACCACATCACCACCAAACAGGCCAAAACTATTCCCACAATAGCAACAATCTTGCACACCTTATTGTCCATACATGTATCCCAGGACTTGAAGGAATTCACAGTGCTAGTCACACTCCTCTTCTCGAGAGCGCTCAGCATCTTGTTGGGGCATGTAGCCGTTTCTGAGAAATCCGTGAGCTTCTGTAGTATACTTTCGGGGATAATCATATTGGGGAATTGTAGGGTTTAAAATCGAAAATTAAGCTCTTTTCAGAAAACGAAACGATACTAAATGGTGTATAAAGAAGGAGAGTCCCCCCCTGGGGCTTTTATCCAGATCGGCGTGGCTGAGATCCAAAAAAAGATCCCATACAAAAAAACAGGGCGCGGTTGCAAATTTCAAGGCTGTGCCATAAACTTGAAGAACGAGCCCATATCAACGTAACGTCTTCCACACTCATTGAGATACTTATCCACAACGTTGCGACAAGTCCCGAAAAGTTCGACATTCTGCTCGGCTAGAGCTGCCAATTCGCTCTGTCCGATTTGTCTAGGACGGTTTTCCACATCGGCCTCTCCGGTGCTTAGAGGCTTCAACTGATTCTTTTTGGCCTTCTCCACATCGAAGATGGATTCGAAATATAGCAGTTGGTTGTAGAGATCTTTGTCAGAGTATTTATATCTCATGATACCCGTACATCCTTTGCCTCTTCCCGTACCACTGACACACTTTCTTCCGTAAACGGAGATCTGTCTGGTCTCGTTTCCACATGTCTGGTCGTCACAGACCAACCAGGCGGTGTAGTACATAGATATATGTGCGCGAATGATCCTCTCCAACTGAGAAGTGATCCGCAATCTCGGCAACACCTGCGAGCACTTGTTACATTTGATACCTGCAAAAACCACCTGGTAGTCGTTCGAAGCTAGAAGACCACCGAACGGGAAGCTGGAGCCGCACGAACACTGGATCTTCAGGAATTGGCAAGATCTGAATCTCTCTTCGTCAGGAATCAAAGACTCAAACGGCTGCAAAGCATTATTGGCAGTGGAAGTGCTAGCTCTTGCTCTGGCCTCGTACCTACGACTGTCCAGTCCCAGTGTCGAGGCCAATCTCACCAGATCGTTTCCTTCGATACGCTCCAAGATTCTTTCCACCGGTGCAAAAATTTGCTTTTCAAGGTAATAGGAAGCATCTGGAACAAGACCGGAGTTCTTGGACAGAACCTCCGCGAGAGGTCTGGCTCTTGCGGCTGGTGATAGCTTGGCTTCCTCATCGTCTTTGGGTTCAACTATGATGAAAGACAACACGGTACCAGACTTGACAACTTTGCCCTGTTTCTTGAGCCTCAGCGCAACTTGGACATGAGGCAGCGAGTCTGCAGCACTGTTGTACAGAGTAGGGTCCTTGCTGAGACGGTTGTTGATCGTGAATTTTGTTGTTGTTATGGTGTGCTCCTTGATCTTAGTGGCCATGTCAGACAGATAGCTGTACACCTCGTTCAGAGCAGTCTCTGAGTCCTGATCTCCGAGGATCTTGTTCAAAACATGAGTAGAGATCTCCTTAGAAAGTTCACAGTACTCTCTCCGTTTCATGTCCAAACCCTTAACTTCTAAAGCCACTTTCTCTTGGTCCCCCACCATCACAGCATTGAGAGCAGCATACTTCTTCTTAGCGTGCAGCAAGAGCTTCTTGAAGATGTTGTCGATATCAATCTCGAGAAGTCTGTACCTTTCGTTGACCTTGATCTTGAAGTCTTCGCCAATTTCCACGGCTTCCTTGTAAGACTTGCACCCAGTGTCAATCATGACAGAATCAGTGTCACCATATACCACACGAAGCCCCAGACCTTCGGCCAGTTGTCTCGTGTTCATCAAAATCTCTCTTCCTTTGTTAGTAACCAGCATTGCTAGAGGCTTTGCGTAGAATCTTGAGTTCACATAACCCAGACAACCGTACATGGAATTGGCAGTCAGCTTCAACGCCTGTTGTTTGATGTCATATTGAGCTTTTTCCACAGCCGTGGCTCTTGGATCTTTAAGAAGCTTCTTCACCTCTCTTCTCCTGTTCACTAAAGCAGCCAACAGTCTAGGGAGAACACCTTGGTCCGTTGACTCTTCTGGAACCTCTGGCAAAACATCCTCATCTTCCTTAGATCTTGCAACTGTTGTGAAGCAGATGTTAAATTCCTGGATGATGCTTGGATATAGAGAGTTGAAGTCCATCACCAGTACGTAGTTAGTGTGAAGACCCTTCTCGGGCTCGAACACCAGACCACCCTGGAACCGGGCCTTTTTGTTTGTGGTCTGGTGAGCCTCGTCATCTTCTGCGTCAGCATTGACTGGTGCCTGAGGTCTCTGCTTTTTGAATTCTTTGTCAGGAACAATATATCCTTTCCGGGAAAACTCGTGGAGCAAAATGAACTCATTACGACCTGCTCTGGTTCCACCTAAAGTTGCAGCCCACGCGTTACCAGCCAAATTTGTCAACTGTTTCGATAGCGACAAGATTTGCATTCTAAAAGCCACCTCAGTGGTTATCAGAACATTGGCAGCATTCTCCTTCAAGGCCGAAAGAAACACATCGGCACTCTCTGAGTACTGAGGCTTGCTGTAGTTGATCTCAAGAGCAGTATGCTTCTTCCTACAGACAACTTGGAACATCTCAGGTAAATCCCAGGATTGACATTTTCCTGTAAGAGATTGTCCCATTTCATTCGCGATGTCACACAACAATCTACCATGGAATACCTCACGAATCAAGAAGGCGTTATTGCCAGACCCTCCAATGCGACCGAATCTGTCGGGCCATGCCTTTCTACTACGACGCCCTAGCGCACTCCAGGTCGTGATTTTGTGTTCGTGCAATCTATGCACCAGCAAGTCGAGAGATATGTTCTCCAACCTGTGACCAACAAACACATCAGGATCTGCTCTGGTGACGAGGGCGCAGAAGTAGTTGAGCATAGTTTTTTCGTTGGGGAAGGTCCGTAGTACAAAATCGTCCTTTTGAGCCGTTTGCGTCAAACCTGGAGGAAAAGTACTTGCACCCACTGGTCGAACCAGGGTGATCACACTATCAGGAGCATTATCATAGGGTATGTCTTGCGGGACGCTGTTAAAGGTCGCGAGAGAGATCGACACCAGTTCCTGTTTGTTCGTCTTGGGATTGAGCACAGATTGAGTAGAAAGACCCATTAGAGTCAGGTTCGGTGGAGCAGGTTGAGAAGACAGGGGAGTGATCTTATTAGCGGCTGACACTGCCACTTCAACCTTACAGTGAGATGTATTTCTGATAGAATCAAACTCTGGGTTTTTGATCTCCAACCAACATGGGCCCATAACGTTTCTTTGAACCACAAAGTTCTCGAAAAGGCTGGAGTTGCCACCAAAAACATGGTTAAAAGTGTCTCCTTCTAGATCTGCGGGGATCTGTTCTCCAGATGATCCAGGAGTCTTATATGGGAGCAAAAGTTTGAGGTAGTCAGCTTCAGCTGGGACCCCTGGCAGCTCAAAGGCGTACTTCATGTGTTCGGCCTTGTACTTCAACTGAGAAATACCGTACTTCTGCAACAGTAAAGGGGTAATTTCATCGGCAACATCTTGAGGAGTCACAGGGACGTCTTCGGTTTCCTCTTCATCAGAACCTTCGTCGTCATCCGAGACTCTTCTAAACTTTCTGGGCAAGAAATAAAGTTCTCTGTACATGCCATTCACTTGAACCATACAAGAAGCAAGCTCTCCTGAAGAAGTTTCAGCCTTTCCAAAAAGTAATAAGGAACCATCAACCTCGGCGTAATCCAACCAGAACATCTTGAGACTAGAGCCATCGCCAAACGCGTCTGCCTCCAACTTAGAATCACTCTTCGCAGGCGAAGATGACATGGTGTAAGAGCTGTTGGCGCTTCTAAAAGGAGAAGACGAAGCCTCTACCTTTGGTTTCACCTCCTTGGTGGCAGTAAGATTAACCTCTTTTGTAATCTTAGAGGTCACGATTCTGCTTTTCCTGGAGACCACCACTTCCTCGTCAGAATCTGATTCCTCAGCCTTGACCCGCTTAATAGGAGACGATATATCGGCTGCACTCTCTTGTGGTTTACTGGGAGAGGATATGGAATAATCGATGGAGTCATTCGTAGGTGGTTCATCGATATCACTGCTGAGTTTCTGCCTCTTGGAAGCAGATCCCAAGTCATCATCTTCCTCGTCATCGTCTGCAAGAGCAAGGCGAGATTTCACCAGATTAGCCTTGGATGTGAACGAGGGGCTGGAGCCAAAGGGCGATGAACCAGGTTTTCTCACAGAAGAAAATGGATCCTTTCTGGACAGGGATCCAAATGGGGTAGACACCTTCTTCGAAGAGCTGGCACTGACTTCAAACGAATCCAAAATATCATCAACTAGACCTTTGTCTAAAACCTTTTTTGGCTTTTTGTCTGTTGTATCAGGTTTGAAGAAAGAATTGATGGAGGCTGTCTTTCTAACTTTGGGCTTCTTCTTTTCCTTCTTGCTAGTACTGGTGTCTGCATCATCGTCTTCTGAAACGTACTCGTTGCGATTGTCCCATTCGTCAGCTCCAGTTTCAACATATCCTTCACCGTTATCGTCCACGATAAAGTCATCTTGCAATAATTGGTCCCTCTTGTGCTTTCTGTATTCATCCTCATCAACCTCTTCGTAGATGTCAACTTGGGAGTCATTGTCAGACTCTTCAACCACTTGGCGACTAGAACCTGCAGCTCGGGCTTCCCTGAGCCGTGCTAGCTTGTCAGCTCTTCCCATGGCTTTTCTGTTCTTGTTAAGAGGGAGAGGAAGTGTGGTAGAAATGGAACGCGACGCGTTATATTATTCCCTCTACAACCTCATCTTGATTCCGTGCACGTCTACGTGCCTCGCCCTTATGAAATTTGGCAGATGAAATCTGTCAGTACACGATTCATTGAATTTGAAGTTTACTATGGCTGAATAATGGTAGGCTTACCACAGGTTGCACGATCTACACTGATTATCTCCAGCATGTCTGACGAACCCAAGTGCCCCGTAGACCACTCTACGAGGGAAGCATGGCTTAAGAACTCCGCGAATGTTGCTCCCCACCCAATACCCGAAGGAACGCCCGAAGGGGCCACTTGCCCGGTTAACCATGAGGCTCGTCAATCATGGGTCAGCAGGCTTTTATGGGCAGAACCGGCAACCAAAGGAAACGAGATTACAGCATCTAGTGGTAAGTCCCACATAATAACTGAGGCCATAGAGGAGCCTGGTGAAAGCTGCTCTTCTGGGACTCTGCAGAACACCCCCGCCTTTACATCGACAGTCAGTCTACCAACGGATAGAGAAATATCAACGATACCCAGAACCGGTGCCGGCGAAAACTGGGTTTACCCCTCTCAGAAACAATTTTTTGAAGCGATGCAGAGAAAGAAGTGGAACCCTGAGGCTCAGGACATGAAGTCAATAGTTCCCATCCATAATGCAGTCAATGAAAGAGCCTGGTACCACATACGGCTATGGGAGCTCGGTCAGGGAGGAGATAAGTGTGGAGGAATCCAGCTGACTAGTTTCAAAGGAGAGTCCAAGAAGCTGACTCCAAGAGCAAGAATGAAATGTTTCTTTGGATATGAGAAACCCTTCGATCGCCATGATTGGACCATAAATCGCTGTGGAAAGGAGATAGACTACGTGATCGACTTTTATGGTGGTAAAGCCGATGCTTCGAACCCAGCTGCTCCAAGCTTCTACCTGGACGTTCGCCCCAAACTGAACAGTTTCGAGGGAATCAGACTACGTGTGGCAAAAGCACTAGGCTTCTAGACAACTCTGTAAATATCAAACAAATTTTCATCATTTTTACTTATATGGACAGGCAGGTAGGGTCTAAATACTCAAGTTAAGATGGGGCAGCATTGGTGGTCTAGGATCAGATCTAAAATCTGCTTCCCACCGCACCGTTCTTACCAACAGATTGCATGCTCTGAAATATACGTTAGTAATCTTTCTGAATTTTGAACAGATTTCGGTGTCACTTACCTCACCAACTTTGACGTTTGCCTCGAAGTACTTAGCAACACATCTGTCGATGCATGTAGTCTCGGTCTTCGTCAATTCACCATCAACGTAGCTCTTCTCAAAACATTTCTTATGACACGAGTCAACCAATCTAATTAAAAATGTCAGTAATCATGTGGTACTGAATGAGGCCTTTATGGACTTTTCAACTTACTGGTTGAACATGGTGGTGACCATGTCCAGTTCAGACTCAGCAGCCTTGATCTTGGCCTCAGATGAAAGAGATGGAGAGCTTCCCAAACCGAAAAATGACATTATTGTATATTGAATGTGTTATACTGTATCAACTAGATATCTCAGTGTTAGAAAGAGCTTTCTCTTTCTTTTGAAGGCGGTCTTCGGCGAAAAAATATTGGGTCGGAGACACTACTAGGATAGTCTGCTAATCTTGATAAATTGACCACAGACAGGGTTATATTAATACAAAACACCAATAAATAATCATTACACTGTGACTCCAAATATAGAGTCATTCTCCTTAAACTCGTGGGTCTTGCTTTGCTTCGATTCGTAGCCCGGTAGTCGCCTATAGCCCACAATGATACCTTTCAGATCATCTCCAGAAGACATCACGAGAATGGTTATGACCGCCAAACATGCCAGAAGGACCAATGTGAAAATTCCAAAAGCTATCAAAGACCTTCTTCCTGGGAGATCGCTAGGATACTTGTGGTATAGTCTCACCAGTTTAAACACCACATAGGCAGCTCCACAGGCATAGACGAAAAGACAGAGAGACAGTCCTTTCTTGGACCTCCTCACTGCACAGAAATCCGCGAACCACAGAACCACCATGGAGACGGGCATCACCACAATGGTCAGAGCAAATTCCACGTCAGATCTGGAGATCAAGATCAGGATGAACTGCAGCGCAAAAGCAGGAAAGAAAAATGCGCATAGAAACAGCGCTGTTCTGTGAAGATGAAAGTACATGACTTTTCTCTGGATCTTGACGTTCAAGCCAACATCAAAGGCACTCAAGCCACCCAATTGGTCAGTTAGCCAAAAGTAGGAAATACAGAACTGAATGATGCAGGTAACACACGAAACAGCTATCACTGCAATGGAAGCACCCTCAGTGGCAGCAGCCCAATTGCCTGTGAGATCTGGAATAAGAGTAACCTGCAATTCATGATATTGGATTCCACAGTAAATGGCCATTGCACCCAAAAATATAACCAACGAATAAAGATGCAACACACTGGATGAGATGAACACCAGAACAGTAGCCACTACCTGGTATATTTCAGCGAAGATGAAAAGTCCCAAATATGTTGCCACTCCTCGGCTTTTTCCCTCCGAATGAGAATGTTCATCCTCTCCATAGAAGTCGTGGCCCCTCGTGTGCTCTCTGGTATACACTCCAAAAATATAGCACTGCAAAGCCAGAACTAGCACTGCCGATAGCCAGGATACGAAAAAGAATAGATGTTTGATGAAAGTATGGGGCCAGGTCTTAGCGCAAAGACGGTCAACAAATGAGGCCCGGATCACAGTTTGCACCTGGTCATCAACATAGTACTCTTCTTCGTCGTCATCGGTGAGAGATCTCTCTTCGTCTTGTTCGTCGTCGTTCTCCTCCTCGTAATATTCGCGTGAAGGTATTTGTTGTGCGTCCATTGAGCTTTCCCACTTTGAGAACGGAATTGCCGTATTCAAATGAGCTTGTGGTATCTGCGAATAACCGGTCATATCAGAAACATATCTTGTTATATCAAGAAAAAAACATGGGGAATGCAAGATCCTTGATGATCATCTTTCTATTTTTACCTGCTGTGCCTCTGGCAAGGCTGTGCTGAATAGAGTGCCTAGCCTGGCCTAGCTTGGCCTAACCAGAAAGGCTCGGCTGAAGTCGGGGCCGGTTCACACACTGCATAAAATGCATATACGATGGTGAGGTTTGATCGTTTTGGGAATCGAGATTCAATTTAGTTTAGTTTTGGAAATTTGTGTCATTTTCAATGTCCGAACTATCGTCTGCCCTCTTATCGTAATCTCGTCTTGCACCTTCCCAAATAGGACGTGCCCGCGCGGAGAAAGACTCAAATATGCAGCTGCCTCTTTCTGACTTTAGCGACTCGTTAATTCCATCTTTATAAGGGCTCAGGGGACTCTGTAAAGATTTCGGGCCTTGGCTAGGTGAAAGTTGAATGATATAGTGTCGATATTCGGTAATTTATTGCTTGGATTGCTTATACTTGCTTTTATTTTTTGGTGGCTCTAGTTTTTTTGGAAGGCCCCCTTGTTCTTTCGATCGCGTCACTTCAACGTCTGTAAAGCAGCACCTTCCTCGCTGATCTGAGCCATGAGTATTCCGCAAAGGCAATTCAGTTACACAAACTCCGAACGAAGAGCCTCCGTGGTGGTGGGATCTGTTGGGCGTGCCGGTTTGTTCATACCTTCTGATTTCATCTCTCCAACTGGACCCATTGGAAACGACGATGATGAGTTTGAGCAATATCAGTCCATTTCGGACGAATTAGACCCAGAACAAGGAATTGAAAGCTATCATCCTCAGGAAATTCAAAGAAAGGCCTCTCGCCAGTTGCTGTCGGAGGAGGCTGAATTATTGGCTGCTAGCAGACTGCCCATCAGAAGGTACTCCAGCTCTGGGCCTGATCCAGTCACAACTGGGACCTCGCCGCTTGTCAAGTCTGATCCCGACGCAATTGTAGAGTCCTGGGAAGATGCTATGGCTCATGGAGGTATCAAGACAACTCCCAAACTGGAACTGAAGGTACTGACCAAGTCTTCTATTCCGCTGGTGATAACGTTTGTCCTGCAGAACTCCATGTCTGTGGCCTCTGTATTCTCTGTTGGCCACATTGGTGCTACCGAACTAGCTGCAGTCACGCTTGGATCCATGACTGCGAATATCACTGGATATGCTTTGATCCAGGGGCTAGCGACTTCCCTGGACACCTTCCTTCCCCAGGCTTATGGAGCGAAGAAGTACAAACTTGTCGGATTGGTCTTGCAAAGATGTACCGCGTTGATTATGGTGTGTATGCTAGTGATCTGTCTTTCATGGTGGCTCTTTGCAGAGCAGGTTCTGGTCTCAATGCTTCCAGATCCTGTGAGTGCCCGTCTTGCAGCCCAGTACCTACGACTTGTCTCTTATGGTATTCCCGGATACGTTCTTTTTGAGACGGGTAAGAGATTTCTTCAAGCACAGGGTATTTTCCATGCCTCTTCTTATGTTCTGTTTGTGTGTGCCCCACTGAACGCCATCATGAACTACGTTTTCGTCTGGAACTCTGTGGTGGGCCTGGGCTTCATTGGAGCACCGATCTCGGTCAGCATCAACTACTGGCTCATGGCATTGGGGTTATTCCTCTATACAGTCACCAGCAAATCCGAAATCAATCCAATGAGGTGCTGGAACGGGTTCCAATTTGTCAAGGCATTCAAGAACTGGGGAGAACTGATGTCTCTCGCGCTGCCCAGTGTGATCATGATTGAGGCCGAGTTTCTGGCATTCGAGATCTTGACTCTCATGGCTTCATACCTCGGAACAACTGCCTTGGCTGCACAATCTGTGATTGCAACCATGTCTTCGTTGACATATCAGGTTCCGTTTGGTATTTCCATAGCCTGTTCAACCAGAATAGCAAACTTCCTTGGAGCAAGGTTACCGGAATCGGCCAAGATCTGTACCCAGGTGTCGCTGGCCTTCGGTCTGGTGATCTCCTTCCTCAACTGTGCCTTCTTTTTGATTGGAAAACAATCAATTGCATCGTGGTTCACTAGTGACCCTGATGTGATTGCAGAAGTAGCCAAGGTGCTTCCACTTATTGCGTTTATCCAAATCTGGGATGCTCTGAACGCTGTGACAGCAGGATGTCTGAGAGGACAGGGAATGCAGAAGATTGGCGGAATTGTCAATATGGTTGCATACTACGTCGTGGGTATTCCGCTAGCCATCCCATTGGCATTTTACACGCCTTTGAGACTATTTGGTTTGTGGATCGGAACAGGTTTGGGTCTGTTGATCATTGGAATTGTTCAGGGTTACTACTGTCTCAAAGCAGACTACCAAGAACTTGTGAATCAGGCCATAGAAAGAAGCAGCCACGAATGAATCACTTTTTTTAAATTAGACGTTCAATAAAGCCAGGAAAATCTCACGGAATTATCCTATCTTCTCTATACTCCGATAGTTTCTGCTAACAGGTCTTTGATATGACTCAATACCTGCTGAGCCTGATGTCTAACTAGGACATCCACATCCGTGTCTTTAACATATTTAAGAGCTGTCAAACAGCTCCGAGCATAGCCAGTAGGAATACTGTATAGACCTGCTGTGCTACTGATCAAGTCGTTGATCAACACGATAGCTGATCTCCTCATAATGGTTTGGTCCTCTGTGGTCTCCAGCTTGAGTATTCCAAGAACACAGTCTAGTACGTCAGGTAGATACTGAAGCATTGCACCTGGAGAAACACGGCAACACATGCCCAAAATTGACATTGCGGACATTCTGATTCTGTTGTCAATTTTAGGCATATTCTCATGTCTTCTGATCATAGAGAGAGTTGTGGTTGCAATAATTGACGCAGAGTCATCTGTCAGAGAGTCTCCCGATCTTGTGATGAATTGAAGCAACACTTCTCCTATTCTCAGTCTTTCCTCGAGGTCTGACGCTGGGTCTTTATATATACGAGCAAACTGAGGAAGAACCTCAGATCTCGCCGATTCCAGAAGCAAATTCAAGCCCTTGATCACGTTGAGATACACAAAAGGCTCTGGATCTTTGAGCTGGGTCAGGTGCAGATCAACCACGAAGTCAACGGAGATCACGTCGGAGTTGTTCTCCACCAATTGTCTGAGAAGATACAGTCCATGTGCCCTAATTGGCACCAATGGGTCGTTCAGACTTGTGATTGCTCTTTTCAAAACCAGTTCATCAGGGTTTTTGTTAGACTGGAGCACACCAGAAGAGATATCCAAAATCTCGTTTATTCTATCAAGCAGGGCTTGTGCAGACTTGTTATTTCGCGAAATATTCTGTAGCAATGGCTTCAGTTTTCTGAGCTTGTCGGAACTCGACTTTCCAAGCTCTTCTGTCTCAGAAAGAATTGCCGATAACAACTGCAGCACAATCGTTAGAGACTCGTCAATTTGCTCTTCATCGTCTTCGTCATCAGAGTCAGCATCTTCAACTTTGGGTTGCACAATCCCAGCCAGTCCTGGTTTAGAATCCCCTGATTCATTGGAAAATCCCTCTAACACGCTTATTACCAGATCCAACATACTATCTGGTGATCTGGAGAGCCTTTCTCTGTGCTTCTCTGAAATACCTTCTAGAACACGCAAATCCAACAATGTGGAAAACGGGTTACCATCTTCATCATCCAAAACCAGTTTTTTTGTACTTGAATCACTCACTTTCAGCCATCTCCTCAGAATAACGAGAAACTCGGCTCCCACCATATCATCCTCCACATCCTGTAGAACATCGTTCAATAGGTCCACAGCATTTTCCATGTCATCAAACAGCTTGGTTTGTGAAATTTTGGTAATTCCAGTTATTTTTTCTTTGATAAAAGTCATTTCGTTCATTCCCACCGAAAACTCCCAATAATTTCCGTCTGGGACTATCAGATTCTGTACAATGATATCCAGCCATTTCACATCGTTGGTGATATGCAACGCAGAAACTAGTGCATTCTTGACTAGGGTAATATCAACATTTCTGTGCTTCTGGTACTTCATATAAATCCAGTATGGTACAATCAACGGTTCAAGAAGGGTGTTCATCATCTCAAGCGAGCCGTTCTTCGTGAAGGTGAGGAACACATTGAATGCATTATTGAGAGCGGATTCGGTGGTCAAAGTATCAATTTCACTTTCTGATTCACTTTTTGGTGGATTGAAAGAATCCCAGACCCTTTGAAAGATGAAATCAATCACTATTCTAGCGTTTATGCTGAAAATCGATTCAACTATGTGGGTTGCGATCGACGTCATTACTGGCCGGTTGACAAAAACCAGGATATCGTAGAGTTTTCCCCCCACATTATCAAAGTAATCTTTTGCACTTGAAGTCTTTGGTTTCTGCAACAAAATTCTCGTGATGTAATCAAGCTTCTCGACGCTTATCTCCTCGTTATCTCGTAGACCTCCCACGTATTCAATCAGTGCCTGGACTCCGTCGGACCTCTCCGTCACCAGACCTGCTAATCTCTGAGATATAAATAGCCTGAAATAAGGAGCTGTTGATGGCTGTATCAGCAAACTGTAAACAAGGAATAAATCGTAAGTCTCTGATGTCCGTTCAAGGTTAGTAATCAAGGCGGAGAACTCGTTTTTCTCATCGTCAGTGGCACCTGGTCTAGTCAGAAGATAAATTGCCCCCGTCAACACATCTGTAAATCCGGTGCCTTTGAGCATAAGATCCTTGATATCGCCACCATTGCTGAAAACTGACGCCAGCGAGGTCACTATCTTCCTCAATAGAATCACATTCTGTGGAGACGGCACCCGCGAAAATTTCATTGGCTTGTCAAAGCTTTTGAGGCGACGTTTGTCCAATGGAATTCCAACATTTGTTGGTAAACATGCATAAACTCCGTTTATTACGATCAGAGTCGTTAGCGCCCCTAGAGTCTTCATATCATGCAAAGCAATGGAGATCATGTCTGCTCCCAGCTTGGACTTCTTCTGTATCGAGAACAATTGAATATCAGCAAGATATGCTAGCAAGGCATCAATAACAACAGTTCTTCTTTTAAAAGAGTCATCTGTGGCCATTTCTGGTCGTATTCTCTTGTATATTTCATCAATCGCATCATCATTCGGTCCCAGTTTAATCAACACTGACAGCTCTCCAAAAGTCTTATCCAGAGGCTCATTGGAGGTCCATTCAGGCTTATTCAGCTCCTTTGAAGAGGGGAATTTTTTCTTTAAACTCGAGCCAATATCCGTTGTCATTTGAGCCCAACTCCTGCTAACAAGCTAAAGCCAGATACACTTGAAAAGTTCCCAGTGATAAGTAATCTTTCTGATCACGTGATGTGGGTGATGAGCTTGAATTTTTTTTGAGCTTTGGCTCTGCTTTAAAGCCGTGACATGCCTTTTTCACTAAGCTCTATACCGCAACTAACTGGAGGCTAAGATGGCAGACACTGAAATTTCCCAAGAGGATATGGGGCATATTATATTCGATGCCAGGATTGGAGACTTGGAGATCCTGGAAGAGATTTTTGCAGAGGTTGATCCCAAGCTGCTGCTGAAGATTGAAGAAGAGACCACCAAGGTCACCCCTATACATATGGCAGCTGCTAATGGACACAGCGAGGTTATAAAGTACCTGCTTTCTTTATTATCTGAAGAAGATTCTAAATTTTTGGTGAATAAGAGGAACGAGCATGGTAACACAGCCTTGCACTGGGCAGCATTGAACGGGCATTTGGACGCAGTCAAGGTTCTGTGTGAATACGGAGCCGATGCCTTTATTCAGAACAACATTGGACGTGATGCTATATATGAGGCGGAGAATAACGATAAGGGAGATGTAGGTAACTTTTTGCTCCAACACTTTTCGGTTGAGCCCGAAGAGGACGAGGAAGAAGAGGAAGGAAAGGAGACTACAGCCAAGGATGTTCAGATCCAACCCGGTACCGAGATACAAAACGCCACGGAAGAATCAAAGGCTGCTCTCGAAGATTTGACCCAAGAGACCGAGAACTTGAATGTGGAGTAAGACGAGATCATAGAGGATTTCGATTATGTCATACCGAAGGATCCCGGAGAAGTTTGAGGATCGTTGAGGATTCCGCAGAAAATCATTCCATTTTAATGTACATTCATCACAATAAAACCAATTTGCCGCTAAACTATTGGAATTTTTAAAATCATTTAATCTGTGGATAACTCGTGAAATTTAGTTAGGCCCCATATTTACACGTTCTTACGGGTAAATTATGTCACGTGGTTGTCAGGCTCTGACTTTTTCCCGATGAATCACATTAAAACCTCCATATACACCACTACTATTCTACACAATCATCCGCTACAAAATGGCCGACGTTGACGAACCAAAGGTGGTAGAAGACCTAGGACTAGACCTGAGTCTGAAGAAAAAGAAGAAGAAGAGTAAGACGCCAGATGCAGAATCCACCCCAGAACCAACCGTGGATGATGACGAAGACATGCTCGCGGGACTAAAGAAGAAGAAGAAGAAGAGCAAGGATGCCAGTGCTAAGGCTGACGGTGTTGATGAGGTTACTGATGCCTTTGATGACCTCAAACTGAAGAAGAAAAAGAAGAAGAAGGCTACCGTGATCGATGACTTCGACGCACAACTGGAAAAGGCTGGTGTTCTAGATGATGACAATAAGGAGAACTCACCAGAGGCAGCCGAAATCCCAGGTGAGACTACCAGCATAAAATACGAGGATTTGCTCCACAGATTCTTCAACATACTGAGAGAGAACAACCCAGAGCTTGCAGGAGGCTCGGGTTCGAAATTGAAGGTGCCACCTCCAGTCTGCCAGAGAGAAGGTAACAAGAAAACCCTTTTTGCAAACGTCCAAGAGATTGCTGCAGTCTTGCAGAGGAATCCAGAACACATCATTCAGTACCTGTTTGCTGAGTTGGGTACTTCTGGTTCCATAGATGGTCAGAAGAGACTGATCATGAGAGGCCGTTTCCAGCCAAAGCACATCGAAAACGTGTTGAGACGTTACATTGCTGAGTATGTCACATGTGAGACTTGTAAGTCCATGAACACAGAGCTGAAGAGGGAAAGCGCGAACAGATTGCACTTCATCGTGTGTAAGGCGTGTGGTTCTACCAAGTCTGTTTCTTCCATCAAGACTGGTTTCCAGGCCCATGTTGGACGCAGAAAGAAGTAGTTATTTGGTGTATATTTTACTCAATGAACAAATTTGTTGAAGTTCTTGATGATGCCGTTTGAATTACATGGCGGGTGCACAGTAGAACCATGAATCTAGCTTCTTCATTAATGAAACCATAATAACCAACCTATTCTACATGTTCCCGCGATCCATAAGCGTGAGGTCGGTCGTAATACTGTTTGAGGATGCCTCTCTCCATTCTTTGGTGCCATACTTCAAAACGCGAATGTTTTGTAGCTGCTTGACTTTTCTCCATGCAAAGAACAAACTCACCAGATCAGACGCTATCACAACCGCAAAACAACCAGCCAGATTTCGTAGAAATGTGGCTTCGTCTGGTGTAGACACATGCCTGTTGATCAAGCCTACCACAAACGGAATCTTAGCCAAAAGTTCTCGACTGGCGTACTCGCCCAAGACAGGCCAAGCCAATGTGGTTGCGATGTTGTAATAAAATCTTGGTTTTGAAAACAATAAACCAAAATCAGTTTTGAAACAGCACTCTAGCTCTCGTTTTAGTCGCGAAATGCGAATCTGCCTTATACGATCGGAAGGGACCAGATAGTGGAGGAATCTTTTGAGCAAGATCACCAACGAGTTTCGAGTCTTCTGTAACGAGTTTTCCAACTTGATTCTCTCCTCCTCGTCTTCTTGCTGGATTTCAAATTCTTCCTCATTTTCTCTCTCAATAATCTCCAAAGTTTCAGCAGAAAGTCCGTCCGCAATGAAGCATGGCTGGACGGATCTTGCCCAACGGTAGTAAACCCTATTCAGAGTCACTTTGTACAGAACCCCATAAACGAACTTCAAAGGAGCAATGAACAGCAAATTCCTCTTGGGTCCACTTTCCAGTAAGCTTGTTCCATCGGTGAGAAATAAAAATGGAAACAACTGCACAAATGCCTCCTGCATCGCGGGTATGAACGGCTTTCTCAGCAGATATAGGTATGGAGGAATGGCAGCAGTAACCAACAAAAACCTAGCCATGGGTAATCTTCCTCGGTCAATTGCACCTATCACTGAGGGGGTATTTCTCACATCAAATAACGACAACTGGACGCTGTTTGGTGCCAAAGTTTGCAGGATTTTCATCCCACTAGCGGAGCACCCGGCCGTCATACCAAGAGCATATGAGGCAACGGTTGAAGATACCAACGTCGATATCACAGTGACCCTGGTCAACGTCGAAACGCAATCCTGGAAAACTTTCCGCATATTTAAAAGAGATCCCGAGCTGGATTTCAAAAATATCTGTTTTTTGCACTGGGGACAGTTCACTATGATCGACTGAGACTCTCCTAGTAAGGGTACCCCTACCAGTGGCGCGGCGAAGGGGAAATTGAAAAACACTCCCTCATTGGCTGGTCTGGGAGCAATACCATTTCCCTGTCTTCTTTCCTGTAAATCCAGGTTTGAAATCCAATTTAGCAGACATTTGCGGTGTGCTACCAGCGAGCAAGCACATGGGTGGATCCAGTCGTGGGCATCTGCTTTGGTGCCCAAGGGTGGCACTTCATCACCTTCCCCGAGGCAAATCCAGCACCGGGGGCTACTTTGGTCAGTGTCATTCATCTCAGCAAAAAAAAAACCGAGTTGTTCTGTGAAGTCTAGAAGAAGAGTGATTAACAAGCTTTCTAGACTGGTAGCCTGGGGAAGTAGGCTGTTATCATGGGCGAGAGTTGAATTCGTGTACCAACAAAAATGGTAAATGAGATTATCACGATAACGGTTAATTTTCAGAGGCTCTATTGAGGCTACGCCTGTTACTAGCGAACATCGAGATATGAAAAATTAGAAGCAGATGTTGATCTTTTTCATCTACCAAACAATCCAAAAAGTCCTTTCTTCTTCTTGTCTGCAGTTTCTTCACTCTTCTTTTCGTCAAAGGACTTCTGAGCAGGAGCATCGTAGTTGATGAAGTTGAAAGCCACGTCAAACAGCACAGGCTTGACAGCGACTGGAACTAGGTCAATCTCTAATGGAACGATATGTTTCAGTGTTTCAGAAGGCGACGCCAATATGCACTTGTCAAGGTGATCTGATATGTATTCCTTTGTGGAGCTTTCGGACGTCTCTCTGGCGTATTGCGCAAGAACATGCACCCTTCTCAAGGCACTAGAGATATTTTCTTTAAAAGCTATCAGATCCGTGTTAGTTGGGAGTGTTCCTGGAAACTCTGTGGTGATCTCTTTGGATAATTGGACTGTCTCTGACGCCTTGACAACAAGGGCAAGGGCCTCGGTAAAGCGACCTGAAATAAGGTATGCGTTGTAGATCTGCATCACCTTCTGCGCAGAATAGTACGACTCCAAAGAATCCAAAGACGAAGTCAGATCTTCATCATTTCCTACACCAGGAAGATCTTTGACTTCGGCGATGGTTCCAGTGATACCTTCCAATAGTCTCACTGCATCCTTGCTATGTTCCAGCACCATGGTGTTGGAAGCAGACTTCTTGGCCGCCTTTGATTGAACTGCCACCAGCAAAGAGACATCTCTTCTGATACGCAGGATCAAGTAATTGTAGTTGATGTACGTCAGCAGGATGTATCTGTCCTGTGCCTCGTCCTCATCCTCATTCTTTATTCTGTCCATTTCCTGGCGATGTGTTTGAAGAGCCTCCTGCCAGCTTAACAAAGCAGGGTCATATGATGCAATGTCGGACTCCTTCACCTGTTCCAGCATGGACTGGGCATCCATTATCTTTCTGGCCACATCTTCCGACTTGATGGTGGCTGAAAACTGACTCCATTGGATCTCCTTGATCAATTTCAGAGACGCTTGTTCATCAGACGCCTTCACAAAACTTGCATCCTTGGCAGAAATTATCTCGACAGCCGGCACAATGAACTCCACAGTGTTATCGTGACTGTGATAACGAGCAGCATTATCCAAGTCTGCTGTTTTGTTGTTGGAATCTTTTCCTAGGGCAAGTCTGAGAGCTGGATCAATGTATGTGTCAATGATTTCAGTGTAGATCTCCTTTCCTCCCTCCTCAGAAATTTCGTTGTGAGCATACAGAAACTGTAGAGAGCATCTGGCAACGGAAAATGCATGGATAGCTATCTTCCAATTCTTTCTGGATATGGCCAATGAGCCCTGGATCAAAGCAGTATACACAATTGCCTCGAGTCTCTTGTATTCGTTGGACTCTTTGGAGATGATTTCCAACAAGTGGAGAGCATTTTTGAGCGCAGTCTTATACTTGGACACAATGAATTTTTCCTTGGACTTGGAAGGATGAACAGCCATCAAGATTCTTGTTTCCTCAATGATCAGCAAGTCTCTTTCCGCAGTCTCCAACAGAATCTTTCCATACCTTTGGTCATTCTCATAATCATTCTCTGATATCTTTGAAATCTTTTCTTTGTTGGAATAGTTCTTTGTATCCTTTGTGTGAATCTTCAACGAGCGACGGGTCTTCTTCAGACTCTTGTTGATTCTCTTTCTGTGCTTCTGGTATGCCTCTGCAGACTGCAAGACAGCCGCACTTCTGACACCAAAAGTGCTTTGCAGTGGAAAATCCATTTTAATTTTTTGAAGTATTCCGTAGAATCGAGACTATATTTAACGCCTAGTTATTTCGCTGGACGGAAGGTCGACGTCGCGAAGGTGGTGCTTTGAGGCACAGTGAAAAATGACAGAGCCTCTCTATTTGCGGAGAAACCAAATCCTTCAGGTAGTTTGAAAGTTGGCAAGCACGCCTTGATATAAATCTGATTTGCAGTCACCACTGATGAGTGAAGCTGGAAGTAGTTGGGATGAGTTAATCGGACTTTCTAAGGAGCAATGTGAAAGGAGCTATCTGATGAGACATACTGGGGGCACCTTTGACCAGGCTTCGCTGAGGACGTACAGCGATGGGACTTCAGTCTACAGCTTTTACGAAAAGGGCCTCTCTTTCGGGTTTTTGAAGGATGGCACTTTGGACAGCATTGATTTTTATAACGACAAGACTTCGGGTGGGGTGCGTGCAATGAAAACCGTTGCTGACTCGGTGCCGTTACCCTTTGGGATAACCAAGCAAGATACGGGCAGGTCTTTGGTGACAAAATTTGGAGAACCCAAGGAAAAGGGCGGCGGTTTTAATGCAAAAATTGATATTTGGCTACGATGGGACAACTTTCAGGTTGATATAGATAACAAGAGTTGGGACCAAGCACCAAACTCCAGATGGAGTGCTTTTACGATATATAGGCCATGATGCGGAGGTCTAAACCGAGAAGAACTGGTGGGATGGCTGATTTTAAAGTGAAATAACAGTATGGACTAATTGCGGACTCATCATCAAATCCTATTGATAGGAACTGTCTTCTGAATTTCCATTTCCATTCCTTGCAGGCAGCTCTAGGACAGTTTGGTGATTGTCCATGTCTCCATCCTGAATCAATGACCCATGCAACTGGTTGTTTTGGATCTTTCCGCCTTCAAAGTTTTCCCGAACGCGAAGATAATGGTCAAGCTCGTCTCTGGAGACAGACGGAATCAGCTCGTTTCTTGCATTGATGAAATCCACTTCTTTAACCGTCACTTCCACATCACTGTCAGTGGCTATATTTTCAAACCACCATCTGATGCTCACTTTTTTATCATCGGGCAATGGCTCGTTGTAGTGTTTCACCTTCTCATCAACGGTACCAGCGACACGGGTCATGGCTTTGAGCATGGCATCAGAACATAAAGCATAGAAGTCGGCCCCTGTGTAGGTAAACGGACAACCTTCAGCAATATGCTGTAGGGATACAGACTCGTCTATCTGAAACTTCCTGGTCAAAGCTTCTATGATCTTCTGCTGTTTCTCATGCGAATCAGAGATACCAAGATAAAGCATCTTGTCGAATCTCCCTGGGCGTAATAGTGCTTCATCCAGTAGATCTGGTCTGTTCGTCGCTCCAACAACGAATATACCATCACCTCCATCCGACCCACTCATTCCATCAAGCTCAGCAAGCAGCTGAGACACTATACGATCCATAACACCACCTGAATCACCTTGATTGCCTCTTTTAGGTGCAACAGAGTCGAGCTCATCAAAGAAGACGACACATGGTTTGGCATCCCTGGCTCTCTGAAACACTCTTCTGACGTTGGCTTCGGACTCACCAATGTACATGTTCAACAGCTCGGGTCCTTTCACTGAGAAGAAGTTCAAAGCGAAATTGGTAGCTATTGCCTTGGCTAGTAAAGTCTTGCCAGTTCCTGGTGGTCCATAGAATAGAATACCACTCCTCTTTTTAATTCCGCTGGTGAACAGCTCGGGGTGTTTCATGGGCATGTCTATAGTATCGAGAATCTCATCCTTGACCAAGTCCAATCCACCCACGTCTTCCCACTTCACGTTGGGGATTCTTGGTGCACCAATCGAATCACTGAACTTGGAACGCGTAGAGTTTATGGAGGATTCGAAGTCTTCAGGCGATAGCAGTACCTTCCCACCGGAAAACACGACCAATTGCTGGAACGATATGCCCAGATTCTCTGCCAGGCTCTCTAATCTGTCCACTGCTAAATACCTCGAATTGTCAACAATCGATATCAAGTCTCTTGGAGAAAGTCCGGCACTCTGTAACGACAGGGTCTCCACTGAAACATCATGGGCAAGGCCGAACTCCAAACCATCACTGTCCTGCAGGGAATGAGGTCTCAACAAATGTCCGAAGATTTGGGTCCTTTCCATTTCTGAAGGAACACTCACCTGGATCTCAAACCTGAACTTTGAACGAAGAACATCAGAAATTTTGTCTGGATTCGCACTAGATGCAATGAATATTATCCCGGGGTGAGATATATAATCAGCAATGGCACTTGCAACTTGTAAGCCTAGACTGTCCGTACTGTTGGGGTTCTGGTCATTTTGGTCACATAGAGCCTCTATGTTCTTGATATGTATCACCAATGGTGAACAATTTTGCACTAAACGATCCAGCTTTCCCGTTAAAGTTCCATATGTGGCGCTCTCATTGCCCGGACTCAAAATCTCATATCCGTCCAATTCACGAAGATTGACGCCGAGTTCATAACACATGCTCTGGACCAGATGGGTCTTGCCCAGGTTTCTGGCAGAACTAGAAAGTAGCACTGCTGTCTGTACTTTCACCTTGTTCATGTTCTTCAGGGATGTGGCGATGATCTTTCGAAGGGTCTTCGCATACTCGAACGAGACGGTGGAACCTCTTTCTGTGCTGGTATAAGCAAACAAATCAGGCATGCTGAAATAGTTTCGCCAATCAGCTTGATCTCTCTTGGGAAGTGACACTGAGACCGTTCCCCCTTGAACCATGCTGGTTCTCATTGTATCTATCAAGTATTGATCCGAATCAGAGTCTCTTGGCTGTTCAGATGGTTCGGCAATCACTTCCGATACTTGCATCCAAGCAATTTCGGTGGGTCTCGAGAGCGGAATCAGTCCGGGTATGTCGGAACTATCCTCTCCCTGTTGCTCATAGGCGTTGAACAGAGAAGTTGCCAGCTCGGTGTTGATGGGAATTGGAATAAGCATCCCTTTGGAAATAACTCGTTTCTTCTGCTCGAAGTAAGATCTCAATTTGAAGTGCAAGCTGCTCTGGACAGTTTTAGACAGATTCACTGGAGATGCGAGCTTCAGTATCTTAACCTGTTTTGCAGACGGTATCACGTCTTCGATCTTTAGCTTTTCATCTCCGAGTCTCTCTATGGTCACCTGCTCAGGATAGCCCATACTCTGTAGCAACATGGGAGATAGATGAATTGTCTTTGGCTCAAAATTATTGGGATCCACAAAGGTGGATATTCTCACAATTCTAGTTAGGGACTTGGATGTTAACTTGGCTAGCGAACCATTCAAAATTCCGATTTGCGTCAACTCATTGGTTTTCACGCAAGCGAAAATGTGCTCGTCTTCATTCTCAAACTGCTTAGCTATGTGGGGTACGTTTCTGTGGTTTTCCAAATCGAATCGAGTCAATGTTCTCGTTTTGAAGACAGTCTCCACCTGCGACAAAGCAGGCTGTTTATTGAACCCCAAAGAGATCAGAGAATCGTTCAGATTCTGAAACTCTACCATAGTGTCCTCCTGCTGTTCTGCCTCGTCTTCAACATCTTCTCCCAGCACTGCTGTGATTAACGTTGAGGAATCTAGTAATCCCTGAGAAACAGGCTCGCAGTGAATAACTTTGCCATTCAAGCTTCTAATCAGATCGAATTGCCTGACCAATGGTTTCACCCGTGTGCCGTCATTTGTGGATTGTACGTCGTGCAGATCTTGTTGTATTAAGTGGATAATCTTCTCCTTTGGTGTCATCTCCAAGATCTTGTACACCTCCTGTGGAAAACTGACTATCATGTTCGAAAGTGAGACCAACTTCCCCGGGTTGTAGCATTGGCACAGCCTGATATCTAGATCACCACCATGTTTGGACCATAGCTGGAAACTAGCCAATTCGCATGTAACAGGTGGCAGCAACTCATTAACAGAAACATTGTAAACCTGGAACGAGTCCAGGATGTTTGAGCCTAGCAGCTTTAGAGAAAGATGTGTGGGTTTGCCGAGTCTGGCGCTCAGATCAGACGATATCCAGAGGTGTTCTAGGGGACGATCCAGAAAGTCCCTGAACCGAAAATTCGCATTCACAGACGTGATCTGAAACTCTTCTGTGGCGACTGGCATTGTTGAGAGTATAAATGAAAGACAGGAAGAAGATTCTCTTGTTCATGGTCTTGTTCTCATACTGGATGAATTATTGGGGTAGTGGGGAAACCATGGCCCGCCGATGCCTTAGGCTTTACTTGCCGAAAAGGGTTAACATGTGGAAATGAGGGGGGATAAGTATGGAGAATAGGCAGAGAATAGAGTGTGTGTAATTTCCGCCCGGACGGAAATATTTAAACCTCATGTTTTTTAATGGGGAAACTTGAGGTCAAAATTGATGTTATACACGTTTGAATAATTTTTCTGGCCTGGTGAGACGCAGTAGCGCCAGTCTTAGTCATCAATGGAAGCGACGCCTTATCGGCGCGGGCTCATCTCCGTGGCAATGATGGGTTAGGACATTTTCAATTCTCATTATATCGTGGCTGTCACGGCGTCGTCTTGCTGAAATTCCTTGGTTTCTCAATATTCGTTGAAAATGTCGCGCTCCATTCTTAAAATAGTCAAAGGCGTTGATAAGATTGAGGGTCTGGGGATGAGTATCAAGAGAACGCTGGGACTCAAAGAGATGAGAAACTTCACGCCGTTCCTTCTCGTTGACCATTTCAAAAATCAGGCCTCAGGCTCAGGGTTTGCACCTCATCCGCATAAAGGTCATGAGACCATCACTTACGTGCTATCTGGACAAATACATCATTCAGACTTCACGGGGTCCAGAGGAGTTATCGATAAAGGTGACCTTCAGTTCATGACAGCAGGAAAAGGTATTGTCCATGCCGAAACACCAAAAGGAGGGTTGGTAGAGGGCCTACAGATCTGGGTTGATTTGCCGGTGGCGTTGAAGGAGGTTGAGCCCAGTTATAGAAACCTGATAGGCAAGGATACTCCCGTAGTGCGGTCGTCGAATTTAAGCGAGATCAGGGTCATTTCCGGGGAGTCAAATGGGATATCGAACAAGCGTGAATTGGCTCAAATTCCGATTGAATACTACCATATGACATTGGGCGCCGGTGCTGATTTCAAGCAGGAGGTGAAAAGAGGCCATAATAGCTTCATCTATGTGATTCATGGCCAATTGGAAGTCGCGGGAAAAGAAGTCCCCGAACACAGCTCAGTTTTCTTCGACGAGGACGGCGACTTCATCGCTGGAAAAACACCCGAGGGAGCCGAATTTGTCATTCTTACCGGACAGAAGCTGGACCAGGAAATCCACATGATGGGCACGTTCGTGGAGGCCTCACGTGATAAGCTGAAGGACTCTCTGAAAAGCTACAAGAATAAGACTGGAGGTTTCTCTAGGCTGCGTGATCCCTCCTATAATTTCAGTTAATAAATAGGATAGCTGTACCTAGCAACGAAAGCCGTCATGCTGACTCATAGTCACGGCAATCGGCTAGCGCGATAAAAGAGCTCCGTGTTATGGTGTATTGATTAATTTATGGCCGCATGGCCCGAGGGGGCAGAAAAAGAAATATTACCTAGGGCAACTTGATGATGAATTATGAGAACCTTGTCGTTGTTTTTTTTGATTGTTTACGGTAGAAGTAGAGCAAAGATGCTCTCCACGAGGCAAAGTAACGTTGCTCACCGCCTTGGATTATTCAATTCATCCGGGAGAAGAAAGCACCTCGGCTATTGCTGAATGCTTGCTCAAACAATTGACAACCGCAGCAGACACAGCCGTGAAGGTCGTGTCGTGTGCACAATAGTGTTTGGCAAACCACGGTTTACGGGCTGCGTGGGCCGCAATATACAAAAAATCCGGTTCGTGCCGAAACCTGATGAGCAAGATTGAATGGGATTCCTATCAAAAGATTACTAAAATGGGTTCCTTGGTCGAGGCGGAGCCGTAAACCGACCGTATTCCAAGCACCGTTTCGCCCGAGATCCCATCGATGAGATTCCTGCTCATGCACACCAGATCTGTCTCATATAATTCAAATCAACGTATTCACGCCACCCGATTGGGTGAGCAACTAAGCTTCAACTCGCCAAAGCAAGAAAACGGAGGCAAAGCAACTAGAAGCATCTACGTAAAAAATTTACTTTTCTACATTCTTAAATCACTAACGTCATTCTCGCAACAACCGCCCAAACGACCTCGGTGTTAATGGGCGGCAACCGGTGGCAATTGTGCCGGGCGTCTAATGTGTCATTCTCACCCGATGTCTGCCAGCTCGCCAAATCCTACCGGCCCCTCTGCGCCCCACGCATTATAAATAGTTTTGTTCCCCAGCCCATTCTTTTCTTCTCTGCCCGATACGTTCGTATTTTAGACCCACGCCAAACGAAGCCAAAAATTAACCAAACAGACACCTCCGTCTTGTTAAGTTACCAGTGTACACTTATTTGTTTGAATATTCGGAGTTTTTCTTATTATTAGCATTGGCATTTGGCACTCACCTGACCCGCGCGTGCCACCACCCTCTAGCAACCGCTAAAGCTACCAGAGCAAACATATTTAGCACACACAGGGGGGAAGTTTTTTTTTTTGATCATGTCTATTTGGACCATGGAAAACAAGTCACCCTTTGTGTCCACTTCGCCGGTGAAATACACCTACCTGGAGTTCCCTCATTTGCAGAAGGACCTGATCTCCAACCACTCCCAAACAAACTCGCCTCCCTCGAGCGTCACAAGTGAGCTTGAGGAGGACAACATGATGAACTTGATACCTAATCTGTGGTCTGAGGAGACCCAACCGCAGGGACAACCGCTTGCCCAGAACACCCTGGCGCTTCCGATGTCCTACTCGGTGAGCTCTCCCCAGTCCCGCAACTCTGCCATGTCGCCATCACTTCTATGGGGCAACGCACCAAGACCACCTAGTCCTCCTGTCCAGACGTTTGCTGCCTTGCCTCCGCCGGGCCATGCGCGCCAGCACAACGTGAGTTTCGCGCAAAATGCATCCAACACGCAAGCTGTTCCCAGCGCTCCGAACGCTCCGAACACGCCTCTCACAGAAGAGAACCTCAGCATCTTACTCGGTATCAAGCCCAACACACAGCCACCAATACAATCCGAGTCGCGGTCTCAACCGCATGCGAGATCCCTCAACGGAGCATCCGTGAACACCAATCTCTACAAGACCGAGTTGTGTCTGCAATTTCAGTCCAAAGGCTTTTGCCCATATGGAGTCAAATGCCAGTTTGCTCACGGTTCAGAAGAGCTGAAGCAAGTCCAAAGGTCCAGTAATTGGAAGACCAAGCCATGTGTCAACTGGACCAAGTCTGGATGGTGCAAATACGGCAGACGGTGTTGCTTTAAGCACGGAGAAGCTGATGTCTAAGTCCGCACAGGGCTTTGTTGCTTTGAAAATATGATGAAACTGGTGCCTAATGATACAGTGTTGTTCTACTTATAGTGAATGTCCGAACATAATGAAACTGATGTCTCATTCACTCTCCCTCACCATCTTGCTTCTCCTGTTCTTCCCCTAGCCTGCTCCATAATCTACCCCCATCTCTGTTGCTCTCGGTTTATCATCACGTCCACTTGTTTTCGTTACGTATATATGTCTTTCATGTCTGGGTTGGGTTCAAAAAAAATTTATGTCACGGTTTTTTCTATCATTTTCATTCCCTCTGATCTCATAGGTGTCTTTGGCTTACTGATTCAAATTGTATAATTACACATAGCATCACACTCTTACATTTTGTTACTCTAGTTTGTATACTGCCAGTCTATTTCAAGCGTAAAACCATTTTGAAAACTACACCGTGGAAGAAGCAGCGCTGATCTTTCAAAGAGGGACATTTTATTATGTGTACGGGTGATAAAACCAGTAGAAATAGGCGAGAAGTGCGATTTCTGAGCCTTTTTTATCAATTACGGGCCTTCACATTGATGGGCTGTCAGCTCCTATTCGTTTTTTCTTTGGTGCCGTTTTTTTTTTTCATTTTATCAACTCCAGAATCTGCTGGATCAAATGCGATATCTCGTCACCGCTGTTGAAATCGTCGTTCGTCAGGTCGTTGAGGTTAAATTTCCCAGATTGGATAAGCTGTTTCACACTTGAACTCAACATCTCGTCGTCGCTTTCAAGTAATTGCAACATGGTCCACACTGCAATGTGCTCGAAGGTGGAGTTCCCGCTCTCCAAGAACCTGGTGATAAAGCTCGATATCCCCTGCAAGTTGGACTTGATCTTTGAATAATCAGATATCCTGGAACACAGGTTAGCCAGTGCTGCGGCTGCGTTGCCACAAACCTCGCCATTCTCGCTGAATGTCAATGGTATCAGCACATCAATGAGGCCCAGATCCAGAAGTTTCAGTTTGAGATCGTCTGCCAAAGCGAGTATGGCGAAACAGGCACTGATCTCGCTCTGGACCGAAATTGGCGCCTTTAGCACCAAGTCTTTGCACTTCTTCACAGCACCTGCCTCTAGCAATGCCAGTCTGTTTCTCTCGCTGCTTGCTGCCAAGTTCCTCAGAGTAGACACGGTGTGGCACTGGATCTCCACGGAATCAGGATAGTCGACGAGCGAAACCAGTGGCTTCAGGAACCCAGCGTCGATTATCAACGCCTCGTTCAAAGGATGTATAGAGATGTTTCTGATACACGCAACGGCAGCCAGCACCAAAGGCTGATGTGTGGATTGCAACAGCGTGACCAGGTTCGGCAAACCTCCAGCTCTCACTATCTCCAACTGGTAGTTTGCGTCTGATGCCAAATTCCTCAACGCCAGGGTTGCTTGGCATTGTACGCGTGGGCTTGTGGAGTCCATCAACTGGACTAATTGCGAGACAAGCTTGGGCTCGGTGGTAGCCAACTTCTTTCTGTTGGTTTCATCCACAGCAATGTTGGATAGCGCAGTGGTACAGTAGTACTGGACATCCGCGTCCTGGCTAGATAGCAATTGCACCAATACAGGCACGGAACCGGCGTTGACCAGTTCCTGTCTGTTGGCCAATGAATGTGTCATGTTCAACAGCGCGCCTGTGGCGTTTCTCTGAACCCTGAGGTCAGGCGACTTGGCGAGCTTGGTGAGTGGAATTAGTGCACCACTGGTGGCGATTTTGATCTTGTTTCTATCCTGTGTGGCCAAATTTGTGATGCACCCGACGGCATTGCACTGAACTTCGATGTTCGAAGACATCATCTGTCTGATTAGCGGCTCTAATCCACCCATTTCTACTATCAGCACCTTGTTTACATCGTTAACTGCCATGTTTCCAAGTGCCGCGCACGCAGCTCTCTGGACCTCCTGGTCAGAGCTCTGTAGCAGTATGAGGATTGGCTCAAGCACATCCCTTGAGACTGGCTCTGTGTAGTTTTCCGTAATCTCTGCAAATGCCAACGCTGCACTTCTTTGAAGATCAACATTATCGGAATATACCAAAGTGCTCAGCGCACGTAACGGACCGTTGGAGAAGAAGTCAACGTCTGACCTGTTCTCTAAGTATTGCAATAAAGAAGTGATGGCTTCGCGTTCGTTCTCGGCCAAAAGCGGCGGGTACGTGCTGTCTTGGTCACCTCTAGAAAGGCAACTGCAACAGGCTCCCATTGTAAAAAGAGTGACGAGGAAGATATGATTCGGGCTTACCACAGAGTATTCGCACTCTACTGGATGGGCCGGTTCGTGGTCGAATTGAGTAAGGCGTGTGAGTACTCGCGAATGGCAAGGTAAGACTATCGGCAAAGCACTGCTAAAAGACTTTAGTCTTCAGATTAGTGATTGAAAAACAAAAAGGCTATTTTTGCAGCCAGAAACGATAGACGCAAAGTGTTTGTTTCGAACAAGGGTCAACGAGAGAGTTTTTCCTCTGAATGCTGCCCCCTCCCCCTGTCACTTTTGGTTTTCTTGGTGGTACACACCCACACAAATTTCAAGCGAGGTGATAAGCAATGGCCAATGGGAGACCAGTTTAACCGTGAGATGCAAATAAAAAAAAGGGCAAACCGCTTCGGATGGAATTATTCTACGTGGGGTTTCTAAAATTTCAATTTTGGAAGGATTTACTCCAGTGGTAAGTGTAGAGGATGAGGTGTAATCATCAAAGGTTCTTCCGATAAGAGAGAATACCGGAGCAGATAATGCGAGGCTTTTAAGTGGGGACAAGGTGTGGAACTTGGGACGCGTTTCATGTTCTGCAAAGAAACGCTGTTGCAAAGAGTCTTATCGGGGTTCTAATTCCAATTTCGACGTGCTCTAATTTATATCCGTTTGTTTCGATTCCAGAACTGCTCCCGAATAGGCTCACAAAGAACTCTGTTCCGTGAGCCTTTGAAGGTCGTTGCGGCGTCGAACTGTGGTTTTGGTATAAGCACTACCTCGCGCCTACCCCCTCGCTGGACAAACATCACCGTGTCGTGGTCAGTGATCTGTATTGAAAAAACTGAATATGACAATCACCTGGGATTAATTTTTTTTAATCAGTTTTTGACCAGATTTGCATATCGGGGTTGGGTTTTGCTTGCTGAGATTACAAAGGGACGTCTCCTGTACTACCATCACCCAAGATGAATCAAGAAAACGCGGTTGATACGTCGCAATCCACGTCCAGATTTGAGACTCCCGAATACGATTTGTCGGGTTTTGCCGGTTACAACAAGCAGATATCGGTTGCTGATCGAAAATTGAAGTATATCGTCCGGGATGAAAAACAAGCGTTTAATGTCGAGGAAACCGCAAAAAGATTTAGCTATCTCTTGGGACTGACTACTCTTTTCAAGCATTTCATCAATTCTAAGGCTGAGAAGGACTCCAGGTTCAGGCAGGTATTGGACCTAATCCAATCAGATAACAGGTATAGACCTAATAGAGACGGCAACGATCACAGACGCCGCAAGACCGAAAAGGAGGAAGATGCCGAGCTGTTGAATGAAGGCCAGGACGATGAAATCTTTGAATTCAACGAATCGCCGGGATATGTTGATGGTGAGCTGAGGCCTTATCAAATCCAGGGTTTGAACTGGTTGATATCGCTTTATCAGAACCATCTTTCGGGTATATTGGCCGACGAAATGGGTCTGGGCAAGACTCTTCAGACCATATCCTTTCTTGGATACTTGCGTTATATCCGTTGTGTCCCAGGCCCACATCTTGTTGTTGTGCCTAAGTCTACTCTTGATAATTGGAGAAGAGAATTCAACAAATGGACTCCTGAGGTGAACGTCTTGGTCCTCCAGGGTGACAAGCAGGAGAGAGATGATCTCATCAAGAATAGGCTGATGACCTGCGATTTCGATGTCGTTATTTCTTCGTATGAGATTGTTATCAGAGAGAAGTCCAGTTTCAGAAAGTTCAACTGGGAGTATATTGTGATTGATGAGGCCCATAGAATCAAGAACGAGGAGTCCTTGCTTTCCCAGATTATCAGAATGTTCCACTCGAAGCAGAGATTGTTAATCACCGGAACTCCATTGCAGAACAATCTTCATGAGCTTTGGGCCCTTCTGAATTTCATTCTTCCAGATGTCTTTGCAGATTCTGAGACTTTTGATGAATGGTTCCAGAGCAGTGGAAAAGTTGAGAATGGAGAAGAAAGTGAGGCTAGGAACGAGGACAGCGATCAAGGCTCCGTGGTTCAGCAACTCCACAAGGTCCTTCAGCCGTTCCTGTTGCGTCGTATCAAGTCGGACGTCGAAAAATCTCTTCTTCCAAAGAAGGAAGTGAACGTTTACTTGGGCATGACCGAGATGCAAAGACAATGGTACCAGTCTATTCTCGAGAAGGATATCGACGCTGTCAATGGCGCCAACGGCAAGCGTGAGTCCAAGACAAGATTGCTCAATATCGTGATGCAACTCAGAAAATGCTGCAACCATCCGTACTTATTTGAAGGCGCAGAACCCGGTCCTCCGTATACCACGGATGAACATTTGGTGTACAACTCTCAGAAGCTGAAGGTGTTGGACAAACTGCTGAAAAAGTTCAAAGAAGAAGGCTCTAGGGTCTTGATATTCTCCCAGATGAGTCGTATGCTGGATATCCTGGAAGACTACTGTGTTTTCAGGGACTATGAATACTGCCGCATTGACGGCCAGACTGACCATGCTGACAGAATTCAAGCGATTGATAACTACAATGCTCCGGACTCTGAGAAGTTTGTATTCTTGTTAACTACGCGTGCAGGTGGTTTGGGTATCAACTTGACCACGGCAGATATCGTTGTGTTGTTCGATTCCGATTGGAATCCGCAGGCCGATCTCCAGGCGATGGACAGAGCTCATCGTATTGGACAGACAAAGCAAGTCAAGGTTTTCCGTTTCGTCACGGAGAATGCTATTGAAGAGAAGGTCATCGAAAGGGCTTCTCAAAAGCTCAGACTAGACCAGTTGGTGATCCAACAAGGTAGAAACTCCGGCGGAATCTCCAACGAATTGCAACAGAAGGCGAAACAGGCCAGTTCTAAGGAAGAGCTGCTTTCTATGATTCAGCATGGTGCAGCGGCCGTTTTCCAAGAGGGCAAGAAGGACGAAAAGACAACGATTGACGATGACGAAATCGATGCAATTCTTAAGTCCTCTGAGGAGAGAACAGCTGTTTTGCAGTCTAGATTTGCCAGTCTGGGCTTAGATGATCTTCAGAATTTCACCACCAATGACTCCTCAGTTTACGAGTGGGATGGTAAGAATTACAGCAAAAAACCAGTTTCAAATGGTGCCATCTCATTAGCCTGGATCAATCCTGCCAAGCGTGAACGGAAGGAAAACTACTCTGTTGATATGTATTATAAAGGAGTTTTGCATACTGGAGGAAGAACTACAGCAAAGTCTGGTCCTCGGCCCCCAAAGCAGCTGAACACGTTCGATCACCAGTTCTACCCCGCAAGACTGTCTGAGATCTACGATCTCGAGAAGGCTTACTTCAAGAAGCAGACAAAATACAAGCCAGTTCTATCCGACAGCAAGCACCTGACCCAGAAGCAAAAGCAGGCTGATCTGAGATTGGAAGAGCTAGAAATCGAGCACTCTAGACCTCTTACTGAAGAGGAAGAGGCTGAGAAACAAGAACTAGCTAATGAAGGATATAGCAACTGGTCCAGGCGTGACTTCACCCATTTCATTCATCTGTGTGCAAAGTATGGTCGTGACAGTTTTGAGGAGATTGCTTCGGAGTTTGAGGACAAAACCATTGAGGATGTGAAAGAGTACTCGGAAGTTTTCTGGGAAAACTATGGCCAGATCGATGGACATGAGCGCTATATTTCGCAAATCGAACAGGGTGAAGAGAAGTTGGCAATCAAAAGGGTTCAAAAGCAAGCACTCAGGCATAAACTGTCACAGTACCACTTTCCTCTACAGGAATTGGTGTTGGAGTACCCTCCAGCGACGACTAACAGAAGGATTTTCAGCGAAGAGGAGGATAGGTTCTTACTGGTTCAGCTGTATAGGTTTGGAAGCGATCGCGAAGATACTTTCGAACTGATCCAGAAGGAAATATTCAAAAGTCCCCAGTTTCAGTTTGACTTTTTCTTCCAGAGCAGAAGCATTTCTGAACTCAGCAGACGGTGCACTACTCTGTTAACCTGTCTCCTCAGAGAGTACGAGCCAGGCACCAAAAAGACCAAGTCCAAAAAGCCTACGAAGAAGAGAAAGCCAGTGAAGGCGGCGAAGAATGCAAAAAGACAAAAACGATAGAGTTTGAGGACGTTAATTCTCATTTGAGATTGACATAATATAAAGTTTCATAAATGATACAATTTGAAAGGTTGAAATAGAAAAAATAGTTATAGCATGTGATGATAGCAGTTGAGAGCAAGCTATAGCAATGCAGCGATTAAAGCTCGACAAACCAGCTAGGTCTGATCGAAACGAATAGCCCGCTTATTTCAGCAGGTCCTTGACGGCACCCTCGATCTTGGAAGGACTGGTGACAGAAGAGTATCTGTTGACAACGTTACCCTTCTTGTCAATCAAGAACTTCTCGAAGTTCCACTTGATACCCTTGAAACCCAAAAGACCAGACTTCTGGTCCTTCAGGTAAACGTAGACTGGATCAGCATCGGCACCGTTAACATCAACCTTCTTCATCAATGGGAAAGAAACACCGAAGTTCAGTCTGCAAAATTCAACAATCTGGTCTTGGGTACCTGGCTCCTGGTGACCGAACTGGTTACATGGGAAACCAAGAACGACAAAGTCTTGGTCCTTGTACTTCTCGTACAGCTCCTCCAACTCCTTGTATTGAGGGGTAAAGCCACACTTGGAAGCAACGTTAACAATCAACACGACCTTGCCTTCCAATTGCTTGAAGTCAAAAGGTTCGCCGTTTTTGTCAAGTGGAGCAAGAGAGTAAAATTTGGACATTGTGAGAGATAGATATTGTCTTGAGGTGACTTGAATAAAAATGTGGAGCTTATTCTGTCAGATGCAGGGAAACAGGGTAATTTTATATGCTTGGGGCTCCCTGAAAAAACGGCTAAGTGGCGCTCGCATGATTTTACTTACTGTTCCTCGTATTCGGGATTCAAGGGCGTTATGCTTTTCCGCAACGGACCGGTTTAGAGGCCGGAATGAAGATGACTAATTTTTTCGGTCGGGGCTTATAACGTGGGTCGGAAATGCATTTTGTTGCCTCGAAACATGGTCGGTAATATCCGTTCTGTACCGGTTATGTCCTCGAGAATTTTTTACCAAAAACACGACCGAGGGAGTGACTCCGGATCTGGAATAAGAAAATAAAAAACCGTTGCCCTGCATGCACCTCCAGCCCTCTCATGGGCCACAAAACTGGCGACATACATGAAATTCGTATAGAACGCAATCTCGTATTCCGGTTGTATGAGTCCAGATGCCCAAGTATTACTAACGTCAGATACTCCTCTTTACTTAGGCCAGAGATTAGGCAAAGATAAGTGTTCTCGGTAATTGTTCTGTCCCGAGACTGTCCCGAGACTTGTCCCGAGGACCTTTATGGTAGACTACTGAGAGAGAAGCCGAGGAGGAACCTTGAGTGTTTTTGATCCGAATATCGGTATTAATTTTTCGGTAGAAAGGAATTATTTGTTCCTAGTGTCCGCAACCTGTGGGGCAGGTTTAATCAGCGACTAAGCCGTTTCCTGGGGAGTTTCACGGGTTGTCATTTCTTTCCGGGCGCATCATCGAAGCTAAACTCGAGTTAGACCGAATCGATTTTTGGGGCTCTCCTGCCCTGACATCGTCGTAGTAAACTTGGCTGTTTTTCGTGTTTTGGCACAAATTTGGCTAATATCTACGCAGTCTAATTGTTTCCTGTCTACTTTCGGTACTTCGCCTCCTCTTTATCGTACTTGACCAATTTCTAATCTGGTTGAAAACTGTATTATCGTTCCCCCAACGTACACCTCGTTTTTGTAAGGATCATTATCTTTTACTAACTGATTTTCTTTATTTTCTTCGGATTAGTTCACCAATTTTCGTCATTTCGTGCTATCATTTGGCCCCATCGTCTCGCCCGTCATTTCGCCCCGATGTTAATCGGCTTCTGCAGCAGATGCCCCATCTTCTCAATTTTCGTCCTGAGATAACCTTCCACCTCCTTACTCTCAATCCCTTCTTTGTCCTGCCATGCCAACGGAACCATGGCCACTCTCTCTAATACCTTGATTTCCTTATTTTTGCCCTCGACCGCCACAATCTTGTCTGGGTTGTTGGTCAGCAGCTTCACTTCGACCAGGTTCAAGTCCATGAGAATCGAGGTCGCCAGCGAAAAAGATCTCTTGTCTGCTGGATGTCTCAGAAGCAAGTTTGCCTGCACCGTGTCAGCACCCAGGTCCTGAAGGTTGTATGCTTTCAGCTTCTCTCCCAGACCGATGCCTCTTCCTTCTTGCCTCAGATACACTATACACCCGTGACCATCTAATCCCATGAGTCTTCCAGCTTCATCAAATTGTTCACCGCAATCGCACCTCGCACTCCACGCGGTTTCTCCAGTGTAACACTCAGAATGGATACGCACAATGGTGGGGGAGGTGTGCGTGTTCTCATCGAGTATCAGCTCTCCATTTGAACTGAACTTCAGTTCCTTTCCGCTTTTCGGATCAAGATCAGCTGATTTGCGACCTGGAAATAGCTTTCCGATGTAAGCGCCCCTCGTCATCCGGTCGTCCTGCGTATCATCAGGCCTCTGTTTGTACAGTGTCCTCGACCTGATATCCTCGCCGAACACTATGGCCAGATGTTCTTTGTTGTCAACATTATTTGAGTATAGATGTAAGAAAATTTCAGGCCCCTGTGTGGTGGGTATTCTCGCTCTGGCTATACACTCCACTTTGGGCAGTTCTTCCAGCAGATTGGAAGATATCTCATCCTTTTCAAGGTCATCCAGCCGGGGGAACGAAGCCGGTGCTAGCACCGGCGATATGAGAGGCATCGACTTGAACAAATCGGACATCTCGTAGGTTTGCTGTGAATGTGTTGAGAAAGGTGAGTTTCTGGAATAGAAAGCCGTGCCGTTAGAGCTGATGGACCTTGTAGTGGATCGCTCTCCGCCATTACCAATCCATGACAAATTGGAGCCTATTCAAATTATGTCGTGTACAGCCGGTTTATTAATTGGTTGGTGCACTGAAATTAGATTAGCAAGTCTACATGCGCAACTCAGTTTGACAAGGTACATATCTATTCAAGTGGCATCTATATTTACCGCAAATGGCGCTAACAAAAAAACAACAGTGGATATTAGGTGGTTCAGTCTCAATTATCGGAGTGGCATTATTGCTGCAAAGAAATCGGACTTTCAAGCAGGTGCTATGGCCCTCTGGCAAAGTGTACCAGCCGGTGACGCAATACACCCAGCTGCACCCTATTGCCCTGGCAAACAAACAGCTTTTGCTGAATTTCACGTACCGTGGAGAGCCACGGTCCAATGAAGTTACCAAAATGTTGTACGACCTGATTCAAACGAAGTCTTTCACCATGGTGGACATTGAGGCCGATTTCGAGGGAAACCAACAGCTGCTCCTGGATTATACTGTTTCCGAAATCCCCAAATTGGTGATGTTGCAAAAGCAATTGCCCACACGGTATGATGGACCTCTTGATAGGGAAAATGTTGACCAGTGGTTGTCGCAATTCGAGAATTCAGAGTCCTCCTCACCATAACTGTATAACCTTGTCGTAAAAACTACATGTTGCCAACGAATCATCCTTCCATGCTCCACCATAACATATGCTTGTGTGATTCTTGCTAAGAATTTTCGTGACCTCCAAATCCGAATTCAATATCTTGGCTCCATCATACATGCAATTGACCAGTAATTCATCACCCTGTGGGGTAAGTCTCCATACCCCACCACCCAAATTGTGCTTTTCAACTTCTCTAAAACTGGAGATGTCGATCCGTCGTATATTATCGTCGTACGAGCCACTCAGCAAGCTTCCTTTCCAAGGAAGTATGCTCGTGACCCCAGCGTCGTGTCTCAAGCTTCTCGTCACCATGCCTATCCTGGGGTCTATCAGATTCAGCTTAGCATCGTCACCTCCGGAGTATATCACTCCCTCGTTGAAATTGAGACACCAACACTCGAGACTGTGTATGGACTCGTATATTTGAGTCACTTGTAGAGTCTCCCTAGAGACAGTTGCGACAGAGCCTGTGGTGCTAGTAATCCCAAGTTGATCATCGCCAATTGTGATGCTAGTCACCAACACGTCTTCTTCAAATATTTGTACATTTCTAAGCAGCTCAATATTCTTGCCCAAATTCCATAGCATTATGTTTCCTGTAGACTGTGCCGTGATAAACCTTGTAGGGTCAATGAACTTCAGATCTAGTATTGCAGACTCAACCTTGACTTCCTCTGTCAAGATGAGCTCTCCAGTCTGTAATTCGTATCTTTCTATAGACCCAGTTCTTGTGCCGTTCTCCTTATGCAAAGTATAGGTTCCAGCCAACAACACAGATCCATCAGTCGGGCTGAACTGGAGACAGCATGGGGGACCCAGTGAGATCTTGGTAGATTTTGGGTCTTGGTCCATTCTAGGTAAAACAAACAGTGGGGTCACCTGCAAATAGATATCACCTGGAAGACTTAAATGCTTATAATAGCCAGTCTATAGGTGCCAATTTTACAAAAAATAACCCGCAACACGATAACAAGATAACAAGACTCTCGAGACCAGTTTGGATCAAATATTTCGTCGTGCGCACACCATCTGTCAATGGCAAACGTGCCGGGTACGCGATTGTTTTGTTTTTGATTCAACATACCGGTTTGGTGTCATTAAGCTATCATTTCAACTAATAGAATTAAATACACAATGTCAGACAAAACTTACAAGGACGCGTTTTCTCTCTTTGATAAAAAAGGTACCGGCAAGGTCGCCGTTGATTCGCTTGGTGATCTCCTGCGTGCCGTTGGTCAGAACCCAACTTTGGCGGAGATCTCACAATTGCAGACTCAAGTCTCCTCCGATTTGGACTACACCACTTTCGTGAAGATTGTGGATCGTCCAGAGGGATTCAAGGCTTTGGGTCAACCCGAGGATTACATCAAGGGTTTCCAGGTCTTTGACAAGAATATGACTGGATTCATTGGTGTTGGAGAATTGAGATACATCTTGACCTCTATTGGAGAGAAGCTCACTGATGAGGAAGTTGATGAGCTGCTCAAGGGTGTTAATGTCACCGAGGACCAGAACGTTGACTATGTGGAGTTTGTGAAGAGTATACTTGCACAGTAAGGGAACTGTCAGTGATCGACCTTGAGTCATTACTGTCCGCTTCACCTAGTGTGATTGTTTTGCCTATTTTGTATTTGTTCTTATAGCGAAGAGCCTATTATACCCTAGTTTGAAAGATTAATTGGTCGTAATAGTAATGCAAAGACTCTGGGACCGTCTGCGATTACAGCCCTCGCGATCACCCAAATTGGGGCTTAGTCTATATCATGTAGGCGTCGCATTGGACCTCATTGTAGTGTCGGCAGAAAGTTGGCAATGATCATCATAGGAATTCCAAAGACGTCTCTTTTCAATGTCCAAATACTGGAGGTCCGTATCGTGTCGCCCGTTGGGGTTAAAAGGGTGCATTCCAACATTGTTGCACCTCTGAAATCTCCAAACGCAATCTTGGAAAACAGCTGGAAATACTCCACACACGATTTGTCGTCCATTATCTCCACCACAAAGGTGGGCTTATTCAGAAGTTGCTCCTTTGACCATCCAGTCAGAACGCAGAACTCGTCACCCACGTACTCAATCTGCGAGGTTCTTCTCCAAACAAGGGTTGGAGTTCCGCTAGTGGATATGTAGTTGTCGTATTCCAGTAGGGTTCGCTGAAAGCACTGTTCAGTGAAGATCATATCGTCTTCCTTGAGATGGATCATACCGGCAATGAAAGAGGGTCTGTATTCGGCCATGGACTTAGACATGGAAACTAGATGTTTTTTGTCAAATCTCCTCCGCAAATACAAGTTCAGCACGTGATAAAACTTGGGATATGGGAAAGGTTGTTTGATCTTGGAGTAGATCTCGCTGGGCTCCTGGAACTTTAGTCCGTTGCCGGAACCCATTGATTGAGCAGCAACTGAAAAAGATACCGCTGATGAGTCGTTCAGTCTCATGAAAGTCTCGGGATCTAAAGCCTTGAAGTCCCTGATCTTTTCCACCACCTCCGAGAATGTATAGCTAGGACCGATAAAGTACTGGTTGCAGCTGTTGTCGAACCGGGGACCTGCCACCAGGTGTTCCTCGGGGGTCTCTGTAAAGTTATCTCGCGTGATCGAACCCAGTATGTTATACTCCAAATCTGCAGTGGAACTCATGAAGATTGAGTTGCTGTTGGTCATGGAACTGCCATTGCCATTGTTCACGTCGGAGACCGGAGAGATTGAGTAGTCTGGGATATCTGTCATATACTTCTTTTTCTTCCTTGGTGCATCCACACATGATTCTGCCAAACCGCGGCTTATACATGGCTGGCAAGGTCTGCCTGCAGAGCAGGTCATATGACCTTTTCGACAATGCCCACAAGCCTGGGGAACCTTCTGTCGTAGCTTTCTCTATGCGGCGTTAGTGAATTGTTCTGAAAGTGAAATCAGACATTATTGGCTCAAGTACTCACTCTTCGAATCTCCTTCTGGATGTCCATATCTTCAGAGCTCATAGTTGGACGAGAGATAACGGTTGTGTAACCATATTTTTTGTCTTGTTGTAGGAAAAAGCCTCAGATCTCCCCAGTCTTGTGCTAAGGTAATTTTGTCGTGCGACTCCGATTTAAGTTTTGGAGACTGGCAAGGCCTATGAAAAATCGAGCGTCATACTGGAAAGCTAGTTTGAACGGGAGGGTTCTTTAGAATTTCGAAATAAAAACACATCTCAAGTCTCACAATATGTCTTTGTCACTCTCACCATTGTCACTGTCCGAGCTGTCCAACGAGGAGCTCGCTTTGTCTTCGCAGTGGAGCACTCTCTCTGCAAGATTCCCGGAGGGTCTGGATGAGTTCAATACCTACCTGAAGTCTACGACCTACGTTGTTGGATCCAAGTTCACAGCTGCGGATGTCACTGTGTTTGACAACACATGGAAGCATTTGCAGAGTGTCAGTGACGTGGCTTCTCTGAGACACGTTTTGAGATGGGCTGATCTCGTGCAGAATCTGACCGGCCAGGAGAAGATCAAGATTGATCTGGATGCTGCCGTTCCAAGAGAGATCAAGGTGAAGGAGAAGAAGGATGCCAAGCCGGATGCTAAGTCTGAACCAAAGAAAGAGGCCGAGGCCAAGAAGGCTGAGGTTCCCGTTGCTGCTAAGGGTGGTGATGCCAAGGGAAAGGACATCTCCCCTGAAGAGATGGAGGCCCGCAAAGCCAAGGCTGAGGCCAAGAAGGCTGCGAAGGCCAAGGCTAAAGCTGAAGCTGATGCCAAAGCCGCAGCTGCCGCCCTCCCTCCAAGTCCAGCTCAAATCGACTTCAGAGTCGGGTTTATTGAAAAGGCTGTCAAGCATCCAGACGCAGATTCGCTCTATGTGTCCACCATTCAAATGGGTGACGCCGAACCAAGAACCGTCTGCTCTGGACTGGTCAAGTACATCCCATTGGAAGATATGCAGCAGAGATACATCGTGGTCATTGGAAACCTAAAGCCCGTCAACATGAGAGGTATCAAGTCCACTGCAATGGTGCTGTGTGCTTCTGACGAGACCAAGGTGGAGTTTGTCAACCCACCGGCCGGCTCCAAGCCTGGTGACAAGCTCTTTTTTGAGGGCTTTGACGGAACTCCAGAGCCTGTTCTGAACCCCAAGAAGAAGGTCTGGGAGACTGTTCAGCCTCACTTTTCAACCACCGAAGGTTTCGAAGTGACATACACGGAAGACGGCAAGCCACCTGCCAGACTGGTCAATGCCAAGGGCGAATTGTGTAGAAACTCGTCAATTGTTAACGCACAAGTCCGTTAAACTGTCTGAGAAGTTATATAAGTAATTCGGTAATAAATACTCGGGCCGAGTATTGGTCAGTCAGTGAGTGAAATTTCAAAAATGCGGGTGTAGAACCAGATAATGTATGGCAGTTGATAGCGATGAGATGGGCTAAAAGTTTTAGGCACTCGGCTTAACTATCCAATCTACTCCGTACAACCAAAGTTCGTGTTGTAACTCGTTTTCTCTCAATTTTGATCCATGAAACTCCTTAAACAAGACATCAAAAGAGACGGCTCGGGCCAAATAACTCTAGTGGCGCAGGATAGGGAAGACCTGTGGACGCTATATAACTTGCTCCATCAACACGATGAGATTTCGCTGCATACGTTCCGCAACATCAAGAGAGAGGGAAAGGCCAAAAACGAGCGGAAAAACGTGATCCTGACTCTGGATATTGAAACTGTTTCATATGAAGATACTCTCAGAATTAAGGGTCGTACAGTTGTGGAGAATGATGATGTTCCCCTAGGGTCCTACCATACGGCAGAGGTTCTGTTCAACTCCAAGTTCACTATATTAAAGCAAGAGTGGGACCAGGTTTCGTTGGACCAGATTGATAAAGCGTGCTCCATAGACGCCAAAGCAGAGATTGGAGCAGTTGTTCTGGAAGAAGGAGTAGCACATCTGTGTCTGATTACAGAGAACATCACGTTTCTAAAGTCGAAAGTTGAAAAGAGTATACCCAAGAAGAAAAGAGGGGACTCGGCTGCACACGATAAAGCATACGCAAGATTTTTGGATCTGTGCTACGACTCGATAATAAGGAACTTCAACATCGACGCCCTGAAGGTGGTGTTGGTGATCAGTCCTGGTTTCACTGCACAGAACTTGGTGCAGACTATCTTGAGAAGGGCCACGCAAGATTCAAACAAGCAACTGCTCCTTTCCAGGTCCAAATTCGTGGTTGGACAATCGTCAACTGGTTACTTACAGGGAATTGAAGAGGCTCTGGAATCGCCTGATTTGAGGAAACGATTGGAGGATACCAAGTTTGCTCAGCAAATACGAATGATCGAGCTACTGCTACAAAACTTGAACGAAGATAATGACAAATCGTGGTATGGTTTGAAGGAGTGTGAACGAGCTATTGAGCTGGTGGGGTCGGTCAAAACTCTCCTCATTTCAGACTCCCTGTTTCGCAATGATGACCCGAAGATCAGAAGGCACTATGTACAGATGGTGGAGAGCGTCCAGAATCAGGGTGGGTCGGTAGAGATTTTCTCCAGTTTACACGATTCCGGCAAACAGTTGGATCAGCTGAGTGGAGTTGCGGTGATATTGAATTATCCTGTTCCGGATCTGGATGAAGATGAAGAGGAATCTTAGACGCTTTCTAGATCCTCGGGCCTTTTGATGTTTAGCCTTTCTTTGAGCGGCATTTGCCTCACTCCCATCACGCGCAGATACCAGAGATCGTCACCCTTGACGAATCTCAATAAATCTTGCGCCAACCCAAGACCCAGTCCCAGCTGAAATCCCTTCTTCATCAGACTCTTGGCAGACGAGTGCCCAACCTTGTACACATTGGAATACACCCAACCAGCCAAAGTAGCAGCCATCGTGGTATTTGCAAAATCAATAGTGCCCCGTAGTTCATCCAGTAGAGCCTCCATGCCAAACAGCGAGCCAATCAGCAACGAGCCCGATATGCCTCTTTTGAATGCATTCGTCATGGCATCCCGGTAGCAGACGTAGTTCTTTCTCTTGTGGTAGTAGTACCAGCCTCCTGTCGTGGTGGGCAATCTATGTGAATTTGATGCCAGGTACTTCAATCCGGCTGATTTGAAACCCGAAACCAGTCCGTTCAGTCCAGTAACCATTCCACCGCTGAACATGAAAAACGGCAAACGGTATTGCGGATTCAAGCCCAGTCTGTGCCCTCTGTTCTCCTCCTGAAATTTCAGTTTCGCCTCGTTTAATTTCTGCTCTTCTTCATATGTGAACTCGTTTATCGTCGCGTTGTCCAGCGTCTGGGGATCCACGTTCGACATTGTGCTGATATGTGGGGGTTTGCTGAGTAGTTCACGGGGCTCTGGTGAAATCTTCTCGCTATCTAGGCTCGAAATTTCAAGGCGGTGCAACCCGATGAGCTAAGCCTTAAGAAGGGGATGCATGCCTTGTGCAGTTTATCAACAAGAGAATAAGAGTTTAGGTGGCTAATCCTCGTTTATTCTGCTTGTTTTATTCATGAGTATCACAGAAGCCCTGCTGTTGGAAAGGACCGCGAGTCCGTGGTCACCCACTCTTATCTTCATGATATCGACAGCATGCTTATCGTCCCTCCAGTTCGGATACCATATGTCTGAGTTGAACGCGCCTCAGGAAATCATGAATTGCGCCAGATCCGTTCCGGCAGATGGCACCTGGTTTGAGGATCACGGTCTGTTGACATGTATACCGTTTCAAGAGCATGTTGGAGCCATCACCTCGAGCTATCCCCTGGGTGGACTCGTTGGCTCTTTGTTTGCAGGCTACTTGAGTGATCGTTACGGGAGGAAAAGGCTATTTTTGCTAGTGTCGATTCTCTACTTCGTTGGCTCAACCTTGGAGGGTCTGGCAAACTCGACTTTGATTCTTGGACTTGGCAGAACGATCAATGGTCTCGGTGCAGGCACTGGACTGGTGGTTAGCCCAATGTTCATCAATGAAATAAGCCCTCTGAGGTTGAGGGGTTTCCTGGGAAGTCTCAACCAAGTGAGTGTCAACCTCGGTATCTTGTTTACACAATTGCTAGCTACGTGCTGGTCCAACGATTCTCAATGGAGACTTATCTTGCTCATGGGATCTGCGATGGCCCTGGCGAGCTTGGTGTGTTCTGTTTTCATGTACGAATCGCCCAGATGGTTGTACTCATCCAACCCAACTTCTGCGCTCAAGATCCTCTCTATATTGCGCAATGGTGATGTTTCGGTGGTGGAAAACTGGGAGAACGAGGCTGAGGAATCCCAGGGCGCAACCGTCAGCCTCACAGACTTCGAGACCAATCCAAAATACTCGAAATCCAGAAACATATCTGCTCTCATTATGATTGGTCAACAATTCTGTGGCATTAACTCCATCATTTTCTACGGGGTTCAGGTGCTGGTGCAGGTGTTCCCAAACAGCGTTATTCTAGTTAACTGCTTGATCTCTGTGCTGAATGCTACAGTGACCTTCATTGCATCTCTGTTTATGGACAAATACGGCCGCAAACCGTTGTTGAGATTGTCTTCGATAGCTATGGGGATATCCTCTTTGGGTCTGGCTGTTGGCATTCTGAACCACCTCCCTATGCTTTCGGTGGCCTCTGTTCTAGGTTACGTCGGATTCTTCGCCATTGGTGTTGGTCCCATTCCTTTTCTGCTGATCTCTGAAGTCAGTCAAGCAGAATGTAAGGGACTCGCACAATCCCAAGGTATGGTGTTCAATTGGCTCAGTACCTTCCTTATCGGGGCGTTCTTTCCATTGGTGAATGGTGGGGGAGTGTACATCGCGTTTGCCCTCGTTTGCTTCGCTTACTGCTATTGGATAACCAGGTCCATTCCTGAAACAAAGGGGAAGGACACGTATGAAGAGGTTTGGGGTATAAGCTGAAACAAAGTTGAGCCGTTTTCGGGTTTGTTACGTCTAAAGAATTGCTAATATAAGCTGAAAGCTGTAGTAATGGCCTCCGCATGATGAGCCGCATAGATTTGTGTAATGCACTCTTTTTAGTGTTCCAACCAAAGGGGTTGTCAACCCTGTATTAATGCACGTGATGAAGATGCCTCCCAAATTCTCTTCCATCCCTGTCCTCTGAAAAATATCACTCGTTCTTCTCTCCTTCGGTATCCTTTGAAGAGTCTATCTCTTAACAATCAATAATGCCAACCAGATTAACAAAGACAAGAAAACACAGAGGTCACACTGTTGGTATGTAGCGATTCTTGATATACATGGTAATAGGATGGTGCCGTTGTCAAACGAGGAGAGCCTTCAAGGTGAAGTTGAAATCGATCACATCAAACAAGAAATGCATCAGGAAACCGACATGAAAGCAGTCATGTGGCATTGCTGCTACCAACGTTGAACATCATATACTGGCAGCTATCAAGGTTACCAACAAGCTCGCCGTCTTGAAGCATGCTCGTCGAGGTTGAAAAGTTTGACCATGGCAATCCATCTACCCATAGCGTTACCTTTTTCAGTTTACTAACTCAAATTCTACAGCCGGTAAGGGTCGTGTTGGAAAGCACAGAAAGCATCCCGGTGGTCGTGGTATGGCTGGTGGTTTGACTCACCACAGATCCAATTTGGACAAGTACCATCCAGGTTACTTCGGTAAGGTTGGTATGAGATACTTCCACAAGCAACAGGCTCACTTCTGGAAGCCAGTGATCAACTTGGACAAGTTGTGGACTTTGGTTCCAGAGGCCAGCAGAGACTCTGCTTTGCAGACCTCCACTGCTTCGCAAGCTGTTGTCATTGACACTTTGGCCGGTGGTTACGGTAAGGTGTTGGGTAAGGGTAAATTGCCAAACGTTCCAGTTATCGTCAAGGCCAGATTTGTTTCCAAGTTGGCTGAGGAGAAGATCAGAGCTGCTGGTGGTGTCGTCGAACTCATTGCTTAGATAATTAAGACTGAAAAAGACTAATATCGATTACTGTACAATGGTGTAGAAGGATCCCGTTTTTGCAATATTAAAATTAGCTTCATTAATGGGAAAGCTTGATATTTCCATATTTAAACCGATTTATGCCATGAATAATTCATGTATGATCGTATTTCAAGGTTTTGTCAATTTATTGGAAATTTTATCCGTTGCCCATTATGGCAGCCCATCAAACAATATTATATAAGTTTCAGCAAGTGCTCTCCGCCCAAAATGCGTTTGTTTACACTTACCTCCGATGAGACTCAGGCTATTTCCATACTCTGTTTGTAGGTCTTCTAGTCTTTTTCAAACTCGCAGAATATCTACAAACATGACGCAGAAAGAGTGGGAACCTGCTGATAATATTCCCCAGGATATCCAGATCCTGTTGGACAAGGCCAATACGCCTTTCCAGTACATCAACATTTTCTACCAGCTGCTGGGACTGCTGAAATCGCAGCCGAGAACAGGATGGGTGATGAAAAATATCTCCGAGCCTGAATCGATTGCAGATCACATGTATCGTATGGCTTTAATATCGATGACGCTGAAGACGAAGGTGGATACTGCCAAATGTGCTAAGATTGCACTGGTTCACGACATCTCAGAGTCTGTGGTGGGAGACATTGTTCCCCACGATACCAAAATTGACAAAGTGGAGAAGAACAAAAGGGAGTACAAGACGATCTTATATCTTTCCTCCATTATTGAGAAGTATAACCCCGAGTTTGCCAAGGAGATCGTGGAGTTGTGGTTGGACTATGAAGAGCAGAGAAACAACGAGGCCAAGATGGTTAAGGACATCGACAAGTTTGAGCTATTGGTCCAAACTTTTGAGTACGAGAAGCTGACATCAAAGAGATATGATGAGTTCTTCGACTCTAGAGCACTCATCAAGTCTGCGGAAGTGAGTGGGATGGCGGATGATTTGATTGAGGAGAGAAACAAGTTTTGGGAGTCCAAGGGCCTTCAGTAAGAGATCCAAGACTTGTTCATTCGGCAAGGAAGCTACATAGTCGCCAGATTACGTCCAGCTTTCTTCATTGCATGTCTTCTATAATTTGCATAATTACTATGACACAAACTTCAAAAACAAATTGTCGTAACCAAACAGAAGGGATGCCAGAGTGTGTCTCAGTACCAGACACACTAGTCCAACAGCAAACTGGGTAAATAGCAGAGCGCTGCAGAGCTGGTCCTCTCTCATGGGACCAAACCATACCAGAAACAGGTTGATGATTGTCAAGTTAGAGCTTTCTTCAATGATCCCATCCTTCTTCGTCAGCTGCACCAGCTTGAACCTTTCCAGCAGCAGCATGGCCGCGGCAACCCACTTTTTCAGAGGTTTCTCCTTGAAATTCGCACGGGATGGATATAGCTTCCCGTCTTCGGAATTGAACTTGGGCAATCTGTGTCTTGGGCAAAACACGAGTCCAAATAGCTGAGGCGAGGAATACACAAAATTGACAATCTGCATGCTGAAAAATAGCAGTAACGTCTTTGAGAAGTGGCTCGAGATCCCGACCACCGCAAAGACCATACCGCTAAAGTAACAGAAAGTGTCTCCTACAAACACTTTTGCCGGAAACCAGTTCCATTTGAGCAAACTCAGTGCAACTCCAAGGAAGGGTATCAGCATACATGCCGAGTAGAGATGGGTCTCGAAAGCAGGAGAGTCTGGGCTCACCAAGTAGCACAAATCGTTCAGAAGAACTAGAACACCCAAAACCACAGTCTGACCCACTTCAAGTCCATTGACACCAGCAAGAATGTTGACCGAGTTGGGACAGAAGATTATGAGTGCACCCATGTAGCCGTAGTATAGCCATCCCAAATCAATGCTGGTCTGCTCCCAGCCCGTCAATTGCCTCACAAACTTAGGAACAAGGATCCAGGTCACTCCAAAGTCGATGTAGTATACTATCAAAAGAGGAATGGCCCCTACAGCCGGAATGAGAAACTTGTGTCTCCATCTCAGGTCAAACAGGTCGTCCATGAGACCAAGCAAAATAACACTCTCGAGACACAATATCGAGGAAAGATAGGAGGCCAGTTTGTTATGTGGAAAAAGCGACCCCACGTCCTCCAACACAGTGTGTCCCGAATCCCTTGAGCCACCTCCGCTGGTCTCTGTTATCAAGAACTTGAAGAACAGAAACGGGATGAAGAGGAACATCAGAAACAAATATGTGATAGCTGGGATAACTCCGATTGCCTCGGCCAGAACCGGGTTTCCAACCTTGGACAAATCTTTGCCGCTCAAGCCTTTTCTGATGAAGACCGGAGCAGCCCTGGGTATCAGGTAATTTGACACGATATACCCTAAGATGGAGAACCCGACAGCCGACTGCAACGGCTGGTGATTCAGCGACGTGCTCAATATCAAACCAAAAGATAATATTAATCCTGCCACCTGGAACATATTTGATATCTTCGGAACGAGTTTGGGAACGACCAACATGGTTTTGTTGTAGTGAAGACCTGTTCAGTTAGTATGCATGGGCCGGGATGGAGGTCGCGATGAGGTAAATGGTAGGGCACAACCTTTTTAGGCAATTTCTTAGGTCTTGTTCTCAGGCCTTCTTTTAAAACCAAGAAAAGGCTCTTTCCCAGAGTTTAAAATTGCACCATTTTAACATATGGCATTGGCTGCTGACTCGGTAGTCACGAAGACTATCGATCTGTCCTCTGATGAGACGCAGATATTGGAGTTGCCGGTAGTGGCGTATCCCCCGTTCAAGCTGAGGTCTTCTCTCATTGACAAAGACCCTGTCATCTGGGTGCACTTGCTTGAGGAATATATTTATTTGTTCAAATTCTTGGTGGTTTTAACAACTTCAAAGAAGTATAGGAATGTGAAACTTTCCCCCAAGTCCACACAGCAGTTACACTACTTCATGAAGGTGTATCTGTTTGAGACGTCCGAGGAGACTTCCAGAATCTTTTCACTTGGAGCTATTAACCCGGATATTGTGAAATATACGAAAATGCTGAAAGTCATAGTGTTCCAATTCATACGATGCTACAATTTGGTGAATCTGCGGCTTTCTGGTGAATCTGTGTGGCATTTCATCAAGATCTATAGCAGATTGGCTCATATAAACAAGAATGGAAATCAATCCGTTGTCACGCTGAACCTGGTCAGGGACTTGGTTCAGGGCCAGGTGAAGTCCAAGTTGAATTCCAAGTCAGATGACATATCCATGATCAAACCCCTCCATACCCATCTCAATGCGCTTATTGGTGGTGGAAAGTTCCACAAACAGGACCTGGAAACTCTGGCCATAACGCTGGGTTCCAGGTACCAATCTGGTGCCAGCTCTGGCTCCAACGTGAATGCCAGTTCGTCAAAAAGATCTTTCTCAGAGACTTTTGTCAACAAAGACTGGACGGACATTCTGGAAAATCTGTATAATGGAGGTACAGGTCTGCATGCCCAAATCTGTTTCCATATTGCTGTTGTGTCCCTAACGTCGTTGTCTGCTTCTTCTATTGGCAGACTCGTTCAAAACCAACTCAAGCATCGTACGAAAAGCCAGTTGGTTGGTATGAACCCTTTGGTCGCCAGAGTTCTGTTGTCTCAGCAATTGAAGGAAGTTATTCCTGGTCTAGAAGACGAACTGAAATTCCTGGATTCCAAACCCAAAGTTGAAGCCAAGAAAAACTCTGTTAACCCAGAACACATCAGGATGTTGCAGGAATTCTTTCCGCAGCTATCTGATGGTAAAGCGAAAACTCTGTTGCTGGATACTAATCATAATCCGGAAATAGCTACCCACAAACTTCTTGAGGACCCTTCTTTGGTGGATTCTTTGAAGGAATGGGAAGCACCAAAGTCCAGATCCATCTACGACCCAAAGACGTTTGACCCCACGAAGATCACTTTCGGCAAAAAGGCTAAACCACGGGTTGAGAAAGCATCCCAGGAGTTCAATGAACGGACGCTTACCAGTGCCTTGAGACTGTTATACGATAGTGATGAGGATGAGCCAGATGATACATATGAGGACCAAGAAGAGACCACTCCCTCTGCTTTATCCTTAAACATCAAAACTAGCAAAGCCGTTAGCTTAGATGATGATGACGACGAAGACAAACCTGAGAACATAGACAAGATAGAAAAGATTCTGTTCTTGAGGTTTAAGAGGTCGCCTGACGACCTTCAGAGATCGGCAAGAAAAACAAGACAAAGACAAGAACTGAAATCTGAGACGAATTGGACTGATGAACAGATTGAAGGTTGGGCTCGTATGCTTGTCAAGACCCCAAGGCTGTTCAAGCTTTTGGAGTCCAGGTACATGGTTTTCAATAATCAGGGCTTGAAGCCTTCTACTGCTTACAGAAAGCCTAGAGCTGTTGAAGTTTCTGACTCCGAGGAGCCTAGCACCAGGTCCTCGTCGAATGCCTCCCAGAGGAGTAACACGCCTAACAGAGCAAGGAAAGAGCAACACAAGGCTTCCGTTGGTAATCACAATAGAAAGAGAGGAAATGATCGCAAGCTCGCAAAAGAGCTGTGAAGAATTATAGAGCTAGAACCGTGATGCAATGGAATTTTTTGAACTCTTATGGGTTTGAATAAGTTAAAGTTGATATTCTTATCTAGACGTTTTTTGTGCACCAAATGTGCTGTTTACCATAAGTGTACATCGGAATCACTGGGCCAGAGTGTCAGGGTAGTAGAAAAAAGAGATCGCAATGATCAGGTAAGTACTCAACAGCATGGTACCTTCCAGCCAGTTACTCTCTCCATCCAAAATCAGGTAGTTTGTGATAAATACAGCAACAAACATGACTGCAGTCTCGTATGTGGAGAAATACAGAGTCATTGGGATATCCATGGCCCATCCAACGAGGACGATGAATGGGGTGACGAATAGAGCGATTTGCAGAGAGGAGCCAATGGCAACTCCCACAGCTAGATCCATCTTTTGCTTTGCGGCAACAACAATTGCAGTCACATGTTCAGCTGCGTTTCCAACGATAGGAATAACGATCAAACCAATAAAGGTCTTGGACAGACCTGACGATTCAACGATGGCATCAATGGATCCAACCAAGTAGTCAGCACAGAAAGAGACTCCCAGAGTGGCCAGAATGAGCACCGTGGTGGCCTCTTTCACTGACAATGCTGATGGCGCTGGTTGAGATTTCTTGAAGATCAAAGTAGGGGTTTGTCTGAACCCATCTGTTCCAATAGAGCCGTTTCTGTGAACGGAGCCGTTACTGGAAGAAGGGTCCAGCTCGTCCGAAATGGCAATCTCAGTTTCAGTACTTTCGTCGTTGATACCTTCGAACAATTGTTTGTGGGTCTTCAGCTGGAAGAACAGATACAAGCAGTAGGATATCAGGAGAATGATAGACGTTCCCCTTGAAAACGACAGAATCTTTCCATCAATGTCACTTCCCGGGTTCTCTTTGGTAGGAGCAGGCAACGAGGCGTGGAAAGCTGCAGGCAACAGCAGACCAATAACAGACAACGCCAGAAGAGAAGACATGGTCTGGGCCACGGTCTGGTTGAAATGCTGCTGATCTCCGTGGATGCCGCCTGCAATGAAACAGGAACCAAGAACCAGCAATAAGTTGGACAAAATACTTCCCAGCATCGAGGCCTGTACCACGGTAATTTGGCCTTGCTGCAAAGCAATGATTGACACGATCAACTCGACAGCATTTCCAAAAGTCGCGTTCAACAGTCCTCCAATCGCATCACCAACATGTTCTGCGAGCTCTTCAGTAGCAAAAGCCAATATGGATGCCAGAGGAACAATTGCGAGGAAGTTCAACGAGAAAACAGCAGCGGAACCCCATTCGAGGAAACCAGCCAAAAGCCCCAAAGGAACGAATACAAGCAAAAGGTTGACCGTACTGGAATACAATGTTTTGAAGAAGACCCTCGACACATTGGATAGAAAAGAGGCTGGGGCCGTTGTTATGACCTGAGACTCGGCGTCTGTCATTGATGGATTCTGACAAAAAAACTAGCTATCAATGATCAATCCCTTGTTTGATGGAAGGGGATAATGACCGTTGGTTCACTCTGGATATTTCTACAGAGCAAATGTTGTTGCACAAGCCGAACTCGGCCACAGCAATTTCGGGTCATCTGGGATAACCAAAACGGTTTTCGGGTATTTGAAACTGATAGGACCCTTTACTATTTATTTAGCCGGTGTGCGTTCAGCAAGAGTGAAAAAATATTCTATTATTGATGATGCGCGCGCTATAAACAACTGGATAAAAAGCATTAAATAAGTGGCAATTATGCAAGTGGAACTTTCATATCGCAACATAATGATGGATAAACTCGATCAGAGTCACCAGGATCAGGCAGTTTGCCAACGGGGATGTATAAGTGACCAGGTTGATCAGGTTCAGTTTCACATCAGCACGACGTTTAAAATCGCTCCATTCGTCCGTGAACGAAGTGATTCTGTCTTCTCTTAGTCCTGCATCTAGTGTCGAGTATAGATTAACGTTGTAGTCCCACGTGATTGTTTCGAACCAGGACGTAGTCTTTGGTTGTGCATCCATCAGCTCGTTGGTTGGGCCTACTGCGGAATACTCCACCACACCCTGGTGGGTGTTTTTGGGGGAAGAACTAAAGCTGAACTTGGAAAAACATTTGTCAATGTTTTCTTTCATGGAGGGCCCAAGGTTCAGGATTCTGGGTATATTCACCAACCAACGCCATAGCTCGAAGTGGATCACGTTGACTGCCATCAACGACACAATTGCGAAGGCCAAGAACTTGTCTTGATCGGCTAGTCTTGGAGCAGTTATGGCATCTGTCGTGGGGTAGAAATAAATGCTCAGAAGCAGGGATTCGTTCATGTTGATAAGGAACCTGTCTAGTTTCCAAATGAGTAGCCATTGATCGCGCAATCTGGAAACGAAATAATCTTTATGTTCTTCATAATCACCTCTGTGGATTATAAATCCGTCGATGATAAAGGATGGGGCATCAGCTCCGTTCAAATAAGGGATTTTGTGAAGACCGCTTGGTGAGGGTGGTTCTTCGGATATCCTTTCAAGCTCTACTTCGAGCGACTCGGGGTTTTCGCTTCCATCACCGTCGATTGATCTGCCAAGTCGAGACTTCTTGGAGTGGGAAGAATCAACTCCAAATCCGGCTCTTGTTCCCTTGGACTTCTGCGACGAAGAGGACGATTCCACTATAGAGGTCCCTTGTGTATCGTTGTAATCAATGACGAGTACTTCCTGATAATCCTCAAAAAAGGTCTCAGAGTCCACTGAGCCATAGTACTGTTGATGTTTCGTTGCGGACTTCAATCGCTGTTTGATCTCCAGACACTTGCTGAGTGTGGAACTATTCAGTATGGTTGATCTCATCTTCAAGGTCTCATCATAATGATCCAGGTCGATCTCGTCATCCACGTTGAACATGAGATTCACTAAATATACCACAGACTCCATCACGCTCGTCGATACTGCAAAAAAAATAGTTTCGGATGTGACCAGTTGCCAGCTGACATAGGTCACGTTGTTTGCATCTAACTCGTCTTCCTGCGGGTATGCCAAAAGAGCCAGTAGGGCAAACTTGAGCCAGATATTCACAAAAAAGAACCAGAACCAGCCAAGGTGGCTCGCTGAGGTTATCATATATATTCTGTACACGAGGTCACCGAAATTACCCTTTTCCGACCGAAGACTCAGCACAAAGTTTTCAAGCCTCATGAAAACGAGGTTCTTGGTGCAAAGCACCAGAAGAGGGTATAATCCACCCAGCAATGCTGCCCTGTAAAAATCCTCCTCGTTGGGACTGAACGTGGTTCTATTCGAATCCATTGACCGCTGTCGTGAAGAAAAGAAAGGAAATCCGGGTGTTTGGTAATTTTTTGGAGAGGTGCTGCAAGAAAATTTTAATATGCAGGATGCGGAGTGAATGATCTGTGTCAAGGAAAAAGGTTCAGAGTTTCAACCACGAGAGAAGCTGATTAGAAGCAAACTCCAGGTGTTTGCGTTCAAATATCCCGCCAAAACTGCACGATCAACAACTCAAGGCAATGGGACTTAGATGCCAGCCGACTTTTGGGGTAAAATAGAGAAAAAAATATCACATCAAATGTCGGAATAATTGACACATTTTTGAGCTGCGCACGCATAGAGATAAATCCTGACTCCGCCGGCTAAATGTGCGCGCGCGGATTAATTAGACAGTGCAGACAATGCATGCGGATTATCCAGGCTGTGACATTTGAAGAAAAAGAAACAGTACTGCATGTTTTGAAGAATTAATTGTTTTATTGTTTCAAGGCGAGTTCTGAACAGCCAATTTGACATTAACTCTCTCCCGCTCGCACCATTCTTCCAGCACACTATAGGTAATGGCGGAGATGTCCTTGAGATCAGTGACAACAGGGTTTATTGGCAGATAGAAGGCATCCGTTAATGGCTTCACACTGAGGTCGCTCTTCTCCTTCTTGGGCAAACTCTTGCGACTTTTAGCCATAGTCCTGGGATAGTCCCTCCTTAATTTCTCGTAACTCAGAATATTTTCACCGTTCCAGAAATCGCGCTCTAGAGTGGAGTTGAACTTGATGATGTCATTGAACGCCGTGATCTCCTCCATCCCTGCCCCTCTCTGTCTATTGTCCTTAATCTCAGCCTTCAGAATATCCACAAGGTGCTTATATATGACTCCCCTCAGGAAGAAAAGTAATCCGAGAAGCGTACTCAGATCGGTCTCATGGGGCGTTTTGATCATCTCTTCCAGTCCGCTGATGACGCTCGAAGCATACGGTATTAGACTCTTCCAAGAGTTCACTTCTAATAAACGACGTGCTGCCAGAGAGTGCTGGTCTTCATAGCTGAAGGAAACCACAAACATCACCAGAGAGTCTATGGATGCGACCACTGACAAATCATACTGGTTGCTCTTTCTGTATGCGTCTGCCTCGTGCTTCTTGCGCCTAGCGATGTTCGACCAGTGAATCTTCTTTCTTGATAAGATTTTGAGGTCGTCTTCCTTCTTGGCTGGCTCTGTCTTTTCCAGTCCAATTTTCGTGGCAGTCTTATCTGGCCCCTTTGGCCTCTCCTTCTGCTTTTCTTTCTCCTTTCCCTTATCCTTTCTGCTGACCGTTACCACGGGAGGCAGCTGCAGCTGTTTCGAACTGACACTCGTGCTGACACTCGAAACATTTGGCGCAGACTTGAACACCGAACTTTTGGAAATGCCCGTTTTCGGACTGTCCGTTCGTGTGACTTTCTTCTTGGGCTCCTCGGAATGGGCCGGGGGAGAAGCTGAACTTGAATGAGAAGACGATGGAGGGGATTCTGAAACAGTTCGGGATCCAGTAGAAATGCCCAGACCTCTCACTTTTGGCACTGAATGGAGGTCCTTTAGCTTCGACAGTTTCGTCTTGGGTACCGATAGCGAAACGATAAGCGACCGGTCGCCATTGGTATACTGTTTGAAGGTGTAGATGTGACTCCCGTTATGCTCAGTCCTCTCAGCAAAGACCCTCTTTGGTGGTGAATCCAGCTTTGGGATATCAGCGTGCAAATCCGCGGTCCACGGAGGAAGCGTTGGAGATAACAATGGGGGAAGCGCATTCTTAGTAAGCACCTCATTCAGTTCAATGGTCCTGGGCTTGGAGGAAGAATTCTTGACACTTGGCTTGGTGATCTTGTGATCGCTGGGGTTCCCTCGTGCGACGGACCTGTTGTTGTCCAACCTCGAAACATCCCGTGCAAAGATAGAAGATCTCATGGAGGTTGACATTTTTCGGTGGGATGCCCCTTGGGAATTCGGCAAAAAACAAAATTGAAAATCTCCAAATATATATTCGTATATATATTGGTAACCTAGAACCTTATTATGGAACAAAAAACAGAGGAGAAAAACGGATAGTTTAACAAGAGATTATATCCTCCAGAAAGTATAAATGGGGCTGTAGGCCTATTGTGGCTTGACCGATATGGAAATGGAATCATTACCCCGGTTACCAGATCAGTGAATTCCGAAGGCTGGCCGAAAAGCTTGCAAGTCCAGAGGAATTCGGTATATCAGTCCGATTTTGGGCAATTTCGGGAAGTTTTCTAGAACTATAGTGGCCGGGGAATCTGTCTGAATATTTTTTGGGGCATATATAAATATTCACAGGGCTGTTTGGCTTACCTACTGAGCGCAAGGTGTTCCGGGGCTACGGTCCAGCTCTAAGATTAGGTAATAAAGCTGTTGATATTATGTAATCGCAAGAAAAAATTGGCTTGCCCTTAGGATTCCAGCGGAGCTGCGAGTACTCTTTCCTGTTCTCTTCTTCAGTAGCACCAGCTGTTTTCTCCTCAGGTTAGACCACTAGGTGTACTCCTTGTGAATAGTTGCAACTATGGCGACCAACTCCATCAAACTTTTGGCCAGTGATACGCACAGAGGCCTGGCCGAACTGGTATCCTCAAGGTATGCAGCACCACGGCAATTTTTCACTATACAACAAAAAGAATACTAACAGGGCAACTCTATCCAGGCTGGGCTTGAAACTCACCAACGTTGATATCAAACGTGACTCCAACACAGAAGTGTCGTTTTCCATCAAGGAATCCATCAGAGATGAGGACATCTACATCATCATGCAAATTGGTTCTGGTGTGGTCAACGATAAGGTACTGGAGCTGTTGATCATGATAAACGCGTGTAAGACCGCCAGTGCTAGAAGAATCACAGCTGTGTTGCCAAATTTCCCATATGCCAGACAGGATAGAAAGGACAAGTCTAGAGCCCCCATTACTGCCAAGCTCATGGCTGACATGCTGACCACTGCTGGATGTGACCATGTGATCACAATGGACTTGCACGCGTCTCAAATCCAAGGCTTTTTTGATGTTCCAGTGGATAATTTGTATGCTGAGCCAAGCGTGGTGAGATACATCAAGGAAAACATCGATGTTTCAGAGGCTATCATCATCTCGCCTGATGCAGGTGGAGCCAAGAGAGCTGCAGGTTTGGCCGATAGACTGGACCTGAACTTTGCTCTTATCCACAAGGAAAGAGCCAGAGCAAATGAGGTGTCTCGTATGGTTCTTGTTGGTGATGTCACCGACAAGATCTGTATCATTGTGGACGACATGGCGGACACCTGTGGTACTCTGGCCAAGGCTGCTGAGGTTTTGTTGGATAACGGAGCCAAGTCTGTGATCGCCATCGTTACGCACGGTGTTCTCTCGGGTAATGCCATTCAGAACATCAACAACTCAAAGCTTGATAGAGTCGTTTGTACGAACACGGTGCCCTTTGAGGAGAAGAGATCCAAGTGTCCAAAGCTTGATACTGTGGACGTCAGTGGAGTCCTTGCTGAGAGTATAAGAAGGTTACACAACGGTGAGAGTATATCTTACCTTTTCCGCAACACCCCATTATAGAAAAACGATAACATAACCTGAGCACTGTTAAGGCATTTTATGAATCTTTTTACCAAACGTACGCTGCTCTCTATTCATGCTAAAGGGCCATTCACGTCTATAACCCATACTCAGCCGGCTTGAAATCGGCAAGGGATCCCAGTATGGTTCCCTTCTCACGCTTAGATCCTACCAAATCGTCTATGACATCCTGGCTCATAACTTGAAGTGCTCTTTCATCTGGCACCCAAATAACATGGGCTCCAGCAGACGTTCCTGCTCTAACACCTGGGGCTCCGTCTTCAAATACGAGACATTCCTCGATCAGAATTTTGTCCAAACCATTTTTGGTTCTCTCAGAGTTGAGACTCTCCAACGCTATGTGCCAAATATCCGGGAAAGGCTTGCCTCTTCCGGGTGGAATTCTAGGATCATCCCCAGTAACGCGATGATCACCAAAGTACTTAAACCCATCCTGTAATTTCTCAGTTTTCAAGTAGTACTTGTCTGTAGATGAAGATGTTGCCAATGCAATGGGAACTCCCTTTTCTGCAAGATACTTCAGCAATTCATATGCTCCAGGCATGAATTTCACAGTGGGCCACAGCTTGAGCTGCGCTTCACTGGTCTTCTGGAAGAGTTCCTCGGCAGTATACGGCATCTCGTAATAATCTAAAACTTTCTGAGAGGCAACAGGGCCAGGAAGTCCCTGTAATTGGACCTTAACATCCCATGACAACGAAGGGTGTCCGTGTAAATGTAGAACTTCGGAAATAGCGATCGTGTAAATGTCCTCACTGCTAATGAGGAGTCCATCCATGTCTGTGAAGTTAGCCTCGGGAAACAAGACACTGAATTATTTTCGTCACATACCAAAGAGACATGCCCTTATTTGTTTTGCAGCCATATTTTGTGTAATTTTGCCCGTAATGAAGGTATATACAACTACGTAGACATTTGCATGATGGAGAAGGTTTCTGACAGTCTGCCATGGCTGTACGGTTATGAGTCAGATCTACGAGCCCACTGATACTAGGTAAAATGCAAAATGTATTTTCAAGCTATTATATAGGCGGTAGCGAATTCCTGCAAACAGGACATTGTAATTTGTATTTCATCCAGGATTCCAGACAATTGGTGTGGAAAATGTGCCTGCATGGGGTGACCATGTAGCCCCTTCTGTTCATTATGTTCGTCAGATGCTCGCTAGACTTGGCGATCGGAATCTCAACCTCGTTCATGCAGATCGCGCAATCAACCTTGCACTTTCCATCCTCGTGATGGACACCTTCATCGTCATGCTCAACACCAAATCCATGCTCCAGGTCTCCAGCAGTGAGAACTGGGTGGTAGTCATAGGACTTAGGCAAAAGTCTATCTGGTAAGAAGAACCTTGCTCCAAACAGCTCTTGCAATACCAGAACAAAGATTTGGATACCGAGCCAGATGACAATCAGCGAGATCAAAAGTTGATCTTGGTGGTGACTGAATGGGTTGTTCTTCACCAAACACAGGTATGCTATTGGGATCACCCTCAATACTGAGGTGCCGATCACGAAGTCCCATCCGAAAGACCTTCTGGATCCTCTTAGTGTGTTCCTGTATATCTGAGGGACCCAAAACGAGTTGAGAACCAGCAGCACAACGTACTCGAAGACCATACGGTCTTTCCGTGGCCATAACGAGGCATTCAATACCAAAAACGAGAAAACAATCAAGAAGAAAAAGAGTCTCAGGTATATCTGACCGCTCACAGTCTGCTCATCCTGAATTATCCTTGGTTGCTGCTGCGTTTGCTGGACGGCCTGCGGTCTTGCTTGATTCAAAGGCAGCAAGGGTTCCTCAGTGCCCACGTTATTGTTTGGATTTTCGCGTTCATCAATTCTTTCATTATTGCGATCATCAATTGCGGTTCCTCTCAAAGCAACTCCCCAACTTATGTCTCTCTCGTTCATTTGCGAGGTGTAAATGAGAATCATATACCGCATCTCAAAAACGCTTGCAAGCGTGAAACCTAGGAAAGAGCTCACGGCGAGCTGCAGATACAGCTTTTGGAACACTATGGAACTGAGCAGATACAACATACTCAGGGATCCATCTATCAAATTCATCATTGCGATGGTCCAGAAAGAGATGCGAGACAAAGTGGACGGGGTGTTCGTAGCGCTCATTTGCTTTATAGAGAAAATGATTTGAGCAAAAAGCAAGATTATTCCCAGCAGTACCACCCTCTGAATACGTTTGTTCTGTACTTCTTCTCTTTCACCAACGAGACCCGTTGCTTTGATTAGGAGCCCACAGTCGGGGGAGTATAGCACACCGCTGGAAATCGCGATTGGGGGGATACTCTTGTGGGGCCGCCCTAAGGGGTTCCAGAGTTCGTCATCGATCATGCGCATTTCATCAGCAGATAGATTGGTGGAATTGAAATGCAAAAATGCTATCATCTCGCATCCCAAAGAGGCGTCTAGTAAAGTATCAATCATTGTCACATCTACTTCATCAACGGAAGTTTGGTTGATCCAGTCCGACATCGCCGCTTTTGATCTATTGTAATGCGTTTCGTCAAAGTTCAAGTGAGGAATGCCGTAGGAACCAGCGTATTTTGCCGATCTCGTCGTTGCAATCAGGTTCCCACTGTCAGGGTGATACACACCTGAAAGCGCCAATGAGTGGATGTTAACCTCGTCGATATCAGTCATCTTGATTTGCAGTCTTACCCTAACAGATCCATTACTCCCTTCAACACTGCTGTCGCCAGTGTTTTGGATATTCACTTTCAAGTTTCCGCTGAGTTCGGTCACATTCCCAGTCTTCAGCTCATCCACATGGAAGTTTGGCACATCGCGCTCGAACGAGCTGGCATCGTTTGGCTCTCGCCAATTATCATCACCTTCGGTACGGTTGGTATTGTAAGACCTCAACAAAGCCTTCATATAAGGTGGCAATGGCATTGGGATGTGTTCAAAGGTGTGATTAACCCTCTGAAAGTCACCTATCAAACTGCCGGTGATGTTTTTCCAAAACGCCCCATGACTCTCCGCACGAATATTCACATCTGAGCCAAATACCTCGCTTATGGCATTCCATTTAGGATGCTCCAGAATTTCGTCCTCAAACTCCAAAGCCTGGATTGTCTCTTCCTCACTATTGAGACTGTCTATTGCTAGTTTTCTAACGTAATTCGGCAGTATGGAATAACGTTGGTTCTCCTCGTATGGGCCCTGTCTGTCTTCAAATGGGTATAAACTGATATTGCGGTGTTCCAAAGCATCCTGGTAGCTGAGTTTCAGTCCCGTCAAATTTCCTGTGGGCTGCTCATAAGTGCTGTTGAATAGTACGCCCCTCGAGGTTGATATATCATCTTTCAATTGCTGTAGCGCTTGCACCTTAGCACCGTTGCCACTCAATCCGTCAGGTGGAGCGGGCCCCGGAATCATTAAAGTCATGAATATGATGAAAAAAAGCAGTCTGGTCTTATTTATCTCAACCATTTTGGATATTGTATAGCGCTTGGAATGTGTGTGGCTATGCTAAGTGAATGTATCTTAAATGGCTAGAACTTTGAGCAATATTTCTCATCAAGCAGCTCAGCTGGCTAACTGATACTCCGAGGTTGCAATATGAATCCGACCAAGGAGTCAACAGTTCTGGAAGTTCAGATGGTCAACAAGTGTAGTCTGGGGGTGATCTATCTATATCCCACAATTGTCTAGCGCCTGCCAGAATCCATGGTGTTACCCGGATTTGGTGCGGCGTTTTAGAGAGGTGCTTCGATGTTGGAAATCACTAGAAATTGTATTTTACAAAGGCATAATTTGGAGATACGTTGAAAATTGCTATTTTTCATTTGAAAGCTTTTGTCTTGATGCCGTTTGGCCCCTGCTTTGCTTTCATTCTTCTTTCCCTATCCTTCTTTGCTTCCGGCCCAGCTTCCGTGTCCAATGTATAGTCCCACCATCTGAAACTTGAAGCATAGTTCCCAATGAAGTAATGATGATGGAGATCATGATGATCAGATCCTGCCCAAAAGGGCACAAAATGGTGAAGAGACCATGGAAACTCGTAGCCCGAATGAGCGTCGACTGCTTGGAACAGTCTCATTACCACCCATAGTGTAACAGTAAAGAGATGTAAGTCGCCAGTTATATAGGCGTAAATTATGGGAAACCCCACAGTTCCAAATCCAAGCGACATAACCTCTATTGGATGGGCATACTCTGCAGTGAGTCCAAATGGAGCCGCGTAGCGGTGGTGTTGCTTATGAATGAGCTTGTAGAAAGGACCATAATGGAATAGTCTGTGAGCCCAGTAATGCCAGCAGTCTTCAAGCACAAAAAACAGGGCCCATTGCAGGGCCATTGTAGTGATTCTGGGGAAAGGTACTGCCACTGAGATCCCAAGTTTCACACACAGTGGATGAAAGGTCCATATGGGCAGGGCCTCTACCAGGAAGTGGGATTTCAAAACGCTTTTCAGACATTCCCATTGCTCTTTGTCCGATGGTATATACGAGGGCTGAATCTTCCATCTGTTGAAAAAGCTAATTTTTCCAATGATATACCATGGCAAGCATCTTCCAAAGTACATCAGTTCATGCGTTAGGAAGAACAACAATCCCGTGGCCAGAGTATCATTGCCCATGTAAGCGTACCATGCAGCCCACATCTGTTCCAGGAAATTGAGTTGCGTTTGGCTCTTGGTAATGTTGGTATATACTGTCATTAGTCCTGGACCACCAATGGCGGTGAGTGTCGTTGAATTGAAGATCTCAGTCATCGTGTAACCGTTAGTACTAGGTCTTAAAAGAACAGCTGACAAGAGCACCGCTAGAGTCTTATAAGGTGACTAAGTGTCTACGATGATACGATTTGATAGTCAAACGAGTATTTACGTTTCATTAAACGAGACCTAATACTGTCTCGTTCCCACGCGTCTCAAACGACACTACGCCCTTAACAGTGGTGTGATCTCGAAAGATATCATGCATATTCTCATGCACCTCTTCATATGTGTATGAACAAAACTTACGCCGCACTCAAACTTGATAGCTCTCGAAGGTTTACAAAGGTTTACCGGCAGCGACGAATGAGAGATTCGGCGATAAAGCTTTATAATATATGAAAATAAAGACTGAAATGCCAGTGATTTAGCACTTAAATCACATGTTACCTGCTGGACTATTGAACGTATTATAGAATAGTCTTGACCAATCTAAATCATCTCACGTGACTTTTCTGAGGGTTGCAACCCTTTATTTGCTTATGTAACCCATTTTTGATCAATCCACTATGGAAAGGAAAATTCCAACCCTCTGAAAAACCCACCAAGAGCTACACCTACTTCTCAGATACCGTTGTCGCTAACTTCATCAAACGTCACAAACTAAAGAGTAAGTGTTAACGAATATTGCTGAAAATGAACAAGCTTGCGGGATCCACTGGAAATACACTTTAATATGAGCGGTTCAATAGGGATTCGACCTCTTTGACTGCATCTTCAAGAGTGGATGAAAAGTACAACAAGAGGATAGACCATACGAACCATAATGTGCCATCACTTCCGCCTGAAATATCACCAACAATTCCATGAGTCTGAGGTCACCAGAATTGGCCAGTTTCATCCAGGACTGATCTCTGCATGCTTGATTTTCAGCGTCTGCCCATGACACCCTTATACTAACATTTTTCCAGTGTCTCGTCTCAACGAATACCAAGTCATTGGTCGCCGTTTGCCAACTGAATCCGTCAGCGAGCCAAAGCTGTACCGCATGAGAATTTTTGCTCCAAACGATGTTGTTGCTAAGTCTCGTTACTGGTACTTCTTGCAAAAGTTGCACAAGGTGAAGAAGGCCTCCGGTGAGATTGTTTCTCTTAACATCATCTCCGAGGCTCACCCAACCCAGGTCAAGAACTTCGGTGTCTGGATCAGATACGACTCCAGATCCGGTACCCACAACATGTACAAGGAGTACCGTGATGTTTCCAGAGTTGGTGCCGTTGAAACCGTATACCAAGACTTGGCCTCCAGACACAGAGCTAGATTTAGATCTATCCACATCTTGAAGGTTGCTGAGTTGGAGAAGACCGATGACGTTAAGCGTCAATACGTCAAGCAGTTCTTGACCAAGGACTTGAAGTTCCCATTGCCACACAGAATCCCAAAGACCAAGAACCTTTACTCTGCCAAGCGTCCAACCACCTTCTACTAAGCGGGTTGGTGACTTGAGTGAAAGATTTTTGAAGCGTTTGAGTGGATTGATGGTTTATGTATAATTTTTTCAACCTCCAGTCCTCGAGTGTTTTATTTGGGGGAGACTTCTGAGTATCAGAAAACAATAAAATAACAAAGCCTAATAACTTTGGATCATTAAAAGGACCAGTAGTTGATTTTAGTAGCGTCAATCTCAAAAGGCTCACTTTTGGACGGTGCACTTTCTCTCATCTTATCACGAGGGGGCGCTATCTGTTCTTGTTGTCATTCTCAATAACACCTACAATCACATATTATTACTCTCAAATATGGGTGCTTTGGTCTCTTTGCCATTAGCCCCTGTTTCCATGGCTGGAAGCTGGATTGCATCATGTTGCGGAGCCGCGGCGTGCTCTGCCTTTTGCAACCCTAGTATGAACCCGTTGGCTGGGACTTTCAAGTCTTCTGTGGCCACCAGAATAACATATGCTTTTTTCTTCCTCATAAACTCCATCATATCGTGGATATCGCTTTCATCGTGGTTGACGAATCAGGTGGAAAAGCTTACATGGGGGCTTTTCAAGTTGGGGACTGCCTACTGTCGCGAGAATGGTTGCACGGGTTTCACCAATGTCCACAGAATCAACTTCTCTCTGGGAATGCTGCACTTGATACTGGCTGGATTGCTAATGGGAGTCAAATCCACCTCAAATCCTAGAGGAGTCATTCAGAATGGATACTGGATGTCTAAGATTTTTGTATGGTTTTTGTTTGTGGTGTTGAGCTACGTCATACCAGACTCGTTCTTTGTGTTTTGGGGTAACAAGCTATCGATTGTGTTCTCCACCATGTTCATTGGAATTGGTTTGATCTTATTGGTGGATTTTGCACACGAGTGGGCAGAGACTTGTCTGGAGAGAATTGAAGAAGGCGAAATATACCTGGATGATGACGATGGTGGAATAATGCATAATGGTAACTTCTGGAGAAGTGTACTCATTGGTGGTACACTGGCGATGTTCATCGGCACTATCGTCATGACCGTGATCATGTACATCTACTTCTCGCATGAGGGATGTACTCTGAACACTACCGCTATCTCCATCAACATGGTGTTGTGTTTGCTGATTGCTGTAATGTCTGTGATGCCAGTGGTTCAAGAGTACAACCCCAATGCCGGTTTGGCGCAAGCTTCAATGTGCTGTGTGTACTGCACATATCTAATATTCAGTGCTTGTTTGAGCGAGCCAGATGACAAGCTGTGCAATCCTCTGATCAGAAGCAGGGGCACCAGAACCTTGAGTATTATCGTGGGGGCCATCTTCACGTTCATAGCCGTGGCCTACACCACCACGCGAGCTGCTGCCAACTCTGCATTTTCACACGGAGGTTCCAACGCTGCATACACGGGATCTCAGTATGACTCCGTGTTGGACGTGATATCGACGCAACCAGAGAGGAATGAAATACGGTTCCAGGCAATCAAGAGGGCAGTCGATGAGGGCTCGCTGCCTGAGAGTGCTCTGAACGACCCCTCGTATTTCCAGTACTCGGACGAGGATGATTCTGGAGAGGAAAAGAACTACACCAAATACAACTACTTTCTGTTCCATGTGATCTTCTTTCTGGCCACGCAGTATATTGCTGCTCTACTGACCATTAATGTTGGGGTTGAGGAAACCAACGGAGGCTTCATTCCCGTGGGAAGAACGTACTTCAACACTTGGGTCAAGATCGTCAGTTCATGGGTCTGTTTTGCGTTGTACGGTTGGAGTTTGGTTGCACCCGTGGTTATGCCAGATAGGTTTTTGTAAAACAAAGGGACAAAAATATAGACCGGAGTCCAAAGACTTCAAGTGCGTTGATGTTATGAAATTTATGAAATTTATGGTAGTGCGCAAACTTAAAGGTTCCCTGCACGTCCCAATCCGTCGAAGCTACAGACAGGCTCAGCTCTATTTAAACCCGCACGATTCTCTTCCATCCCACAGAGAAAGGGACCGGAACACAGCCGCTAATTTATTGATCTGCACACGCATACTACTGACACGCAAGAATGTCAGAAGAGGAGGGTGATGGTGCGGCTTTGCCGATCCAGAGCTTTGAGAAGGTCAGAACGCATTTTCCGTCTGCTAGGATAAAGAAACTAATGCAGTCAGACGAGGAAATAGGCAAGGTTGCGCAGGCCACGCCAATAGTCGTTGGACGGGCGTTGGAGCTGTTTTTGTGTTCGTTGGTGGAGAAATCTTTGGATGTTGCCAAAAACTACGGTAGTCGCAAGATTGCACCCCAGCATTTAATACAGGCAGTAAGTCAGAACGAGGAGTTTGACTTCTGCGAGAGCATTGTTGAGAAGTACAAATCGAACAAGTGAGTGCGACAGCATCAAAATTTATTGCAAAAGCTGAGACATTGTTGATTCTTTTTACGTTTTTCAGGAGTTAGTTACGGGCTGTGTATAGTATTACGAAGAGATGGAGATCCTTGGAGGTTCTAACCGTATCCAACGACGCCAGAAGTAGAAGCAGTTCCGTAGGTTGATGCTGACGGTTACCCTTCCCGTTTGGGAGTAGTGGGAAACTCAAAGCGGTATTCCATTGCTCTCGCGCCTGTGACAAGCATTCAAATCCGGGGCAGATAAATGCGTGAGGTGTTCTGTTCGTCCATCCAGATATTGTATTATTCAGCTGATAAATTTGGTTTTGATCAGGGTTTTGATACTATTTGCTGTTTTCTTATTTTTAGACGTTGAAAAAAACTCTTCAAGCAAACCCTTCAAGCAATTTCATCACAAACTTCCAAACCATGGGCCTTTCAAGCACTCATCTACAGATCGCTTCCCATAGATCGTTCACGAGCCCCCACCACATCTCATTCGCCCAGCTTCACAGTGACGAAATCCCTGTGTTTTATGTCGGTGTCGATGTTGGCACAGGCTCTGCTAGAGCCGCTATTGTTGACCAAACCGGAGCCATTCTGGGTTTAGCCGAAAGACCCATTACCAGGCACGAAATCAAGCCAAACCACATCACTCAAAACTCAACTGAAATCTGGGAAAGCATTTGTTACTGTGTCAAAACAGCTCTTTCCCAGTCACGAATTGACCCTTCGTTGGTGATGGGAATTGGTTTTGATGCTACCTGCTCTCTCGTCTCCATCAATGAAGAAACTGATCTCCCAATGGCTGTTGGTCCAGATTTCAACGACCATGAGGAAAATATCATCCTCTGGATGGACCACCGTGCTGAATCTGAAACAGATGAAATCAATGCCACCAACGACAAATCGCTAAAGTATGTTGGTGGTAAGATGTCCATCGAGATGGAGTTACCCAAGATGAAGTGGTTGAAGAACAACATGCCGACTGAAAATGGCGAGAGTCTCTTCAAAAAGTGCAAGTTTTACGATTTGGCAGATTATTTGACCCATAAGGCCACTTCCAAAGAAACCAGGTCTTTCTGCTCGGTTGTCTGTAAGCAGGGATTTGTTCCCCAGGGAGTTGATGGGTCTGTTCATGGATGGTCTGCAGAATTCCTGAATAAAGTGGACTTGCCCGAACTGGTTGCGGATGACTTCAAGAAGCTGGGTGGAATTCCGGGAAAGAATGGTGAGTATCTCTGTGCTGGAGACACCGTGGGTCCTTTAAGCGAAGCTTCTGCTGAAGAGTTGGGCCTCACCACCGGCTGTTATGTTGCTTCGGGTGTCATTGATGCTTATGCTGGTTGGATCGGTACTGTGGCAGCAACCACTGAAACCCCAGTTCCTTCTTTGGTTGCTCAGGATAAGGAGGTTGAGGGCGTTGATAGAGCTTGTGGCCGTTTAGCAGCCGTGGCAGGTACCTCTACTTGTCACATTGCTATGTCCAAAGACCCAATTTTTGTTGATGGTGTTTGGGGTCCATACCGTGATGTCATGGCAAAGAACTTTTGGCTGGCTGAAGGTGGTCAATCGTGCACTGGAGCTCTTCTAGCTCACGTTCTATCTACTCATCCGGCGTACGCTGAGCTGGGCGTTTCTTCCGAAGCTTCTGGGCTATCGAGATTTGATTTCTTAAACTCGAGACTGGAGAACTTGAAAAAGACCAAAGGCGAAAGGTCTGTGGTCTCCTTGGCCAGAAACCTATTTTTCTATGGTGACTTCCACGGAAATCGTTCCCCAATCGCCGATCCACACATGAGAGCCTCTATCATTGGACAGTCAATGGACTCGTCGTTGGACTCTTTGGCAATCCTTTACTTGGGTGCATGTGAGTTTATTGGCCAACAGACTCGTCATATCATCACTCAAATGGAAAAGGCAGGACACAACATCAGCTGTATCTTCATGAGCGGAGGCCAATGTAGAAACGGTTTGTTGATGAGACTGTTGGCTGACTGTACTGGTTTGCCAATCATCATTCCTCGTTACATCGACGCTAGTGTTGTCTTTGGTGCTGCTATGCTCGGAGCTGTTGCTGCCGAAGATGCGATCAAAAAGGGCAAACCGGCTGGAAGCTCTGTTTCCAGAAGAAATTCCATCAAATCAGTCAATGCTGAAGAACCGCCTTCTCCATACACTGCTCCATCGGCTACAGCTTCCATGACTTCAATTTCAGCAATGGCACCAGGTGTCAACAACAGTACTGGTGGTTACCCATTCCCAGTCATGACCCCTATTGAGGACGAGAACAAACAGTTGGGATTCCCACCTGTTGATCCCTCCGACCCGGACTCTGATGAAGAGGAAATAATTGAATTTGGTTCCAAGGCAGGTACCCAGCAGAAGGTTAATGACAAATTTGCTCAGCGCCGTATGAGATCTGCTAGTGGGTCTTCTAGATTGAGGGGATTGACTCCAATGAAGCCTGAGGAGAAAACCGAAAGGTCTGGTGATAAGCTATGGAAGGTGATGGAGTCCCTATCGGGAATGGGCAGAGTGATCAATCCTTCCTCCGAGAACGATCCTGACCGCAAGCTTTTGAATACCAAGTACAAGGTCTTCCTTGATCAGGCCAGATCCCAGCAGCAATATAGAGAGATGGTTGCGAAGACTGAAGAGGCTATCTCTGCCTACTTGAGCATTTGATGAATACAAAACTGCTCACATTCAAAGCTACGGCGTGAGATTTTGTTCTAGATTAATCTAGTTTATACATTCATTTTGATTATTGGTAATTCACAATAGACTGTTTTGTTTTTAGGCTTTTTTTTATGAACGTGGTTCTGAATTTTTCAGCGCCGCTCGAGATTCTTATCGCGGCTTAGGCAGAGTCATCCTGGGATGTGACTCTGCCGGCAGTGTTGGAGGCAGAGTCTAATTCACACTACCTGTCTGTAAACTTTTAAAATTAGAGGTATTCCTCAACGTGGGGATTTTGTTTTTTGTTTTTTCCCTCAATTCTCAGGGTTTCATTCGTAATGATCGCATTCAGGGGTTCACTACACAAGAACACGGTTGCGCGTTTCTACTCTACAGCCAGCAAGGCAGACCTTATCAAGACCCCACTCTACGACTTGCACGTAGACTACGGGGCAACGATCGTACCATATGCTGGCTTTGCTATGCCCGTTCTCTACAAGGGTCAATCACACATAGAATCTCACAAGTGGACAAGAACAAATGCTGGTTTGTTCGACGTATCTCATATGCTCCAGCACAAAGTCTCGGGTCCAGGAGCTACAGACTTCTTGCAGAAGATTACCCCATCCGATCTGTACTCTCTGCCGCCCATGACGGGAACTCTGAGTTGTCTTTTGAATGATAACGGTGGTATTGTGGATGACTGTATAATTAACAAACATGGTGATGACAGTTTCTACATCGTTACCAATGCTGGTTGTCGTGCTGGAGACCTTGCCTTCATTGAGAAGGAGTTGAGTTCTGGTGCATTTGACTCTGTTTCCCATTCAACCTTCGAAGGAGCTCTTCTTGCTCTACAGGGTCCAAAAGCTGCTCAGGTACTTCAAAAGTTTACTGATTATGATCTCTCGAGTCTGTATTTCGGCACGAGTGACTTTGTTGCGTTGAAGGGGTTCCTCCCAGACAAGGTGCACGTTTCCAGAGCTGGGTACACCGGAGAGGATGGTTTCGAAATCTCCATTCCTGTTGATGACGCTGCAAGAGAGTTTGCAAGTGCTCTCCTGGAGCTTTCAGATGTGGTCAAGCCAATTGGTTTGGCTGCTCGTGATTCGTTGAGGCTGGAGGCTGGTATGTGTCTCTATGGCCATGAAATGAATGAAGCTACCACTCCCATTGAGTCTTCTCTGAACTGGCTGGTTGGAAAGTCTCGCCGTTCAGATGTGAACGGTTTTAATGGAGCAAAAAAGATCCTGAGTCAACTCGAAAATCCAAAGAGTGTCACTTTTAAGAGAGTTGGAATCACTTCCAAGGGTCCATCTCCAAGAGAGGGAAACTCAGTGTTCTCTTTCGAAGACCCTGAAAAGAGAGTGGGTGTTATCGCTTCTGGCTCTCCTAGTCCTACGCTCGGTGGAAATGTTGGTCAGGCACTTCTTGACAAACCATTCAACAAAATTGGAACCAAGATCCTGATTGAGATTAGAGGCAAAAAGAGGGAAGCTGTTGTCAGCAAGATGCCATTCGTTGAGGTAAAGTATCACAGACCTTCGTAAGTCTAGAAGAGCTTGTTATGAAGCTTTATACTCAAGTCCTATTATTGTGAAAAAAAACACGAGGCTCATGCTACCAAGTCTTCTTCACACGGTTTTTTTTTCGAATCACGTTTAAATAAATTCCAATCATTACAAGGAATACCAATCTTTGCATTTTCGAAGTGCTGTGTATGGTAGTGTTTGCCTATTTTCAGCCGCACGTCTGCCACCTGATTTAGGGCAAACGCGACTGACGCGTATTGCTCCAAAAACCAGACGCACCAAATTACAAGCTAGTAATTCTTTTCTCTACAAAGACCAAACATGCACATAAAGAGGGTAAGAAAGATAATTTGAAGTAGTTTAATATTTCATACTAACTCCGATTGAGATCGCGATTCAAGGCTTCAAAACCTACAAAAACACAACTATTGTTGAAGATCTATCTCCCAAGCATAATGTCGTCGTGGGCAGAAATGGATCTGGAAAGTCAAACTTTTTTGCAGCTATCCGGTTTGTTCTCTCTGACGCCTATAGTCACATGTCAAGGGAAGAGAGACAGAGTCTTATTCATGAAGGCTCTGGAACGGTGATGTCTGCGTACGTGGAGATAGTGTTTGATAACACTGATCGCCGATTTCCCATTGATAAAGATGAGGTTACAATCCGGAGAACTATTGGTTTGAAGAAAGATGATTACTCTTTGGACTCTAAAGGCACAACAAGAACTGATATGATGAATTTGCTGGAAACAGCTGGTTTTTCTAGGTCTAATCCGTACTATATTGTACCCCAAGGAAGAATCACATCTTTGACAAATGCAAAAGACACAGAAAGACTTCAGTTGTTGAAAGAGGTCGCGGGCGCTAAAGTCTTTGAGACAAAGCTCAAAGAATCGCAGAAAGAAATGACGAATTCCTTGAAAAGGAAAGAAAAGATTGATGAAATGCTCGAATTCATCGAAAATCGTCTTGAAGACTTGGATCTTGAGAAGGATGATTTGAAAAACTTTGAGAAGTACAACAATCTCAAGAAAGCTTTGGAATTCAATATCTTTGATAGAGAACTCATTTCTGTGAGTGACACTATTACTAGCATTGAGGACAAGCATTCTCATGCCCTCGATGGTTCCAACGACCTTGTGCAGAAACTCGAAGAGAGAGAAAAGCTTGCAAAAAAACTGCAGAACCAGATCTCCGACTTAAATTCAAACAGAAAACTCATTGAAATTGACAAGTCCGAGAACGACGCGGAAATCAGAGAGCTGCTGAGCAGAATAGCAGAACTCAAAGTTAAGGTAGAGGACTGGAAAAACTCGGATGCAATTGCAGACTCGCAGAGAATTACTGATAACGAAACTCTCTCGGCACTGAAGAAAAGCATACAGAAAAGGGAAAGGAAGCTGCAGGAACTCACACCCACTCTGGATGATATGTCAGAGAAAGAATCTACTTTGAAAACTCAACTTAGCATTTTGCGCGCGCAAGAAAGAACCTTGTTTTCAAAGCGGGGCAGGTCGCTACAGTTTCAGAATAAGGCCGAGAGAGATATGTGGCTTAGGTCAGAGATTGAGCTTATCGACAAGAATTTAGCTGCGAAACAGGCAGAACGCGATGCTCTAAGGAAGTCTCAGAAAGAAAAGGAGCTTCATATACAGAGTGTCACTGAACAGGAAGCCATCCTAGAAACTCAGTTGAATGAGGGTCCAGATTCTGTCAAGGCGAAACTGAGTCAAGCTGAAGCTGTTCTGAAGAGCACGAAGCAGTCTTTTGATCTTCTTTCGGACGAGCGTAAAGCATTATGGCGCGATGAAAGCAGACTTTCAAATATTCTGATCTCTTATGATCAGGAAATCAGCAGTGCTCAACAGGATATCAATGGAACCATGGATAGGTCGCTTGCTCAAGGACTTGAGTCAGTTAGGAGAATTACCAGTCAACTTGACTTGAGTGGTGTTTATGGCACTTTGGGTGAACTGATCGAGGTAAGTGACAAGTACAAAATGGCAGCCGAAGTAGTTGGGGGAAATTCTCTGTTCAACGTTGTGGTGGATACAGACAGAACTGCAGGTATCCTTATGGAGGAACTAACGAGAGAAAAGGCAGGAAGAGTGACGTTCATGCCTTTGAATCGCTTGAAACCTCAGACAGTACAGTATCCCTCTTCTAATGACTGTGTCCCTCTGATCAAGAAAATCGCCTTCGAGGACTACCTTGCTCCGGCTGTGGAGCAGATTTTTTCCAGAACTGTGGTGTGTATATCTTTGGAGAGAGGAAGCCAGTTGGCTCAAGAATATTCCCTAAATTCAGTTACCCTTGATGGAGACATCTGTGACAGAAGGGGTGTGTTGTCGGGTGGATTTAGAGAGTTCAAGAAGTCGCGCATTGACTATCTGTATAGTTTGAAGAAGTGGAAGACGGAATATGAAGCAACGAAGTTGAAGTTGGAAGAAATCCAACAAAAACTCTCTTCCAAGGATGTGGAACTAAACCGGTTTAACGATGAGATTTCCAAGCAAAGAAAACTCACAGATGCACTAGAGAACCAAAGAGATTCAGTTATGCTCGAGATATCAACTTTGCATAACGACAAATCACGTTTGGATTCGGAAAACGTGCTCTTGAAAAGTCAACTTGCTCTGGCTAACGACTCTATAAAGGTGCTGGACACCCAACGTCTTGAAAAGGCGACAGAGTTGCAGTCAAACTTTTCCCAGTCTCTGTCCAGTGCTGAACTCGCTGAGCTGAAAAGCATGAGCACGAAAATTCCGGCAATTGAAAAAGAGCTTGATGTCACTACTGATATTCTCAGCCAAACTGAGTTGGAGTACTCCACGATCAAGATTGAATTGGAGCAGAACTTCTATCCTAGAATGAAGAAAATGACTTCCCAGGTGGAGAAACTGACTCGAAACATTCCGGAGGAGTCAAGCGAATTGGCAAATCTTACGCAATCGCTCTCGCTTTTGCAAGAACAACTTCAGGAGTTTGAGACAACCAACTCGAGCTTCCAGGAGAAACTAGAAGAGATTGAAGCAGAGATTTCTTCTAAGACGGAGAGTCTGCGGAAGATAGACGAAAGCCAAAAAGCCAGGCTGAGAAAACTCGAAAGCTTGGGACAGGTATCTGAAAAGCATTTAAGCAAAAAGGTTGCCCTTGTCGGTCGCAGAGACGAAATCAACAAAAAGATTCGCGAATTGGGGGCTTTACCAGAGGAAGCTTTTGGTTCATTCAGAGATAGTTCATCCGATGTGCTACTTAGACGCTTAAATGAAGCGAATCAGATGCTGAAACAGTACGGTCACGTCAACAAAAAAGCTCTAGAGCAGTACTTGACATTTACCAAACAAAGGGATGATCTTGTGGAAAGAAGGTCAGAGCTTGACACAGCCAAAAGTTCCATTGAAGAACTTGTTGCTATTCTCGAGCAGAGAAAAGAGAATGCGATTGTCAGAACTTTTGAAAATGTTTCGCGAGAATTCTCAAACATCTTCTCTAAGTTGGTTCCAGCTGGTGTTGGTTCCTTGATAATCCAAAAGGGAAATGACGAGAGCTCCGAATCTTTCACTGGGGTGTCGATTTCTGTTTCGTTCAATTCCAAAGAGAATGAACAACAACGCATTGAGCAACTATCTGGGGGGCAGAAATCGTTATGTGCTATTACCCTCATCCTTGCCATTCAGAACTGCGATCCTGCTCCCTTTTATCTCTTCGATGAAATCGATGCTAATCTGGATGCCCAGTACAGAACGTCTGTTGCCAGACTTATTCACCAATTGGCTGACGATGGTGCACAGTTCATCTGTACAACGTTTAGACCCGAGATGCTCCAGGTTGCCGACAAGTTCTTTGGAGTGACTTTCAGCGATAAGGTTTCTACGGTTTCGGATATTGATAGATCTGAGGCATTAGCTTTTGTAGAAGGCCAGCAGCAACGTTAGCAGCCTTGCTGAGGAGCCTTCATGGTTAAAATAGTTATACATCGATAAGCCATCATGTTTTTTTTGCATCTTTCATAAGGTCTTGAAAACCAGAGTTTTTCTTGGCCCTCGTTTTGCGTAGCGCTAGTTTAGCTTTCTTTAGGTCGATGAACTTTGAGTCTTCTTTGGAAGACGCCTCGTCATTATCTGAAGAATCATCTGAAGAATCGCTGTCGTCATCGTCACTTTCTGATTCGTCTGAATCTGAGGAATCTGTCTGTGGAGAAACGGGTTTGGTTGGGGCAACCTTTTGAGATGAAGGAGTCAGATTAGCCAGTGACTCGTTCGTTGAGTCGCGAACTGTAGGCACGCCGCGTTTGCGTAATCCCTCCAAACTGGGCAATGAAGCTAATTTTTTCCTCTGTGGTTGTATTTGTTGCGGCGTTGTTGATTCAGACTGAGATTGCACAAGTAAGGGATCAACCAGGTTGAGAGATTCATCCTCCTCGTGTGGAAGCTGAGAACTATTTTGTTTGGCTTTCGAAACAGCATTTTTGCTGCCTCTAGTTTTCGGGGCCGATACAGCAACAGGCACTCTGAGCGGAGTGTCTTCATTTCTGTCGGTTGAATTTTCCTCACTGTCGGAGTCCTCTGCGCTGTCGCTGTCGCTTCCAGAGCTGTTTACGTCGGCAGCAGAAGGTTGTGACACTTCAGGCTTTGACGCCTTATCAATTTGAGTCAATTGAGCAGACTCCTCGGGATTTTCTTCGCCCGAGTTCTCATCAAGAACAATACCTGCAGTTGGGTGAATGAACCGACGCAGATGGTGTCCGGGGTTCTCCTTGGATATCTTTAGTATCATCTTTTCCACCTCAATTGCCCTTTCTCTTGCCCTTTGTTCCTCTTTGATATCATTTTGAAGTAAACTCTCCAGCTCTGGATTATTTTCTTTTTTTTCGGGGGTGTTGCTCAGGACTTCCGTATTATGGATTGGTTCTGGGGACTGAGCAGGAAGAGGGGAGGCTGACTCCTCGGGGGAAGCAGAAATAGAAACGTCATTCTGGATAGAACTCTGTATACTGTTTTTCTGAAGAGTCACTGATCTCAATTGAACTCTTTTGGGAGCTAGAAAATCGCCCTTTTCATTGCTCAGCTGCCTTTTCTTCTTGGACACGGAGGGTGAGCTGGGCTCAACATCGGCCTCGCGGGCACTAATATAAACATCGTCTCCGCTCTCTTCCGTGACTAATCCATTCTCAGAAGGACTCTCTTCGTATGGGATGTCTGTAGGCAAGAGATCTGGTAAGACCTTCTTGGTGATGTCCTCCTTTGACGCAACACTCACACCTTGCGGAACCTCCTCAGCTTCCAGCTCAAGCGTCAAATCTGGCTGAGGCTCCGCTGCAAGCATACCAGAAGTTATTCTGGATTTTTCATTGGGCCTGCTCCCGTTCTTTTTCACTGGAATTTCAGAGTTGTGTAGATCTGGGATCTCCCCGTTGGCCCTGGAAGCTATGGATTCTGAAAAGTGTGGGACACTCTTGAAGTTTCCCACAGGCGTCGACATATCCAGAACACCGTCTTTAAACCCATTGCGTAATAGTCTATTCCCGTTCGTGATTCTCGAAAAGGGCACATCGTCTGAGTTGCTATTATCCTCGAAACCATTGGTCAGTTCACCAGGAAAGGACTTCACAGAGCTCTTTCTTCTGGTTTTCTCCACATTTAAGTGTATGAGTCCGGGAATTGAAGAATCCTGATCCTTTCGTTGTGTCTCCGTGACAGATACACTGCGCTCGAATCGATGGGGTGACGGCCTCAGTTCGTTGTGCGTCAGTACTATGGCCGAGTCATTATTATCAAAGACTTGCCAAACAAGATACTCGGAATCCAAATCGCAACCCTTCGAATCCTGAATCTTCCAGATATCAAGTTCGTCGAGATCGGGGTAGATTCTACAAGATCTCTCATTGATCTCGGCAGCTAACTGTTCTAGTGTGACATCTCTCACCGTTATATGGAGGAATTTCCTCATACCCAGCATCTCGAACTCTGCAAATCTGCTGCTGCGACTGTGGCTTTCCTGCCATGGATCAAACCCACTGAGATTCAAGACGCTGGGCTGGTTGTCCGAGAACCCCTGCTGGCTAGCGAGCACTGAAACATCTCGCGTGTCTCCTGAAGCATTAGGCGCCAGGCTCTGTTTTGCAGCAATCTGTTTCTGAAGTCCAAGGTGGCGTGAGCTCGGAGGAACAATATATACTTGTAGCCTTATCATTTTCAGCTATCCACCTTGGTGTGTTGTAGTGAGTTCTGAGTCTCAGGTGAAATCTAACGCATCTTGGCCTCGCGAAATTTTTATGTCAGTTCGAAAGTGCACGCATATTCGAGCTGGGCCACCGCGTCGCGAAAGGCAGGTGAAATATTTAAAGTTTTAATTTCATGCAATAATGAATTTGAAATATTTTTACAATCGCTAGTTTTCTCAGAAAAATGGCACTTTCTCAGTTTATTCTCGAATACCCGGAGCTATTCACCAATTTCTTGGCCTCAATTTCGGCCTGTATTCGGTTCAAAATGTCTGGCTCCATAGTTTGAGACGTACTTTTTGCTTCTTCAGTCTCGCCTGCCTGTTGAAGCTGAATTTTTCCTGGACGGTCCTTCGAAGCCAACCCTTCTGACCATATATTCAAGCTCCCGTCTAAATTCCCCGAGAAATATCGGCAGCTTCGATTCCCACCGTACTTTACGCATGTAACCCTCTTCGCGTCTGAGCCTTGGGATAATCTGGCAATCAGTTTACCATCGATTACTCGAAAGACAAGAATTTCTCCATTGTCGTTGGGAAACCACAAAAACTGCATTTCGGTCTCAGTACGAGGACTCAATGCCATTTCCAAATGCTGTGAAAACTTGTTTCTGACAAGAGGCCCAAAATTGACCAGTTCGTTCAGCGGTCTTGAGGGAGAGGTTAAATCCCAAACTCTGATTTTCTCATCCAATCCGCAAGTGACTATTTTGTTTCCACTTTCATTGAAAAGGAGACCATTGACAGCGCCATCATGGGCTCTGTTATCCTCTGACAGTTTCCTTCGCTTGATGGCGAAGCTTTCGCTGGTGTCATCTTCTATAGTATCATTGGCGTTGAAGTCGTAAATGCAACTGTTTCCCCTCCGCACATCCCAAAGCCGGACATTCCCATCAATTCCACCCGAGGCCAAAATATTGGAGTTTGTTGGAGACCATTTCACAGCAAGAACTCTTCCTTTGTGGCCTGAAAGAGTGTGAGACGTGCTTGTGCTCCTCAAGTCAAGTAGTCGGATCATTGGGGTGTCGTTGCCACATGCTAATAGCGGCTGGGAGTTGGAGTCAGATATATCAAAATTGTATATTCTTGATCCTATGTCAAAACTGTAAACATCTTCGAGTGTACTCGTATCCCAGACCTTGATTTTATGATCGAAGGAAGAGGATACAAACATCCCAGCATCCTGCGGCCACCACGAGACATGCGATACACCAAAGTCATGAGCCACCTTCCGCGGTATTGATGATACCTCTTGTAATGCGCCTGAGTCACATTTGAATAAATGAATGCTCGAATCTGAGCCTCCAGAAAGTAGGAATTGGCAATCTCGTCTGTCCACGTCAATGGTGTTGACAGCATTTGCCATCTTGCTTGGGAAATGCCTTGAGGAATGCCTGATTCTAGGATAGACTGACTCTGTTTGGATTCTCAAGAAATCCGGAGTCGAAAGATTGCCGAAACGCCTCTCATCGAGTAGATACTGCATTTAATACATGGTGTGTCTGCGCAGTACCTGATAAACGCCACAAAGCTTCAACCGCACTCTTCTTTTACAGATCTTCTAGAGCGTGCACTCTCTGGCTTATCGCCGCAATCCTTAGAACCAGCCGAGCCGAGCCAACTTTAGAGTCTCAACCAAGTTATACAAAGACGAACTTGAAAGCTTGCTATATTTATCTGGGAATTATAAAACTCATGCTAAATAAGGGTTAATTAGCAAGAACATCTTGCATGTCTCAAATCGGATTAGAAGATTTTTATAGTATGAGAAATGCCATTCGTAAAGTCATAAATTCATGTTTTGTGGTGTTTTTTGGAAAACATTAGAAAACTTCCAACTCATAGGTAATGGCTAATAAGATGCCATGAAACGGAAGTTTAACTCAATGAACCCATGGCCTTTCTTGAACTGAAGAAACATCAATTGGGTATTCATTAGTGGTGTTTCCCCACGTGAAGTGAGATAAAGAAGTGCTTGCATTGAAAAATAGCCAGTCTATCGTGCAATCTACCACAGTCTGGAACCTGTCATTAGTTAGAATTCTCCAGACAATACTCCAAAGTCTGCAGAAAAATCCTCCGGTGTAATAGACCGATATTGCAACTGCAATAATGGTGAAAATGTGCAATGAAATCGCTTCACCCGTAGACATCACATAGTAGGGACATAAAAAGTAGTAAGCACGGACCCAAGATTCGAGACGGCAGATAAAACTGCTCAAAGGTGTTCCCAAAACTTTCTTGGAAGTCATTTTGCTAGTATGTTGCAGAGTTGTTCTTGTTCTTGTTCGACTAGATGGTAGGTTGATCCACAGACGGAAGGCCAGGAAGAGCTTGACAATGTCTAGAGTGAGCTGCTTGATCTTTTCTCTCAAAAAAGAGTTCTTAGTTTGACGCAACGTCACAGCGGTTCCTAGAACTTTTTTTGAAAGTAACCGATAACGGTGGTATATATGTATACACATGTAAAGATCCGTAAATTCCGCTTATAACTTAAACAACATCTAGAATGTGCTAATACCAATAGGATTCCGCACAACCCCGGCACATGCGGAAGAACCACCTGCATGCGCACTTACTTAAATGGTCCTATTAGGAGATTCTGTACAAAATTACTCAAGTCCGATCTCCATTTGTATTGCTATTAAAAAATGAGATAGTGTCTGCTATAAAAATCGATCTGCGTAGATTCGGAAAATAACTAAAGAAAAATGCAGAGACAATCAAATTTAGTCGTGCAAAAAAATACAAAGTTTTGGTCACCGTCCTCTTTGATCATATAACATTCAATTTAACGTTTGGAGGTGATATCTTCGGCTTCTGGATTCATGAACAAATTATTTTCACTCTCCAAACACTTGGCACAAATATTTGAACCAGGATTGAGATTGACATCTTCAATGGTGAGGGTCTCACCGCACTTGACACAAGACTCGTTTGTATTGTGCGCATCATCTTTGGACTCTCCAGGCAAAAAGTGCTGGATGTTGTCTGAAATATTTAGCGAAATGGGCTGCTCATTTGCCATCACAGCGGCAGCGGCAGCAACGATGGCTGCGTGAGACAGGCTCGAACTGCCGTCTGCTTGTAGAGAGTCATCCTCTTTCTTTGAACCAGGGGTCTTTACGGAACCCCTCTTCTTTCTTGTACGGCACTTGGAACACACCTTGCGGTCTTTGTCTTCTCCTTCCAACGGCTTCGCACATCTATTGCAGGCACCTTGCCTTTCTAAATTCGATCTTCTGATCTTGTCATTTTGACGACATCTGGAGCAAACCTTATACTGAAACCTCGAATCGTTTGGCCCTGAACAATGCACACATTTACCTTGTACCGCTCGAGTGGACTTCCTAGCTCGCAGATTCATACGGCACGAGGCACATAGAACAAATTGATCGTTGTTGCCATCAATATCGACACCACATCTTCTGCAAGCACCTACCTTTTCCTTCGTGCGCATTTGCCATCTTTTTGACCTTTCTCTCTGCAATTCACGGCAATGTGAACACAATCTGAAGAATTTATCAAGGGACTGGATAAAAGTTTTTTTGCATCTTGAGCATACACCCAAGACGTGATGATCCGGATGCTGTGCTCCTCCTTGATCCGTGATCAGTGTTGGCTCTGGTGTAATTGCTTCATTAGTTTCGACATTTTCAGCCCTTGCTTCTTCTTTAAGATGTTCATTCCAAACTTCTGACGCTTGTAAAACAGCTTCAGTTTCATCCATCGTAAAAAATTCGTATGGTCACTTGATGCACAAGGAGATGCGTTAAATGTAAACAAACCGATCTGATGGTTAGGAGTGAGTACCCTTTCAAGTGTTCTGATCCCTGGCGTTCCAAAGAGGTGGCGAGAAAAACAATCCCAAATTTTGCATACAAACTTTATGAGTCACACACTACCACAATGCCCCATCTTCAGAAGAGACTATCAAATAAGCAGGCTCACTCTCCAAGATTCTCTCCTATCATGACCTCTTAGCATATTTTGAGTTGGTATATTAACATGGATATTAATATCGACCCGTCAATAGATGAAGCTCAAAATACTTTGTTTTCATCTTTGGACAGAGATAAACTTGTCAGTGCAGATGGGTTCAACTCATCCTCATCTACATCTGCAGATGTTGCGGCTGCAGTAATGGAAGTTGACCGTTTTGCACATCACCACTTTGCAAATGCAGCAACCCCCTCGGAATCAGTCCTGAGCGTTCGGTCTGAAGTTGAACCACAACATGAAGCTGCATCGTTTATCCGATTTTCTCCTTTTTCTACCTCGCCAATTGGTTGTCAAACAGCCACACCCGAGAAAGCTTTGGTCATTGATGCTGTTCAAGCAGCACGCTCCCAACTTGGTGGTGAATTTCTGGAGCCATCCGACTTTAAGTTGATGGGCACAGGTAGAAGCTTTGTTGCTATTGAACCGCTTAGCATCAAACAAGGCAAGTCAAAAAGAATAGGGAAACCCAAAAGCGGATTTAGCGATCGTTCTTTGAGGCAGTCTGCTGAAAGGAACTCTCTTCACTCACAAGTATCAAAGTTTGGGTTTAACAAAAACATCAGCACCACACCTTTCAAAATACGAAAGAAGAAACATCAGAAGCCTTATTCGGAGACCGTGTTTCAAAGTGTGCAGGAGGTCGATGATGGAAAGACCTATTTGTCAGAAGAAAATAAACAAGATGGGGATAACGTGGTAAAAGGCTCTAATGATAAAATGAATATCGTCATGGAAGATTTTGACTCGCTACAAGCAAAGGGTCGGAGTAGCGCAAAGAGTGGAATTTTACGAAAAAGAAAACATTGAAAGAAAACAGAAACAATAACGTATAAATAATGAACTGCAACGAAACTGAATTTCCACGATATGGTAAAGACGAGGAAATGATAATGTAGGTTGCGCAGTCAACTAATCCAGAAGACCCCTTTTCCACTAAGGATCAAATATCAGTCAAGATACTAAAAGCCCATATAGGCTTGGGAAGCCTATCTGAACTATTGGCCTCTTCGCACATATTGAGTGGGATCCCAATTCTCATCGTCCTATATTCTGTACGATTCACCACTCGTCGCGATTTGTCAGAAAGTTGACGATCGAAAAAACAAAAAAACTCCTATATCTTTGCAGCCAGGAGAAACGAAACTCGAAATCCCCTTCGAGACCTTGATCCCTCCCCTTCCTTCAGGAAAACAGATTCGTGAAGGCCAAACAGAAGACTAACTCAATCCAAAAAATGTAAAAAATGTAAAAAAAACGCTTGCAAAACCAAAACATTAACAAAGAGCCTACCATGTGCCAAAAATTCCCAAGACATGTAAAATACCAAAAAAATCCCTCCAGCAAGTGTGAACCACGCGATACAATATATGGAAAATTCAGAGAGCTCTTATTACGGAGACTAGTCTATATAAAAAATCATCAAAACTCTATTTTGAAACAGCGCTCTTGAAGAAAGCCCAACAAAGCTCATAGCAATCTAAAAAGGCTTAGGCTTGCATCCCGAGCATAATCATTCAAAAGATCCCTTGGAGCGGCAGATCAAAACACCTAACCTTCGGTGAGGGATCCGCCTCAAATCTTGATAGATTTAGATTACGCTCAAGATTCCCTCACTAAAATTACTGTCAAAATGCTGAAACCAACCGCAAAACATTAAACACTAATCTCAGATAATCAAAAACTATATGAAAGCAGAGAAATAGTTAGTGATACAACCGCTTTCATATACATTCAGTTGAACATTCTTAATATCAACCTCGATCATTTATAAAATTAGTACTCAAGATAGCAAAGCAAAGAAAAATCCGACGTGAGAGTCAGCATAGTATCTCCGCAAAAACTCTAACCTCGCATCGCATTGATATGTGTCACGGATATACCTAAAATGAACTGGCAAAATAAGACTAGAGGCATCCACCTGCCTCTATAGATCTCGATAGATGAGAACGCTCAGCATCGAAGAATTGATTTTGCGGAACACCTGCCATGTTCCAAAAGGCTGCAGCCTTCAGAGCATCTCTTAGAGAATTCTGCTCTCGTAGCCTGTTACTCGCGCGATTGAGAAATTCTGTCCGTCTAATTATGGCTTTGGTAATGCGTTTCAATAATCACAGACAACAACTGGACGTTAAAATTGATTTATAATACCACCGCAGTATAGTGTATCAGTCTTACTCATGATATCATAAACAAGACCTATTAATCGAGATACTAGAATCGCTATAGACCTTAGGATCTATAAAGAGAGACTTTGAACCTTCTTTTTTCATTTGGATCAGACAGAAGCCTCTGTAGCAGAACAGGTTTCCTTTATAATGTGGAATATTTCGATGGTCTCTGAGTTAACGAAGCTGCTTAATGTCTCATAACACTCTAAACACTTCAACTGTCTCAACAATTGGGTCGAATAGCCTGTAGTATGATTTCTGATAGATAATTTGCGCTTATGAGCTGTTGTGAAAGCTTGCCTTTAACAGCAATCACATTCGAGCATGAATTTTCAATGGGGAAGTCAAAGATTTCGCGATGGGTTGCATTTTAGCATTCGTCAAGTCTGCTGTCTTTTGTGGATTCGGCTTTGCGCTTTAGACGCTTTCTCTCCATGAAGATAATGTACTATAGGCTCTATCAATGGCGGGACATAGGACTGGCGACCATACGCCCTCAGTATAAACTTTGAATTTTTCGTCGGGGTTGTCTGAGTTCCTTTCCAATATAGACTCTCCCCTTTTGATTGACTAGACTTGAGCCGAAAATAGCCTTGGATTTCGTCATGATCAAGAATTGATAACTTCTTGGCCGCGCAATGTAATGGTGAAAACAGGTATTGAAACCAGGCGGGACGAAAGAATGACATGTATGTGACAGTGCTTATGTCTTTTCGTGATCTTGGTAATTAGGATTCGACAAATAAGTGAATGCTATCGACAGGTATATGGCAGTGATTCATCAGGGCGAATAATGTTGAAATTAATAAAATTATAAATCTATGAGTCCATATAGACTGTGAACTCTCTTTCTATAAGGTTCATTTGAATCAGACATTGAACGGGACAGATTTCTTTTAGATGTTGAACGTTGTGTTTTCAGCTTAAACAGAATGAATTGCTCGTATCAGCAATTTCAACAAATAATGTTAAAATGGATACAATCTCAACAGATATACTGTAGTGTCACGCTGATAGTGAAATATGTCATGACTAAGATATATGTTTATTGGCGCTCCACCAAGGAAAGGGAATCAATATAGCGATTAGCGGTTTCTAACACCGTTTATGCAATCTAATCTAATAAATTTGACTTTTAGATTCTGTTTTTCGCATCAGTGATCTCAAAAAAAACTTGATAACTTTTCTTACAGATGATAATGCTGTCCTTTATGGTTACATTCTAGGATGTAGTAAAGTCTGTGCGGATCGTCCCCCAAACCGGGTTTTTGCCGTTTAGGTTAGATTGCGATATAAGGGTATTTATACTGATTGAGTATTGAACTGCTGAGCCGTGATGGGCTTAATGTGTATATACCTTCTTAAACTATGAACCACAGTAGTCCTTGGCGTTGTAGCGCAATAGAGTATGATAGCTTACTAAAGGGTATTGAAGTAACCTCTGTGCAGTTTACGAAATATGTTTATATGATAGGAAAGCGCGTAGGTCTGTCTATCATTTTGTTGCTTTGTTTGATTTCTGAGGAACTTGAGCATTTTCTGACTGAAGAATGATCGGGCTTGAGGTATACAGAGCAAATTGTGAAGAATAGTGGAAAGGTTTGACTTCTCCACCGGTGCTTTGGAACATTTTGAGTACAACCGTCTACAAGAGGATGGAGTGGTTGGTGATCTGGATGAGCTTCATGGGTTTTGTTTCCTTAATTTTCTCTCGGGCTCGCCCTACCTTGGCCTGTATTTGGATGTAATCATGATATAAAACAAGATGTTTGTTCCGTAGAGCTCTCTGGTTTTGGACTCCTTTAGGATATTTAATGTCTTTTGAAGTGAATCCGTAGATCGATTGTCCCTTCCCTTATGTCAATATTTCAATGTTGAGGATACTATAGATACATGCATGAAAGCTTTGCGAATATAACTTCCGCAGATTTGCCTACAGAGGGATTGAGTTTAGTAGCCACTGTACTCTAGTTGAATTTCTTGGTTTGGGAAGCATGGCACATGCTGAATCATATCTGCCCGTATTGGATTTGTGAATTCAGGCTTCAAACTATGAAAACGTCATGATTTAGTATTGTGGCTTGTTGATTTCGGCTTGTTTGAGCTAGTGTTGAATTAAGTGACCACGCTGGTATTATAGTCGCTTCTACGAGTTGCCCCAATTCCCTTTCTTAAGTTTACAAACCGGCTTAGTTCCTAGTGTCATTTTTCTTTTGATGTTTTTTTGTAGTAAGAGTTTTTTTTTCTAGTACTAGTCTACGTTCTTCTTAAGCTGGAGTTAATTCCAATCAGATATTTTTTTTCCTGGTTTCTCTCTTTTCTAAACGAGTGTGGTTTCTGAATGGTCTAGTTTTGGAGCTTACGGCCCTATAATTTTTACCGTCTTAGATTACTTTTGGGTTTCTCTCATTTTCCCTCTTTCATACACGCGTCTATAATTTCACTTTAGGTTTTTTGTACAGTCAGGGATCCTGTAGCCCTCACTTTTTGAAATTTCGATCAAGAGGGTTTGTGTCTTCTCACTCATTGGGAAGTTCTTGCTATTTCGGTTCTTCGTGGAATTAAATGAATAGTTGGGCGAGATGCACTGGGGTGCCCCACATTGTACATTTTTCTGGTGTGTGCAGGGCACACTTCTAGGTAAGGTTCTCGTTGAAGCTATTGTGGCCTTTACCCTGAAGCTGTTCTTGTGGCGATAGATTCTGCTGCAACTTTTCTTGAAAATTGGTAACTATGCTGTTCTCTGCAGATTTTGATGTTGATGGACGCCTTGCTGTAATTTCAGGTGGCTCTCAAGGTCTGGGTGCCGCTCTGGGACGGCTTCTGTTCTCCAAGGGTGCAAGTGTGGTGATTGTGGCCAGGACGGAGGCTAAATTATCGAAGACAGCCAAAGAAATCGAAAATTTTAGGGTCAATTCTAATCAGAAAGTCTCATTTGTGAGTGCTGATTTGACATTGTACGAGGAATGTGAGAAAGTCTTTACCAGCATTGAAACTCCTGATATATTGATAAACTGTGCTGGATACTCCCATCCTGCTCTTTTCCTTGATCTGACTGCGACAGACTTGAAGCAAGGCATCAACACAAATTACAACTGCGCTGCCTTTTTCACGCATGCTGGACTGAAGAAAATGGCTAAAGTCAAACCCCAGCATAGGAGACATATCCTGTTTTGCTCCTCAGTGCTCGCGACATATCCCTTCATAGGTTATGGCCATTATGCGCCTCTCAAATCTGCTGTGAAGACGCTTTCCGATGTGCTGAGGCAAGAGTGTCTAGTGTATAACATCAGGGTGGAATGTGCGTTTCCCGGGAACTTCATGTCCGAAGGCTTTGTCGAAGAGGAAAAGACAAAACCGGAGATCACAAAGCAGATTGAGGGCCCTTCTGAAGCAATAAGCGCTGATAAATGTGCCGAGATAATTTTCAGGGCGATCGACAAAGGTTATGACTACATTACGACGGATACCCCGGGTTATTTGTTAAGTACCTTTGTTTTAGGCAACAGCCCGCGACAATTCTGGGTTTTTCAAGTGATTATTGCATTCTTTGTGAGCTTGTTTGCTCCAATTGCTAATGTGTTCGTCAACAGAATGATCAAAAAATACTTTGAAACGCATCCTATCCCTGGTCTAGATGATGATACATCGGATGTGAAAGGGTCGTCTTCAGATTGAGGGTTCACCGTATATATAATCATATGCATCTATGTATCTTTTTTACCAGAAAGGCTCTCAACGTTGCTCAAGAGCTTTTGCCCAGCCTCAAACCATTGTATAGAGTACAACCAATTCACGCTTTTTGTCAACTCAGCGTTCCATATATCCTTTGCTGTTTCTAGGGTGGTTGCACGGGAGGTGTAGTTTATGATGTCCGACTTGGGTATTATGGGTTCATTTCTCGATTCCAGTATACTCTCATATTCTCTGATGCTGGAACAAACGATGTCCCTGTTCTTGCGAATTTGCAGAGCAGTTAAGTAGGTCAACGAGGCCGTCAGCAGAACGCCTTATAAAAAGTTAGAGTCATCGAAAAAATCAGCAGAAGATGAAGTTAAACGTACCTCCTAAAAATCCATGTATTCTACCGCCCATTTTTGTCAAACACGAGTGGAAGATGTCTATTAATCCCCGAAAGATTGCTGAAAAGATGTTTATTAAATGATCCAGTTACAGATGGTCGTTTCGGGGTTACGCAGCCCTGGGAAATGTGTGCTGAACATTTCCGGTGGAGTTTTTCGTCAAAAGACCTCGAGACCGTTTTCAAATTATCGAGAGTTTCCGTTAGTTACAAAGCAAGAGCAAATATGGTTTGGGGAAGGTATGCAATATAGAATTATACTCATATTTTATGTCTCACGTGGTTTACTAACAAACCCTCAAAGAAATGCTCAAGATGTGCGTCTGACGCTAATGAACTTATGTTCATCGTTGATAAAGCATGAATCGATACAGACCACAGCGGCCAAGGCCAAAAGAACACAAAGGATGATAGAGAACCTCATAACAAAGGCTAAAAAAACAGATAACGTCGAGTACTCTTTGAAAAAATGCAAGGCCAACCTGTTCGAACATAGCACAACGATTCCAAAGCTATTCAATGTCATTGCTCCAAGATATGCCGATAGACAGGGTGGTTACACGAGAATCTTGAAACTTGAAAACCGTTTCGGTGACAATGCACCTCAAGTTATATTGGAACTGGTTGACAATGGTGAGAGGGAAATGAAGTTTTGGTTGATGGCAAAGGTTGTTGCAAGGTTAGAGCTACAAGGTCTCCCAGTCAATGCCTTGACGCAAAAAAATGTGGACGCTTTGCTCATGCACCGCTCAGAAGAAGATTTCAGAAAGCTTGTGGACATATGCAAGAAAGAATTTTTCAATGAGCCAGGTTCTCTGGACAATCTACCCAGAATTGAAGAGGACCGTCCCGTGAAATCCGTGTTCCACAGGAATTTCCAGGATTATGAGATTGTTCCGCGTGAGGCGAAATAAGAGGAAGAGGAGGTTACGAAGAAGGTTTTGTATATATGAACGAGTGAGAAAATGAAAACAACTATGCGTACACTATCATGTATAAAGAACTAATTATAACACTCAAGAGGACTCTTTTTGAAGAGCAGCCATTAGAATTTGGTTTGATCTGAAAGAAAGACCCTTTGTCTTCTTTATGACTTGCTGGTAAACACTATTAGCTGGATGATTCATGATAACCGTACCCTCGCTTTCGTTGATTTTGGCGTCCATCTTGGTATCGCGGATGAGGTTGGCGATCCATTTTTCTCCTTCATCTTTGGAGAGGTTCAGAGAAGCGGATAATTGTTGGAGGTCCATCTTTTCATGAACTCTGCAGTAGACTCCAAAGATCAGATGTCTGGCACTTTCAAGAAACTGGCCGGCACCGTTGGACAGGAAAAAGTCAGCCTTGATCACAACCTCCACTTCTGTCAGCTTGGCTATCGCGGCTTCGAAGTCAAAGTCCACGTACAAAGCTCTGATGAACTCGGTAAGAGGATCCTGGTATTCGTATTGCTCTTGGGAAACCACGCGGATCAAATCCCTGAGTCTCTTTTGGAACTCAAAAGAGGAGTGATGCTTTGGGGAAGTGGAGACAACTGCAGCCACCAAATACCTCAAAATCCAGGGACAGGAGGCCTGGATAGTTGAGAGATAAGTGGACGAAAAGAATAAGTCAGACAGTTGCTCCAAACCGTTTTCAATGTTGAAATAAGGGAACAAAGACCAGTGGATAACCCAGGTTCTGTGGTGGAGTTGAGTGAGAGGATCACTGAAGGATCTAGAATCGATGAGCTCACGAAGCTTGACCAGCTCCTCAAGAGCAGTATCCCATTCAAGACTGATAATCTCAGATGCCAGTCTACCCCAAGTTGCGCTGATGTTCAAATCAGAGTTGGTGGAAAGAACCCTGAAGTTATTGAGAAGATCGGAAGCCATCATATAGTCTCCTCTGTTGTATTGGAGCTGGCCGAACTCGTACAGTTCCAACACCTTTTCTTCTGTAATTCCGTGTTCCTTTTCCAAGAACTGTCTGTTGTATTCTTTGTCCTGCTTCAAGTGCTCCTGAACAGATTGCTGGGCTAGAACGTTCAAGGTCTCTTTGGTCTTCTCGTCCAATCTAACAAGCTCCTTCTGCACAAATTCCTCCTTCTCAAGAAGTTCTTTTGGAAATTCCTTACCAGGATACAAATTAGAGAACTTTGACTTCTCAAATTTGACCATGTAAGTGTCCTTCAACAGATCGTAGGACAATTGCGTGACGGTGTTCTCATCGTAAATGAGATCTAGAGCCATGATCAACGGGTAGATCAAGTGACGGTCCAAAAAAGCAGTCAGCTTGGGCGTCAGATCATACTTGCGAGCAAGCTCAACCTCAGTAGCTGATAGTTCTGATTCGGACATTATAGCGTGATGGTGTTGTGTCTTTCAACTAGGCTCCTCAATCGTTGGTGTTGAAGCCAAAGAAAAATTCGACACTCGAAATGGGGTAGTGTGAATACTGATTACTTCCTTATGTAATCTATACTTGAGGCTACCCACACGTTACGCGTTGCATGTAAGCGTGAATCATGCTTCACTAATATCCTTCACAGTTCATAAATAATTCAAAGCAAAGCATGAAACAGGAGGTGTCTGAATTTCTCTCCAACGAGTTGTTCTCGGAAAAAAGGGTAGTAAGTGTATCTGCTTTTTCCCGCGAATTCATATCAGAGTCCTAACGTTGATTATTCAGATATCGTACAGAACTCTGAGCCGCGAAACAAATATTTCAATCGACGATGCCAAGAGGGAACTATCAGAGTATAGAGATCAGTATCTTGAGAAAGTGAAAGCTACATATGTTTTGATAGGAAAGGCGAGCGCCCAACCTGGCACCAGGCTGACGATTCAGCTCTCAACAGCACAATCATTGTCTCAGACCAAGTCTTCTTTCGAAATCATTGAAAGTGAACATATTTACAGTCTCTCGGTATCTACGCCTGATTTGAAGAGTTTGTGCAATAACGAAATGGTGACTCCTTGTGATGCAAAGCAAGTGCTACCTATCAAAGGACCAGAGATTGTGTTTTTGGACACCGGGATCAGGAGACCAATTCCAGTTTCGGAACCAAAGAGAGAGCCAAAGAGAGAACCAGTGGCGCGTGTAGCGTCACGTTCTGAGACGAAAAGCGTTGACACAGGACTGAAGTCAGGTTACGTTTCGCGTAAAACTGTAAATGCAAAAACTGAGCCAAAAGCTCAAGCAAAACCCAAGTATCAATACGTTTCGCGGAAAAATGAACCCAAAAGGCCAGTTGAGAAGGTGATAGTTGGCTCAGTGGATGTTGATGATATTGAAGAAGGTCACTTGCCAAAGAAGTCCAAAATTGAGCTTGAAGAGGAAAGGAAGGAGAAGGAAAAGCGCCAGGAGGAACTGGAGAAACTTTTTGACGACGATGACGACTTTGATATGGATGATGATTTTGCAGAGGCTACGGTTGAAAAGAAGGTTGCATCTCCAGTTGTGGACACTGTAGAACTCAAGGGTCAGGATAGTCCAAAGACATCGAAGCTGGAGATTGAGCAGGCACCAGAAGAAGAGGTTGCTGATGCTGTTAACACTAGGCCGATCTCTGTTGAGCCTGAAATTGAAACATATGTGGATGAAGATGGCTATACGGTTACGAGAACCAAAAAAGAGGAAAAGAAGTCGGCTCCACCAGCCTCTTCATCTTACACATCGCGAAAGAAAGCTGAAAAATCTGATCCAGTTCCAAAGAAGCCTAAATCTAAGGCAAGTGGTCAGCAAAGCAATCTATTGAGTTTTTTTGGAAAGAAATAGCATTCCAGGATACAATGAATCATGGTTTGGGATCTGAAATGCCTCGCATGGTATTCGTATGTAGTATACCAATTTACAACTTCTTAAAGACATATTATACAATCATCAAAGATTTCCTCTATGACGTGACACTCTCATAAGCGGCACCCCAAAAGTTGTAGCCTGACATCCGAATCCGCCTTCAAATCTTCCACAATCTCTCCTCTGGTGTGTTCAAAGGCTGTGCTCAGCTCGGTACGGCTAATGGCGATCTTCTCCAAATCCTCTTCTAGGTTTGAATGATACAGCGAAAGCGACTCGTCGATTGTTCCCACGGTCCTGAGTTGGATCGTTGAGATCAAGTCACTGATACCGTCGAAGAATTCTTTGTCCAGATCACAAAACTGTAAGACTATTTGAATGAGGTTTTGGATATGTTGAAAATAGAAGACTCCGGAAACTTTCCCCACTGCAGACTTGCTTGTGTGCTGAAGGAGTGTGTGTCGTGATATCGATGTAATATACGTCTGGTGAAGAGTTCCGAGCTCATCCAAAGTGAGCATGTTGTAGTCTGATTGCTCTTCTTCAATGTTCTGTGGGTTTGCAACTATCCTCTGAAGAGCGAGTGGACTCAGTGGTAATGCCTTCTCGGTCCCTGAGCCTTTCAGCAAAGAATGTGAATCATTCAAATTTCTCATCAGCTTGTCAAAGCCTGGCGTTATGATATCCTCGTCAAAAAACAGACACAGTTGGCCAATCAAGGATAGCATCAAATTGCGAGACGCATCAAACTTCTTCAGGTTCTCTACTATCCAGATACACTGTTTGTCCAAAATCGACATGGAAAAAAATGGATCACTGCGCAGGGACCTTTGGATTCTCCGAATGTCAGTCAAGAGTCTTCTTGGTAACCGCTTCCGACATAAGGAAGATTTCCGGAAAGATGTACTGAGCTGGTACGAGCAACGATGAAGTTGTAATAAGAAGTTGAACATCCTCAGATACTCTTTGGCACTTCTTTTACCCATGCATATCACGAGATCAAGCTCTTCTTTCACCTTGAAATCAAGTGTATAAAGGTCCCAGCCGATCTTTCCGTTTTCTTGGTCAAATAAGATCGCATCTATGCGGTTTTTGTACGAATCTGAAAACCCCCGTATACTCGTTTGTCTCATGGAGTTTTGCAATAACGAACTCAGTTGTTGGGGATGAATGGAAAACGAAGGACGCGACAAGATATCATTGGATCCTATTACCAAGTTCTCGATGAAGTCTCCTTTGCCCATTAGCATGATATCACGAAGCACGCGGAGCTCTCCCACTAAATCAAGATTGTTGTGAATAATATAATTGAGATATGCCATGACTTTTTTGTGCAGTCTTCTGATCTCATGTTGGAAGCTCTCAGTGAACACAGTATTCACGGACTGGTTCAATCCAGATTTGCGAAACTCTTGAGAGAACGTGTGAACCTGAGATTTCTGATGACAGGTGAGCAGAAGATAATTTAGCGTCTTTCCGATCTCATAAATCTGCTTTGCAATATCCCGGGACAAAAACGCAGGAACCTTTTCGGGTATAAACTGAGCATCTCCAGCAGTGACATTTCTGGACCGACTACTGGTGCTGCTAGAGCTGACAAAAAAGCCCTCCTCAATTGCTGCATCCACCTGCAACGATCCAGTCTGAAGCCAAGAGCACATCAGCTCGTGAAATGGCTGAGCCATCTCTGGAAGAATCTGCAAAGCCAGTTGCTCCAGAGCTTTGTCTCCACCAATAAACTTGTACACAAGAGAGAGCAAGGCATCAGGATCCATGTTCAAATTGCATGCGAGAAACCAAAGGAACCTCAAGGCATCGATCTTGGGGCGTAGAAACGCATATAGGTCACATAGTCGCAATTCGAAATTCTGAAATTCCTCATTGATGGCTTCTTGATAACTTGTTAATTGCCTTTCAATAGCACAAACAAGACCAAGTTTCACCATGGAGGTCATCTGCGACTTATTCTCGATGATCTGGCGTAGACCTCTGAATATACATGCTGGCTCGATGAAGTCATGGAGATGTTGCGAAATATTCAGGTCTATATTTGATGGAATTTTCACTCCTTCTGCAGTATAAGAAAACAATTCGGTTGTTTCTCCCACCAAAGCATATTCCAGGTTAGCTATAATTTGGGCTTCACTGAGCTGAGGAGCTTGGTGTTCAGCGTATACATCTCTGGGTGGTTTCCTATCTGATTTTGAAGTCGGCCTCGAATATGAACTTGACGCATAAACATTCGTCGAATCTCCCATGATTCCTGACGGAGTCCTCATGGAGCTTCGTTCTTTCAGGTGGTCTTCGGGAGTGCCAAGGATCATGACTCAGATTTGATATACCTGATGATTGATGGATGGCCCTCTAGAATCAAATCTGAAGCTTTGTAGAATTGCAGATAGTGACAATCAATCAGATTTGATTAATAAGTGTGCTTCGTGTTTATAATATATGTGGTTTTCCTGTTCAGAAGCAGTCATAACGCGTAAATTGATAAAAAGATAGCTATCCTAAAAAGTAAACACTGGGTTGAGTGGTACACTATCATATATTGAGACCCTCAAAGTCTTCCATTAGCACCTTCCCCAGCTCCTCTTGGAAAAACTCGTCGTCCCGGTTATATTCGAGTGGACTCGCCGAGAATTCGTGTCCGTAGTGCGACAAATGATAAAAACGAACAAGCGATCTCAGGGCATACTCCTGGTCGCATGCTTTTCGAATACGGTCAGTAGCCCCAGCCGGTATTGCGTTTGACAGCCACCCATCCTTGAGACCAATTTTTTCGAACAGATAAACATACGATATAAGGTCCATGTTATTGGATCTCCATTTCTTGCCATTGAACGGAATAATGAGTTTGATGATCTTCAATATTGGCTTGTACAGGTGAACATTGTAGAAGCTCAAGTAAAATCTCAGAGTCTCAGATGGCCGAGTCTCCAAAAACTCAATCGTCTGTCTTATCTTATTCTTCGAAATTGTCATGTACAGCGAGTGGAACAGGTTGGTCAAAATGAAGCAGTGCCTCCGATTTATCTTGCTGATTTTCTCCCGTTTGAAGCCAAAAGGCGCGAAAACACCTCCTGTAAACCGCACTCCACTCTCGATACCATCATCTGGCTGCTCATCATCAACAGGTAATGTATTGGAAGCTCCACTTGAGCATGAAGATAAAGCCAACGACTGCTTAAAAAAGTCGTAATCTTTGAACTCGGAAAGCTTCTCGTAGCTGCAGTAAACCGTCTTGTTGGTGGATTCGAGATCATCTCCGTAATCCAAGGAAGAGGATATCTGAGATTTTTGGAAATTTGAGTTCAAGAACCTGAGTAACGTAGGGAAAAAACCGTTGTCAAGAAGTAAACCATTAAAATACTCAAACTTCAAAAAGTGAGACAGCTTGAACCATTTCTGAAGCATGAATGCAGTGGAAGATGTAGCCTTCAGTGATATTTCCTTTAGTTTTTGAATTTCAAGTTGTTGCTTCTCCCTTTTTGTAAGTTCTGCGGCAGACTTTTTCTGGAGTTCTATCAACTTCTCGATTTCCTTCTCAGATTGTGGTACTCTCTCAACATTTGAGCTCATGATCTTCATGAATACAACCACCAATGAGTCCAGGTTTTTCAGACCAAGAGAATAGAATTCCTCCACATACATTAAAGATGTAACCTCATCAACGAAAAGGGGATTCTTTTTCAAGTCCTCCGAGGAGAAATCACAAATGCCCTTGTCAACCTCATTTTTGGCATTTTTGTCGCTTGTTATCTGACTTTCATGAAGAAATTCTTCCAATGTCGCAATCATTTGCTTAGTGTAAATGTCTTGTCGCACATTGGAGAAGAATAGCTCACCAGCCTGCTGGATGCTATAGGGCAGCTGGTCGTCAATATCTATAGGGTATATGTTTGGAAACGATGGATTCGTGAAAAAGAACTTTTTTGATCTCCCGTTCAAGTTTTCTTCGTTCAATGAGTTGCTGGAAAAGCTCCCACCAAGGGCTGGTACAAGCCTAGGGGAGGTTGCCGGCGTAGCGATGTGTATGTCAGGGACATTATTAGGAGTTTTTTTTCCATTCTCGATCTGTGGGTTAAACAAAATTGATTGCACAACCTCAATTGAAGACATTGAGCTGCTTCTGCTGAGAGTTGTTGTCTCAAGAGATGACGGTTCCGGAGACTGATCCTCCAGAGTCATGTTCAAGAGAGCTGGAAGCTCAACTGTTTGAGGCCTTAACGATGGGTATCTGGCAATGAGCTCATTCTTGTAGAGATGATAATCAAAAGGTGTGATCTTCTCCCATTTCTCAGATGTTTTATCAGTTTCCAGCCTTGCCTTTAAAAACTCTTTTGTGGCTTTATATCTTCTTGAGTCCCCGAACAACAATGATACCGACTTCCAAAGAAGCATCAGGATGTTTCGTATTCTGATGTTATGAGGAGTACTCACATTCTGTGTTGTCGTCTTCTTTTCGTCAGAGTCCGAAGCCAACCACCTCCACTTGTCAATAATGCTTAACATCCTGGGCAAAAAGTTCAACGTTGACAGTATTTGCGACAGCCCTCTCATTTGCTCAGACACCAAATTATCATCCTTTGAGTCCAAAAATACTGTAATGGATATGTACAAGATGGTCAGCGAATAAAACAGTTCGTCATCCCAGGTCTGACCATCTTCAACTGGAGATGAATCCATAGTTGCAAGAATGGCATCAGCCTTCTCAAGAATAACATTAGCCACAACTGAGAGGATTGACTTAGATTGGCCATCAATTTTGTAAGCAGTGAGAAGTAAAGGCGCAAACATTCTTATGCGCTCCAATTGATGGTCTGTTCCATTTATGTTCCCGTAACTCCCAAGCGAAGAATATAAGATATAGACAAGCTCTTGCAAAAGACCAAAACTACCTCGTTTGGGGTACTCGAGGTTCTTCAAAAGTCTGGTGAGACAATTTTTCAATGCATTTTTCTGAGATGTAGCTCCCTGGTCATAAAACTTTCCAAAATCACTCGATTTCTCTGATATCAACTTCAGCTTGGTCATGCATCTCATATCAGAACTCGTGAACCAATCTCTGATTTCCTCAGAAAGCAACCCAGAATCAGTATACTCATACTCCAGCTCCGGGTATTCCAATACAATGTTGAAATCGTTGATTTGATCCTCGGCCTCACCAGCTGTCATAGGACTGGGAACCGGGGACGGCAAGATCTCATTTGGGTCCAACGGTAGGTCCTCCTCATCCACCGCGATTACCTCTTCGTTATCACATATGGAAGTCGGAAAAGTCTCGGGCTCAATCTCCTCGTTATTATTATCCGGAAATGAGCCCCCATTTCTTACCGGACTATGTTTGCCCTTTGGAGATTGGTTCTGGTGCGCGCGATGAGAAGAGCTTCTTCGCCTCGCTTGGAACAGCTCTGGCTGAGCACCAATATCTTCAATGTTAGCCTCCTCAAATAGAGCAGCTTCTCGTGAGATCTCAGGCATATTGGTCAACCGAACAAATGAAGAACTGGCAATTCTTGAGATGAATTCAGGAGACGGTTTCTAGAGAGACCTATCGCTTGATCCCATCACAATAAAGAACAGGCACGTGACCAGAAATGGAGAAGCCAAAACTCAAAAGGGGAACCACTTTTTCAACAGGCTGGTGGGTCCCACTGCAAGACCAATTCCGCGCCTATCGGAGGAGAGGGAGCTGGAAATGTTGGAACTCGACACTTGTATTGGCCTGAGGTAAGTAAGAATTTGAAAGGAAAGTGCTTCCGTGTTTTGCTGGCTAATACTGACTCTGGAAACGTAGAGTGAAGATTACGACGGTACTAGACACGATAATATCAGGCTCTATATACTCTTACAGTCCCGAAAATGAGCTCATTGCTCTTACATATGTCACTGATAGTAAAGTTGGCAAGAATACTACCGCGTTGAAATTTGTCAAGAGCTCCTTTATCAAATCCATTGCTATCACCAACAGAAAACAATCCTCCAAAGTCACCACCAAGAATGGTCCCAAACAAGACCCGAATACCCGATTCGGTTCATTTGAGTTTACGCCTTCATTAGTGAATACTTCTGAGCTGAATGCCAAACTGAGAAAATCGGAGCCCTCCTACAGGCGGAAGTTTTTGCTGGACAAAGCTCTGGAGTCAAGGTCCCACATCTCCAAAGAGGGCCGTGCAGTATTTGAGAGGCTCTTCAAGTTGTTGCCGGAAGGAGCAGTTAAATGGAGCAAAGATGATATTGTAATCTTTGACGACCATTTGAAGATTTCGAAGCCATACCGTTCCTCGGATTGCAAGCTCTGCAACGGCAAAGAAGACTCCACCGATTCTCAGATGGTGTATGTGCGCCAGATCGTGGCAGGGGAGTGGATTTCTTTCGATTCCGAGAGAAAAGGTGGCTGAGGCTACATAATCGCATTACATTAGACCAAAGAAAACCAGTGCATTGTACTCGTCGGATTTGTGTATGGAAAATTCCTAACTCCCAGACGGAAATTCAATTCCCATGGCAATAGACACTGACTGAACCACCGGTATGCCTTTCTGCCGGCTTCCCTTGTAGCCGTCAAGCTCAGTCGAGTCAAGATGCTTGCTGAATTCAAAGCGGGACCTGGGTATTCGTTCAACCTCAGTCTTCTTCAAGACCAGCAAATATTCCACCAGAACATTCAGCCAGAAGCTGCTGAGGCTTATGAGTACATTTCCTCTGTAGAAACGAAGATTCACCTTCTGGTCCTGGAATGACGATTCCAAGGGTATTTCGATGTGCAGTATGGATTGGTCCTCCACAGCCAAATCTTTTCTGTTATACTCTATACCCGCAAGATAGATGAGACGATCTCTCGCATTTGCAGGATAACTGTAGACTCCAATGGTAACACTGTCCCATAGACCAAAGTTCTGGGGATCTGGGGTCAGTTTGATGTGCTTCAAAGAATACCGGGGAGACTGAATTCGAGACAATCTCGTGAATTCACCAAGCATTTCTCGTATCTTCTCTGCATATCTGATATACCTCAATTGTGACTCAATGGTGACGCCGCAGTCTCCATAAATCTGTCTTCGCTGACCGAATAGCTGGCCGGCAGCTTCCGCACTCAAACCCTTGAACATCACAAGATAAGAACACACAAGCATGCCAGTTCTTCCCTTTCCATTCTTGCAATACACAAGGACGTTGTTGCCCCTTTTGATCTGGTCCTCCAACATTGTGGAGGCAGCCACAAGGTCTGCAAATGGAATGGCTTCGTGGTCTTTGGAGGGATAGCGTACAAGAAGACACTCGCTACCTTCAAAAGCCCTCATTTCCAGGGAAATGTCTTCCTCTGATCTCAAATCAAACAAGGTCCAACTGGCATTTTCAGAACCGTCTCTTTCCATTTGGCGTCTAGCATCTTCCACCGACGGCCGCCGCAGAGTATCGGGAAAGCCTACCGAAAGACCCGCGGAGACGTACAACTGGTCGGTGATCTTCGGGAAGAAATCTGGTATGAGCTCTGTCTCCAGAACTGTCATTACTCCAGACCCCAAAACAAATACTTTGGCTTCTGTCTCTCGGTTTCCCCCTTCACAAATGTGATACCTTCATACTTGGGCCCAGCAAGGTGCGGCGCAGCGTGTGGCGCAACACGGGGCGCGGGGGCTCAGCCATTCCCATTTTGATCCACGTCAGGCCCATTCTTTTGGCATTTCTTTCTTCGTTGATCTGTGGTTCTTTTGTTTTTATTTGCAAGTGGCATTAATCCAAATATGGCTGGTCCCGTTCTGTTAGGTTTATCGCACCCGATTCTATTGGGTGCACTAGGCGGCTTTGCAGTCGCCACAGCAATCATCAAGAGAGAAGCCATTCTGGAGTTTGTTGAGGATATAGCTTATAAAGTGGTTGATGCAGCTGAAAAACGCAAGGCTCGTCAGAAGGCTCAAATGGTGAGCATAAATTATGGATCGTCATACAAGGCACTGGAGTGGGATCGGGATCAAGACGAGACAGCCGACCCAACGGCCAATACCAGCGCTATTGCGGGTGACGATATATTGGAGTGGGTTTCATCAAGTCAAAATATGAGACATAGACATTCTTATGACCCGGAAACATCCGATGGTCCGTCAACTCCGTCTGAAAGTGATGCAGAAGAGGGAGACTCAGCTGGATCCAGGACAGCAGCGGCTAATTCGATCTCTTCCCTTTCAATTATTTCGCCCTCAGAGTTGGATTGAACCTGCCAAGTTCTTGGAGTGCTTTTGGTTGAATATGTATGACGTTGAGTGTGCTGTCAAACGACGATCTGAGGATTCCATGGTGAATCAGGAAACGGCGTTTTCAAGGGGTTATAGGTTTTGTTTCTGGTTTTATATTGGTTTTTACGTAATTTCAGTCTTTCGCATAAAGTTTGTCGTTGTTTGGACTTTTTTTTGAGGTCTAACTTGTAGTGGCCTCGGCCTAACTTATACATCACCTCTGTCCCAGCCTGCAGTGTGCCTTTTCTTCGTTCTAATTCAAAACTACAGCCTCTAGTCACGCAAAGCATGGACTAAACCGTATATCTCCCTTAATTTCAGCTTATTACCGCCAGTGTGATCAATAGCACCACCACTAACAGCACAAGCGTGACACACGACCACTTTCTTTTCTTCTTCTGATATGCGTCGGCCTTAGAGAGCTCATGAGAAGCTGCCTGATTATTGTTTGCGTATGTCAGCAAGTTGTCTTCAATAGTGTCGACACTTTGACCCTGTTGTTGCACCATTGCTCCCAGGTCCTTGAATATGGCATTTATATCTTCAACACCGTCCTGGATCCTGGCCACAGCATCCGATCTCTGCTCCAAAAGAGTAGCATGATACTCTAACTCAGCGTTCGAGATGCCGGTTTCTTGGGCCTGTTCTTGCAATTGCTGCTGCTGTTGCTGTTGAACCAAGAGTGGCGTCGTCTCGGAGGCGTTGAGTGTGTTAGTGGACTCCGTGTTCTTGCTAAACTGCTCAGATACTGTCACTGAATTCAATTTCTCCTCATATTGTCGCAAAATACGCTGGTAGTTTTTGAAGATCTCGAAACCCTCCTTCTGGAGCTTTTCCTCCGTGTACCGCAGCTGGGGGTCGGCTGAGCCCTTTAAAAGACCGGTGGATAAGTCAGTCAAGTGTTTATTCAACTGACCTTCCAGAACATCACACTGTCGCACCAGTTCTGAGGCCGAATTCCGCAGCTGTGTATTGTCTCTCTTTGTTCCCAGCTGTTGCTGGACCTTGTCAAACTTTGAAACCAACCCCACGAAACTCGACAGCTTCTGAGATATCGTGGTGGTCAAGTTTGACGTCGAGTCAATCAAACCAACCTTTTGTTTCTGCGATTCTATATCTATGTTTGCAAATGACATTGCAATTAAAAAGGTGCGAGTTAGCAATTGTGATAATAATCTAGAATGCACTCTTATCTGTAGAAGACTCCCGCCCTGTCTTTGTTCTGCCAACCAGGTGCAGTGTCACTAACTTCAAACCATTGAAGAAAAGCCAGCCCTCTCCGAGGAAACAGTCCTTGAGATGGTGCGGCTCAAAGATTGGCTGGAAATTGGGATAAAAGAAATCAAATTCTTGGTTTCGGCGCAAAAGCTTGTTCTTTGTATAAGCCTTAAAGACTTTTTACTTGAGTCTTTTTTGAAGGAAGCTTCTGAAATCATTTTTCGCAAAAAAGTTTTAGATTATCTCAAGAATCCTGGAAAACTCATATTTTACTTGATTATGCCCAAAACTATTCAGCAACAGGTGGTCTTTTAGCACAAAGATAAATTATTTTTCCTCAATAGTGGGGTACCTCATTAGTTATTAGAATCAACGATTTTTTAGGGGCAAATTGCCACAATCACTTTTCAAAGACATCCATTGTATGGCTCCAACCAAACGAGCCCACAGAGAGCGCCCTAACACACCACCAGCCAAATTTTTTTTTTGAAGATTATACCCAAAATTCCTGAAACTCAAAAAAGGCATGCGTTCAAACTGAGTTAATATGACCACCGTCAAATCTCTGTAAGAAAAACTCGTGATTCATTCAGGGTTGCTCAAACAAACACTCACAGGCAAGTTTTGGCGATACAGACGCACGTAATATAATGGCCGGATCGGGTAATCATAAGCCCTACAATACAGAACTCGTTTCGCACTCAAAATCTGCTTCTTTTAACCAATAATCAAACTTCTATATAAACACAATCCCCTAATCAAGATAATTATTTTAAATCTCAAATTTTTTATGTCTAGTCCTTTGAACTCCGAGGGCTTGCAAACTTGCTGATAAAGGCGGTTTTGCCACCGACACGACCAATCGACGCGCGTTCTTATCTTGCTGAAAAGTTTCCGATCTCCTTTGCAAGGTTCATCCAAGACACTTGAAATAGCTAGAAAAAACAGAACAACTGGTAATTGAACAAGACCTGTATTTTTACTTGCTCAAAATGACTCGCTCCAAAGCCGTTGTTGATACCAGTTCCTCAGAATCAGAGGCTGGAGGATTCATCAAGGACGATCCAGACTTGCGAAAGGCTCCAAAGAAATCCAGAGCAAACGGTACTAAAAAGGCGGCAGCATCAAAGAGAACGAGGTCTTCGAAAAGAGAGTCGAAGGCTAATGTCAGCTACATAGAGTCTTCAGACGAAGACGTTATTCCAGAAGACGACGCCACCGAACCACCTTTAAAGCGGAGCAAGACGAAGGCAAAAACCCGGGCCAAAGCTCCGAAAATCGAGAGCGAAGACGAGTATAAAGAAGACGACGATGACGACGAGGATGATGCAGATTTTGTTGATGCTTTGGAAGGGTTTGAAAGAGATCCCGAGGACGACGATGTGGTTATCATCAGAGCCTCTAGGTCCAGGGAAGGAAGCTCGTTCGTCAACCCTGTTTCCCTCACTGATGAAAGTGATCTCGAAGATGTGTTGAAGGCACCTGATGACGAGGATGATGTTCCTCTGGCACAAAGAAGCGATACTCAACCGGCCAAGAAACCACGCAAGAAACGTGCTCCTGCAAAACCCAAAAAACCCAAGGTGCCATATTTCACCAGGGCCACTGCAAAGTTGTACGAACACCACCCAGACTTGAAGGATGTGTTTCCTCATTTGGAGCTAACTGAACAGATAAAGCCTGAGCGTGCGCCACAACCGGAAGGGTTAGCAGTGAGATTGCTGCCTTTTCAGCAGGAGGGTTTGAACTGGCTTGTCAAACAGGAGAACAGTGTATATGGAGGAGGAATTCTTGCAGATGAGATGGGAATGGGTAAGACGATTCAGACTATTGCTCTTTTCATGGATGATCCTACAAAGAAGCCAAACCTGGTGGTTGCCCCTACGGTAGCCTTGATGCAGTGGAAGAGTGAAATTGAAACCCACACCAACAATAAGCTTAAAGTCGGAGTTTTTCACGGAGCAAACCGAGCCAAGAGCTCCGAGGACTTGTCAGAATTTGACGTGGTTTTGACCACCTACTCGGTTCTGGAGTCCTCGTTTCGTAGAGAAAGATACGGGTTTACGAGGAAGAATAAGAAAGTCAAGGAGAAAAGTGCCTTGCATGGCGTGCACTTTTATCGTGTCATTTTGGACGAAGCTCATAATGTCAAGGATAGACAAAGTGGTACGGCAAAGGCTGCAAACGAATTGAATACCGAAAAGAGATGGTGTCTTTCTGGTACTCCCTTGCAGAACCGTATTGGTGAAATGTACTCGTTGATCAGGTTCATGAAGCTGTATCCATTTTGCCAGTACTTCTGTACCAAATGTCCTTGCCGTTCTAACGAATGGAAGTTCTCGGATGGCCGCAGATGTGACTATTGTGATCATGCGCCAATGCTCCACACCAACTTCTTCAACCATTTCATGCTGAAGAACATCCAAAAACATGGTATAGAAGGTGAAGGTGCTACCTCGTTCAAACACATCCGTATGTTACTTAAGCATATTATGCTGAGGAGAACGAAGGTGGAAAGAGCAGATGATCTGGGATTGCCTCCACGTATCGTGGAGATCAGACGTGATGTGTTCAACGAGCAGGAGAAGGATTTGTATTCCAGTTTGTATGGTGACAGTCGACGTCGGTTCAATGATTATGTTGCTGAGGGTGTTGTTTTGAACAATTACGCTAACATTTTCACGCTGATCACCAGAATGAGGCAATTGGCCGACCATCCGGACCTGGTACTCAGAAGATTGGGAAGTAACTCTGTGGAGGCGTCTACCGAACTACTCACATCCGGAACAATTGTTTGCCAGCTCTGCGACGATGAGGCAGAAGAGGCTCTTGAGTCCAAGTGCCATCATCGTTTTTGTCGTATGTGCATTCGCGAGTACACCGAAAGCTTTAACGGTCGCGAAGACCAGCTCAAATGTCCAGTATGTCACATTGCTCTCAGCATAGACTTGGAGGGTCCTGCTATTGAGATGTCAGAACAGGCTGCAAGCAAGGGCAGTATCGTCAACAGAATAAAGATGGACGGTGACTGGAGGTCCTCCACGAAGATTGAGGCACTGGTAGAAGAACTTTACAAGTTGAGAAGCGACAGGCAGACCATAAAGTCGATTGTATTTTCTCAGTTTACCAGCATGTTGGACTTGGTGGAATGGAGACTCAAGCGTGCTGGTTTTGAAACCGTCAAACTTCAGGGCTCAATGTCTCCCATACAGAGAGAAAGCACCATCAACCATTTCATGCAGACACCTTCTGTTGAGGTATTCTTGGTATCTCTCAAGGCTGGAGGCGTAGCATTGAATCTGTGTGAGGCTTCTCAGGTATTCATATTGGACCCATGGTGGAATCCCTCTGTGGAATGGCAATCTGGAGATCGTGTTCATAGAATTGGACAGCATAGACCTGTCAAAATTACTAGATTCTGCATTGAGGATAGTATCGAATCCCGAATCATTGAGCTGCAGGAAAAAAAGGCGAACATGATCAATGCTACGATAAACCACGATGATGCTGCTGTGAACAAATTGACTCCGGGCGATTTGCAGTTTTTGTTCACAAGTTGATTGTTGAATATCCTTTGAATTTAGAGTATTAAATCTGGCAATATTTTTAATTGACCAGTAGGAGAACATACTGCATGTCAAACCCAATCCCATCGGTCGTGCATGTAAATGACGCATCTACTTTTGCTTTTGAATTTCTTTTTCTCATGATTCTGACTTAAACGTCTCTATATTAATGATAATGAGTCCTCCTCAGGCCGCACTCGAACGAGCGCCGGCACCAGATGCCAACAGCTGCAACGACTCCTCTGAAATCTCAACCTCCGGCAAAGACAACTCTCCCTGCTTGGATGGAGCAGGCAAGAAACCAACCTTGATAAGATAGGATATATACACACCCATGGACTTGACAGTGATACCATCACCATTGGAGAAGTCCTTTCCACCATTCCATCTGACATCTTCCTTCAAAGCCAGAACAGCGTTAGCGTCGTCCAGCTCAGGAGCTTTGGTGTCCTGGGGCAAATTGTCCAGAACAAAGTGCAGCAGTGGGAAAAGGGCAATATCACTAGCCCCACCAACCACGAACTTCTCCAATGAAACAGTCCATTTAACGTAGTCCTCAACACTGACATCGTAGCCGTACTTGGCAAGAGAGCCAAGGAACTCGTTGAACTTGATTCTTGGATGGCCAGTCACGTGAACAACTGGTAGGATCTCTTTGTTCTCTCCCCTTGGTGGATGCAAACCACATGCAGTCACAACACGCGAGACATGGTCCACTGGAACGGTGTTCACGGAGTTGTTGATATCAGGGTACTTGCCGAGCTCAACGCATCCCTTGAGCATACGCAGCAAGAAATCATCAGTGTTACTGGAGCCCTTGACAGAATCACCTTGAACGTAACCTGGACGAACAATGGCACCCTTCAATCCTCTTTCTCCAGCTTGCCTGACGATATACTCAGCAGCCCATTTGGTTTGGCCATAGCCATTTCCTAGACCGTGAGCAGATCCTTGCAAGTCGTCACTTTCTGGAATACCCGGCTTTCCAGCTTCAACCAACTCATCAGCCAATGAGACATAGTGCTCTGTGTCAAGAGTAGACGTTGAAGACACAAATACGAACTGCTTGGGCTTACCAACAGCTGCCATGTTGACAAGGTTGACCGTGCTGATAACATTGGCCTCTCTCATCTTTTGGTATGGGAAAACCCAGTGAACCATAGCACCGTTATGGATGATGCTATCGATGGTGTTGTTGAGCTTGGTCCATTCGTCAGCTGGCAAGCCAAACTGTTCTTGAGCCAAATCAGCAATCACCACCTGGATTCTGGACTCAAATTTGTCATCCCAGATGCCGTAGGTCTTTGCAGTTTTCTTGACTCTCTCGAGTCCTGCTTCCTTGTCCTTAGCACGGACATGAGCGTATACCACAACGTCCAGCTCTGGACGAGTCAATAGATCGCGCAAGATGTAGGAACCAAGGAATCCAGTAGCACCAGTCAAAAGAACATTGATACGTTCAGTCTGAGAAATATCAAGACGAGTTTTGTACGATTCCTTCAACATGGTATCAGCAATTGTCTTGGCATCTGCAGAGTAATCAACCGGAGCATCTTCGTCGTCTTCACCAGCAGCAGTTCCAGTGGCAAGTTGCACCTCTTCACCATCCTTGACTTTCGCGACCTCAGCAGCAAAAGCAGCAATTGTTGGATGCTTAAAGATGGTCCCCAAAGGCAAATCAACAATCAGCTTCTTTCTCAACTCAAAGATCATTCTGGTGGCCAAAATTGAGTGTCCACCAAGGTCAAAAAACGAATCTTCCGGCGATACAGTAGCAGGACGCTGTGGCAGAACATCCAGCCACAAATCACGAATTTGGGCTTGGAGTGGAGTAAACACTGAATCATCCTGCTCTTGAGAGGAGTACTTAGCAACAGCAGCCAATTGAGCTGTGTCAGGGAATGGCAGCTTAGGCTTGTCAACTTTACCATTTGGATTCAAAGGCAGTTTTGTCAATGGAACGATAATAGTTGGAACGGCATACGAAGCCAGTCTCTTCTTCAAATGGGCTTTCAAGTCCTTGATCAGTTCGCGGTAAAGCACTAGTCCCTTGACTATAGGGTCGTCCAGGTCATCAACCTCATCAGATTCTGACTTGAAGTTGGCCAATTCCGGCGAATCCTTTGGAACGATAAAGGAAATCAGGATGGGCTCTTCGTTCTTATCTCTGCGCACTAAAGTTACGTTCTCACGAACCAAAGGATGCTGCGACAGATGGGTGTCGATTTCACCCAATTCAATACGGAACCCTCTGATCTTGACCTGATCATCAGCGCGTCCAGAACACTCACAGTTACCATCAGGCAGGTATCTACCCAAATCACCGGTTCTGTAAAGACGATCTCTAGGACCAAGCCAACACTCTCTCCAAGGCTCTCCCTTATCAAGGGACTTATCCAACGCAGTCCATTTCTCAGGCGAAGTGTACCAGTTTGTAACGAATTTCTCCTTGTTCAACTCGTCGTTGTTTCTGTACCCCTCAGCCAAACCAGCGGCACGCACATATATCTCACCAACCTCACCAACACCACAAGTCTGGCTTCTGTCGTTTCTGTTAACAACAAGCAGTTGAACGTTCAACATACCCTTTCCTGCTGGCATAACATCCTTCTGGGACTCCAGGAAGGTGGAGTCATGGGTTCTGGAAGCAACCTCAAAGTACGAAACAGCACGCTGCGTCTCAGTGGTACCGTACATGTTGACGATGAACACGTTCTTGGCCAGTGTCTGCAATCTCAAACAGTCTCTCTTGGTCAGGATATCACCAACAAAGAAGGCGTGGTGCAAAGATGGAATCTCGGCAACTGCCTGAGCAGAAAGCAATTGGCCCATAGCTGGAGTCAAATGGGTGACGGTTGCTCCGTATTCAGACATCCATTCGGCTAATCTACCTGGAGTTCCAATATCATCAGATGTTGGAACCAAGAGCTGAGCTCCCAGGAAGAGAGGAGTGAACATATCTCTTTGAATAGGATCATGGGCAATACCTGACAACATGGTGAACTTATCGTTTTCAGTCAAACCAAAAGTCTTAGACATCCAAGGGAAGTAGTAAGCCAGCGAAAAGTGACGACCCAAAACACCCTTTGGAATACCCTCAGAACCAGAAGTAAACGAAAGAGTTGGATTTGAATCTGGACCAACAAGGACTCCAGTGCGCTGACTTTTGTACTGCTCGTACTCGGCCAAAACATCCTTTCCATCAACATCACCACCCAGGAGCGATCCGTCGTCTTGAATCTGCAAAGCAGGAATACGGGTTATCACGTTGAGCTCATCTCTGATGTAATCCTCAACGAGCTCGGACAAAACACCCGCTTTCTTGATGCCGATAACACCGGCAGGGTTCGCGACTCTGAGGTAGATGGTCTGTCTAGCTGGTGGATATGCAGGATCAATGACCGAAAAAGTAGCACCGGCCTTCAAAACTCCCATGACAGCAACCATGAGGTCAACACCACGATAGGCATAAATCATTACGACGTCTCCCCTTTTGATACCGTTTTTGACCAGATAGTGGCCCACGATGTTGGACGTCTCGTCAATCTGCTTGTAGGTAAAAACTCTGTCCTTTCCGGTCTTATCAAGGAAAGACTTGGTCTCAACAACACAGGTTCTGTCTGGGTGTTTTGCAGCATTATCACTGAAAATATCCTGAATGGCACCTCTGAAGTTTGACCAATCTAGATTGGCCGTGGGGTCTGGCAACAGATCCTTCTGGGATGGGGTAATCAGGTTAACCTTACCAATGGCCAAACTAGGATCAGCATTGACCTGAGAAATGAATTGGGCAAACTGCTCACCAAAGATAACCAATCTTGAGCTCTTATAAAGGATCGAATTGTAGAAAATGGTCAATTTTTCACCATCGGTAAAAATGGCCAGATCCCTCACCGAACCCTTTACGGCAGTGAACAGTTGCTGGTTGTCTCTCGATTTTTGGAAACTCAGTCTGAACAATGGAGGAGGCGAGCTAAGCTTCTTCTCACTTTGAATGTAGTCAGCTATGCTTGAAAGTGGAACTGCCTTGGAAGAGCCTTCGGCAAACTTAGCCGACACAGATTTGGCCAAGTCCAAGAACGACATCGTAGGCTCGATGGGAACCCTTACAATAAACGCATCGCTTCCAGAATCTGTTGCAATGACAATATCATTATCACCAGTGAGTCTATAAATCAGCACTGCAAAGACTGTCAAGGCGGCAGTGAACCCGGAAATTTGTGAGCTCTCATCAGTGTCAACCACTCCCGTTAAAGGCCCGATGTCCACCTCATGGGTGGCCTCCACAATCTTCCCAGTGTGTGGTCTGTTGTAATCTTGAGGTAGCACACTCAGCGTGGGGCTATCCAACTCTGAGGCCCAATATTTCAAGCTTTCAGACATTTTGTATTATGTTCGCTTTGTAAGGTCTGATGAATCTCTGGGGTCGAGATAGTCTGAAAATCAAAAATCTTCGAACAAGAGTCATTTCGTCTGCCATCTGGGTACCGTGTCGACATCCATCGGCCAAGGAGAAGTGAGGGCAAGATATTGGTCTCTGATGGTAGCTTGTAAGGTTAGAGAATAAATCGCACAATCACGGGAAATGTCCCAAAGAAAGCTTCAGCAGTAAGTAGATATTCGGGCTTTGAGATTTTGAACTTCAGCATTTTTTTTCTAACACTTTGTGCAGGGAAATAGACCGGGTCTTCAAGAAGGTCAAGGAAGGCCTTGAAGCTTTCGACTACGTGTACGACAAGCTACAGGCATGCGAGAACCAATCGCAGAAAGAAAAGCTGGAGAGTGATCTCAAGAAGGAAATTAAGAAACTGCAACGATCCCGAGACCAGATCAAAAACTGGATGGGTGGTAATGAAGTAAAGGACAAGAAGGCGCTTGTTGAGCACAGGAAGCTCATTGAACATGAGATGGAGAGGTTCAAGGAGGTGGAAAAGATCATGAAGACGAAGGCGTTCAGCAAAGAAGGACTGAACAACAACAAAATAGATCCAAGAGAGAAGGAGAAACTTGAATGCGCTGCGTTTGTTCAGACGATGATTGAAGAACTGGAAAGGCAAACCGAAGCTTTGGAGGCTCAAGTAGACCAGATCCAAGCCACGATGAAGAAGGGGAAACGTGCTGATAATTCGAAACAGGAACAGATCAAGGAGTTTCAGGATGTTCTCGAGCGTCACAATTGGCACCAGGAAAGACTGGAGACAATTCTGAGATTGCTGGAGAACGGCAACTTGGAGGCGGACCAGATTCAGACGATAGAAGAGGATATCAGATACTACGTGGAAAACAATCAAGATGCCGATTTTGCTGAAGATGACGAGATCTATGACGAACTGGGATTAGACGAGATCGACGACAGTTTCAGGATCGCTGCGATTGGCCATGAAGAGGATGATCTGGAAGAAGATTCGGCGTTGAGTACGACAATGTCTGGCGTTGCTTCTGCCCCAACTGCTTCGGTATCTACCCCAACCATGTCGGCAACAAGTTCCAGGAAAGCCTCGGTGGTTGGAATCGCTCCAATGGCATCTGTTGCCATTCCTCCAATTTCCTCAGTTCCAGCCCCGGCCGTTGCTACGCAAAGTCCGCTGATAAAATCGGCCCAGACAGCAGTAGCTTCTGTTGCTCCTTCTATTATAGGCCTGAAACCTGCAGCAACTCCCTTGGGAACCCCAAAGATGAAATATGCCACTGCGGCAACTGTCAACAGCGGAGTGTCGTCTTCTCCCGTGCCTCCGCCCGGTCTCTACAGAACATCCACAAATCTGAGCTCGAGCTCCCAGGCCGTGCCACAGCCACAATCTGTCAAGGAAGTTTCGAGAGCGAACACCATGTCCCCCATGTCTCCGGAGAGGGGAAATGCAAATCTGAAGCTGGAAGAATTGACTGCGGAACTCGAAATCGCAAAGAAACGTGCACTGACACCTGCTCCTCTGGAGTCTATATTTCAGTCGCTGGAGTCTTCTCTGCTGAACTGCCCGGATTCGTATGACTCTGACAGGCCAAGGAAGTACCAACCTCTTAATCCACGTCCAACGCCTATTTTCTACCCACAGGAACCCTCAATCGAGGTTGTCAACTCGTCAAAGATTCTGCAGAAGTTTGAGACTGATACCTTGTTCTACTGTTTCTACTATCACAGCAGAGGTAAGGCCAACGGATTGGGCTCTTCTAGCGCAGACGATTATCTCCAGATGAACGCTGCCAGCGAGCTCGTGAGAAGAGGCTGGAAGTACCATCCGGAGTTGAGAACGTGGTTCCAGGAGGATGCCACCAGTCATAACGAGTGGAAGCTCTTTGATTTCAAGGATACTTGGGCCCAACGCCAGAACGAAAACGTGCCTTTTGAGCAGTCTTCGTTGCTGACGTCGTTCTGGTGATTCGTATGTAATTTTAGTGTAACGTTTCTGACGTCTATCTACAACTGATATCGTGCAGTATGATTTTTCATCCTATCTCTTCTTAGAAGTAGAACAATCAAGACCATTCAATTTCTAGGTTCTTTGATCTCTAGTCTTCGGTTTTAACGCAGTCAAACGTTTCCTTGTAGACCTCCGACATCTCTATTTTTCACCAATCTCTTGCTTTAGGAACTCTTCACTAAAGTGACGAACTTGGTTGTAGCATCTTTCAAACCCAGAACTGCCACCATAGTATGGATCTTCTATAATCTTGCCATATGAAGGATCGGTCCTCCACTCTCCAAACATCTTGACTATTGCCTTGGATCCCTGAGGCCGCTTCTTCTCTAGAGCAGCCATGTTGGATCTGTCCATTCCAATGATATAGTCAAATTCTTTGAAATCATTAGCGGATATCGATTGAGCATGGTGCTTCACTGGAACACTATGCCTGCGGCACGTCTCTAAAGTCCTGTAGTCTGGGTCCTCTCCTGAATGATAGGCATGCGTTCCAAATGAATCAACCTTATCGATAGAATCTGAGTATCCCAGATCGCTCACAGTTTTGTTGAAAACAGCTCTTAAGGAAAAAAATCGTGGGTTAGTACTGATTGCAACACAAGTTCGGAGTCATGCTTACTCGGCCATTGGAGAACGGCAGCTGAAAAAGTTAGAGATTTGGACAACTAGTTTGAATGAATTTCTAAAACTCACATATTGCCCATGCAAACAAATGCCACCGAAAACTTCTGGTTTGTCATGGTTGTTGTTTGGTGAAAGTTGAGATAGTTGACAAGAATCGAGCTTATCTGAAAGATATTTGATTGGCAAAAATTGGTTCATTCACGCCTTTTGATCTCTGATATCTTAGATGAGTTAAGGCACCGCCATTGCTACTATTCGACTTTGTGAAAAATTCATTATTTTTCTGGAAAATGGGATTTTATTCAAAATAACTACCCGAGTAAATCGGTATTAATTAACAAAATCAACTTGGTTGCCGGTTCAGCCACCTAGTGGGAAAACAAGCGTTAGAACTATGCTTCTTCTTAATGATTGAATGTCTTTTTCACTACGCAACTTCTTTATGACTGACTTTAGATCCTATATAAAACAGTGCAAACACAGGTAGGTTAAAACTAAACACAGGTCGACAATCTCAGGAGTTCACCTAATACTTGTGGAACTCGTACTTGGCTGAGTAGAAAGCCTTGTGCAGAGGAGAGAGCAACTCCTTGCCCTTGTAGAATTCCACAGTCTTGGTGGCTCTCTCGGCAATTCCCTCTGGGGTGAAGCCAAAGTATTCGTAGATGTCAGCAGCCTTACCGGAGATACCAAATCTGTTGATACCAAACTGCTCGTGCGAGTACTTGGACCACACAGCAGTGGACATGACCTCAACGGACAGAATTGGCACACCGTCTGGGAAAACGCTGAGCTGGTACTCCTCGGTTTGACGGTCGAAAGTATGGAAGTCTGGAACCGAAACAACGGAAGCCTTGATACCTTGGGCAGCCAAAACCTTGACGGAGTCGACGGCAATGTACACCTCGGAACCGGTAGCGGCGATGATCACATCGGGCTTGTCAGCAGCAACCAAAGTGTAGGCACCCTTGGAGGCCTTCTCGATGGAAGAGCCCTCCAATTGAGGAAGGTTCTGTCTCGACAGAGCAATGATCGAAGGGGTATGGGTGGAGGTGAGAGCCTGGTAGTAGGCAGCAGAGGTCTCATTACCGTCGGCTGGTCTCCAGACGGCGAGGTTTGGAATAGCTCTGAAATGGGCCAAGGTCTCGATAGGCTGGTGGGTTGGACCATCTTCTCCAAGACCGATGGAGTCGTGGGTGGCAACCCAGATGATTGGGTGACCAGAGAGAGCAGACAGTCTCACGGCACCGGCGGCGTACGAAACGAAGTTGAGGAAAGTACCACCGAAGGCCTTGTAGTTGGCACCGAAGGCAGAGATACCGTTCATGATAGCTCCCATACCGTGTTCACGCACACCGAAACGGAAGTAGCGACCGGACCACTCACCCAATCCAGTTGATGGTGGCTGGAAGTCAACGGCAGATGGCCATCTGGTCAAGTTTGAGCCGGTCAAATCGGCAGAACCACCAACAAGCTCGGGCAAAGCAGCCTGGATCTTGGTGAGCACGGTCTCGGACAGTTTTCTGGAAGCAACAGCTGGGTCAGCTGGTGTGTAAGTTGGAAGGTTTTTCTCCCAGCCGGCTGGCAATTCGCCCTTAAGACGCCTGGCCAACTCGGCACCCAGCTCAGGGTAGGCGGCTTGGTACTTGGAGAACAGCTCATTCCACTCAGCCTCAGCAGCAGCACCGGCGGCCGCAGTCTTAGCGTAGCTGTCGTAAACCTCCTGTGGGACGTCAAACGTCTTGGAGGGGTCAAAGCCCCACTTCTCCTTGAGCTGCTTGATGTCATCAGCCTTCAAAGGAGAACCGTGAACGCTGTGAGAACCTTGCAAGAGGGAACCGTAACCGATGGTGGTGGTCAATCTGATACAGGTTGGCTTGCTGGACTTCTTGGCCTGCTCAAGAGCAGCAGCAATAGCAGCAAGGTCCTCGTTACCGTTGTGAACCCACAACACTTCCCAACCGTAGGACTCAAGTCTCTTGGTGACGTCTTCAGTGAAGGCACTGTTGGTGTCACCATCGATGGAGATGTGGTTGTCATCGTAGAAGGCAATCAGGTTGCCCAATTGCAAGTGACCAGCCAGGGAGCATGCCTCGGAAGCAACACCCTCCATCATGCAACCATCACCAAAGATGGCGTAGGTGTAGTTGTCGGAGATCTTGAAGTCTGGCTTGTTATACGTGGCAGCAAACTGGGCCTGAGCAATGGCCAAACCAACGGCGTTGGCAATACCTTGACCAAGAGGACCGGTGGTGACCTCAACACCTGGAATGTCAGCTTCTGGGTGACCAGGCGTCTTGGAGTTGATCTGTCTGAAAGACTTGAGGTCATCCAAGGTGAGTGAGTACCCGTAAAGGTGCAACAGAGTGTACAGAAGAGCAACAGCGTGACCATTAGAAAGAACAAATCTGTCTCTGTTAATCCAGTCTGGGTTCTTTGGGTTGAACTTCATCTGTTGAAACAGAACGTGAGCGGCTGGAGCGAGACCCATAGGGGCTCCTGGGTGGCCCGAGTTGGCCTTGAAGACGGTGTCGACCTGTGGGATGTTAGTAAAAATTTGGCACAAAGATAGGAAATACGGGCAACTTGGTAATCTGAGTACAGACAGGGGAATTGAAAAAATCGGGCAAACCGGCAAAAGTTTGGCCGAGATCTGGCCGAGATCTGGCAGAATTTTCGTTGAAGCTATGGCACTCTGCCTATATTGAACCTAGATCAGGTTGCCATCAACAGGGTTCAATTATTTCAATGCACAAGCAATCTCAATGCTCACAGAAACTCGAGAATTACCAATTCACATTCTCAGAACGTCTCCGGCCAAATCGGCCAATACTAAACCCAGCATACCTAGGCCCAAAAGACTATTACTTACCGCCAAAACACGGATCGTGTTAATACTCTTGATATCGAGAGCAGACATGTTTCGCAAACGTAGATTGACTATAGCGGTGGACAGCAAAAAGTTGCACTTAAACAAGAAGAAGCGAGAAGCAAACGTGGACGGGGGCTTCTGGGAAACGTTCACATTTATAGAAACGGGACACGACTTGGATGCTCGGTCGGGGACCGTTGCTCCTTCGGGGGTAGCGGGTTTGTGTGTACACACGTGACTTACGAGGGTAAGAACCACGGAATAGATTCCTCGGAACGGACTTCCGGGGAGTGCTCCAACAGATGAACGAAGTAATAGTGAACCATTACAAGGGGTATGTTTTTCAGTATATTTGGTGCCTTTCTGCTATGGAAAGGCCCCGGTGTTCCCGGATTTCGCCACTAGACCAACATGTGTAAAAAAATAACAGAGTTCGATAACAATTGCCCTCTACTTGGGGCCAGACTGTCTTTAGGACTGGGACCTCGTTAGTCAGCTGGGAGACCCGGGGAATACTTGCTTTTTCAATTGCTACAATCTTACAGGTTATCTGGAGAACCTACAGTCTCCTCAATTTTCAGACCCCCTTTTTCGAATCTTCTCAATCACACTTCTCAATCAGGGCTTTCCCCCCACAACCCGTGGTCTTCGATTCAACTTTAATCCCCGATCCGGGAACACACCCACCCAACTTACTGCGTCGGGGGTAGGTTTCCTTTTTTGGAAACCATTGGGAGCCTGAAGATCTAACAACGTTGTGTAGCTGTCAACAGAAGAATAGACAACGGAAGGGGACGGCAATCTACCAATTACTACCCCTTTAAAAAATACATTGCAAGACAATCAAAAAATGGAATTCTATCTTTTTTAGGCAGACCCCGGCTGCAAAGTCCATCCATAATTTTTCCGGAATCATCGGATAAACCAGCCGCACAAGAGTGTGCACCACAAAAAACATACAGTACACGACAAATAATTTTCTGGTAGTGTGCATGCTGAAAAATCAGCCGGCCGTTTTTTCACTTGACTCATCTGGAGACCAGGGATAGTAAGCAGGTCACCTGCAACATTCTTACACAACCAGCGTTGTGAAAAGACCACCAAAAACAAAAGAGATTTCTCAGTTGACTAATGGGGTTCCCTGTGCTGCCGTATTATCCGGATGTATCCGAGATCGGCCCTCTCAACGTGGTGGGCTCGGCCCTCATATCATACGACTCATCCAAGGTCGATTCCCTAGCTGCCTTTAGCAAGACCTCGGGTCTCAGCGTGTATGTGGATCTCAATATTGAGTCCGAGTCAGCTGATGAGAACCTGATCACCTCTTTGCTGTCTCTTTTCAACAACGGGGTACTCTACGTGGTTGTCACCAATGTGGCACTTGGAACCGACATCCTTGCCAAGATTCCTAATGCCAGATTGGCTTATAAAGTGGCATCTTTGGCATCGATCCCGGCTGAGATCCCAGAAAGTGTGCCAATTTTTGCGAAAGATGTTTCTGCAGCTTCTTCTAGCAGAACTGTATTTGCGTTGTCTCCAGCATCTGAAGACCTATCTGCTCTCATCAAGAAGAACATCACTCCTGTGGTTATCGCGAGCGATCTCTCCACTGAATATGCCGAAACCCTTCCAGCAGGCAAAGTTGCTCTTGCTGACTTGCTCTCGTATGCAATCACCACTGACCGCAATGACGGACTCTACACGACCCTTGTTACTGGAACGGATAACCAGAGCCTTGGACTGGTGTACTCTTCGTACAAGTCTCTGGCTGAGGCCATCAAAACTGGAACTGGTGTATACCAAAGCCGCAAGCATGGTCTCTGGTATAAGGGTGCCACTTCTGGATCTACCCAGACTCTCCAGCGCATCGATCTTGATTGCGATGGCGACTGCATCCGGTTCGTGGTGATCCAGGCTGGCACGGGCTTCTGCCACTTGGGCACCGCCAGTTGTTTTGGTAAAGACTCGGGGCTGTCCGCATTGGAATCTGTCCTCAATGAGAGACTCCAGAACGCTCCTGCTGGATCGTACACAAAACGGTTGTTTGACGACGAAGCCCTCCTCAATGCCAAGATCAAGGAGGAGGCAGAAGAGCTCACAGAGGCTACCGACAAAGACGAAGTTGCCTGGGAAGCAGCTGACCTCTTCTATTTTGCTTTGGCTAGATGTGCAAAGTACGGTGTATCCATTTCAGACATTGAGAGGAATTTGGACATGAAGTCGCTCAAGGTGACTAGGCGTAAGGGCGATGCTAAACCCAAATTTATCGAGGCTGCAAAAGCTCAGACTGCGAAGCCAGAAGTTGTGAAGACTGAGGTTGCTCCAGTTGCTGAAAGTGATGGCCGTATCGTGATGACCCGCGTTATTGCTGCCTCAGCTCCTTCAGCAGACTTGGAGAAGGCTCTCAAACGCCCTAACCAGAAAACATCCGACATCATGAAGCTTGTCAATCCAATCATCGATGCCGTGAAGGCCAAGGGAGATGCCGCGTTACTGGAGCTGACCGCGAAATTCGACAAAGTGCAGCTTGCTTCGCCTGTTCTAGAGGCTCCATTCCCACCAGAACTCATGAACCTGACTGAAGATGTCAAACGTGCAATTGACATCTCCGTCGAAAACGTTCGTGTTTTCCACACCGCCCAACTGACCTCTAAGATGGAAGTGGAGACTTGTGCTGGAGTCAGATGCTCTAGATTTGCAAGACCTGTTGAGAAGGTGGGTCTTTACATCCCTGGTGGAACCGCAGTATTGCCCTCTACTGCTCTAATGCTGGGAGTTCCTGCTAACGTCGCTGGATGTGAGGAGATCATTTTTGCTTCGCCTCCTGGTCCTGATGGAAAATTGACTCCTGAGGTGGTGTACGTGGCTCACAAGGTGGGTGCCAAGAAGATTGTTCTTGCGGGCGGTGCCCAGGCTATTGCTGCAATGGCGTACGGAACCGAATCTGTACCAAAGGTGGACAAAATCATGGGACCTGGCAACCAGTTCGTGACTGCAGCCAAAATGTACGTTTCCAATGATACCACAGCTCTTTGTGGAATCGATATGCCTGCTGGTCCATCTGAGGTTCTGGTGGTGGCAGATGCTTTTGCCGACCCCGACTTCGTTGCCTCGGATCTGCTGTCTCAGGCTGAGCACGGTGTCGATTCTCAGGTTATTCTGGTCGCCGTAGGTATGACTTCTGAGCAAATCGATAAGATTGACGAGGCCGTCCACAGACAGGCCCTCGAACTGCCCAGAGTTGACATCGTTCGCAAGTGTATTGCCCACTCCTACACCATCGTGGTGGATACCTATGCCGATGCTTTGGCAATGTCGAACAGATATGCTCCAGAACACTTGATTCTGCAAATTGAAGACGCCGAATCGTACGTCGATAGCGTGACCAACGCCGGTTCTGTGTTTGTGGGAGCATACTCACCCGAGAGTTGTGGAGATTACTCCTCTGGAACTAACCACACTCTGCCAACATACGGTTACGCCCGTATGTACAGTGGAGTGAACACGTCGACTTTCCAGAAGTTCATCACCTCTCAGGTGGTGACGCCAAAGGGCCTGCAAAGCATCGGTAAGGCTGTCATGGACCTTGCTGCCGTTGAGGGTCTGGATGCCCATAGAAATGCTGTGAAGATCCGTATGGAGAAACTCGGCTACCTGTGAGGCTAACAGACTTTTTTCCCGGTTTTAGAACCACCGCAATTTACTCTATATATATACAACAATAGAATTGTGATCCGATATCTCTGTTGTGTCAAAACGTGTCTGCGGTAGTGTACACCCCAATAAAGACTGCGCCTTACTGTGCCTTATGCTGCGCCAGACCTGCTTCTTCCCCAAAACCCTGACAAGACAATAGACTAACGGGGGCTTCTAACTACCCTTTTATCTTTTTTTTTCCAGGAAATCATGTTCAGTGCGCTGAAATTGCAGCCGGAGTCTTACCGCAAGAAGAAGGATTTATACGAGTATGGAAGGACGCTCGGGGTCGGGTCGTTTGGCACGGTGAGGGTAGCAACCGTTAAGAAGACTGGGGAGCAGGTAGCAGTCAAGATCATTCTGAAAAAGAGTCTTGCTGGAAACGAGCAGATGGTTTTGGATGAAATTGATATGCTGAGGCAATTGAGCCATCCACATATCGTGAAGTTTGTGGATTGGTTCGAGAGCAAGGACAAGTTCTATATCGTCACCCAATTGGCTACGGGTGGAGAGTTATTTGATCGGATCATCGAGCGGGTTTCTTTCAGCGAGAGAGATGCTGCAGCCGTGGTGACGCAAATACTGCTTGCTCTAGACTATCTGCACACCAACGATATCGTTCACCGGGATTTGAAACCGGAGAACGTTCTCTATCTCAACCCTGAGCCAGATGCTCCCGTGGTAATTGCGGATTTTGGTATCTCTAGAAAGCTGTCAGGAGACGACCAGGTGCTGACATCATGTGCGGGGTCATTTGGATATGCTGCTCCGGAGATCTACACTGGGGAAGGCCATGGCAAACCGTGTGACATCTGGTCCATGGGGGTTATCACCTACACGTTACTCTCGGGATGTGCACCTTTCAGGTCTGAAACGGTGCATTCTTTTGTAGAGGAGGTGCGGTATAATGACGGAGTTATCTTTTATGATCGTTACTGGAGCGACATCTCCTTGGCTGCCAAGCAGTTCATTCTGCGCATGCTGGATGTGGTGCAGTCTAGGCGTGCGACCACGAGGGATTTGCTCAGAGATCCGTGGATCATTGAGAACACATCGCCATTGAAGCCAGACGCTGTCCAAGGCGTGAATTTGATCTCCACCATCCGCGAAGGTTTCGATGGAAGATCTAAGCTCCGCAAGGCTGTTCAGGTTGTGATGATGAAAAACCGTTTGCAGCGGCTTAGGGACCAAATGGATGATGCAAATGACGAGGATTTCCAATACTATTCCTCTGGGTCTGTTTCTACGGTCGATTTAGCAGGAATTGATGCTGGCATTGCTGGTATGGATCTGGACCAGGACTCCAAACGGTCCTCGTTACGTGTTTCACTGTTCCAGCAACTTGTGCATGCCGCTAGTGAGAACAAGGAAGAGTTACAAAAGAAATTAGCCGAACAGGATGGTTTGGAAGAGGATAATTAAACAGAGAGAATATATTCGCATATTTGCACAAGAAAGGGTAGTGTGAACCTTACTGAAAGTTTAGTGTTCCAATTAGAATTTTCACTACCAGAGCAAATCCTGGCCAAGAACCACAGCAATTATCGCTTCTCATTGAAGTAAAAACCCCGGGTTGTCATGTCTTCGTCAATCAAAACATGCGAAAAAATCAAATATCCGCAATTCCGGGTGATATTTTATCCCAACAACACCTTTTTAGCTTGTAAAATTGAGCACCAACTCAAGGTCGTGCACCCGTCACGCGTTCTGTTTACACTTGTCCCAATCGGGGGAACCGAAAGGGCGCTCAAGGCCCACTCTTAGCACACAAGAGAACAGGCCCGTTCCATTAAGAACAATCCCCTTTTCTTCTCTCAACGCAAGTTTTCAACCAAGCCTCCGGCAATACTCAAGTATCACCGGTATATAGTTGATTGGCCATAATTTCGGGCGTTTCTTTCACAAAGTTGCAAAACAAAGACTGTCCGGCCATACAAAATTTGATTTCGCGTTCAACAAGGCACCTGGTTCGTTATTTAGTTGTTGGCGCTTTCTCGAGAAACAACACCCAGACTGTTGCGAAGCGCACTAAAACGACCGATTTGTGTTGTTTTTAATAGGATATTCATTTCAGATTCATTATCCACTTTGTCTTGTTGAAGAGCCGAATCCCAGCCCTTGTTTCACTCACATACAAGAGCCATGTCAAGAGTGAGTCTTCTTCTGCCTTCTTCTTTCCGTTTTCCAAACCTTTGCTAACCCATTTTTTCTCTCAAGGAATCTTCTGTGGCCCCCATGGACGAAAACAGCCATGCCAATCTGCGCGTTACGCGTTCGAAAACGCTTCAGGAGCCCGCGGCCAACACAAGACAATCTTTGACTAGAGGACGCAGTGCGCTGACGGATTTGAACGGAGCCAACTCCTTCGGAATAGTCAAGGCCAGCGCTAAACCTAAAACAACCGTTTTCAACAAAGAAAATGTCAATCCGCAAGCAGCGCACTCGAAGATACCTCGCCCTTCTCAGAGGCAACAGCAGGCGAAGGTCTTGGACAGCATAGACATACGGAACGCGCCAGACTTCCCAGAAGAAAGGCGCTCTTCACTCAAGAGACAGGCCACCGAGGCAAGTACCGACCTGATAGAAAGAAGCAATTTGCTTGAGGTCAAGAAGCCAAAAACCGACTACGAATGGGAGGATTTGGACGCCGAGGACCATGCGGATCCGATGATGGTTTCCGAGTATGTCAACGATATTTTTGACTACATGAAGGTGTTAGAGGTGAGGACTTTGCCAGATAGGGACTATCTTCACTGGCAGAGGTCTCTCAAACCAAAAATGCGGTCCATTCTTGTGGACTGGATAGTTGAGGTCCATCTCAGGTTCAGGCTGCTCCCTGAAACTCTGTATCTTGCAATCAATATCATGGATAGGTTCATGTCTAAGGAGAGTGTGCAAGTTGAGAAGCTCCAACTTCTGGCGACCGGCTCGCTTTTCGTCGCTGCTAAGTACGAGGAAGTATACTCGCCCTCGGTCAAAAACTACGCATACGTGACCGACGGTGGTTTCACCGAAGAGGAGATCCTGAGCGCAGAAAAGTTCATTTTGGAAGTCCTTGACTTCAACATGAGCTATCCTAACCCAATGAACTTCTTGCGGAGGATATCGAAGGCCGACGACTACGACGTGCAATCACGGACTGTGGGAAAATACTTCCTGGAAATTTCCATCATAGACCACAAGTTTATCGGTCTCTTGCCCTCGCGTTGCTCTGCTGCTGCAATGTACGTTTCGAGAAAGATGCTTGGAAAGGACGAATGGTCCGGCAACCTGATTCACTACTCAGGCGGATACAAGGAATCCGACATCAAGGAGGTCTGCGAGATGCTAATTGAGTATCTCGTTTCCCCAATAATCCACGAGGAGTTCTTCAAGAAATACGCATCCAAGAAGTTCATGAAGGTGTCCATTCTCGCCAGGCAATGGGCCAAAAAGCTCGTTGCAGAAGGCAGGAGCATAATGGATCCAAACTGATAAAAGAACCGAAAATACCACAAAAAATCAAGACATCCGAGGAACCTTAGGAGCAAAGATACCTATTAATACCTTACTGGTCCATTCGCAAACCAAAACCTCCTCCTCAACAGCCACGATGGTCTTGTGGTTCCTACGCCCAACCAGGCGTTTTCATATTGCCTAGGATAAACTCTGTACCTTTAACCTGTTACCTTTACCTTTACTTCTAGTTGCTGACTTGGTGTAAAATGTCGAAAAGCCGAAACGACTCGAGTCGTGTTCTTTCTCAAGATTAATGGGAGTCGTGTTCGGGAACCAGAAAAATCCCGTCTGATCCAAGTCTTTAACGCGTCTTCAGTGCAGGTCTTCTTCCGTTAAAATAGATCAAACGAAGCATACAACCAAAAAATGCCAGCTAAAGGTTGGAGAAAACACGAGGATGGCTCTTTTGCACCTCAGGGGGAAGCGCAGAGCCAGAAAGAGGCGGATATGATCTCTATAGAGGTAAGTCTTGGGTTTTTCTGGGGACACTCTTAACGATTCAGTCTAACCGAAACTACAGAGCCTTTTGTTCCCCAAGTCAACCGTCAACAGACTGGCCAAACAAATCATTGGTGTATCTGAAGACCAGACTGAAGAGGGTAGTGCTGAGATGGCAGGAATGTCATTGGCCAAGGACGGACTCACTGTCATCCAGAGAAGCAGCGTTGTGTTCGTATCGCATTTGTACCACTACGCTAGACAGCACAGCAAAGATGCCAACCGCAAGGGGGTTTCCGAAGATGATGTTTTGGCAGCTTTGAAGACAATCGAGTTTGACCAGTTTTTGCCCATTGTTCAGGAGGAGCGCGAGAACTTCAAGTCGCGGAAGCAACTCAAGAAGAAGTCAAAGCAAGACACCACTAACAACGGCACTATTGATGATGCAGAAGATGAATCTGTCACGATTGATGGTGATGACCTCGACGAGGCGACCAATGGCTCTAAGAAACTGAAGGGTGCAAACGGTGCCCCAGTGGTGGCTGGTATCAGCGGGGATTCTACTGAAAACGAGATTGAAGTGGACAAGACAGACGATACTCTAAGTGATAAAGAGGAGGACGAGGAAGAGGAAGAAGCTCCAGAGGAGGAGGATGAGGAAGAAGAAGAGGAGGAGGAGGAAGAAGAAGAAGAAGACGAGCAGGTGGCTCTGAAGCCTTCGCAGCGACTGGAGCAAGAACATCGCGAGCTCGCAGGCGAGACCGTAGAGGATGATGTTCAGACTGCCGAGCCTGATGAAGAGGAGGAGGATGATGATGAGGATTAGATAACAAAGAGAGAACAAGAAGAAAAAGCATCGGAAAAAGAAACCGAGAAAGAATGAAAAAGAATGAAGAGACGGGAAAAAGACTGCGACTGATCTAAAACAACAACGAATAAGATGGTCCGAAATGAGAAAGATGTACACTTAGTCAAAGGCACGCTGAAAATTAAGACTACTAAGGGGAGGATTCACAGAGAAGGACAATGAAACAAACGAAACAGAGATTCCAGCTTACGTCTTTCGTTTACGCCCTTTTTTTATTCACGCTCTTACTTAGCTGATTCAATCGTTACTCGTGTGGTTCAGGCTGTTTTGGCCGTTTCGGGTGAATGCATTTAGAGTACAACGGCAGGCCACATTCAAAGCCTACCAAAACGTAGAACAGGAACAGCCCCACTGCCGAAAGCAAAACCACGAACCGGATATTAGCCCACCACATCCGCTTCCGCACGGCAATGGCCCTCCGCCTGAAGCTATTAGCACTGGTGTTAATCTTGTCGGTCTTGTTGACCAGAAGATTTATCCTTTCACCTCTCTCGATCACACGCTCTATGTTCTCTGCCATGATATTCCGCACCTCGTCTATTTCTGAAGTAGCTTCCTCAATTGATCCATACGAAGTCACATCCTGAGCATAACTAGCCTCGCAAGACTTGATGATCTGTTTCATGCGAATTTTGAACTCCAGCATGAATCCAGACGGCGAAGCAGACGACCCGCTCTCGGACTCCCCAGCTAATCGAAATTGGCGGTATTCGTTTGCAATTTTCTCCAGAACTTGCAAAACAAACTCACGAGCTACAAGTTCGCTCACAACCGCCACCACAGTCACGAGTCCGTTATTGGGAATGGCTACTTTGACGTAGTACATCATCAGGTCAACATAACGTGAGTGACCCCAAAGCACATTCGAGCTGATGATCACAGATCCAGAACGCGAGCCCTGGTTACTGTTGATACCACCAAGCGCCTGGGATATCAGTTCAGAACAACTCACATTCAAATGTGAGCTGAGCGCGGTATCATCATACGCATAAAGCGTGGTGGAGTCGGACGAAAGAGACACATATATGACTGTTCTGTTAGTTACGCCTAGGCGAGATCATGTGTGAAAACTTACACTTCTTGTCAATATCCATGAGCGACTCATTCTCCTCAAAGGCCATGGTTTCACCAAGGCGTTTGAGAGGTTGTGAAAATGCCTGGTCGGATGATTAGTTGACAGTGTAGTAAATTGGGCCTGAAGTGCGGAGCCATCACAAGTGCGTTAACCAAAAACCAAAAAATTGCAAAGAATTACTGCCTTCAAGATTAGTCTTTTTTTCGCTCAAAGCTGGTTAATACGAAGTTCCCTTTTGCTTACAGTTATGCTACAAGAAAGAGAAAGTGTATTGCATAATATAACTCCGTTTTTGTACTGTTTGCGTCTTTTTAGCGCTGTCCCAAACCCCATTTAAGGCGTGTACGGACCAACATACCACACACGTGACACGACCTGTCAAGCCGTGGAATTTTCATTCACGTTATGCAACTTCTGCTCTATTCTACAGCATTCGCTTAAACGAGCAAGTCAAATTAAACTAAAAAAAAGGGAAGGGAGATATAAGACTATTAGAAAGGAGCTGTTTCAAGCATTCTTCAAATCAGAGACAAAACCAGACAAACACAAACACTCGCAGGATAGAAAACGTGATCAAGCAAAATGAGCCTGGAAAGAGCAGAAGCAAAAGGTGAAAAGTTGAAACATTAGGAGATATTTGCCAATTTGTTCAAGTCGTCTGAGTTTCTAAGATCTTTAATTCCTTAAGCCTTTCAGCTTAAGCTCTCTCAGCCTCCTTGTTCTTGTAGTCCTCATAAGCGGCCAAGGCCTCGTTGAACTGAACGTCGAAAGCCTCGTCGTCCTCCAACAGACCCAAGATCTCCTGGTTGTCCATGTCTAAAATCATACCGGTGATTTTACCAGCGGCATCCTCATCGGCCTTTCCGGTAGCGGCAACCTTCTGGTAGATGACTTCACCCAACATACGCTTCTGCTGTTCAACTGGGACTTGGGGCAAGATGGCGGCCAAAGAGGCTGGTTCACCCTGCTGTGGCTGCTGTGGCTGTTGTGGTCTGCCCTTGTTCTGGCCACGGTTGTTGGCGTAGAATCTCTGTTGTGGACCTCTGCCGTTCTGGTACTCGTTGAATCCTTGAGGCACCATCATGGCGATTGGCTGGCCGTTAGGACCAACACGGAACTGCTGTTGCATTGGGAATCCTTGACCGGGTCTTGGGATGCCCTGTTGCATCAAAAGCTGTGGGTTCTGGCCTGGGAATGGAGCAGCACCTCCTCTGGCTCCTGGAGGCAGGAAACCTGGCTGTTGGCCGTAGAAGATTGGAGCAACGAATTGACCCATTCCACCGGCAGCAGTCTGCTGCATTCTGAGTTGGTTTCTGGCCTGGACCTGTTGGGTCAACTGCGAGCGTCTAACCTCCTTCTTTTGAGCCAAAGCAACATACAGTGGCTTACCGGCAACCATGAACTGGTGCATTTCACTGATGGCCTTTGTGGCTTCTTCTGGCTCAGAGAAACACACGAAACCAAAACCCTTGGACTTTCCGTTGTTGTCGGTCATCACCTTGGCGGAGGTAATGGTACCGAATTGAGCAAACTCCTCTCTCAGCTTCTCGTCATCGATGGTGTCTTCGAGGTTCTTCACGAACAGGTTAACACCCTGGTACTTGTTGAGCTTCTCCTGTCTAAGAGCCTCGTATTGCTTCTTGAGCTCCTCGAGTCTCTCCTTCTTCTTTTGGGCACGACCGACGTAGATGTTCTTACCGTTGATCTCTTTGTCGTTCAATTCCTCAACAGCCTTGGTGGCATCCTCGTGGTTGGCAAAGTTGACGAAACCAAAGCCGCGGGAGTTACCTTCAGCATCCTTCTCGAGATGGATGGAAGTGAGCTCACCGTAAGGCTTGAAGAGCTCCTCCAACTGAGCGTCGTCAACGGAAGAGTCCAGGTTCTTGACGAACACGTTGGTGAACTTCTGAACAAACTCGTCCATCTTGGAAGCACGCTCCTCTCTTGGCTGGTATGGACCAACGTAGACTTGACGGTCGTTCAAGAGCATACCGTTGACACCCTCAATGGCGGCCTTGGCAGCCTCGTCAGATCTGAAGTGAACGAAACCGTAACCCTTGGATGAACCAAACTCGTCGGTCACAACCTTACAAGACAAGATAGTGCCGAAGACAGAGAAGGTGTCGTGCAAAGTCTTGTTGTCGATATCCGGGTGCAAGTTCTTGATAAAAATGTTTCCTGCACCGGAACGACGCAAAGATGGGTCTCTCTGCGAAAGCATGATACGACAAGCACGGTTCTTGATTGGGTGGTAGTTCAACTCATCAAGAGCACGCTCGGCATCCTTGGAACCCTGGTAGTTGACGTAACCGTAACCAAGCGATCTCTTGGTAATGGCATCACGACAAACACGGATAGAAGAGACTTGACCAGCCTGACTGAAGAACTCGTAGAGATCGGCCTCGGTGACCTCTGGGTCAAGTTCTCCAACGTAAAGAGAAGTCATCTCCTCTGCCGAACCGGATGATTCGGTAGTCTCCTCACCCTCAGTGGCTGGAGTCTCGGCAGCAGGAGACTCAACTTGCTCTGAGACGTTGAGCTTCTCAAGAGCATCAGTGACTTCGTTTGTATCAACCGCGGACATTGTGTTTTTTTGGGGTTTTAAAATGGTGGTTTTTTAAATTTTTTTTGGTGTTTTTGATATTCCCAATGTTCGAGCCTGGCTTCGATGATGAAATCAGGCAATTATCGGGTTCTTAACGGCGAAAACAAATGGTGTTGACTCTGTTGCGACAAGAAGAAAGTCGGCGTATAATGCTGCGATCGATTTTTTTGCCCTTGTTCATTTTCCAAATTTTTTTCCACCCGTTGCGTTACGCAGCCCTGGTCATGCGAGGGAGACGTGTTCGTGTCGCGATGGGATTACCCGGATTAAATATTTCTTCTGTTCTGCGTGCGGCTCATGCAGGCTGCAGGTATTAGGTACTGCCAATGACGGGAGTATATATGAAAGGTTCTTTAGTCCAGTCCTTTTTTCAGTTTTTCAGCCAGAAAAACAGTCACGATAGCTTTACTTCATTATTTAAAAGCCATATTTTCAAAATGTTCAGACTCCTTTGCTCTCTTTTAATCACCCTCATAACTGCTTCCGCGGAGGTTTCTCAGCACATGTTCGGGCTATTACAGGAAATGTCGCAATTCTCGGCTGTGGCATACTGTATTTCAGACAAGAAACTTACTCTTGGAAATTTGGAAGACTCCTGCCCCACACGGTTCTGTCGGGGTTCAAATGGGTTGAAAGTGGTAGAGATATTCGAGGGCAAAGCTACAGGATATGTCGTGAGTGATGAATTGAATGAACGGATAATAATTGCCTTCAGAGGATCCCACAGCGCTGGAGATTATATCGGCGACTCACTTGCATATCCATTTCCTTACTCACCCCTTTCAGCTCCCGAAAAAAACTTCAAGCTGTGGCCCAGCCCATCATGTCGAGTACATGCTGGATTCTATGCTGTTCTCGAAGACTTTTACAATTCCGAGGCATTTCTCCAAATGATGGATTTGATAGACTCAAATCCCCGCTGGAAAATTGTGGTGGTCGGGCATTCTCTTGGTGGTGCTCTTTCTGCCCTTTTGGGGGCAGAACTGGCGATTATGGGTCACAACTTGTTAGTAGTAACGGTTGCGGCACCCAAGGTTGGCAACGCACAGTTTGCTTCATGGATTGATGGTGTATTCAACACGAGCTCAGTGCTGAAAAGTGTTCTTGATGATGTCACCCCACAATTCGGGTATCTCCGTTTGGAACATAGCGGGGACCAGGTGCCGCGCCTACAACCTTCTTTCTTAGGCTGGATGCATGCAGGGGTCGAGTTCCTGATCACAAAGGTGAAATTACCACATAACAGACAGGATCTGAGCATTGTTGAAAGTCCTGAGGATGGTGACGAAGATCTGGATCCTAATTTTTTGAAAGAAATGGCCAAATACCAGAAAAAGTGTCGTAACTGGCTGATCTCCAAGTTCCATAACGAGTATTTCTTTGACATTTCGGGTTGCAAAGGCTAAACCAGGCAAAACTAGGTCAAATACAAACGGACTTCCTATCATAAAAATACACAAAAAATACACAAAACAGCTCTGATATATATATAGGTCTCAAAAAACATTTATCGACGAATTCAAGCGGGCGTTGACTCCTTCTTGTCGGGTTGCGAGAGTCTTGCATACATGTTCATGATGCTACTACTAGGCACCTTGGCGGGCCAGTAAAGACAGGCAAATGCCCACAACTGCTTCTTATCATGGTCTCTAGCCTCCGGAGGGATTGAGGAGGTGGTCTTGGTGATGTGGTCACCGACGGTAATCAGCTCTTTCTTCAAAATCTTGGCCCAATGCTTTTTGTCCAAATCCCCAGCTCCAGCTTTAAGACGTTTCAGCGATTCATAGACAGGTGCCAGTTTTTCTCTGCAAACCTCCTCGTTTATCTTGACTTCTGGTTTGGTCTTCTTTTCAACTGTTGCACCGGAACTGGGGCCATGGTGGTCCTCATGCTTGACCTTAGTTGCAGACGAAGATGTAAGATCGGCAGAGGAAGTCAAAGGAGATAACACCTTTTCCTTCTTTCTTGGCTTAGCCTTTGGCTTGGTCTCACCTCCCACCACGGTTGGCTTGGCACGTGGTTTGGGCGTCACCTTTGGACTGTCGACCTTTTTGATGTCAGAGACCTCTGGGGTCTGGGCCTTCTTTGGCTTACGGGCTCTCTTTCTCACGGGAGCAGGAGACTCAGACTCATCGTTCTCTTCGTCTTCTTTGCCCTTGAGCAAATTGAAGAGATAATCAACTCTTCTGCCGAGGTGGACTGCGCCTGGACTCCTCTTTGCAAACTTGTCCTTCTCTTCTTTGCTTGCATTTGAAGGAGGCGTCTCAAGATAAACCTTGTTTTGCAATCCTAGCAACGGATCGTCTCTAATCTGAGCCCAGGAACCATAGCCAAATTTATCCACACCGACTAACAGCATGGAATCGTCATTCACAGACCATTCGCAAGTCCAGCCATGGACAGGCTTAGGGGACTTGGGCAGCTTGAAGGTGTAAGGATCATCTTTTGGGATCAAAGTTTTCAATAATGCCATGTCCTCTGGTCTGCTTAATACCAATTCGGCGTTGATATTTTTGGCACCTCTGAACTCAAACAGAATGGCCTTGCGCTCCCTACGCTTCATCATCCACAGAGTCATCGCCGGAGAGTCCTTGGTTTCCTTCAAACTTAAGGATGACGTATCACTAGCGGTATTGCCAACGGCATTGCCGTTTCCGTTGACGGCCTTTTCCTTTTCCCTTTCCTTCTCCTTCTCTTCAAGCACTTTACGCTCCATTTCAGCTAGAGTTTCCGCACGACGTTTCTCTTCCTTGGCAACCAGCTCCTTTGACTCACTTATCAGATCGTGATAAGTGGCTTTCAACACTTCCGAGTTCTTATTACTGAGTGTGCCATCGGCAGTGAGCTCGTCCCACTTGTCAGACAGTTCACCATACTTGAGAATAGCACGGTAGATCCCACGGATTTCAGATTCCGTCAGCTTGTTCATATCCACAGCCCTCTTCTTTCTGGATTTTGTCTTGGGCTCGTCGTCGTCATCCTCATTATCACTGATAACTCCTCTCATGCTTTTCATGGCCGCTTGCCTTCTGGAATACATCTCGATCTGTTGCTGGAGATACTGCTCATCCTGCCGTTTCTTTTCATCCTCCTTCAATTTCTTGAGCTCCTCCTCGGGAATAATATCGTCCCAGTCAACATCAGCCTTGTAGTCGGTGACTTCGAATTGTTTGAGGAACTCCTCTCCACCTAAGTTACTCTCTCCCAGATCTGGGGTGGTCACGTGATCTTCAGCATGATTGAGTACGTCATCCAAATTCAAGTCCTCCAGCTTCTTCTGGTTCTCATTTGCCTTAAACATATTGCCGGCACCGAACTTGAGGATCTCACTGAGCTCGCCATTGGACGGCTCGTTCTTCTTTTTCTGCTTATCGGTGATACCCAGCGAGATGATGGCATACTCCAGAATCATCTTCTTCCTGGCCCTCTCCAGGACTTCCTCTTCAACGGTGTCCTTCGACACAAAACGATAAACCATGACATGGTTCTTCTGGCCAATTCTATGGGCTCTGGCCATTGCCTGCAAGTCAGCCTGGGGGTTCCAGTCGGAGTCGAAGATGATCACGGTGTCTGCTGTCATGAGGTTGATACCGAGACCACCAGCCCTGGTAGAGAGCAGGAACACGAAGTCCTGGGATCCGTCTGCGTTGAAGTGGTCAATGGCAACACGACGTTGGGCCGAAGGAATGGTACCGTCCAATCTCTGGAAGTTATATCCCTTGATGCTCAGGTAATCACCCAAAATGTCCAACATCCGCACCATTTGCGAGAAAATCAACACTCTGTGTCCGTCTTTCCTTAGCCTGGTCAACAGTTTATCCAGCAACACCATCTTTCCAGAAGACATGATCATTCCTCTTAGGATGTTCTCACGAGAATGACTTCCTCCAGCTCTCGTGAGCACCGCTTCCTCGGCCTGATCAAACAGATAAGGGTGGTTGGAAGCCTTTTTCAGCTCAGACATGACGTTCAAGAGCGAGATATGAGCTCCTTTGACTCCCTGGGTCAAAGCGGAGTAGTTCTTGGTGAGAACGTTCTTATAGTACTGCGTTTGAAGATCAGAGAGCTCGACACGAAGAATACGCTCTGTCTTCGCAGGAAGAGACTTTTCCACATCCTTCTTGAGTCTTCTCAAAATGAACGGGTGAATCTTCTTCTGAAGGTCTTGGATATACTCCTCGGCGTCTGCATCAGGCGATTCAAAGTCAATCTCTTGCTCGATGTTAAACTTTCCAGGCATCAGGAAATTGCACAGAGCAGCCAACTCCTTGATGTTGTTCTGCAATGGAGTACCAGTGATCAGTAATCTGTTGGAAATCTTGAATTCCTTGAGCGACTCATACAACGAAGATTCGGCGTTCTTGAGTCTGTGGGCCTCGTCAACGGCCATGAACTGCCACTTAAAACTTCCGAGCTCAGAACGGTCTTTCAGAATGTACTCATAAGTGGTCAGCAAGATGTTGAACTTTGGTTTTTTGCTTGAGCCATAAAACTCGAAATCGCGAATGGCCTTACGGGATTTGGCATTTCCCATATAATAGATACAATTCAGATCTGGGGACCATTTCTCGAAAGTCTCCTGCCATGCTGGAACAGTGGAAAGAGGCACAACGACCAAATGGGGTCCGTTCTGTCTTCTGGCATAGATCAGCCAACTGAGGAAACTCACCGTCTGAACAGTCTTACCGAGACCCATTTCATCGGCCAGGATACCGTTCTCATTTCTGGACCATAGAAAGGCCATCCAGTTCAAACCAGTCAGCTGAAAGTCACGGAGCTCACCGTTTTTGACGAAAGCCGGCTGCGCAACTAGTTTCTCGAATCGGGGTCTGTTGGTGCCGTAGGAGGCAGACAAATTGGGCAAAATCTTGGAGTTCTTCCTGCTCTGGTACTGCTTCACCATTTCGGGAGCAATCTTGACAATTTCATCAGCAGACTCCCAGGTACATTCGTCATAGTACAGGCGCTTCCATTTGCAAAGGTACTGCAGTTCGGAAGTTCCATCTTCCCCCAACACTCTGTCGCTTTCAACGATACGCTCCACCTGAATGAACTGCTTGAGCTCGTCTCTTCTGCTGTCGGCCTCAAGGTCCATTGACTCGATGTCCTCTCTGGTCACAGTAGGATCTGCACGTATCTGTCTATCAAGCACAATGAATTGGTTAATGTAGTTGTCCACCTTCTTTCCACCTTTAAGACCGTGTAATGAGTCGTATTTCTCCCAGGTGTTGTGCAAATGCGACACCTCTACCCATTTCACCAGGAACTCAAAGTCTTGCTTAGGGTCTCCGTGAAGCTTGAGGTAGTTGACGCGACCAACCTCCTCGTCCGATGCTGAGGCGGCTCCATTTCCGGTCCCGTCTGTACTCATTACATGATCGTCTGGAATTGAGCCTTCAGCCTCACCAACAACTCTGTGGTCGAGAATCTGGTCTATAGCCTGTTCAACAGCCAACGGAGTGCCTTCAGGCTCATCTGCATAGGAGTAGCCGTCGTACTCATACGCTTGTTCTGCATCGCTTTCCATGAATTCGGCCTCATCATCTTCGTCAACAGCATAGTTCACAGTCTTGCTGTTCCGAGACGAAAACCTGACCTCGGCATAGGCAGGTTCGCTGGCTCTGGAAGACTTTGACTTGGACCTCTGGCTTTTCGATCCGTTGAGCTTACGCTTTTTCTGAGCAGATTCTCCGTCGTAGAACTCGTCATCCTCATCGTCGTCCTCGTCCTCGTCATCGTCAAACTCATCAGCGTTGACGTTTTTCTGTTTTTTGGACCTTTTTGTCGGTCTCACATCTTCGTCTGAGTCTGAAATCTCCGCAAAGGACGAAGCAGGCGCCCGCGCCCTTCCGGAACGTCTCAGTCCGTAAAGCTCCGGGTTCCTTGAAATCTCGTCCTTGATATCCTCGGTCATGTTGGGATTTGGTAGATCAAACACGAATCTGCGCAGGTGAAGCTCTTGATCGATGGATCAGCCTATAGTGGTCCGCAAACACGCTAGTGACAAATCGAGGAATAGAACCTGCTCTCAACTGCAAATTGCCAATAAAGAGAAGATATATGCCACTGGAATACAAAATATAATTTCCGTAGCTTTTGGGTTTTCAATCGCTCAATCAAAATCACACGGTTGAAACTGTGTTATGGTGCCGAAATGTGTTGCGAGGCACCAGGTAAGTAACCAAGTCAAACAGCGCGAGCTCCTTAAAAACGAAGGATTGTGTGCTTAATCAACCGCAGCACGCTCAATATTTCACGGAATAATCCCACTGAAATATCTTGTTAAGAGGTGTGGAGAGACTGCGAAGACGTTCGTGGTGAATTCAAGGAGGAAAGCTCGAGCGAAAATTTTGGGCCCTGCCGCCAACAAAATCCGCGCTGGGTATTTAGCGTTGGAGCGATACAGGCTCGGTGATTGGATACTACAATTTTTGAAACTAATTTGAGAGCAAGGAGTTGTTGATTATAAAACAGAGACGGAAGTTTCCGGTTTGAGACGTAGATTCATTTGATCTGAGTTCAAGAGGAGACAGGTGGGAGGTGTGACAGGCAGTGTTCAGTTTGATTGGAGACTGAGCACATCCTTCGGCTGGCCTATTGAGTGTGTTCCGAACATTGTCAGATCGACCAAGACTGAGAAGTCAGCAAGAGCAGCACTGTGCGTATGAGACAAGCGATAAAAACAAACCATCGCGGACTCGTCATGTGGAGGACCGCATTCTGTATTCACGCCCAGTCTCTCTGTCCGTTTATACAGTAGCACAATTGAGGTATTCACTCAGTATCAGCCAACAGAAACGCGTGAAAAGCACACACACAATCAGCAGCACTCTAAGACCAGGCATCAGAGTCTCAAGACACTAGCTCCCAGACACCACGCGGTATAACCCACAGGCCACACCCTAGTAGCCACCTCTTGAAGGTCCGAGTTCACCAGGAACCAGTTGTCAGGATACACCATCATATGTCAGGAGATACAAATACCCCCAACACATTAGCATAGTGTAGCCCGCACAAAAGACTCCTCATAAGACTCGGGCATTCGTCCGACTTCACAACCGTTGCTACATCATAAACGCCCTGTGTCCATGAACGGTCTGATCACAGATAATGTATACCGACTAGGTTTCTCACATGGACTATGAGGTCAAAAAATTAATGTCCTGTTCGAGAAACAAGCGCACACATTATGGGGCACCCTCATCAACTCCAACGTTATCACGAAAAACTCATCAACCGGAACAGTTCCAGTTACCACAAGTTGTCGTACTGTATGCGGCTGGGACACCGAGCGGATAGACCAATAGAGCACAAAACCCCATTAATCCACACCAAAAGATGCATACCAAAGGGACTAACCCTTCAGCTATAATGAACAAAGGGGGAAGAAGGGGGAAACAAAGGGCGGCCGAGGAGGCTGCCGACGAGCATTGCGCCGGGTAACTCCACTGATTTGGTCCAAATTTTACGCGTGTCTGGTACTGTGATTTACTCAGAAAGGCGAAGTGTCTTAACACAGCAGCTTTCCGCTATGGAACTTCGGAAAAAGGACTTGATGAGCGATATGGCTTTCAAATTTGTGTTTCAACAAAAGCACTGTTTTCATGTTCCCACCCTAGTCCTTCACGGCTGACTACGACTGGCCAATGAGATCCGTCCTCTTACTCAGCTCATGGTCTGAAACTTACCCTAATGTCCATACTTAGTCCCAAACTCCTAAGCGTAAACATCAGACCAAACGTCCGAATTGTTAGTCGTGTGTTGCCTACCACAGCCCGACCCCAAAAAAGTTCGTGTTTAGGATAAACACAGAAAAAAATTTCAGACGGACGCCAAAGTTAACAAGAGAATCAGCAACACAACCGCCGTCGTTTGTTCAAAAACCCTGTTTAAATTCGTTTTGAATGAGTTCCAAGAACACGCGTATTGCGATCGTCTCTGACGACAAGTGCAAGCCGAAGAAGTGCCGTCAAGAGTGCAGAAAAGCATGTCCCGTGGTGAAGACGGGTAAGCTGTGTATTGAGGTCACCGCGGCATCCAAAATTGCCTTCATTTCCGAGAATCTCTGTATTGGTTGTGGTATTTGTGTGAAAAAGTGCCCCTTTGGAGCCATTAACATCATCAATTTGCCCACAAACCTGGACGATCAGGTCACACACAGATACTCCGCCAACTCGTTCAAATTACACAGACTGCCAACTCCAAGACCGGGCCAAGTGCTGGGATTAGTCGGAACAAATGGTATCGGAAAGTCTACAGCGCTTAAAATTTTGGCAGGAAAGGAGAAGCCTAACTTGGGGAAATACGATGATCCACCCAGTTGGGAAGATATCCTGAAGTACTTCAGAGGCTCTGAGCTCCAGAACTATTTCACCAAGGTTCTTGAAGACGACATCAAGGCAATTATCAAGCCTCAATATGTGGATAATATCCCCAGAGCCATTAAGGGCCCAGAAAACAAGGTTGGTGAGCTTTTGAAGGCCAGACTCGACAGAAAGGATTCCGCTAAGGAGATTTTGGAGGTTCTCGAGCTGAAGAATGTCTTCAAGAGAGAGGTGTCAAAACTCTCTGGTGGAGAACTACAGAGATTTGCCATTGCAATGACGTGTGTGCAGAGTGCCCAGGTATACATGTTTGACGAGCCATCCTCATATCTAGACGTGAAGCAACGTCTCAACGCTGCGCAGATCATCAGATCGCTGCTGGGACCAACCACCTATGTCATTGTCGTGGAGCACGATTTGTCTGTTCTGGATTATCTTTCAGACTTTGTGTGTATCCTGTATGGTGTCCCATCTGTCTACGGTGTTGTGACGCTTCCACAGTCCGTGAGAGAGGGAATCAACATCTTCTTGGATGGTCATATCCCCACTGAGAACTTGAGATTCAGAACGGAGTCTCTTCAGTTCAGACTACAGGATGCCAGTGATACCATGATCATTGACCAGTCAAGAAGTTACAGCTATGATGCCATGACAAAGACCCAGGGAGACTTCAAACTCAGCGTTGAGGCTGGTAGTTTCTCAGACTCGGAGATCATCGTCATGATGGGTGAAAATGGAACCGGGAAAACCACGCTTTGTAAGCTTCTTGCTGGTGCTATCACTCCCGACGCAGGATCCAAGGCCCCCAAGCTGAATGTTTCCATGAAGCCCCAGAAAATCGCTCCCAAGTTTACCGGTACCGTGAGACAGCTGTTCATGAAGAAGATCAGAGCTTCTTTCTTGAACCCACAGTTCAACACCGATGTGGTGAAGCCACTCAGAATCGAAGACATCGTTGACCAGGAGGTGCAGCATCTTTCCGGTGGTGAATTGCAGAGAGTCGCCATTGTGCTTGCCCTCGGTATTCCTGCCGATATCTACCTTATCGACGAGCCTTCCGCTTACCTCGATTCGGAGCAGCGTATTATCTGCTCTAAGGTGATCAGAAGGTTCATCATTCACTCCAAGAAGACTGCATTTATCGTTGAGCACGATTTCATCATGGCCACTTATATGGCCGACAAGGTAATGGTGTTCGAAGGTGTTCCATCCACAAGTGCCACTGCTAAGACCGCTGAGTCGTTGCTTACCGGCTGCAACAGATTCCTGAAGAACTTGAACGTTACTTTCAGAAGAGATCCTAACTCGTTCAGACCAAGAATTAACAAGCTCGATTCCCAGATGGATAAGGAGCAGAAGCTCCACGGCAACTACTTCTTCCTGGACAACAATGAACTATAGAGCTTCTCCAAGGAATCCACGCATCCGTCCACTATTTAACTGCATCTGACATAGTCCAAAAGACGTTTCTCTGTATATTAACTGGAAGGGTAAAACGTAGAGCTTCAGGTTGAAACAGGGTCCGGAGTAGAGTAGTGTGTAAACAGTCGTGTAAATTCAAACAAACGCCGCTTGGGCTTGGCTTTGAGAGCCAAGGCTCCGTTGAAAGGCTCTTGGTAACGCTCTCTTCATCGTGTTTGGTATGCTGCATGGATAAAAAAAGTGCTGCTAGAGAGCCGTTCTTTGGAACCAGACTAGACTCCAGGGAGTTTGCGGCTGATGAGCCTCAAGTCTCCAGGACACTTCTCTACAACGATGGACTCTACAACAATGATGAAGAGTTCCAGCCGAAACTGTTCAAGTCAACAAGACAAAACAGACTCAATTTCGATCGTATTAACGATGTTGGCGAACAACTGCTTCAATTGAAGGACCAATATGACCGGGGCGCCGCCCGTGTTGATGGTAGTAACAGATTAGACACCGAAATCAAGCTCTTTCAGCATGTGATAGACGTGTTTAACGAAAAACTGGCCGATATTGGACTAAGATGTTCTCCCACTTGGAATATCCTAGATTCGGATCATCTTACCGGATTTAGCAGCACCAAAAATGAGATGACTACGGAAACAGCGAATTCTGCCTCCAGATCCAAACGCAAGATGAAGATTTCCTTATCTTATGACGATGAAGATGAAGACGAAGATGGCGGAGGCAGTTTGTTTGCTCCAAAAATGAACGAATCGGTAAAGCGAATGAAGGTGGAGTTTATGAAAGGTGACTGCCTGCAGGACAGAGTGAAATTTACTAGTCGAAAATTGAAGGGTATCCCTGGCTCTTCTACCACTCTTCTCACAGACCATTTTAAGAAGCTGAGTGTCTCTGGGAATAACGAGCTTTTTCCAGACGAAAAAGTGTTGGTTTCCTCAAATGTCCCGGTAGCTCCAGCAGACTACACCCAGCAAGTGCATCCAGATCTACGGGGACTTCCTGCAACGAATACATCAACGCCGAAAATCACACCACCAATACCACTCAAGAACAGATTCATCTCCGAGTCAGAACTGTTGATCAACGAGTCAAAAGAACAAACGACAGATGATAGCTCTTTGATATCACCAAATTTCTCGCAGCCGTCACGGAAAGTCACCAACATAGAGGTGAGCCAATTAATAAAAAAGCGGCTTGGTGTGCCTACTGACCAGATCAGCCACTATCCATAATGAACCATTATTGTATTATTCACGTCAAGTTTATGTGCACGAGGAACCGGATCACCCAGGAAAATATCTCCCTATTAACTTTCATTAGTCTAACTAGCTTCACCTAGTCCATCTCCCTCAAAATATCCTCTCTGCTATGGCCCCCCACAGACTATTCGCAAACCGCCTTCCAAGCACCTTGCCTATAACAGGCAAGAGTACAAAATTAAGCAAAGTCTTTAGCTGGACTAGATTCTCCTCCCACTCTGCCTGCGCATCTCTGGTGACTATATCTGAATCGTAAGTGTAGTCAGAGTCGTAGTCTTCCTCATCTGTCTCCTCTCCAGCAGCGTTCAGTATCACCAGCCCCGAGTCAGTTATTCCCTGTATGACACTGCTATGTCCCTGCCCCAATGACATTATGTTTTATGTGTATAAGCGGAGACCCTTTTCTAAAGTTGGAACGCCAGGAAAAGACATGAAGAATGACATAAGTGATATCTTAGAGTCCGTCATGGCTTGGGGCATGGGTAGTGTACCGGCTCAGAGATAGCTACATAACTAATAGCTCTCCAAGCTCTCCACTATAGTTACTTTCAGCAGATATATGATTCATGCGACTATGGGAAAAGCACCGCAGTGGCAGTAGCAAAAATCAGATATACCAGTGAAATCAATATGGTACTAGATATTGCGTGGTAATGTATATTCGTTGGGCTTATATTTGAACACTGCAGACACAGTATAGATACAACACACACACCAGTTGCATTAGGTACACCGGATACAGCACATACAGATTTACAAGAGAAGCTTCAAGCCAAAAGATATCTTATCTAAGGCATCCATTATACCATCATTCTGCGGACAAATCAACACCACCAATGGACCAGATTTCTCTCTCATCTTCAAATCTGTCGGAAAACATCTCCTCTTCATCACCTCCAGCGATCACTCTCTCACGCTCCACACCCGCTAGTCTCTTGGCCACTCTTCTAACGAAATCGCCTATAGATCTCAACTGAACAGAGCCTCCAACAGGATCATCAATAGTGGCTCCTGCGGCGGAAACATCGTCAAACCATTTAGTGAAGAAAACCATCTCTTGATCATCAACCAAATTGAAGATGGCCAGGAAACATTTCTCTGCAGCGAGTCTTATTGGGATAATAGAATCCCTAACACATAGGAACACAGCCGGAGCAATCAACGAGATGAAAGGGGCAATCATTGAATCCCAATGGAATCTTGAAACGGTTCGCAAAACTACCAGCGACAACCTTCTGGTGTCCGAGGAACTTGAATCAGGCTTAACTGCAGTCTTGGACAGTTGTTTGGCCAAAGCTTCGAGTTCCTCTCCTTCAAGCTGCATGGTAACACCATCTGCCTCCTTTCCACAGCTCAGCAACAGCTTACCACATGCCAATACAGCGTTATCACTGATGTATGGCAATGTAGCATCTGTGGCCCTGACGAGATATTCGACAATTTCGGGTAACAATTCAGGTTGGAAAACGTGACTTGGAGAATCTTTCAAGAAGGCGTTCAGGGTCAAGATGCTGAACTTGCCAGCATCACCAGCGAGTGGAGATTCCAAGACCTTCGTCTTGAGCAATCTCGAAGCCTCCTCTGGAGTCAGGATTTTGGATAAAATACCGATCAAACGGGCATTGGCAACGACAGAATCATCAGCTGCCTCTGAAAAGCCTTCTTCGACAAGAGAAAGAACACCGAGTTTCGAGGCCTCGCTCATCTTAGAGCCGGCAACGTTCACCACTTCAAGCAAGGCATTGAGCATTGCAGTCTTAACTCCAACCTCGTCTGTGGACTTAGCACCGGCTAAAAGCTCAGAGACCAAAGGATCCACACGAGGCTGGTACTGGATCAGAGAACCCAAAGCTTTGGCAGCACGAAGACGTAACAAAGAATTGCTCTGATCAGACAGAGACTTGACGAACGTACGCTGCAATTGAGGAATGAAAGGACGCAAGAACTGTGGAATTTTGCTGAAAAGCTTGTTGAGAGCATACAGGATGGATGCTTTAACGTCACCACTGAAACGTTCACCAACAACTCTAATGAGAGGACCAACAATTGCAGTGATGAAAGGCTTGAGATTGGCAGCAGGTGTCTTCTCCACGATGTTGGCAATACCCATAGCTGAGATCTCACGAACTTCGCTGGTTCCATACATGAGCCCTTGCAAGAAGATAGGCAAAACACAGTTAGGACCCTTTGGAAGAGTGAAAGCACGCAAATCTGAGTTAGCCGCTCCAGTGATGGAAAGCACTCTGTATGCAGGTCTGACAAGACTTTCGAGAGATTCTTTGCTCTGTTGGCTGATCAATGACGACAAGGCCTCGAACGAGTTTTTAACCACATCTTCGTCCTCGTTGTCCAGTTCAGTGATCAGTTGCTCCACAAGATCCTCAGTGTACTGCGAGAAGTTCAAAGTGCTGTTGTCGAAGAAAGCTGGGAGAGCCTCATAGATGGCGGCAACTCTCTTTGAGTCTTCGTGTCTCATGGTGGAAAGGATATTCTGCAACAAAGGATGCAATCCTTCTGAAGAATCAACAGAAACCAATATCTTGTCTAGAGACTCCAGCACCACATCGTGTGTCTTATCATCATCTTTCTTTGTGGCAATGAGAGCGTCGATCAACGAATTAATGATTGTAGCGAGGCGCTTGTAAAGGGCTGCTCCAGCCACCTCAGCAAGAGAACCAAGGGCACGGGCTTTGAAGGCATCCAAAGGCGGAGCCGTCAGCGTTGGAATCAGGATTGGCAAAATCAAGTCTGCATTGGCATTCATGATCTCTTGAAGAGCAGCCAGAGCATTTCCTGAACTCTCTGGATTATTGAGCATATCCAACAAACCTGGAATGACCTCATCAACAGCAGAGTTTCCAATCACCTCTTGCAAAGCATCAAAAGCCGTTGCTGCTGATTCACGAACGTTTTCGTTGGAGTCCACCAAAGCATCCCTGATGATTCTGACGAACGTATCCTGGTAAGCCACAACACTCTCAGCTGATGAGGACTCAATGAGCTCGTTAATAGCAACACAGATACCCTGTTTAGAGTCAGAGTCACTGGAAACCAGAGCTTGTTCCAAGGTTGGAAGCAACTGAGATAGAGCATCACCACCAACACGACGAACAAGGTCACCAAGAGTTTGCGCTGCTGTATGCCTTTGAGTCTCCTCTGAGCTGGCGAGACGGCGGACAATCACTCCAGTTAGCACAGGAAGGATTTCCTTAACGGTACGTGGAGTGTTGGCCACAAGAGCCTTCCAGATGTCAACTGCCGCATTGCGGACAGCAAGGGCAGTATCTGAACGACAAACAAAGAGAAGTGCCAGAATACGATCACGACGGTCTTGGCCAAGAACCTGGATAAGTGCCTTATTGACACCTCCAATGACATCGCCTTGGGTTTCTGCTAAGTCAGCCTTACCGGTGATACCGGTGACCTGGAAAAGCAGCTCACCTGTAAGCTCCAGAGAAGAGAGACGGATACGATAATTGACATCCGACAAACCAAGCTCGAGTTCAGGTAGCAGCAGATCCACAGCCTTAGTAGCATAGTTCTTCACGATCAATCTACCAGCACGCAAAGCGGTCTCTCTGATATCCTCATCAGAATCAGCCAAACCAGCAAGAACAGGTGGGATGACACGGTTGAGGTAGGGAGAAAACTGACTACCAAAACACACAGGAAGGAACAAAAGTAATGGCATGAAACCTGCACGGATGAAGGCACGAGAGTTCGAAGCACCGGCCAAGATGATTGGCAGGATCTCCTCCAGCTTGTTGATACCAAGACCACTAACGACTTCAGCCAACGCTTGCGCAGAACCAAGTCTATCGCTGGCCTTTGATTCGTCATGCAACACAGACAACAGTCTTGGGATCAAGTCTGCAAATCTCTCTTCTCCTAGTTTTTCAACTAGCGAACCCAAAGCCCTGGAAGCAGTAGCCCTGGTACCTGGCACTGGGTCTACCATTGCAGATTCCAGCTCTGAGACCAAGGCGGGCAAGTAAGGAATAAGATCCTTGCTATCAACCAGGATAGACATATTACCAACAATCTTACAGGCCTTTCTCTTAGTGGTGGCAGACCTGTCAATCATACCACGGTGGATGACATGAATGATTAGAGCCAGAGAAGGTCCATCAATGTAATGGACAAACTTGGTCTCGATCAAAGCATCCAAGGCTTCTGTGGTGTACTTGGTAGGATCACCAATAGCTTTGATGAGAACAGGCACCAATGCCTGGATTTCGGGGTTACGAATGACTTCACCGAATCTCTTAAGGGCCTGTTCGGCAGCCTTACGGACTTCTTTGTGGGAGTCACTAAGAACACCAACAATCTCAGGCACAATGGTAGACAGCGACGTCGACAACTGTGTTGGATCCAAGTATGCCATGGAACCCAAAAGCTCAACGGAACCCTTCTTACTTCTCCAGGCAATGTCATCAAGACTCTCAACGGCTAGAGGAATGAGCTTCTTAACACCATATCCAGTGGTCCTTTTCATGATAACTCTGGTTGCAAAGTCGGTCGCTTCACGCACCTCTGGAGCCTGATCACCAAGACTCTTCAAGATTATTGGAAGAATTTCAATGACATAAGGCTCGAAGAGCTCACCCAGACTCTGAGACAAACACTCAAACGCAAAAATGACACCTTCACGGCGTTTGGCGTTCTTTTTGTCATCTGCAGCATCAGTAAGTCTTCTGATCACATCGTGATCGGCTAAGGACTTGATACCAGAACCTTTCACGAGACCGGCAATACCATAAGCTGCACCTCTTCTCTTAGCAAGCGACTTGCCATCAAAGAGGTTGTCAAACAGTTTGTCAAAGTATCCACCAAGGTTTTCGGTGACCTTTGGCACAAGAGGGGCCAAACACTCTGAGACAGCAAACTGGACATCTTCGGACGGAGTATCCAGAGTCTTGAGCAATCTTGAGATGATATTCTCCAGTCTGGCATCTGAAGAATCCAAATGCTGCGCCAGAGCACCATACAGAATGATAGTACTTTCCTTAATACTATCGTGCTCTCTGGTTCCATCATCCTTGACAGATAGACCCTGTTCAAAGATGGGGATTAAGGTCTCGACGTTGGTGGCACCATGGGCCTCGATAATGGCGACACCAGCCTCCTGCAATTCTTGACGAACACTGGATTCTTTGTCACCCAATGCCTTTCCCAAAACTAGGAAGGTGATGATCTTGCTGGTAGTTTCTGCGTCAAACTGAGAAGCCATGTGTTTCAAAGCCAAGGCAACACCACTTCTTTCTTCCCATGGATCTTTCTGGTTTAGTGAGGTCTTGATAACCAGACCGAACTCATCCAGTTGTGGTCCTGGTGGATCCTTTTTGAGCTTGTAAAGCTCAATCAAGTCATCCAGCGTTTTGTTGAATACTTCTGGTCCTAGCTCCTCAGTGGCAGCCGCTATGGATCTTGCGGCTGATAGACGGATACCAGCATCACTGTCACCCAAGAAGGCAATAAGCTTCTTTGGGGAAGAATTGTCCAGCTTGAATTCACTCTCCTCCCAAATTGTCCTAGCTATCTCGGCATTATGCTCAATGTTATCATGACATGCGATCCAGATCTCGCTTGAAAATCCCAGATCGGTGAGATCAAACTCCGAGTCCAAAGCTTCGAGTACCGCCAAACGCACGAACGCCTGGTGCTTAACAGCACCGCTCATGATCAAGGAGAGATCAGCGTCACTAATGGACACAGAAATGTGTTGACACAGAGCTGAGAAACACTCCTTTGAGGTTTTAGCTCTTGATGGAATCTCCATCAGAGAGAGAAGGGCCTGGATAATTGGACGTCTTGGAATGGACTTGTCTTGGAAAGTTTCTGCATGGGCTCCAATGATATCTGTAGCCAGAAGCAACTGTTCTTCCTCCTTGTCTTCCTCAACAAACTCCAACTTCGCCTGGGGCATCTTCTCGCTTTTCAAACTTGCTTTGGTCCCTACATCGAGAACTTTGATTAGCAAGGGAAGAAGGTAGATCAGAGTGGCAGTGTCGAAACGCGCCTGGTCAGAAAGAAACTTAACTCTGAACAGGATCCTGGACAGAAGATCGGGAAGAGGCTCTGAAACCAGGTGGTGCGGAACAGAAGGAATCTCATACAAACGAAGCGTTGCAACCCCAACGAAAAGCCTAGCTGGACCCAAACGATCGGATATCACATCAGAGAGCTTCAAGAAAGAGTCAGAGACAACGTCTCCCATCAGACTGTCGCATTGACGAATTTCAAGAAGCGCGAGAAGACGAGTGACTGTTACTGGAAACCAGACACTAGAAGCATTGTCAAAGGAAGCAGCATCTTTCACAAGAGAGTTTATGATGACCACACCAGCAGAGATAGAATTGAAAACATTTTGAGTCTCTCTTCTGATATCAGATTCCTTCTTAAGTTGCTCGTTCACAAGCAATTGTTCCTCTCTGGTCAGTTTCTTGACGGGCTCATGCTTTTTAGAGATCTCCTTCTTTATGCTCTCCTCCCACTTTCTGGTTTCATAGTCTTTGGAGTTTTTGTTTTCTTCGACATTGCTCTTCTTCTGCAACACATTGAACACCATCTTGCCTTCTTCTCCCTTCCAGATAGCAATGCTTTCTTCGGACACAGTTGAGAGGGTAGAAGAGCTGAGAGCTTCCTCGAGAAAGTGAAGGATCTGTGGAATGACAACCTCAGGCGCGATATACGCTGCAGTGGAGATGGCGCTGACGGCTGCATCGAAGATCTTGGTTGAATGGGTATCAGCAGTAGCCGTTTTCAGGATCAATATAGCAGAGCTCAAAACTGACTCCGAAAAACGAGATAGAATGTGGTGAGGATCAGTCTGAGCACGTTGACAAACACCCACCCAACGATCCTTGATGTTGAGGTTTGGATGCAGGCAGATCATCAGAAGATCACTCAGCACTTTTTCAAGAACGGACTCAGTGGTAAGACCTTGAGTGATGCTGGAAATGACAGCCGAAGAGTTGCTGTTGACGAGACAAAGCTGGTCGTCGTCAGCAACCGTCGTGCTCAAAACTTTCTGCAAAGAAAACACAACGGAAGTTGCAATCAATTCCTGTTTATCTGAGCCACACAGCCTCTTTAAGTCGACCGCAGCTTCTCTTCTGAAGTCAGAAGCTATCTTGCTTGACATGATGGTAAACAACCACGCCTCACCCAGATCTGAACTCACAGCCTCTGTGGCAAACGGAGTAGTGACTCCCAGAGCCTTAAGGTACCATCTCTGTTCCTCTTGGGTACTAAGCTTGGAGTAAACACGATGACTGAGCACAACAGATGGTTTTTGTGTCTCAGACAGAGACTCCAGGGCAATTTGCGAGAAACTTTGAAACCCAGTTTCACCAAGCAAGTAAAGGGCAACATAGCAGGACGCAATACCTTTACTCGTAACGGTTGGCAGAGGAGAAGCGATAGCCTCGTGAATACACGAGACAAAGAGGTCAAAAAACTGGCTCAAAAACTCGCGTAGCTTCTCATCTTTGTCGAACACATACGCAAGAGATGTGAACCAAACTCTGCGCAAATTAAGTCTTTTATCAGACAGTCCCTCCTTGATCGCACTGAAAACCTTGTCATCCAAATCCCAACCTGCCTTCACAGAAGCAGTAGCATGCAAAAAGAGAGCATCCAAATAGCCAGCTAATGAAGTCTCGTTGAGGTCCTTAGAGATCAAAGGCAGCAACCCAAGAAGAATTGTGGAAGAAACTTCGGCTGAGATTGGTGGTACAGCTTTCAAGGTCGTTGCGAAAAAGACCTTCTGGTCTGCAGCCGAAACTCCCTTGACAGCTTTAAAAGCCTCATTCACAACCTTCAAGAGAATCTCTGGGGTTGCACCTGAAGAGTGCAAAGTTAAAATGAGCTCCATGGTATTGGAAGCGCCTGCCCTGACAGTTTCCTTTGATGATTTGAAGGCAGAAAACAGCTGAGACAATAGTTTACCCTCCACAGTATCTTTGACTAGATCTATTTTTGATGGCAATGAGGTGACCAATGGTCCGCATATCTGTGTGAAGACGATCTCTGAAGATCTCAGGATTGCCTTCTCAAGGGCTGGGACCAAGACATCATCGACATCTTTCTGCCCAACAAATTCCTCGAAAAACGACCCTGAAATTGTCAAAGCATGGCTCAGCTCCTTTGTATGTTTTCCCAGCAAAATTTTCTTGCTGAAGTAGTCCAATAAGACAGATTTCTGTGCTGAAAAATTGTTGTATATCTCCGGATGACGAGGAAGCAAATCGATAGCTGCCTGAGACAAAATCCCAAGCAGGGTCAAAAGACCTAGAGTAGGATGAGACTGTTTATCATCAGAAAAGATTGCAAGGTAGTCCGAAAGATATCCATACGAATCAGATCCGTTTGCCGAGAGCGTGTTCATGACCGTGTACTTCGTCTGGGTAATAGCAGATTGCAATACTCTCTTCTTATGCCTCGTACCACCATTATGATCATGGGAGCCTGAATATGTACAACATGCTTCAAGCAAATGTGTCAGCGACGTGATGATTTCTTTGGCATATTTGTCGAATTTGCCGAGCTTAGCCAATGTAACGGAGAATTGGTTACACCAGTCAAGCAGAGTCAACACATCGGTGATTGCAATGCTATTCTCGGTTCTGGAACACTCCAGGATAAATCTCAGATACTTGGGAGCAAATATCTCCGGATCCAGAGACAATATCGAGTTCAAGCCCTCAGTGACTGCGGTTCTGGATTTTGGATCTTGGTAGTAGCAGAAAGTCCTCAGCAGAACCAACGATAATCTCCCGAGATACTGTTCGGGAACTCCTTTTGTCTGTACAAGAGCGTCAATTCTGCTCAGAGCAGCCAATCGCACTTTGGTGGATGAACTGCCAAGAACCGTGCCGAGTTGAGGGTCCAACTCTTCCCAGGTGAGCTTCTGGCTGATAACCTCCATCGAGTCCTGTTTCAATTAAACGGATGAAAATGGGCAAAAACTCGAAGTTCGAAGGCAAAATCTGATCTCTGTTCTCAGATTAATTCAGTGAATCTCTGAACTGCAAACTAAACCTCAAATATTGAGAGGGTTATTGGTAGAGGTTACACTGAAAAGTTCGTCTGACTCGATCTATGGCACTTTTTTTTCACCTGTAAGGTCGTGTACCAGCCCGGGGAATCGTCGAGGTCAAATGCCCCGCGCTTCAAATTGTCCCTTTAGTTACCACGCTTCGATACTTAGTATAATCATCTCCGACTGTATTATAGTTACTGCTTTTTAGCTGTTTAAATGCGATTACCCGCGACTGTCTGCGTTTGAAACAATGCGACTCTTGGTGTTTCTGACTTTCGGCAAACTGTACAGAACGGGTCTCTTGACCTCGGCCAGGGCTGCCTGCTTTTGTCTAGCTTTCTGAATCTTTTGTTGAACATGATTCTTGGCGGAGAGATAATCACTCAGATCGCCATTGCGGAGTTTCTTCTTCAGAGGGGCTGTCTGGATTGGCTCGAAATGGTGCTTGATCTGGCGATACCAACCTCTGTCGTATGCAAGTGCGTCTCTGTCAATGCGCCGCGTGGAAGTAGAAGTGGTAGTTGACGACGAATATGAGGTGGGAGTGGGACGATTGCTTGTAGTGTGTTTCCCAGCCTTAGTGCTTTCAGGTTCGGAAGTGTCCTCGGAGACCTCATCCACTACTTCTTCGTCCTCGTCATCGTCCTCTCCCTTGCCATTTTGTAAGCTTTCTTCAACATCTTGCCCAGGTGCATTATCAGCCAAGTCGCTCTCAGTGAGATATTGAGTCTCATCGCCTGCAACCGGATTAATTTCTTCTTCAGTTGGTTGTGCATCTTGCTCTGGCTTTACCTCTTCTTCTGGTTGCACGACTTGCTGCTTATCTTCAGCCTTTCCTGTCTCCTTTTCTTCGTCCGGTACTTCTTCTTTCTCTTCCTTCCCTTGAACATCTTCTTTCTCCTTTACTTCTTCTTTCTCTTGTTCATCACTTTCTTTTTCTCCTGCCTTCTCGTTATGTTCTTCATGCATATCTTGTTCTGGGTCTTTTGCTCCTACAAAGTCATCACCAATCGCACTGTAATCAACGTCAGGGGAGCTGGCAAACTCTGCATCCAAAAACTTAGTAGCAACTGTTACAGGAGCCACCTCGCGATCACCCCAGTTGAGGCTTACAGAAGCGTGTTCTATCGTATCCTTGAACCGCATTCCGAGATCCTCTACAGCGCGCCTCTGATCATGCTCTTCGTCGTAGAAGCTTTTGTTCGAATACATCGATTGTTGTTTGGGGCCATGCCCTTTCCCCTGTTTGTGATAATCGCATGAAAATTCTTCGCAGACACCCAGGAAGTGGTCTCTAGCAGATAAGTAATTACCATAGGGACACGCTTTCACTAAGCATCCCACCATCCGGGGTACGTCTGTGCAATAACAGTCGAAGTCGATATGGCGGCGGGGACAAAGCGCAGCGATCTCATTGACACAAGAGAGAACGCAAGCTGGAGGCGTTGCCAACACAATGGGTATGACAAGGTATATATGAATAAACCAACTCACTCGAATAAGAACCATATTTTTGCTTGCGACAATGAGAGCAAAAAAGAGAAGGAAAGCAAAAACCACAACGCGTGACAATGTTGTACTTCTTGGACCTAGCCACGTCTTTTTCGGATAAATAATTTTTTACGGAAAAATCATAGTTCGATAGTATTGTCCTTATCAATACTACTTAAACCTCGCTTCTGGATGGTAGTATACAGGACACCTCCAATAGGCTCTTTTTATACCATTCCATACCGTCTCGTCAGTTTCATCTTTCTCCTCCAAAGTCCCGGTTGGAGCGTTTATTTCGGTATACGTCAACTCCAGTCCATAGTTAGCGAGATCTATCTCCACAAGCTTGCGATAAACCTCGTAAACAACCAATCTATCAGCTCCAAGTCCATTGAAGAATGAGAATACACCGTCTTCAGTAAGTAAACCGACCACCAGGTCAAACAGCTCAAGCATGTCCTCATAGTGCTCACTATAGGTATCGTAGTATATACCATCAAAGAACACATTTTTGGACAAGAGCTCTGGAAGAGTGTCCTGCCATCTTCCCTCAAGAATGTGGACCCCCGGTTTCGAATACCAGCCGTCCTGCTTCAACTTCGCGAGCACATCAGGGTGCGCTTCACAAATGTAGTGGTTCGCTGGGCTTCTTTCCTGGATCATGGTGTCAATTATTCCCATCCCAAAACCAATATTAAGAACAGTTTTGGAAGGATTCGAGCCCTTGAAAAGCGAATCGCATCCTGCAGCCATCAGCCCGTTTTCCCAATCCATCATCACACCGTCTCCTCTATCTGTGACTAGAGCACCGTCCTTGTATTCCAGTTTTGTTTTGAGGTATACCTCTGGCATGCTCGAAGGATCTTCTTCGATCAAGTTTGAGTTTGGCTGTGCCGTGTTTTCGAGTTCTGGTTCTTGTGAATCATCAACCTTGACTTCTTCCACCTCTATCTCAACATCGTCCTCTGCCTCTGGCTCAGACTCTGGCTCAGACTCCAAACCATCCGAATCTAGGAACTCGATATTTGGATCATTCAACTTCCGCAGCAAAATCTCAGCTCTGACACCCGCATCCACCATTGCGTCCCACAGCTTCGTCCGCGTGAGACCTCTTCTCTGAAGAACGCAAGCAGGTGTCTCGTCATTGGCATTAAGCAAATTCCAGCCAGCGCCACGTAAAAACAACTTCTCGACCATCTCAAGAACAATAGCCTCTTCCTGCTCGCTTAGGTTC